GAATTTAAGTTGGACAGAAGAATAATGGCAATAAAGTAGTTGAGATATATGTGCATAATTGAATTGAAACTTGACTCTGTTTTTTACGAGATTGAGGGAAAATACCTAATTGGCAATGCGATGTTCAAACTTTTATGTCAGTATTTGTTGTTGTGCAGTTCGGGTGTAAAGTTTCAGTTTGTGAACGAGAATTTGGCATTATTCGCAGTTGAAGTTTTAGACCCTGTTGGCTGGTGAGGAGTTGTACATAGGAAACTCGTCGTACACGAAATAATGAGTGACAGTCAGGACGAAATGAAATATGATATGCATTTTTGCAGGTTTTATATATTATTTGCTTAGCGAATTGTGCAGCAAAACCAAAAATGCGGATGAAGCTGCTTAAAAAGATACGTTTCGAAACTCCCAATTAATTTATCCAATTATTGGTTTCGCTATGGTTTGAAGAAAGTAATGAGTATGCAATCAATTTCTTGAGTTATAATCAAGCATAGAATCGTGAACAAATTGTTTTTTTATATGTAATCTGTATACTTGTGAAAACTATCAGTGGTGTCATGAAATAATAGTCGTGACTTTTGGAGACTTTTACTGTATGTGTATGGGGAAGAAGAATGTTGTCAGTTTTTTTCAATTTGAATTTTTGTGGCTGAGCGGAGGTCGTAGGTGACTGTGGTGTAAGGTATTAATAATCAAATTGGATGCGGTGATTGTGGCTTAATTTGCGATAGACCTTTTGAGTGATTTGTGGGTCTAGCGCTGTACAATAAGCGCTGTAAAATAAGGCTCAAGGCTGTCATTTGCTTAGACATATTGCCTTTGGTCTTTGGCAAGAATAAGCACAATTACCCCTTCATTACATGCCATTTGTCCTACGAGTTGTGCCATTTTTGGCGTTATTATTATTTTCCTCTTGCATAATTGTAGTCCCCCTCCCTCCACTTCCGAATTTTATGTGCAATCAGGTCAAATCATCGCGAAACGTCTCACTTATTTTAACTTGAAATCTGTTAGATTTAATAAGCCCTATGGGAGTACATTGAGCAGGTGGATTAAATACAAACGCGATTTCAATCTATTACGTACTGATGAGAGAAGATATGAAGCGAGTGGTCAAGTTCACTTCAAACGTTTCAGTGCTAACAAATAGAGATATTTTTATATTGACGACTCGAAGGTAAATTGAGACATGGTACCAAGTACTACACAAATATTTGCCACATCGAGTGATAACTTGTGGTGCTAATGAACTGAACTTGAGACTTCAAAAACTTGTTCAAATCATCTCCTGACACTAATTATTATAATCTCATTTGCATTATTATTGTTATGAGTTGTTAGAATGTGTAAATCATGATTAATACCAAGTTCTCTAAAACAGCTTCCTATTATACCCCGAGAAGGAAATGTGTACTCTTTTGTGTGTCATAAATTGTGCTGCAATGTTTGTGTTTGAGGCTCGCGAAAATTACTTATTGCATATTTTTATTTGGTTAGCATGGTCCGAACTCATTTAGATTTCGAAAACATGTTTTGTATCACATATGGTTTGTAGACAAAATGGGTTTTGCGTGCTTTATGGATTATGTTAATATGTGAAAACTTCATGATGAGACTTAATTTATTATTGTGCGAGGGATTAGATTTTTTTTCAACCCATGGTCACACAAGAAAAGAAGCCACACGACTGATCTATATTCAATGCCAAGTTGTACCAGCTGCATAAAGAATTCCTTCAAAATTTGAGTTTTAATTTTCACACGCCAACATGTAAATTACAATTTGTAATCAAAATTTTAGTTTGTCTAGAGATTTACATAGTTATTTTACTTTGCATATATTTAGAGATAAAGAGATAAACTTATCGTGGTGCAAATGTTTTGGATGTAAAAACAGAGGCAGGAACATATTGAAGCATTTTTTTACGCCGTAATTGAATCACTCACTCCTCGCAACAAAAAGCACTGCCGAGTTCATTGAAGCAGGAGTAACAGTCATCGCCCAAGAATTCAATCACATTCTCACCATTCACCTGGGCTGGATTGTGGATGCGACCAAGAACAGGATTCAAGAATTATTAGTTGGTCGTACACATAGAAAGCATCATTGATTCATTGTTTTTGTGACCATGCAAGCTCGTCTCAAATTTTTCGCAGAATTTTTGTCGGTATGACTCAAAGCTAGTTTTATTACCTCGACACCTTATCCCCCACATACAACATTCATACAATATTATGCTGCTTGTAAATGTATGTGGCTATAAAATTATTACGGAGCTAATAGTCACGTGTAAGTTATAATGTCCTTCTTTCAAAAGTAAAATTTCTTGGATGAAACCGCAGCAGCATATTTTCATACAAATAAATATGAAGTGGGTACAAATTATAGCACATTTTTTACATCATTTGTTCGTACACTAGGTTTTAACACGGTTTGCCTGTAAAGAAATACCTTCATCATTGCTGGGAGAGAAATAAATACGAATAATGATTTTCTTTGAGAGTCAGTGATTTGACATTGCCAACGGCGTCATCTCATCATCGTGCTTTTTGTTATTACAGAAAGAATGATACATTCCGTATCGAGAATACATAAGAAGCTACCTTTTCAGACTGCTTGCCATACATATTTTTAAAAAAGTACGTATACGTGCTTGCACATGTGGGATGACTGCCTCAGTTTGGAAGTACAAAGTGCTTAGCTTGTCTTTTGTACATAGTTGTAATTCTTTTGAATCAGGTTTTACAAATTCCGACCTGAGATTGCAGGACTTGTTAAGGACAATCAAGGCTGCCAAGATAAGGCTGAATTATGCCCGTGCATATTCTACAATAAAAAATCGACCATTTATTCAATGTTTTCATATAAGTAAGCGTCTTGCAAAGCGTGTGTGACGTGCCTGAAGAAAACTGACACAAATTCAATGCAAATGTGTTGAAAATTTGTTAAATTATAAAGTGAAGTCATTTTGCTGATGGACTTTAAAAGTTGTTATCAACAGAGTAAGTGAACAGAGGCAATAGACCTGCATAGTATGTACATACATGTACGTAGTAAGTATACATAAGTAAGTAGTGATTACTGCATGGTGTAACTTTTGTCTGTCTCCTCGGATTTTGCTGGGATAATTTCAAATTGCATCGAGCTAAAAGTTTATCCACATCACACCACACAATTCACCGTTGGAAATAAAATAAAATGCAAACAAGTAAGTGGTTGACAGTTAATGGATGTCGGCAAATTGTTAAAATGTTTTGGTTTTTTGTCCTCCGATCCGTCACAACCATTTCCACCATCACTTCGTCCTCGTCGTCTTCGTCACTTTATATTGCTGTGAATTTTTCAAATATGCAAATTCCTGCAAACCGACTGTATATTCATTCAACTTTTCTTTGTTCCGTGACTGCAAATGTGAGGCCTCGGTAGTCAGTTGTAGAAATCTTGAATATTTTGATTCACAGTTGAAAACTGACGATATTTACGGAATTTTAATTCTTGCATTCCGTTATGCATGCTGTGATTCACATCTTTTTAGTTGGAACTTAAATCTCAGCAAAGTGCTTTGAATTTCTCCCTGTGTTTTAATACATTGGACATTCATGGATCATCTTGCTGATGACTCATGTACTAAATATCTATGAATAAAAAGGAATCGGACGAGTTTGAAATCGAATATCCAGTTAGCAAACAAAAATATTTTATTTTCGACGTATGGAGGATGAATTTTCAGAAATTTTAGTATTTTTCGTGTCGAGCATGATTTTTCGGTGTTGAAAAATGACAATTTGCAAAAACGCACGTTTGTTTGTCCCTCGTAACAATAATTCAACCGGATTTAGAATGCTACCTGAAATAAGAACATGAGAGTTTGTCCTAATTCTAATAGTAGGTAAGTTTCTTTCTATGCATTGCGATATTTGATGACAGGATCAATAAACAGAATCATGAGTCAAGTTTCCTGTGACGCCGGGTGTGAGGAGAGATGATTCAAATGTTGAACATTAAAAAGTGTGTTACTTGTATCAGATGACAGTCGCTTACAATTTTTTGCTGATGGAATTGACACTCGTTCAGACAGAGGTACAAATAGTTTTTGCTGCTCGAGACCACTCCATTCCCCTAATAAAAAATCGACCATTTATTCAATGTTCAAATTTACTGCTCAAATTTGCACATGTACATATCGCTGTTATTTGCAGAATAAAATATTTTGTTGGATCAAGTTTCATTTGTTCCAGTTCCAAAGAAAATGAACATGGACAAATGCTGCTGATCAATCCATCCTCGATTAAATCGTGCCATACTAGACAGATAGCCAGCTCTATTTTTCCGCAATCGGTCAGTCACATCGCGTAAGAATGGATATCGATTTTGCGTGGCTGAGGTACTCCTAATACAAGCGATTTATATTTACTAACGATAACAATGTGTGCTTATCATTGGAATTGGCATGATGAAATGTGCGACGTTGAATGTTGGCCAACAACCTACTTGTATGTATGAATCGGGAAGATCCGAAATACAAATTTAGAGAAGCTTGTTGCTCCACAGAGAATCACTTCCCTGTTCGATTATTTCCTGTACTTATTCTGTTATCATGAAAATGAGGTTCTTATTTGTAAGTATCACCATCAATTTCTCTCTGCGAAGTGCGAATTGACACTTTTCTGGGTTTATTTCGTCATATTATAAGCACAAAAAGTTGTGCGATTATAACTAGTTGGCATTGTGGAGTATAGAAGGAAAGTGGTGAATTTAGTACGCGATTGGTTAGTTATTTATGTGCATAAATATCGACGGAAATAAACTCATGAAAAGTTTGCACTTTTTACTATTTTTTCCACATCATCCATCCCTTCTCTCTCTCCCCCCAAACATGTTATTAGAATCGACGAAATCGAACAATAATTCAGTTTTTATTCCACCCCAAAGAAGAAGAAATTCGTTTCGACACATTAAAGAACGCTATTTTACGCTTGATTGTTGATTATCTCTTTCAGAACGAATGGTGCCTGCAATTAGTGGAGATCATGAAGTCGCCGATGTGGAATTGGAAAATGTTGAAGAATGCGGATTACAGCAACTCCAAAGGTGATGGTGGAAGTGGATTGCTTCGAAATTCAAGAGTGCAGAAACCATATCAGCCTTACTTACTACCCCCATCATAAGAATCTATCTGCCTTATTAACTCCACAGCACAATAAGCGATAAGTTTCAAGTTAATAGCCCCATTTCACGGTGCGACGACTGCAACGTGGAGTTGAATTGAAAAGTACAAATAATAATTTTGGCAAACTTTTGTCGCTAAAGTGAGTGAAGTGAAGACGATCCGTGCCTCAATCAAATGATATACACACGTGTGTTGGTTGGGAGGTAGAGCAACGCCTCTGTGGACTTGGAAACTGCAAAACTCCATTCCAACCGTATACTGCTGCTTTTATTGTAAATTAGTTTCGAGTAACAATACACGAGCGTTCACTACCACTGCCACTCCTGTGAGTTTAGCGGCACTATCCGTCGTCGTCTTGTCGTCGTAATAATAAAAGAGAGGGACGAGTGAATAAATTGAGTGGAAGGAAGGAAGGAAGTGCAGAAGAGCGTGACGGATGGGTAAGCGCCGCGAAGGTGGTGTCAATGCTAACGACGACATCGGCGAGGGAGGCGGCGGCGTCGGAGGAACGACAGGCAAGATGAAGGTCACCGTCTGCTTTGGCGCCGTCCGGGTCATCGTCCCATGTTCCAACACGGAAATGCTCGTCCGGGATCTCATGCACCAAGCCATCCTCAGATACAAGAAGGCCGCTGGAAAGGTCAGTAGCTAATTTATGTCCTCTCAATAAATAACTCCATCTCACATCACCACCCACTTCTAAAAATCAATTTTTATGGATTTGAACATTTTTATGCGCTCTCCTAATCAAAAATATGAATTTACGTAACTGGATGAAAGTTTAATTGATCCTTGGCTGTATGCACATATCAGTTTTAATTCTTCATTTCATTGTCACACGACCTAAAAGAGAGTTACTAAATATTTATGTCCAGATCGTGTGGTCATACACAAATATCGTTTACACTGCATTTCATAGCATTGTGTAATAAAAAGAGCTCACAAAAACATCCAATTGTAGCTACATACAAATCTATGATAAAAGGAATAAACCAACCGGAAAACTACAAAAAAGAACAGTATGTAATGTAACAGATTAACGACAAATTTAATTATCTTCGCTTTTACTCATCTTGATGCCTCTTTGCCATACAACTCCCAATAGAACCGTGTGACATATATAACAAGAGAGAATTTGTCGCATTGTTTTTATTGGATTTTTTTCTTTGCATAGTTGGTACCAAGTATTTGCTTCTTGGTGCCTGCATAGCATATTTAGTGTGAAAATTTCGCTAATTTTCCGTCTTAATTGTATAAATCAAGCACCATTTTTGAGGATTAGCAGTGCAAAAGGGTACGCATTGTTTCAGCGCATTGGTGTCAACAGGTCGTGATTTGTTTACAATGAGGAGCATAGTGCATAAATGCAGCCAAATTATCCCGTGGATTTTTTCCGTCTTTTCTCACTTCTTCTAATCTACACAGTATATTTCTTACGCTCTTTTCGTTTGGGAAAGTTTGCATCATGAATGCCCAGCAGGTTGTCCAGATTTATAAATATAAAAAAAGTTGTAAAGTTGTCTCCGCATGTCTCCTACTTGTCAAAATTCATGGGGATCTCACCAACAAAATGAACTATGCGAATTTCAGAAAGTTTTGTAAAAGTTGAACTCTTTATGGCGGAGGTTGTGTTGAATTCAAACCATCAAACAAACTAAAGTCGTAAATAACGGCTTAAAGCTCAACAAATGAGATTTGCATACTTTTTGAATGGAATGCTCACCTAATTAGTAATTAGTGGGATGACAAGTTTACGGGTTTAAATTAAGTTTTGGCTAAAGCATTACCAAACTTTGGCGTAATTAGACGATGCAAATTATTCATCTCTGCGCGCTGATTGCAAAGAAATTACAAGTTTGTTGATTAGACTCGTTTTAACTCGCAGACAGTTGAACAAGTCGTGACTTGCTAGCTTAAACCCTAACGAAATTACATAAATTGTAGTATAATATCGCAGTATGATAGACACATGCATTGTTGGTGGACAGAGCTTTCCCTTGTTGTCCGTTAGTGATGCAATAACACTAATATTTGTAATAATAAAAATATGGGGAACGAGAAGGACAGGTGCAAACAAACTCCATCCACGTCGTGTACATTCATTCATACATATCGGAAACGCAGGAGGACTTTAACTCTTTTTTCGTGTTATTGAACCAATGTTGGATCGTTTCAGTGAATCAACTTCCTTCCTTCCTTTGGATAGAATTGAAAACATGAAGGGAGGGAGTGGGAAATAGAAATGTGTGTAAATCGTGCAAATGTCAGAGTCATGCAATCAAGGAACGGTCACCTCTTCTGATATCTCGTTTGTATCATTCAGTTTGTCACAATCTTATCCTCGATCCATTATTAGGTAGCGTAGGCCAATTTCAGCGTCCGTCCAGCTAAGGAGCTGGTGATAAAAGTAGTACGATTTTGTCGGTTGGGTATTTATATAGGTGGGTAGGTGCGTGATTCGATAAATCCAGAGTGAGAGGTTCATCGTTCGTTGATTACGGCTTTAACATGGGAATTTTTACTGAATAGTAAAATTACATATTATTATTCTTATTTTTACCAAACCGTTATCTAATGTTTCAAATAAATGTTGCGAATTTTCCTATTTAGCTAATTGGCTGAAGGTAAAATGTATCACATGTCAGGGATTCTTTAAAACTGAAATTAACTCTATTTAAAAAAAACAGTTTTTAGGCAGAGACTTGGAACTGAAATGTGCTTGCGGATAGAAGTCAGAAGTCGTGTTATTAATATTCTTGTGCAGATTCTCTCTGTCGCAAGTGGAGATGATGCTAATGTGACGCGTGGGAATTATGAGGAGTTGGAACACCTCGGCATGAGAGGATTTTGGAGGATTTAATGCTCGGAGTCGAGCTGTTGGCGTTGGGATTGAGAAAATCGCGTGACGTGACATATAAGTTCATTAGAGTAGAAAGCTTGGCTTATTTTGGCGTGCATGACCGCGTTTGTTTGCTTCAATTTTTAGAAAAAATTTCGTATTCTGCGTCAAACATTTGTGAAGTTTTGGCTGCTCCTCATTCATCATTCATTGCCCCACAATTACCCCATTAGAGCTCATTACCGTCACAATAACTCACCGTTCCGTATTCCTTGTTCCTCTATCTGACTCAATAATACGTCCAACGAGCGTCTCAGGTGGGTGCTAAAAAAGCTGATTCTTACAAAACCCTCCTTGTTTCACCAAAATCTCTATAACTAACCTTTTTGTTGCTGAGATTTCGATGACGAAAAGTCTCACAACACTTCATATTGTTACAATTATATACTTATCGCAGCAGTAATATTTTTGGGGGCTCAGCAATTTAAAGTTTTAATTGAAACAGCACTTTCTCTTTTAAATAAGATGGCATTAGAACTCTCCTAAGAATAAGTTCGTGTCCAATATTTCTCGAATTTTCCGAGTCTCATAAATAATTTCGCATCTCTCCATCATTGTTAAACATGAGATACATAGACACAAAACTTTGAGGGGACAACCTTGTTCCAACTGCATCATTTATGAGGGGGAGGAAGTGCGGTGTGTGTGATACATGGATGCCGAATAATATTATGGTCAATGTCTGTACATGATACGTACGTCTGAAACTGAATCATGGACATTTCATTACAAACTTACTGACTGAGAGAGAGAGGAAACCGAGTTGACTACCAGCAAGTACATAGAGTACCAACGGTATCGAATCGATTTCGCATTTCCTTCCAGAAAATACAACTATCTGAATCACTCGCATTTATTTTATGGGATTTCATTCACGTGCCGCCTCCACTTTTCCCCAATGGCTGGGTGGACTTGATTTACAATTACAAATTTCTTTGATCTGTGTGAGAAACCAGCAAGACCGAGATGATATGTGCATAGCGTCGCGTCGTTGGGGGAGAAACCATTTAAAAATCCATCAGAATCATGAATCATAACTTTTAGATACGCACACTGGGCATGCCGGCAGTGATGGGAGAAGGGCGAACCCCCGTGAAATCTTAAGTAGGTAGGTGGAAGCCGGAAAGGAAAAAGTTTGTGTGATTTTTTAACGATTTGTTTTAGTGGTTAGCCCTTTTGTGACGTGACAAGAGACGCAACTAGCTTATCATCCTCGGTCACATTTTACTGACGCCTTGGTGGTCTAACTAACTATGCGGAATATGTATGGTCATTCATATTTGCTTGGTAGATGTATGTATGTATGTGTAGTTATACAAGTACACATAAATACTTAGGGTACACCTGATTCTTACTTGAAATTCGAATATGGTCGTCGGCAACTATTGACTTTAAAATTATCTTTTCTGTCAACGAGGAGGTGTCGTCATGTTCTCTCACGAAGGAACTTTGCAGTTTCTTCAATCTTGTTTTGGTAGCCGTTTGTTTTGGTAAATGCATCTGGTGGGGAAAACATTACTATTTTTGTAAGTGCTGCTGCTCAGTCAGCACATTATTAACGGTGACAAGAACTGCGATTTCATTTGTTATGACTGCAAATCTTGACGAGAACAATTTAATGCCGTTGGGGTGTTGGTCGTGGTATTCGATACTGAAAATATCCCGACAATAAAATAAAATCGTTAACGCCGACAATCATTCATGAGCCTGACTGACATGGTTCTTTGGAGCGACATTGAACAAAGATCAAGGCAGCAGGGTCGTATACGATGTGTGCACTCCTCTGGCAAAATTTGTTAATGTCGTGCTAAAATTCTTCAAATTCGCATACTCAGCAGTCGTAATTACGCGTGCATGCGTCCTCTTGGTTTAATATTGCATAGAATTTAGCAGTGTAATAGATCGTCACGTAACAGCTACACTGTCTTTATATGTATTTGTATTGCATGCGATAAACAGTATCTCGATTCTCGATCTTGTTGTGCTGAGATATTCTTCTCGAGTGCATGTGTATCATCAACCTAAATGTAATGAAGGGCTAATTTAAATTCTGATTAGTTAATAGTTGTCGTCGTCATATCGTTGAAATAATAACACAATGGTGGATACTTGTTTGTTGTGAGCATACAGAAAACCCTCTACATCATGCTAACTGATGACGGTTAACTAATAATGGACACATTTGCATGCACGTTGTGCAGCATGGAACATTAGCTTCCAATACTAACATACAAGGAATGAATAATTCGAAGAAGCTGCTGCTCCTTGAATTTGATACATGCACAAACTGCTCAGCCTGCAAACTCGCAAGCAGTATATACGTACGTATGTATAGTGGAATCACCAGCATTGTGTTTTATGTCGTGTTGTTTTATTCAATGGTTCATATTTTATTGGTGGTTGGGAGACTTTTCTTATTCTTTATTAGGGAGCGTCCATAAATCACGTGATCGATATTTTGACAATTTTGACCCCCTCCCCCCCCTTGGTGACCAATGGTGATAAATTCATTACCCCCCCCCCCGCGGTCACGTGACAGCATACCCATTAAACCTATTTTTCGCCAAGTGCGATTTTTTGTGGCGGATTTTTTTTCCGCAAAAAGTTTTTTCGCCAAACTGACCTGTTTCCGACAGGTAAACACATGGCCAAATTAACCCAAAAATAATATTCCTGGGCCATTTCAAATCCGTAGTTAAATTAAATTTTAAAATTATTGAAAGAACTATTTAATACTAATCAGTAAGTATATTGAGTAATTCAACATTCTTACTTCTTAAGGACAACTGCGTAAACTTATTATCTGAAAGAATAATGAGAGTTCTATGAATGTGCACTGAAATTTGAGAGAGTGGTATATATATGCAAATCAGACCTACATAAGATTGTCAAGTAAAAATTTAAAAATATGCCGTATTCGAATTTAAGATAAAAGAGATTAACGATTAAGTAAATACATATTATCAAGTTTAATATTTACATCCGAAGTTAAAAGAAAATTTTTCGTGGCATGTCACGTGACTGCCGGCCATTACCCCCCCCCTGGTGATAATAGGTGACAAATTTCAGACCCCTCCCCCCCCTCTGATCGATCACGTGATTTATGGACGCTCCCTTATATATTTGCTCAGTATTGGCATTGATTCAACTCAACAAACAAGAAACTGGTGAAATATCTGCGGATGGATCAAATCAAGGGAAACGAGGTGCTTGCGTTCAGTTGCATTGTTCCAGTCGCTCTTAATCATCTCTCGGTGAGAGTTTCGTGACAGAACTTGACATGAACTTCAAGTGATATTGTAGTATTGGTCGTCGTCTCAGTGGTGCTGGCAGGCATGGACATTTTATTGGATTTGATGGGAATCAAGATTTGCTGATTAAACGCCACCGAATCTTTTTCTCCAATGTGAACCCACTTCTCTTAACAACTTGCATACTATACTTGTGCAGTGTCTTTCTGGAGAATCGCTCTCCCACGTTTCCGTCCTTTTACGCTTCCAGAGAGATTCTCCGGGACTTATTCCGCTCCTCAGACGGCTTAACTCTCAAGATTTCCGATGTTTGCTCAACTACCCGCAGTGCGAATTCTCACGTCATGTAAAACGAAGCGTTACATTTTGAGCAGGATCTCTCAACCTGAGCAACGTGTGTAATAACGCAGTCTTCTTAACTAACAGAAATATTTTCTTCTCAAATCCTCTTTCACCACGAGTTAAGGTTGGGCTACGACGTGCAGAGGTGTGTGTGATGAGCGAACGGAATTGTGTTGTGCAACCTCCTCCTCCTCCTTGATTTGATTATTGAATCGTGAATCATTGGCTTCCGTTATGGTAAAAATGCCAGTCTTGATTGGAACATCGTCAGTGTGCCCAAAGTTTGACATTGCAAGAATTGCCAGATAAAGCAGGAATTTGCAGAATCTCATACATCAATCTCTAAATACATGCCAAGCAGTGATTCTTCTTCTAGTCAAGTCACCCAAGTCAAGCAGTCAGTGATTTTCTCGCTGGCATGCAATAATCTAAGGGACACCTTTATTAGAAAGGGTTAAGTCCGGTTTTAAGTCTCCTCGTTTTTTGACCATTTTATTTTTGTACATAATAAGTTTTAGATATACTTATGAGCCTTTATGTGCATAGTATGGACATACTTGAATAATAATTTGCTTGTCAATGACCATCAATGTTTAAATACATGCGTTACATTCCACGTATCGCTCGATAATCTAAATATTTTGACATTAATTGATAAACTTATAATGTCCACCACACTGTCGTCGCTGTAGAACAGACTGCAAAGTGGAATCGTGCTGTTGAAGAAGCGAATGCAAAAGTTGTTTTTACATGACGAACTCTGACAGTATTTAATTTCTAACCATTTAAAAAATATACACATTTATGTGGTGCCTCGTTTGCTATATAAAATAAAGACTATTTTTCTTTTGTGGTTCGAAGAGAAATTTACAACTGTTTGAACGAAAAGTTTAAGTGCACGGTCAGCTATTTGAATTCGTCTCTCTAAAATATAAATACGCATTCATACGTACGTACAAGATAAATATATGTGCTACTGCTACATATGTAGTTATCACACACATATCTGAATTTGCGTCTATATGAATGCATCAAGGGAACACCACATTGATATGATTGTGTCAATTTCTCACCTGTGCGAAATTTATTCAATTATCCTGAAACAAAATTATATTACGAATCTCTCAAAACTAGATCTTCAACAAGTTCAACCGTTAAATGCTCCCAGCAACTTTTTAACTACTGCCAACCATCAATTAACTGCATGCGTATAAAAATGATGGCAAGCGCAAAAGTGAATTTTACTCTATATCGGGTGCAACATTCACAGGGTGATGCACAAATTGAAATCAATATTTAAAAATGTATCCGTAAATAACTCTTGAGACCGCGAATTTAATATTATACGCAGTTTTCCTAACATGGAAAGTTCGCTTTGTTCTTATTCTCTAATAAAAATGTGAATACGGCAGCAAACTCTAAATTCAGATCATGAAACGAATCGGACACGGAATACGGCGTTTACTCCGTCGGGATAATTCGTCCTACGATCTTCACGACATTGCGGAAATTGATGACATGCACACCAAATCTCCAGCTGTCAACACAAAATTCGTGTTGAGAGACAACCATGATCCTCGTCGACATGTCATAAGACAGAATATTGCCGATAAGCAGGGCGTTGTGGAGCTGCCAAAAAATGCGAACAATAACAACAAAGATGAGAAAGTAGTGGAGGTATGTATCTATGTACATGTGAATTTATGTATGCGCCCGAATACTGCATGGTGCAATTGGGTATTTTCTTTGGTATACATAGGGAACTATTAAATACAGAATATATGTATCTGCATCTGTACGTGATCGAATTTAAATAAGTTCAATAGGCACAAGCGTGAAAAGCAAGATGCATTGCATTCGAGTCGAGTTACATATTTGCCTTGATTCTTTGATCCTGATTTTGAAACCTTGGGGGTCGTGTGCTGCTATTGTACTTTTAAAAAGAATCGCACGAAACCGGAAGGAGTGAGTTCATTTCACGTTCAAAGTGCAAATCTCTTCTTGGCAAAAACGGTATACACACATTATAGAAAATTGAGAGTTTTTTGCGATACTGCATTCACTCTCATCTTCGAAACCATGTACTTGAACGGTGATTATAATTTGTAATCCCAACAGCAGTCAGTGAGTGTGGTTTTTGGTTGTTATTCATCCGCACTTATACGTAGGAACGATGTCATGGTCAGTAATTGATAAATTGATTTGAGAAAGATAGCCGAGGAGCGAGAGGAACCCATGCAGTCGAGCTGCAACTTCCTTGAAGTTGTATTTGATATCTGAAAGCCGTCCATAATAATATTACGTTTGGGACTGGGGAAAAGATTTCGAAAATTTGTTTTAAATAATAGTTTGCGGTGTTTGTGCAAGACCACGGACAACAATAAACCATGGTGGTGTGATTCGGATTAGAAATGATGCATTTAAATAGCATTTGAATTGACTGGGAACTAAAATTATACATCCAATCTTGGTCACATTGGATATGCATGAATCTGCTATTATGCCATGACTGTTCGCCGTATACTCAATAATGAAAAGTCTCATTTTCTCGTAACTTGTTTCAAATGCACGTAAGAAAGCATGTCGCAGCAAAGAACCCATGTATTCGGATTTCTTGAAAAGTTGTGTTGGATGGAATGGATAATACTTGCTCCTCCAATATCCACATAAAAACTTTGCCTTTAAAGAACACAGGTTGTTTGGATTTAAAAGCAGCATTTGTCGAGATGGATGGTGAACAGACTGCAATCATGACGTTTTTTTGGCCTGGGGGGATATTTATTTTACACGCAGAAAGAGCTAAAGGTGCATTGAAGCAAAGACAGGTGAATCGTTAGTTGGTGGCTCCTCTCTCTCTTACCTGCCCTGCGATACTCTAGTCTTGCCATGCATATGTAGCTCCTTCACAGGTAATCCTCCTTCAGGTAATAATATTATTAACCAGTTCAAGTCGGTGGATGGATGGATGGATGGATGGGTTAGTTTTGGCTAAAAGTTAGTTAAGGTTGGTTTTAGCTTTGCATTGCATTCATCAAGTATATTATTAGTTGTTGTTGGGTGAGAGATAAGTTCGCAGAAAAAGAGTTGAGTTCTTTTGGGAAGTTTGTTCCCAGACAATTTTGTTGAGGGATGAAACTTGTGCTATTAAATTGCTCCCTTTCTCCTTGGTCTTCTTGCCTCGAATATATATATGTGCATACATATGCACTTGCAGAATTCTCTCAGAAGAAGGATTTCTTATTTGCACATATACTTGTGACGTAAAATGGAGGTGGACATGTAGGGAAAATGGACATTTTTTATCCTTGTAAGGTGTTCTGGATGTGAAAAGTTTGTTCGATAAGCTATTGATTTAAAAAAGGTGCAAGTTTCAAGCACAATAAATAGTGATTGCGTGCCGGTCATAATATTACAGTGTTCGATCGACATTGTGCAGCAGAATATTAGCAGAGATTGTCATCTACAAGGACTGAAATAATATTTTTTTCATCCTGTGTTACACGCTCATTATTACGTATCTAGAGTAGATTGAGTGAGTGGCATAATGTTCTTAATTCTTAATGTGGGAGAGTTGTGACATATTTTCCCCATATGTCACACGCACAATTATTTAATAAGATAATGTGTAAATATTTATGTATGTTTGTTTTGGATGATGATAGTGAGTTAATTGAGTTGTTCCCGAATTGTCTCAGGGGCAGGACGCTTGGGTTGTTGTCCACAAATTGAAGTCTCAATCGGACGGAGGTATCCTGGATCTGGACGACAGACTAACTGATGTAGCGGATGACAGGTGAGTGCATTATCGTCAATAAAATTGACTGTTTGTTTACTCGAAGTTAGATATACACTACTGATCAGTAATTATAAAATTCGTTATTTTTCACCATACCAGGGAACAAATCATGGCAATATTTGAAGAGGATACTGATGGAACGCTGCCATCCTTGCGCCATAATGCTGGTGATGGGACATCTGCCAGTTCAGTTGGGACAAATAGTCCGGACATTTTTCAGGTATTTATGTATATAATGCACATAATATTATACGAACGTTGACGGAATGTGGTATCAGTTTGTATCTTTATACATGTAGTCATGATAAGTTGACACTGATAACTCACCACATGTAAATACGTACTAAATGAATCAACGACTATTCATTCTGTTTCGGATGAATGCCCATTTCGCTGAAACACGACAAGTTCGTAACGCCAGATTTGTTTTCTTGATGCAGGGAACAGAGCACAAATTTCAGCCTTTTGCCAGAACAGACATTGAGATAACTGGAGAGGAGTTGAACAACGGGATGATGTCGGGTGGTCCTCCTGGGTCCCTCAACAGTGGAGGTGTGGCCCTACAGGTTCGGAGGGGGAGTGAACCCGCCCTCAACCGAATGTCCCCCGTTCACCTCCAGCCCCCTGACCCCTCAAAGCGATGGTCCGCCGCACCCGTCATTGACGAGGACAAGAATGGAATGCACCACAACTTTCCCGTTCCCGTGAGTCTCAATTTTCCAGATTTACATATTGTATTGAATGGGGTTTAATTAATTAGCTTTAACATTACTCTCACAGGAATCGTCAAGTTCGAACATGTATAAGGTTGCAAACAGTGTCATATCCAACATATCCAATGCTAGCAGTGATAACCGTGAAAGTTCAGTTACTTCGTCCTCAACCGTTTTTTATAATGATATCGCAAATAATGCAAGTGTTCAACAAGATAAGGACGACTCGAGTAAAATAAGTGACAGTGTTGGTGGAACGACGACGGAGCATTACACAAAGTTTTTAAGAAACAAAAGTTCCGGCGCAGTCAGCAGACAAATCAATAACGAGGGTTCTAGATTTTCCCGAGATTGTAATCGGCTGTCGATGCAATTTTTTGGTGATGGCAGTTCAAAATGGTCAGATGCTGCAGACAGGTAAGTATTATTTATTCCCTTGACAAGTTTGTGAGAAAAATTGGATTTTTGCCATAATTTGATCCTGGGTAATGATTCAGAGCTCTGTGGATGAGTCTGAGGAAGGAGCCGGTGGGCACAAGTCCCAACTCGGACACGACGAGCGAGTCCTACTTTTCCAGCCCAAGATCGAGATCTGAAGAACGGTCCCCTGAAAAGGATGACCTTTCTCCTCGCCCCACTCAAGTAATTCTGAGATACGAAGTCGGTCCTCTCGGAATTCATTTAGGTTCGCAAATTAACTTTCCCATCTGGAAGTTTTATTTTATTTCTATTTTACTAATTTCAATGTCCAATTCTAATCCTTATTTAGTGCCAGAACACAACGAGAATGGACAGAATCAAGGGTTGATTGTCCAAAATGTGGAGATTGGTGGGGTGAGATGATTTTTATTCTATTTTTACTATATTATTGTTAAAACCTATAATGTCCATGGTGTAGATTTAGCCCGAGTCCGCTTCTAAAGTTTTGTCAGATGGCTCAGCTATGTATATTAACCCTTTTCAAACAGCAGTACAGGTTGGCTGCTGGGTCCCCCGACAAAAAATTTGCTTGGCCAATTTTTCTCATCTTCGAGCTTAACTCCCATTTGCCCACACTACATGTTGAGCAAATTTCAAAAGTTGATAGGATGAGTTTAACGAGATTTATCGCGGAACGGACAAAGGGATATGAAAGCCCTGACTCGGGCTAGAAATTCATAATGTTAAAATATGAGCCTATAAGTTAAAAATTTAGAAGGTGTGTTAATACCGCCAAACGTGTCGTATAAGACCTAACTATGCAGTCGTCTGATGATTTAGCAACTTATTTTGTGAAGCGGATTTATTTGAAACATACCAATTCTATGATTACAGAGGATTGACCGCAATGGATGCCTCAAAGCTCAGGACAAAATTGTTGAAATTAACGGCCATAGTTTGATTGGAGTGCAGGTCAGTTGACGCATATAACCCACGCAAAGTAAATATAATTATGACAAAGATAAACTAGTCATCGTATGCATCCAAAATCATCAACAAATTTTTAGTTTGGTACGTACGAAAAAGTACGTACGTCTAACTAACTAGTAAGTAGATCAATGTATTAAAATAATAGCGAATTTTATTAAACAATAATGAACGAAGGAATAAGTCAAAATAGTTTTATATTTCATGACAGGCGATTAATCTTTGTTTCTTGGGGTCTGTTATGTTTTACCAAGATTTAGGAAAGAGCTGCGAGCAGAAATTCAGAATTCAGAGCGTACATTTGTCATACATTTATGTAAATATTTTTCTTATCTGATTCATACATTTGTGTGCAGTTTCAGCAGGCACAAGACTTGTTTCGCCAAGGACTGAATTCAGAAGAATTAAGACTCATGGTCATCAAACATCCAAACAACGTAGAGCAGATTTCTACCGTGGAGATCATTTCTCGCGATGAGAAGGAAAACATGGTTCACAGTGAAGAGAAAAGTATGATTCGATTTTCAGATCAAGCTACAAACAAATTATTTTACATTCGTGAAATCTTCGTGCATTCTAATTGTATGTATTATTTGCAGTTGTGGGAAATTGCAAACTCGCAACCGTGTCCTCCACAAGGAAATCCCCCCTCCAACCCGCTCCCATACTGCGAAATGGAGGAATTCCTCTCATAGCTTCCAATACGAGAAAAATTGGGAGAAAGTATGAAGTTGATTTACAAAAGGGCCCCCAAGGTTTAGGGTTTAGTATAACGACAAGAGATAACCCTGCAGGAGGAAACTGTCCAATCTACATCAAGAATATATTGCCCCACGTATGCTGACTCATACATACATCTGTGTCTGTCTATATATGTATCCTATTAACGGTCATCCATTCACTGTGTAGGGAGCTGCCATAGACGACGGAAGACTGAGACCTGGGGACCGTTTATTAGAAGTAAATGGGATTGAAATTACTGGAAAAACTCAAACTGGTAACAAATTTGCTAATCTCACCTCGTTAAAAAACAAAGAATTGCATTTTATGATTTAGACGTTTTGTGGTCTTGTTTATGTTGTAGAAGCCGTTTCCATCTTAAAAAATATTCCACTCGGAGGAATTGTAAAACTAATTGTCTCTCGCCAAGAACGTATCGACCTTAGTCCAAAACTCCCTCGCCAGATTGTAAGTCTCTCATCTGAAATGTGTACATGTATATTGTTCATGACTTGGTGAGCAGTAGTTCAGCATACAAATTTGTCTTTATTTCTAATGATTTCAGCCCCCAGAAAAAATTACCGAAGATTTGCAACCCTTGCCATGGTCAGAGAAAGAAGTTCTCGAATTTGACATTCCAGTATTGGTAAGTGTACAACTCCACCTTCGAAACAGAACATGTCGGATTAATTACAGACACAAATCGAAGTTAAATGAGGGCCATCTATTTCGGCCCTAAGTGAATCCCAACCGTATAACATCACTTTTTATGTTACAGGACACAGAGAAAGCAGGGCTGGGAATTAGCGTAAAAGGCAAAACCGCCACCACGACTCAGGTTCAGAGTGGGATGATCGATATGGGTATTTTTATCAAGAGTGTGATTCATGGGGGTGCAGCCTCGAGGGACGGTCGAGTCAAATCAAACGACCAACTCATCAGCGTCAATGGTAATAATTACACTCTATTTATTTTTTACCTTGTGTCTGCAAATCTCCATTCCAGATTTTATGTATGAATATCTCATCCAAATGATTGTTCTCTATTTCGTATAGGAATTTCCCTTCTCAGTTGTTCCAACACACAGGCGATGGAAACCTTACGAAAAACGATGACACAGCCCGTCCCCAAACCAGGCTTTATCACATTGATGGTTGCGCGACGTGTTCCTACCTCTTCTGCGCCCAACACAGATCTCAGCGGTTGTGGAAGCTCCGCTTCTGGGGACGAAATGGACTCTTGGGGTGGACCCAAGAACGTAACTTTGTTTGTTGGTACGTCGTATAATGATATTAATGTACGATTAGTAATGAATAACCCCTGAGTCATGTGTGAATTGATCGTATACAGACGGAAGTCGCAATGAAGATACAGAAAACGTGTCACCGTATAGAAATTCCGACTTCAACACCCAACAGTCGTCACCAGTTGCAGTTTCTACGAATCACCAAAATATGACATTAGGTTCTCCCACAATGCGTCAAGCGATGGACGACATTGTGATGCAAGCTCACATCCCGGACTCTAACAACATGCAAAATATTATAAACCGAAGTCGTAGCAGCAGTTTGAGAAAAATAGACATACTGAAGGGAAAGTTTGAAGGAGGCCCTTTGAATAGTAATCATGTCCAGAGGATACCGCTAGATCTACCAAGGAACCCTGTGCTTGAGAGGTTAACTGGAAAAAATGTTGCAGCATCCCGAAGCGACAGTTACTATAAGGTACGTAAATACCTATAGATCGATAAATACCCTTATCGCCCTATTTTCGCAAATTATTCTATGCATCATTCTTTTTGATTATTTACCCCAGGCAACTACCGATGTGTCATTTAGTCCAACTACGAGTCCACCTGTGCAGAATGGTCGGCCAGAAATTGGAAACAATCGAAATTATAGTCCACGCAGAAACAGTGGAATGTTAATGCAGCATGTGAATGGTGAGGCTGCAATTGCAATATTGGAAGATGACTACTCGGCCCCTCAGAAACCACCTAGACGATCAAGGTAATCATATCGGTCTTATTGTGTAAAAAGTATATCTTGAGATATCGGTAATTCATAATTGTTTGCATTCATTTAGATCATCTACTCCGGAAGATGCTTTGGATTCGAGGATTCCGCGTTCTGCTGTTCCTTCTCAGGTCTCGTCGCCAGTATCGACGTGTCCAGGAAATGAAGCTCCTCCATCCGACGTGACCTACGCTAGCCAGTATGACTTCATAAACCCACTAAAACTTATGTAACGTATTAAAATAGACAGGTGTTTAACATAAATGGTCTATTTTTTAACAAAATAGAACGTCACTGGAGGATGCAGGAGGATTTTCACGAGATGCCTTTGGACGACAGAGCATGGTAAGTAAAATTTGTTTAACTTGAAAAATTAACTTTATGTACATCTCTCTCATTAAGCCAAATAATTGAATCATCAAAAACAAATCTAAAATCCAATTTAGGTAACATCCACCAACAAATTCATTTATTAATATAATAGTTAAACATCACATAGTTTAACAAGTGCTCTTAAATCCAATTAATAACAAGTTTCTCGTAAACCTTCTTCTGAACTCCCTCCTTTTTCATCTTATCGGTATCTAAAACCTGTCGCTTCTTCTTCCCAGCCCCTACAGTCTTAAATATCGGAACCATAAAATCCACCTCTGTCGGAACAGTTTTAAGCTTATCTTTCTTTACAACAATATCTTTACCCGTCATCATAACAATAAAATCTTTAAAAATATCCTCATCCCAGCCATGATCGAAATGGGTGAACTTTTCAGCTAAATTGTAAACATCGTGACCACCGACTGTCTTCATTCCCAACATGTTAGCGACGAGAACCCCCTTGTGGCCTAACGTCTCCACCTCCAGCGTCTTTTTCAAATTCTCTTCTGCTGTGAAGGTGGTGGGGTCGACTTGAAACACGTTGTGCCTGTTCTCGGGGTCAACCTCCGCCATGGTGGTGGATTTAGCGCGTTGGTGAGTATGGGATCCTTTAACGACAGACCGACAGGTCTCTGAATGGTTTTCCCCGAATCGATAACCACCCTCTTTATTATCCCCCACATACACGTAAGGGAGCTTGCGGTTGAAATTTGTGGGAAGATGAGGTGAATTTGAAAAATTAAGGGAGTTGTTGGCATCCCTAATTTCGAAACCTATGTTGTTTAACGCTAAAATTTTGTTCACGTCATCCAAGTTTCCAGACTTTGTACACATGTCACAATTTATGAGTTTGATCTGCTCTGCTGGTTTTGTAGCGACAGAGTTGTGAAATGACACCATGAGAGACATTAGAATCTGGGGGGGGGAACAAAATGTTATATTTATTTAATAATTGAATTGAGGAATTTTTCAGAAATATCACATACCTCTAAAGTTTGAAACTTCGTCGTGCTTTCCATGGTGAGATTTTCCCAACGTTTCTCTATTACAAACCACGCATTAGGAAATTTGTCGAGGTATTGGCCGAATGCCCGACCATCGTAATGCGCTCCTCGTAGACATAAATTTAATCCGAGATCAGTGAACCTTTCCTTCCTCAATTCCGGCCGAACGAAGGCCATGTTCACCTTGTCCAAATTGGCCACGTCCCTAATCATCAAAATCTCCCTTTTCACTGTGCTGTGCCTGTAGCAATATCCGTCCAACTATAAATATTATAATTTTATAATTAGAGATGATTTCAACAAAATAATGACAAAATAATGACCTACATAATTCTTATCAGGACAATTTTCCACCCTGCATTTGGATCCGACAGAGGTCTTCCACCCAAATTTCTCTCCCTCCTTCTTGACTTTATAATACAATCTCCCCCCAACATACTTCACTCCCACTTGTTGATTGTCGTGAAGAAACGTTACACCGGGTGGAGACGCCGCTTTCCATGGGTCACTCTTCTCAAACTGTTTGAAATGTTTATTCCATAATTCCATGAGATCCTTGTACTCGGCAGTTGACTCGACAGTCTCCAAGGTGAACTCAATCAAGGGATATTTCTCCTGGAGGTGGTTAAAAATTGACATCCGTACTGTGAAGAGGGGAGATTGGGTGTGTCGGCTCGGTGTGGGCAAAATAGCGGATGAGGAGGGGTGGGTGGACCTACAAGTTAAATTATTTGTATATATTAATTTGAGGAATTGCATAATCAGAAGAGGATGAGGAAAACAACCATTACCCTCGCTAAACAAATTCTCAAACTCTTCCTGCGAGTTGAGAAATCCAACCTCATCGTCATCACTCAAAATGAGCCTGCTTCTCCAATCAACCGAAGTTTCCCGTTGTGGTGGGGTGACCTTGACGGAAGGTTTTGCTTTCTTCACGGGGGGTTGTTCTGCTGGCGAGGGAGGAGGAGAGTCAACGGCGCTGCTGGTACAGGCAGTAGTACTTGAGGTCGAGGGGGTGGCGCTTAGCCGAATCACGAATTTATCCATAATTAAAACTGACTATGAAACTAACTAAGTTTATATTTTTTTGTTGAGAGATAAAATAAGAAACTCCGACAATGTGATTGAGAGAAGATGAAAATGTGGAGTTTGTATGAAGTGGGAAATCAAGTGTATGAAGCGGGGTAACTTGACAGTAATAATGATTTATTTTAATCAGTCTGAGAAACGCCATGCCACGTTGGACGCCAAAAGCACAGACACCTACCAAAGAACCAAAAAGGCACGGGAGGAACGGGAACGTCATAAACAGCATGAACCTGACGCTGACAAATTGAGGGCGCAAAGGCTTGCTGAAGACAAGAATTATCAAGGTATGCGTCCTCTCACTCTGTTCTGATTAGACACCTAAAATGTAATGCCAATGTAATGTCGCAGTCGATCTTTGGTTTCGGTTGTAGTAAATTTGGGGACTGTGTTGTGTTAGTTTTTGGCGACGCGTTACTTAAAGACCATCACTGCTTCCCATTTATAGATTTATGAATTGATTATACCGTAGTACAAATCTTTACCGTAATGTAATGGGATCGTTTCGCAGCTTATTATTTACCTCGATACACGATACGCAGAAAGTACGGAGAAGTAGAATGACTTATTATCTAGGAGAACCACAGACAGCTACAAGTAAATATTTTTACAAACATTACTTTAACAAAACTAACCGTTCTCTCACTTTCATTTTTTTATCGGGATAAAACTTGGAGAGCGTATTAAAAATATTTAGACTACGACAGCTCAGGAACTGTTTTATCTACTTAAAACTTATCCCTGGCTCCAATTAAAACCAAATCGGCAGTTGGGATGCATTCTCATTTTGGATAAACATGTATGGGAAACACTCTGAATTAGATCAATGGGCTCGACGTGGAATAAAGCGACCTTTCAGTTCTTCAACTGAGGATGAATTGGCCAGCACGAGTCCTCGGAATAGCGCCCCCACGTCCCCCGCTGCAGCCGACGAATACAGCCTGAGTCCACGCGTCCACTGGACAGCACAATTGTCCAACAAGGTTCAACTCAACAAGGGGAAGCCGGGCGACCGTTTGGGACTTGGGGACCAGCTCCTTCAACTTCTCCATCACTGGGGGCAGAAAAGAAGTGCGTTCCAACGGTTCCAAAATTGTCTTGCATGCAGAAGGGTTAAACTTCACGGTGGCGGTGATGCATGTTACAAAAGTAAAACTTTCTTCATATGTGAATAGCAGTTCTGTCTTCTCTGTACTTTCTGACGTTCTTCTTCATCTCACAGTACTCACAAAGAATAATCCTCAATACATTTTCATTTTTCGTTACTTTTTGACCTCTGTCACATTTCCTTTATTCACAGCTTATTGGCATTGGCTTCACTGGTCACTTGTAGTATTAATTATTATTTATTATATTGTGGGTGTTGCAGTCTTGTTCCGTTTTGCACTCATGTGTTGTATATGACGATTATTTTATGTATAGACCGTATTGGATTGGCTGGAATATGTAGTATGACCTTTCCCCGTTAAACTTTGAATTTTCACTACTAGCATGTTTTGTCACACGTTAAACGATTTTATTTGCTTAACACAGCACCGTTTAATAGCATGACGTTATACTTATAGCTTTTGTTAAATATATTTAAATGTAATTGACGGATTTTCACAGTTAATCGACAAGAAGGTATTGGAGGTCTTGCTCGCGTGAATTCTGCGGATTCCTTGGTTGACTCGCTAAAAATGTCTGCCCCGATGCATCCTGCTGTTCAACGTGACCGACGCTCGAAAGGGATAAAGGATATCGGGCCATCACTGGGGATGAAGAAATCCTCTAGCTTGGAATCCCTTCAGACCATGGTGCAAGAGATTGTGATTCAAGAAGATATGAAGTTCGGCAACGTTCCGCCAAGATCTGGTCCTCAAACTAAAGTCATTCGAGGTCGTGGCTGCAATGAGAGCTTTCGACAAGCCGTCGACCGAAGTTATGAGGCACCATTGAGTGGCCTTGATAGTCAAATGGAAACACGTAAGTATTGCACTATAATTGTATTTGGTATTAATCTGAACCATTACTTATTCTGTTACTATAAAGTGGCGGAAGAAGAAACTGAATCCTGTATATCGGGCGCACCCTCGTCGGGAAGGAATAATATGAGAATGGATCTGGGCGACGTTGAAAAACCCACAAAAAAGAAACCAGGACTTTTTCGAGGACTGGGGTCAATGTTTCGATTTGGGCGTCATCGAAAGCCTACTGCCTCCATGATGAAGGGTCAAAGTGGAGATTGGGATGGTCAAGATAAGGGTGGGCATTATGGCTCAAATATCGATCCCGTTCAGGTAAAGCACATTCCACCTGTCATTCATTTGATTGTGCCAACAATTAAATGCTTGAAATGATTGATCAAATGTGAATATAACTTTAGGCTAAACAATGAATGCAACTTGAATATGTATAACAGGAGCAGTATAGAAGGTTGGCTGAAAAACGGGACGCTCGGAGCAACGCGTATGGAACAACTACAAATTCCAATGACTACATTGATGAACGACAACTCCAGCCGAGCAGAACATCCAACCACTACAGTACCGGAAGTGGGAGCATGCGAGTTAAAAAGCAGAGCAGGAAACCCGTGGAAATTTCTGAGCAAGATATCAATGGGAACCCTAGGAATCCTAGTTCACACCTCCGATCAGCAAGTTACGACGTGTACAATGAAATAAATAATCGGCCAGGAAGTCGGGTTGGATTTGTCGACCCAAAGAAATCGTCATCCCATTACATCAATTATGATGAAATCAAACAACATCTAAAGTAAGCAGATTTATATGATAAATTTTTGAAGAGTAACAGACCTGAAGAGTAACAGAATCAGTACCTGCAGTTGTTGTACCTACATATTTGTTCATTTATTGTATATCTTCCAACTATTTTCTAATAGTATGAGAGTGATCTTCCTCAAAAGTGGATGTATGTATTTACGTGTGATGCAGTGACTGCTTATTTGTAACATGTCCCACTAATACTTGTTCATAGCGAGCCTCCTGGTGGAAGAAATTTCGGGAATACGCAAGGGATAACTGATGTGCAATTACTTCAAATGCGAAACACGGTTGTGGAACAGAGAAAAAAGGCAATTTTGGAAAGGTTGGTTTTAGTACCCTTCCAAGGATTGCCTCTCTTTGCGTTGCGTTGCCGCATTCTTTCCGAAATGGAATGGCCTGCTTATTCATGAATATATATTTACGCCATTGTGTGCTTCAGTGTTATAGGAAGTTTGTTTAATTTTATTTTTTGCTACAATCACTTTATTTGTTTATTCACTTATCACAAGTATAATTACTAAATCATAAAGAAAACACGACTATGAATAAGCTTAACTAGGTGCACGCATAGTGAATGTGTTTCAAAATTTGCAAGACTACCATGTTTAAAACACGGTGTTTAGCCAATTTCTTTATTAATTTAGAAAACTGCGCACGATTCAATGCATTATTGTTGCAAAAATTATTTATTCAAATAATTTCAAAATGCCTAATTCTCATCGTTTCACTTGTCTCCTCATATCTAACAAGATTTGTTATTTTCAGTCGGAGACATCAACAACATTACCATTCTCAGCGTCGCGATAGCCCTCGAGAACGTCACGATCGACCAGTGTCCAATTTTTACGAGTATGAAAGTGTTCAAGCAGCGATGCATTCACAGCAACAACAACCGCACAACCAAGTGCATAATCAAGTACAGGTCCAAGGAGGAATGCCCGTCAGTCAGCATGGCCACTATGGTCAAATGAACACCGTGGCCATTCAACAGCAGCATCTGCAACATCAGAGCAAGAGAAACAACAACAATGGAATAACTCTTCCAAGTCCAACAGTGCCTTTGTCGATGGGTGTGATGAGGAAGCAAGTGTCTGGTTCCCAGTTCCAAGCTGTGCCCTCCTTCCAACAGAATCAACCTGTTGGGCGTGACACTGGTCGAGGGGGGACTTCTTCCAACCACACAAATAACGTATGCACCTTTAGCGGGCAATCACAATCACAACGCCAGACCACACAACCTAACCTACATCAAAATTCCTTGCCCCGGCGACACCACAAAGGTAATGTCTATAATAATAATCGAGGCACTACACAATTTCATTGTGTATGCTTCCAAATACTTTAATATTTAGGATGATGACTAATAAATGAAATGTTATTTCATTTGAATTTCAGATCCCATGAATTACAATCAACCACAAACCTCGAGTCATTCCACGTCACAACATAGGCAAACTCTTCAATCCCATCAATTCCCTTCGTCCTCATCCACAGGAGGTCGTTATGCTATAGGCCCTCCACAAGGGTCGTACTCACACCCCCAACAGCAACAACTCCACAACCAAAATCAAAACTATGGTTATCATCATCCACAGAATCATCAAGTAACTCAGCCGCAGTCAAGTTCCACGCTGCGAGTAGTAACGCCTCAGCAGCATTCCAATAACATTTCGAACGGTGGTGGGTCGTACTCTTCTACCTCAATGTCTGTCGGATCAAAAGTATGAGTCTTACTGGTCGTATAATAATTTTTACAATACTTAACCCTGGTGATTTTGAAGATTAGAGTCATGTGTAAATGAAAGAGAGTCGTGATGATTTAATTATCCTTCGAAACAAAAATAAGTCAGCTATGATTCAATAACGATAATAGCTCAGATGACAATGATTGTATATTTAAATGACACGTTTTTGTACTTTCCATTATTCATGATTATGGAAATTTTGGATCTCATAATTTTAAGGCCGCCGTCCAATATACATAAGTGTATACATATATATTCATTCCTTCGATATGATATGCAAATTTATTGTGGTCTAGCCAAACTAATTAATGTATAGAATTATTAAGATGATATACAAATATCATAAAAGTTGGGCATCGCCCAAGTACGCGTATGTAATAAGCACATGTTCAATGCACGAAAATGGCTTTTCTACAACGTTCTTTTTGGATTCTTTACTTACTTTGACTGTTTTTCTACTCAAACTTTTTGATGAGTTTCAGTTTTTTAAACTTTTTGTTTAAAGACAATCGGTGGGAATTTCTGCAACAAGCTTCCCATCCAAATTTTTTTCGGTACAAGGTAATCCTATAAATCCCGGTTTATTTATTTTATCGTCCTGTCGAGTGATTTTTTCGCATGTTGCAAAAAATTGCAATATGCAAGTGCCAATTGGTCGAATATGTATGATCAGCGCATCTCGGTATTTTTACCAGCCATGAATATTTAATTGATACTGAATAAAAAATTACTTGCAGACTCAATTGTCGAAACATAATTAATTTAATGTTTATTGATTCATAAAATTAATGGCATTGGTTGCAAACTTCATTTGGAGTCAAGCTCAGTATTGTTGAGCTATAGTCATCAATCATATAAATTATAGGCAGTTCTTGAGATCAACTGTTGACTATTGCATCTTTGCATGCCCACAGTTTAAATTAATTATTAGCACCACTTGCATAGATTTATAGGTTGAGTAGGATACTCACTTCCTCCTTATTTGGAAGAGACGAACAAACGAAATCTTATTCTATGAGTGAACACATTCGAAGCTGAGGAGCAATAAGTTACTACCTATTCCGAAACTAACAGTAACATTTTAATAATGCGTATACTTTCACTACTAATATTATGTACTTGTTCACTGACTTGGATGTCATGTACTTGAAAATGTATACAAAATTCAGTTAATTTAAATAATAATTCATGGATTCTAAGGACAGTCAGTCAATATTTTTGAAAAACATTAGTTAATAACATGAAAAAATACTGCTAATTCTATTTCTTTTGGACGGCGTGAGTTTCTGAGGCTAAAATACTGTGATGAAATTGGATAAGGTAGTCAGTCATTCAGTCATTGTCAATACTTGGACTCCAGTTTCCAATGCTGGTTCACATCGCCAAGATTCTCTTCGACTAATGAAATTTGATTCCCCACCCTGAACACCAAAGTATATCATGTTTTGAGTAGATTTGGTATTATCTCGTAGATACATAAATATCATCCTATTTTATTATTATTGCATTCACCCCATGTTCCGAAGGCACATTTGTGAGTCAGCATTAGGTCGAATTACACAAATTTTGCTGTTTGGATGAATTTCCTCAGCAAACCATGTCTGAAATGGCCTGTTTTCCCAAGCCTATTATATATAACGCGTGTAATAGTAACATCATGCAAAGTGTATAATACTTAAATAAGTTTATTACATAAGACGTTTGATTAAATAACTTTACTCACACTTTGGAACAACAGGCGGTCAGAAGGTTCGCAATCCCAAGCTAATGACATGCTTTCATCCAATAACGAGGACAATCTAAATTCACCAGGTCCTAAAAATATATTTAAGGTCAATAATTACACGTAGATCTCAGATTGATAGCTAAATTAAACATGACATAGTATGTACTTACGAACTAAGAGTGCTTTGAATTTCTGACTTTGAGCATTTGACCACTTTTTCGCAACCACGGGAGGATTGTTGCTGTTGCTTGCACTTCCGCTGATAGCTTCAATCACCTAGATAATGGACAATTTTTGATATTAATTAACTAGACAAACCAAACACAAAATCGTATGATTAGTCATATCAGCTACTATTTAATTCTGTAATTGCAATTAAATACTCACAGTCTTATCCTTCATGGAGACAATTTTGAAAATTTGGTTATGTTGAAATCCTTTGCTCATCTCGGAATCTTTATTCTCCTCTCGCCGACGACGTTTACTGCTACTGGAACCCATTTTTATGGAAAGAAAAATTAATCACAACAAATACTTATTTTGAAATCCACCCAACAATAAAACCTCTCCAGCAGCCAGAGAAATCAGGTGAGTTTATTATCAAAAGAGCCAGCCCTAGCCCAACCAAGAACTCACTTTTTTGTAACTTTTCTTGTATCACCTCTTCTTCTTGAGATTGAGATCAGCACGGTTGCGTCACGTTCTTTGTTACCGGCATGGAATAAAAATCATCTACAAGCGCAAATGCAAGGTGTTTGTCAAAAAGATATGTGACCCTGCACGGACTGACCTGAAAGAAGAGCAATTAGGAATGAAAGGAAAATATCTGGAGTGTGCCCAGCCCTCAGTTTCCTGTCTCTTGTGTTGTTGTGCATGTGCAATCTCAGTGTGGCCCCGTCGAGAAATTGTCATGCAAAAGGTGGAAGAAAGATAATTTGCAAGCCGACCAGATAAGAAAACCAATCAGAACGTATTATTCATTGTGAATAAGAAGACTTTATTCAGACTTTATGCAGATTAGTTCATTTAATATGCATTTCTCGCACTACTAGCGATACCGACAGCATTGATATTGATTCCATCCCAGAATACAATTTCCCCGACTGGCAAGGGCCGTCGTGTAAGGGAGCGGACACTTTTGACGACCTCCGCTCAATATCCTCTGACACTTTGTCCAGTAGCACGTCTGAGAGTAGTGAGGGTCGTGACCTGGCACATTCAATGTCCATTTTAAGATAAGTACAACTTGTGAACATATATTCATATCATGATGAATGCCTTTACCTTGGACAATAACGAACAGCGTCAGAATCGCGGCCAACCCCACAAATATGATAAGTGATTTAACAGCAGACATGATGCTGATAATGGTCTTTATGTATATTTTTAGAGGAAAGTGATGATATTGGAATATGGCCTACTCTAAATTAATCGGAATGAATGATGACATGGGATGAACTGTGAGATGCTTTTATACGTGTCGTATTTAAATATTGACCTTTTTGCTAAGAAAATTTAAAATTGAAGAAAATGGTGAATCATTTGATAGTCAAGATTTCTTTTACTTTGAAACTAAAAAATTTGGGTAGTACGACAAACAGAATATGCATGCAAGTAAATATTTGCATGGGTTCTTGGAAGAGCAAATGAGACTCAATGACTCCAGCTCCAGCAATTATGTGCTCGTCAATTCTACTGATTCTGTAAGTTGATAGGAATATTGGCAGCATATTTGCAAGCCAAACATCATGTATTCTCAAGTTAAGCAAAGATACTTGATTCTTGTTGTACGGGTTTTAGTATATGAATACTGAGAAACGGACGCGTCTGAAATATGCATAACATTTACTTTTATTCTGTGAAGGACTCGAGTCAGGGGTAAAATTTTCAGGTATTAACATCATTGATTGGTAAACATTTATATTTTGATTCATCTAGACAATTCTCTCGATTTGTTCTAAAATTTAACGTACGCGAATGTATATTGCTATACCATGTGGTTTGACTATTCTGTTACTTGATTATTACTGAATTAACATTTTTATAAAATTTGTAAAAATAAGGAATGGGTATCAAAACAACGGGATTAAGTAGAAATAATTTACACGGTCTCAGGAAGATGGTGAAGGGTTGGTTAAAAGCTGAAAAGGAAACATTCCGTAGTTGCCGAAATCACAATTATTGATTGTTTCCTCGTGGACTAGCACCGTAGTGGGTGGTGAACAAGTGGGGAGAAGGAAGTTTATATGCTATATCATTTTCTTGGCCTTGTTTTCTTCCAGCAGATACTTGCAATCATCAATTAAGAAACTAAAACAAATTGAGAATTACAATTGTATTAATAACTGACTCATTATTTACAGTAGTGAATACATAGTTCTAACTTCTAGTAAATATGTGTTTAGATATTGCAAACATACCTGTACCAAATCAAGGTAATGGGTGCAGTGACAAGATGCCACAATGCGTGGGCGTCTATTGCCCAATAAAATGGTGGAAAATCGAGAATCTCCAAGCACAATGATAAAACTGCCAATGCCACAAAAACTGCACATTTCCACACATGCTGATGAGTTTTCCGGTTTAACCCACTCCAGAATAGCCAGCACGCCGCATTAAGTACTCCTGTGTAACGAACAATTCTTTTTAATAGTATCTTTTTATAGTGATGACCATAATGTGTGTGAATAATACCCATCGCAATATTTGCCTTCATATTATATCCATAGTCGAAATGTACAAACGTCAAGTAGTGAACATGGTAAGCACAAAACGATAGAATTAGCACGCCTGTTGTGATCACTGTAAATAAGAAGCTTGTTAAAGTTGATTCGAAATCAAAATGAAATTATCATGTAAGAGTGGACTTTTCAGAGTCTCATATAGTCTAAGAGTGGACACCACAAACCCGAACTCGGGCTAAAAATGTATAAATTTTCTCACCTTGAAGACACATCCACTTTTGTGACAACCTTAAGTATAAGATCGTGAAAGAATAATACGAATAAAATTTCAAATTGAAGTATAATAATTATGTGCTAAAAACTGACCTGACGAAGACAGCAAAGAATGAGAATGCATTCATAGAGAATGCGCTGAAAGCGAAAAATTAGGCATTAATTAGTCAATTGAAAGTCGGATCGGAAGCATGTCAAGATGATGCAGATAAAGTAGAAGTGTGCAAATAATTTTTATACTAATCTACCGGCTCTACGCACTGACCTTAGGTAGTCCATTATCTCGGTAATGGGAAAATCTCTCGTGTGGAAGACAATGGACCACACCCACCCGTTGATACACACAGCACCAAAAATATACCAAAGGCTGAGCAATGGAGCATTCTTGGGGACATTGCATCTCAGCCTCAACAGACCCGTGGCGTGACCAAGCAAGTTGAAAAGGGAAAATAGCACCGACGCTGGTTCTTGAATCCCCCATAGCCTCGTGAAGGGCCACTGCAATTATTTAGGAATTGCCTGAAACTGTCCCCGTGTGAGTAATTTTGATGTATTTTCAAGTTGCATACCTTCCCAAAAAACTGGGGAACGGGGATTTGGTGTTGTTGGAACGCCACGACCTGTGTTATTATTAAAATTTGTTGAAATAAATAGAATAACTAATAATTCAGATCGTTTAGTTTGCTCACTGTTTGCCACATGCAGTTATATTTGCACTCATCGTCGCTATTAAAAACAAGCAATTTGTTCATATAAACATTTGTATAAATCTAAATATAATATGTACATATCTGATTTCTGTTTTACCAAAACCACATTAACTTTCGTAAGTGCTCCAGTTGGTTCTTATACTCTGAAAGTATCATTATAATGCTTACTAATTAATAACAAGTTCTTGTAGGTACGAAAGAATAATATAGCGAGATTGGATCAGTGGGCGTGGTGTTTACTCACCATTTCCCTCGCACTGCTGGTCTTTGCACTTCTTCATACAGTTGTGAAACGTGTAGTCCCGGTCGCCTCTGGAGGCAGTGGTGACATCGGTGAGGGCGACGAGGGAGAGCAGCAGAAGGACCACACCCACCAGGCCTGAAGACCACCGCCGCATTCTCACAGCTGGCCCACGGGGGGAATTGGGTGAGGGAGGAGGACGTCAGTCGGTCGGTAGTACTGGAGAAAGGTCTGCTAGGTCATAATTCCATCAGCAGTAGCAGGGCAGCAAGGTGTAGGTGAAAGTCAGAATAAAGTGATGTTGACAGTCTGGGTCTGTTGTTGCTCGGATTTTTCCCGGCCACGAATGCGCCACCACCACCACCACTTTCTCCATCGATCGCCTGGAAGCTGAAAAAACAAAGGATTTCTAGGCTTTCTTCACTTTCTACACCAAACACGCTCCGCATAGAAAAATGCAATACTCTCGATGTATTTTTGATATCATGAATGGACACTATTTAGACATTATTTATAAGTTTATTATACATGATATAATATATTCATATGACTAATAATATGTAATTGATGTAAATATTTAAGACAAGTTTTTTTGTCAGATGGGTATAGTAAAACTGAAAAATATATACTGAAAATCAAACACACGTTGATAATGAAGTCGTTTTGAATTTGGATAGACATTTACACCTCCCAGGTAAGTGCTTGTTGCGCAATTTGCACATGGCATTCTTGACACAGGAGCTGTCTTTCCAACATAATGACTGGACGGGTTTGGCACATTTTTTTGTCTCGTCCTCATACACGTCGACCTCGTTGGGGCAGTCACACCGACCTGAGACGCACTGGAGGGGCGAGGCACACTGGTCCTTCTTGTCCTTGGAGGACGTGTCGCAGTCGGCTCCGCGGGGGAGAGAACAGATTCCCTTCTTCGTCGGCAAGAAGGTCTCTCCACACTCGCAGACCCCAGGGACACCTTTCCCATTTATGAGGGGTGTCATAAATACCCTCGTATTAATCGTAAGTGGGACGCACTCGGCGTACGGGATGCACTTGATTATTGGAAAACTATCTGGGTTGAACTTGGAGTTGTGTGTACCGTTGCGGAACGAAGAGTCAGCCGAGTCACTGTGAGAAGCGATAATGCAAGGTCCACCAACCTTACTCACACAAACTCTACGGTCGTGGTCATAAATTTGATAATCTGGATTCTTGCACCTGTCCGGAAAAAATAATAAAAACGATTTGTTAGGATTATGTAGATTAGAAGCACATATGTGTGTACGCATACATATTTACGAACCTGCATTTACCATCCAAACATCTCAAATTATTGACTTTTTCATCCCCACAGTCCCCTCGAAACCGACCACAGGGTTTTCCATATTTGTGTCTTACAGGGTCGCACAGCAAGGTCCCATTTGCAGCTTCCATCTCCTTAAATTTGCATCTGCAAATCCCAGACTTACACTTGTGATTTTCTGTACATTCTCGATAAATATTGGCACACTCGGTATTGGGAAGACCCACGCAACGTTCCGTGTCAATATTGTAGCGAGTAACCGTCTTATCACAATTGCATATCCCCATGTCCTTGTTACATACTAATCCCTTCCGGTTGTTACATTGTTCATCTCGCTCGCATTTCTGGAGATAGTCTCGACGTCGGACACATAATCCAGTGACTTCATCCGGGTAGAAGGATGACCAACAGGCACAAGTGGAATTTGCATTTCCTTTGTCATCGTCGCGTTCACAAGTGCTAAACATGACACACTGGCCGATCTTCTTGGTTGGAGAAACTGAGGCTTCGCTAATATGGTGAACGCATGGATGACCGGCTTTTCCCACGCAGATGCCTTTTGCAGGTAGGAACGTCATAGACAGTGGATTGGCACAGTCGCAGGTACTAAATTATAGCGATCAAGACATTATCACATAAATTCAAAGTTACAAGTATGAATTAATTGTATCTTGGAGGTGCTCACCTATTAATGCATGCAAGCGTTTCCTTCATATCACAAAGTTGACTTTCCGTATCTGAGGAGCAGTTCTCGCCATAGTGTCGAAAATTTACAACGTTGTCCTCCAAATAAATAAATGTCGTTGTGATCGTCGTTTCACACACAATTATTGCAATTTGTAGTGAGACACAAAATAAGATTGCACAAATTGCAAATAGTTGATTTATTGTGATCATGATTATTTGTGCACGTTATGTAGATTTTTAAAAATAAATGCAAAATAAGAACTACACAGATAGTTCACCAAAGTTGCAATATTGATTATGACAGGAGGAAATAATTTTACTTGCTCGGTTTTATAGACACATTATTCTCATTCCGTTTCTTTAAAAATAAACCGTTGCAAACGAAATGTAGCAAAGGGGTGAAAACACACGGAATTGTCTTTGTGGCACGCCCACAACGTCTTTCTGCACTTTCGTGTCATTGTCTCACATTACCCCACGTCTCATTTTGCCCCGTTTTGACACCCCCACCCGCGTACTTCAAACGTACATGACAATACCTTTCAATAGACACCCCACATGACAAAAGTCATTTTTCGACATTCGACGCCTCCCACACGGTCATGGAGTCGTCGCACGTCAAAATGATGGCGATTTCTGAAATCCCCGCCAAAAAAATACGTCCAAAACTGTGGCAACAAAAAATTCGACAATTTTCGACTTTGGCGTCGTCTACACGGTCACACGGTCGTCGCACGTCGAAATGATGGTGATTTCTGAAATCCCCATCCAAAAATACGTCTAAAACGGTGGAAACAAAAAATTCGACACCTGACCGTTGGCGTCATCACCGTGGCGCCGTGACCTTACGACCTACAACGCCCATCTTCGAACTCATCCCGTCCCCAAAAATTAGAAACACGTTGGCGAAAACCGGATGTCGAAATTCGAATCCCTTCTAAAGTTATGGTGGATACGGACAGACAGACAGACAGACAGACAGACGGACAGACAAGACATTTCCATAAAGGGGTTTTCACCCCTTAATAAATGAAAATGCCAAATCGAGGTGAATCTGAGATGAGACCTAGTTTTGAAATGTGTTTTGCTTTTTAGTTGGTCTGCGGCATAAAAAGCATAAGCAAGCACACAAAAGCATTACATGTATCACTTTAATTTTTTGCATGCTCGCTTGTTCACTGCATGTATGGATTAGTTTTATTTAGTTTGTAAGTTACAAATTGTAACTTTGTAACAGGAATCATTACATCTCGAAACCAGTTTTGTTTGTTGTATCTGACTGAATAAGAATCATAACACACAGATACAGAATTTGGCATATTACTTGCACTACTACTTATATCTTGCAGTTGCAGTGCTATTATTATAATTTGTTATTGAAACTTAAAGAAGAGCAGAGAGTTGGGTTAATGTTTTGTGCAATTTTCCTGTTTTTACGGAAAATAAAAAATACAGTACACATTCAACATAATTTACAAATTCTTTATTTTATTTATGAAATGGATAAATCTGTTGGTGATATTCCCGATGAATTTTTGGCAAATGGGTCTCATCAAATCCAGTAGAAATGGAGTTTTCGGTGGAACCAATTCCAGAGTGGCTTGGCGTGTCTGGGAAACATTCGCCTCGCAAAGTGGGGAGGAAACCAAAATTGCATTTACAACGAGAGTTGTGACATTCCGAATTTGAAACACATTCAGAGTTTCCAACTGAACAAATTGATCCAACAATTCGACGACAGATTTTCATTGCAGGGTCGTAAATATCATTTCCGTTCTAATACAATTACAACGAAAAAGACATTTAGTTGCAAGTTATGAATTCGTCTAACGCATACATACTAAATACATACATCTACGTAATCTACATACATACATCTACATATACGTAATCAAAGGATGTTACCTGACATTCACATTTCATGTTCTTGCACACCAAGGGTTCCGCGCATTCCTGAACATTTTGTCCAGGCACTGCACACGTTGATCCGTGTGAGAGTCTGCAGTGGCCTGAAAGCGTCTCCACAAAACCTTGAACGCATTCACACTGGCTCAACGGAGATAGGTCACGTCGAACACACTCGGCATTTTGTACACAATTTTTGAGTTTGAGAGACTGTTGCGTGCTGGAGGGGAGGAAAAGGTGACACAAACCACCCACGAGGGAGAGGCAGTTTCCAGTGACGTTGTCGAAAACTTCGTACGAGGGGTTTTTACACCTGGAATGATTTTAGCTTTACGGAAATACTGCGTAAGAATAATTCTAGATAATAAAAAATATCACCTGCATTCTCCATTGACACAGGCAAAGTAAATGTCACTGCAGGACTCAGCCTGATCTCCATCGACCCCACAAGGTTTCGAGTAGGACAGACCACAGGTTTTCGCCGCTGTTGCGCTGTAACCAATATTACACGCGCATTTCCCATTCAGACATTCAGAATTCTGAACGCAGTCCTTGGTTCGTGCACAGGCGTCGCCAATTTTACGACGACAAATTTGATGATACTCGTCAAAGGTGGATAGCCTACAGGAGCATAGCCCTTCCACGCAGGAGAGGTACTTGAGATCATCACATTCCGTCGAGGCGGCACAAGAGTCGTTGTACGATTTTTTTCGGATACAACTCCCACTATTGCTGTCAGGAAAAGCATGGGCTTCACATTCACAAGTTCTTCGTGACTCGGAACAGTAGGCGTTAGAGACGCACGGATTGTTTTCTCCAAAGAAAAATTTTGGAGGACTGCATCTCTGCCCTTCACGAATAGCACACTGTTCTCGAACACTGTCATAAATCTCGTACTCGGACGAACAACGACAAATCCCTTCCACGCACGACAACTTGGAATTGGCGTCACACTGACTTGGGTACAAGCAGTGATCCCCGTAATGACCTGGCGTATAACTAATTGATAGTCCTTCTTGGTGACTAACTTGAGCATTCCCAATACGAAATTGTAGGATTGTAATTACCGCAATAAGTATTAGAATCTTATATTTTCCAGTCATGTTGACAAATTATGCTAAACTGGATTTATTATTCCAGGTTTTGGTAGATTTTTTAGGTTTAACCTAGCCAATAATGGGCGAATCGCATTTAGAAACAAATCAGAACTGAATGAAACTAATAGTAAGTCACGCTATGTAACAGAAATGTCGGGAGGAAACTAAAAAATCTGATACGGTTGGAATCAAAGTTGTTCATCAAGCTCAGAAAGTGAGAGCTATGTACATATGTACATGCTTATTGCATGACATGATAAAACAAGGACAATCGATGAATGTTAATTAACAACACTATGATGGAAACACTAACAGTGGCACAATGATTTTAATAGTAATTTTAAAACAGAATAAGGATGTTTACCTTGAAATGAAACTGAACATATACTGTAAATGAATAGACAGATTGCAATAAAAGTGAAAAGAGATGCCAGGAAAAAAATGTAGCATTATTTTACATGTAAGCAATAGTATCATCATTATTGTTGCATTACACTCTTTTTTCAGCCAAGGTATGTAAAAGATGTGCATTGTTTAATAGTGTTAATAAGTAGAGGAAATGATGACGATATCTAACAATCTGAATTATACATAAATACGTACGCTTTTTCCCACGATAGTGATGCTATTGTAAGACCCTCTTTGCTTTGTTTGCTTTATCAAGGCATTATTTAAATAAACCAACCAACCCAATAATAGTTTCCCCATTTTGTTCTATTTGTGAGTAATCAATCAATTGTTAATAAATGATGTTTAATAAATAACCACTCTATGCATTCATTCATTATTCGGGATGCTGACTGAATTGAATTAAAAGTGTCACAATCTCAGTTTGAAATTTTCGAATATACTTGAAGATATTGCCGATCTATTACTGATTGATAAGCAAATATTTCATAGACATGAATGACACGGCGAGGCTCGTCTGACCACTCTGACCTTTAAAATACACTTAAAATACACTTTATTGATGCAGTCTGGTCTCGAGTCTATGGAGCCGGATGCCCCGAAGTTTGGCGGTCTCAGAATCCCAAGCTTGAATCCTGTGTCGCCTCTTCGCTCCTGATTTTCACTTTGTGCCGCAGAAAGAAACGCAGTTTTCACGTTTTGTAGTTCGTGTGGCCCTCTTCACTTTTGATCTTACCTTCATTCAAGCTGCACATTTTTTCTTTCCTATTCTTTGTCAATAATAAATTAAAGAAGTTAAACTCCTCTAGATTAATAATAATAAAAACGAACCAAGGGCCTCGTGGGCTGGTTCGGTTGAGAAGGATCTATTGAGGAGGTAAAATTCCCTTTGTCCGTTTTTTTTATTTATTCGAAGTTGGCTCATTCCGCAGACTGGAATTTCCAGTCCCTTCACAGTATATAATTATTTGGGCCTCTTAGAATATAATGAAACTGGAAAGCGACATGAGTAGCACAAGTAATAACAGCAGCCGCGTGACCCCCGGCAGAGGAGCGACAGGAATGTTCAGCACACCTGTCAAGGACTTTGTAGGTCAAAGTCCCAATGGACTTGGTTCCGCTCCTGGAAAGTATGTTAGGCGTCTAAATGCGATGGAGGAGGAGCTGAATGACTGCAAAACCAAATGCGCCTTTTTGGAAAACCGGTTATCTGAATTTGAAGATTGGAAAAGGAAGCTGAACATGTGGCTGCTGGAGAATTTTGGTAAGGAAATTCTATGGAAGTGAAGATTTATCAAAACACTAAATCGACTTATAATTACAGGTGTGACTATTGGCAGTGTTATCAGCAGCAATGGAGATGACAAAAGTATGATGTCCAATGAGCAACCTACAAATGGTATGCACATATTTCATATACTATGTAGCTGTAACGGTCAAACTTAATATTTGTATTCAAGTAATGTAATACTCGTGGTCACAATTTTTGTTATTGTGTATGTGCAGGTGTACAATTTCCCGTGGCTCCAATGCTGATCCCCAAGTCAGAAGAGGTGGATAGCACAATTTCTGTTGACGAATCGACGCACAAAACCCCAAAGATCAAATGGAAAAGTAATGATAAAAGCATTATTAATTCTGTGTTCAACTTATACTCATATTAAACTAGCCATTATTGTCCCTGATTTTTTTAGTCGCAGCACCAGCCTCTAAAAAACGAAATCCGACTGTTAAGGCACCTGCGAAAAAAGTGCACAATGATACAGCTAACAGTAGCCGAAAGAAAACCAAGGGCGGAAAGATGGGACCATTAGTGGTGTCCACCGTGACGGATTCTTCTAACCGCGCTGGATGTTCATCCTCAACCACCAACCCTGTTGTTGCTACAGGATCTGGAAAGAAGAATCTGTCGAGTATAACTGATACTTTTTTCATTGGCTCCAGCATATCAGTTGAAGTTACTCGAACGCCTTCGATTTCATTGGAACGTTGTGATAACAAAAGCCAAGGCTTATTATGTTCATCTACAGCTTCTCCGCAGCAGATTGTCTCTACACCTACACCTGACCCCACACCAGTTACCTTACCAGAAGGCAACGTTGATGAATATGATGATGATGATGATGAAGTATCAATTGTATATGGTGAGATGTTCACATTCATTATTATGCCATTTAATTTATGCAGCAGTTCAGTATCCTTGTTACATATTTATAATCTCAAGAAACTGTTTTCTATAGCGTCGCCTCCTGCTTCTGCACGGACTCGGGATTTCGGGAGAATGGTAGAGAACGCCGAACCCTTCAATGTTAACCAGGATGCAAGTCTTTTCGTTCCGGAAACACTCCAACATCATAGTGATAGCGACCCACTGAACATGGACATGTACCAGCTGGAGACAAATGATCCAACACCCTGTGCAGTTTGCGCTGTGGTCGACCCAGAGCCACGCAATGAAATGATATTTTGCGACATGTGCAATGTATGTGTACACCAGGCCTGTTATGGTGTTCCACATCTCCCACCAGGGGGTTGGAAATGTAACCCCTGTGCATTAGGTCTACGACCTTCGGAAATTCAATGTCATTTTTGTCCAGAATTCGGTGGGGCGTTGAAACCTATAAAATCACCGGCAAAGTGCCACTGGGCTCACATGATCTGTGCAATTTGGATTCCAGAAGTAAAGACTGCAAATGAATTGACCCGGGAGCCAATCATCAATCTTAGTATGATTCCCAAGGACAGGTAAATTAAGATGACAAAGAATTGTATATTATATATGCATACATAACAAAGAGGGCAGTATGCTTAATAACTAGTGTCTCGAACTTGTTTAATAGATGGAACTTGAAATGTTCTCTTTGCAAAAATCCTCGAGGGGCTTGCATCCAATGTCAGTTCAATAAGCGTTGCGTCAAAGCCTTCCATGTCACATGTGCTATGAGACATGGCCTTTCGATGAAAGAAGTTGTGGATCCATTGCTCGGGACTCCCATTCTTCAAGCCTACTGTAAAGGACACACCTACCCTACAACTCCAAAGAAAAAACAACGAAAAAATGCAAAGCACGGTGATAAGTCGCCATCAAAGAAAAAACGACATTCTTCCACTAAGGAAGGCACTCACATTGGGGAACCTTCAAAAAAGAAATTTATGACATCATCTAATGTCGATGTTGATGCCCAGAATGGCGATGGAAATCTTTTGCATAAGTCGTTCGGCGAATCTCAGGGAATGTAAATATTTTCTTCCTAAAAAGCAAGTTTTCCATCTGTTCTTAGTATGTATGTCTCTGGAGGCCTGTTTGCATTGCAGGCATTAGTTTGAAATGTATTCTTGTCTCACTTATTCTCAATACTTTTTGATTTTCTTTCAACAAAAAACGTGTTATGCAAGTTATTCTTCTTGCGATTGTATTAAATTGTATCCTTCCTAAAAGTGATTGTAATCAGGAAAAGAAAATTATCTCCCTTACTGGTGATGGTGCCAGTGCAAAATTTGTGTATACTTTTAAGTTGTGTTACGTATTGTATGTATCACATATATTCTAATTTATTTAAGCGTCTTGAATCATAAGTTTACAGTGTTTAAATTAGTAAAATTACGTTTTACTTACCCACCTTTTAATTGGTTTAATTAATATGAATGAAATATATTTGATTGAAGTTTCTTGTTACATCTATATTTATACTGTTATTATTTGATTAATTAATATAATGTGCAATTCAACTGCTTCTTTTTTACATTGATTCTGATATTATTAAGAATTTGTACGAAACGAAAGAGTTAATTACTTAAATACACCCGTTGAGACTGCATCGTTCACTGCGTATTACGCACGTAATGAAATCTAAACATAATTATTATAAATTTACTATTCTATGCTGGACATGAACGAGTACTACTAAATTAAATTAAATTTTATATTAATTATATATTTATTCATGAATATTTATACACATGTACGGGTTTCAATTGGCCATTTGAAATGAAATAATAACCACTGCACTGTATGTACTTGAGTGATTGCAGTTTTACAAGAATATTTCAACCGTTGCTTGATTTTCATAGATACCTACATCACATGTGGGCATTGCCTCCAGTTACGGGCGCTGACTGATACTATTTAATATGTGGACGCATCTGCATATGGCACTAATTATCTGTACAGTTGGGGCATGGGGTTAGTGGTGCCATGTAGCCAAGGTTTGCAAGCTAAGAGTGGGACACGGACGGGTGAAGAGAAAGTCGCCTGTTCTACTTTCACCTGGTTTACAAACAAATAAAAAATCAGGCATCAATGCCCAATCTGGTTAGTTAACAACCACGAACGGAGCTACTCAGAGTTCGATTCAGCAATCCATTAAAATAAAATTAGTTGTATGGTCAAAATACACAATACTTGCATACATATATACATACATGAACCAATATATATAGTATGTGGCCACATTTATTTAATTATCAAAAACGAGTCACGAATTGAGTCAAATTTAGATTTGAATCAAATTCTTTCTAAACGTCAAACTCAGGAGGGGAGGTTGTGTACTATCAACTCTCCGATCTCGATGCCCTTTGGATATGTGGTAGTGTCCCATGAATGAACAAGAACCCTGAAGTGGTTTAATGCCATGGCCACATTTGCGCCCGCCACACCCACTCAAAGGTGCCCAAAAATCGCTTTCACTCTAGCTTTCACTCATTCAAAATAACGCCAAAAATCCAATTTTACTCCGATTTTTAAATTTATTTCACCATTATACTCCCAGATAGTTGCTCTCTTATATACAGCATCAAACTCAACTTTTTTGATGATTATCTCGCAGAAATAATTTGTTTTGTTGATTTCCACAACAATGCTCATTCAGAATTTTAAATTTTAAAAATACTAAGAATTCCAAAAAGTTGAATTTGATGTTGCATATAAGAGAGCAACTATCTGGGAGTATAATGGTGAAATAAATTTGAAAATCGGAGTAAAATTGGATTTTTGGCGTTATTTTGAATGAGTGAAAGCTAGAGTGAAAGCGATTTTTGGGCACCTTTGAGTGGGTGTGGCGGGCGCAAATGTGGCCATGGCATTAAACCACTTCAGGGTTCTTGTTCATTCATGGGACACTACCACATATCCAAAGGGCATCGAGATCCGGGAGTTGATAGTACACAACCTCCCCTCCTCAGTGTCGCAATTCTAGTTCCATTCTAGAAACAGGAATAAGTTGAAAAGGCTACGGTGAAAGTACTCCCTCGTGGCTTGTTCCTCTGTCCTCTCTACGCATATGTTAGTTGCACTGATTGACCACCAACAAAGGTAATTTGTCTCATGATTTATGGAACATAGTCGAAAGTCCCATCAGAAGCCAATTTCTCAAATTATATGACTTTCCTGCATGTCATCATGCAAATCATACTTATTAATAATATCTCGGAGAAAATAAATTACCAAAAAGGAGACCAAAGTTTCCCCACAAAACGTAACTGCACGACGCCAGCCTTCGCCTACATACATCTAAACATATATTGATTGCAATATTTATTTGCAGCTCTTGCAAGTCGTGTAACGTGGAGGAGAAAACGTGCAGCATATAAAAAATCCTGCTGCCGTTTGAGCAGTGCTAGCAGCACGGGGAGTAAATTCACAACGGCATGCAACATTTTTTCGGAAGGGGGAATTGATGTGGGTGACTAGGGGTGGATGGATGGATGGATGCGTGACATGAGGAGGGCAGGCTGGATTAGTTCTCTCTCCGATTAAGCAACACGACGATGGAGAAAGCTGAACGAACCGACGACGACGACCAGTTCCAGCCAGAGACGGGACGAGGGCGACAAACGTTGCTGGTCAGTTCCGTCTCCTCTCCGCTTTTCTACACCGTTTCCGGTCCCGAGAAAGTCGGGTCCAAAAAGTACTACGTGGAACAATTGGGCTGCCCCTCCATCATCAAACCCAGCTTCCGTGATCTCGGCCCCGGCTGCACAAGGCTGTGAGTAGTACCGATCGGCTTTATATCGTTCCAATTGTTCCTCTTTTGTTCCAAACCTTTGTACCCCTTGCTCAAACCTCGTTTTTGGTGGAGTGGTGACAATGCACGCAAAAACATTCGTTTCATTTGCCATTGTCCAAATAATGGTTCCTTAATGGGTGGTTGCGTGACCTGTGCCCAACGTGGGTGAAAGTTGGCGCAGTTAGAAACCACATAAGTGCGTAGACACGGTATCAGTGATGAGAGTTCATACAACTTAAATTGCTGTGGGCACTGTATATTTTGCAATCTTGCCTTTTTTGTAGTACTCTAGAATCAAGCAGGAGAGGAAGGACACCAGTTGAGCACATGGAGGAACTGTGAATTTAATGAAACGTGCATTTGAGCTTTCACTCCTCTAACCGAAATATTTACGATGTATAACACGAGCGCTTTTGCGTAACTGCTTACTCTCCTTGTTTGTGCGATTGTTTCATGGCAAATATTGACAAAGTAAACACGTACCACGCATTGCATGGGGACCCAAGTCTAGGAGCAAAAACTTTAGATATGTCAAAAGAATGGAATGCCTGAGTTGCTATTTAGTATATCGATTAAACTTTCACAGTGTACATTGATTAAACACTCGATCCACTGTTCTCAAGTCCTGTTTTGTTTTCGGGATTACAAATGTGTAAATCCTTGTAGGTTGAAAAATCCCTTATTGAGCACAACTTCACTCTCATCAATTACTAATTCACTAGTGACGCAGGAATTAAGTATATTTTTTGTAGCACATACACATAATTGAAGAGAGGAGAAATGGGCACAGGCAAAGTTGATTGGTTCGTAGGATATCGACACACAGTTTTCATCGGTCTTGTTTGACGTTGTGTGTACAGTATTGGAAAGTTCCACATAATATATTAGCGGATCCAATTCCAAATAATCCATAATTGCAGGTCAGCAGTCGGCTTTCCATCCACCTCCTACCGCCAATTCCCATTAGATAAATTGAATAAGACAATAATGGGGAAGTCGCCTCCAGCCGCCGCAACCACTGCCACCGGTTCAAAACGGTAATAATCGTAATAATATTATATCCGTTTTTAACTCCCAAGTTCGTATGCAATGCCCTCAGAACAGATTAATTCTATTTGACACACATATTTATGTGTGTAATCCGAAAGAAAGGAGGGAAAAATTATATGCATATTATAGAATAAATACGCAATCGAATAGTAATGTAATTTTGTCATTTCCGCATACTTTCCAGATTTTCTGTGAACCGAGGAGACAAATTCATGTCTCATCCGGTAAAGGTGAACGCCAAAATCCGGCACATCTACTCCCACATCACGAGCACGATGAGCGAGTCGTCAACTAATTCTCACCAATCTACAGTCTCCACCCACACCCAAACCGATCTTCAAACCGCAACCTCCACCGACTTTGAGAACGAGGACGACAACGATGTACCCCAAATCCTGTCAGTGGACGAAGAGACGTTTGTGGACGCAGAACTCATGAGTAGAGATGCTTTCACCTGCATGACACCCCCACCCACACCCAACAATTCAGTGCAACTTTTCCCTGACGAAATGCTGACACACTCGGTGCCACCCGCGTACGCTGGGAAACTGGCGGATTTGGAGAAAATTACAGGCCACATTGTGATTCAGCGTTTCTTTACCAGGGCTGATGAGGCGTTTGGGATGTGGTTGGAAAAGCAGTTGGGAATGAATGTCAAGTCTGTTGGCGTTGGAGAAGAAGTCGTGTATGACTCCTCGTCTCCTGCCGACGCTGTCCACCCAAACATGGACAAATATGAGACGAGCAGGATTTCCAGTGCAAAGAAGTTGAGAGAAAGTAGGATTCTGGAAAAAATTATCGAAGTTGATGATATTTTGGCTGGAGAGGAAGTCGTTCATCACTCGGAAGGTGTACCCTTGTTGGACCTGGCAGAAAGCAATTTGGATCCAGAAGTAGCTGAGTGCAGTATTGAAGACAGCGTGAGGTGCGAATGTTTCGCAGATGAGTTCAGCGAAAAATGTATAGAGCAAGTAGAAGAAGAAGGCCATGAACAAGTCAGTCTTATCTCTGGCAAGACCATCACCAACAGTAAGGAGTTGACCAATATCGAAGAAGAGGAAATTATTAGTCAGTGCATTGCAGTTGAAATTATACGTGGCAAATTGAAGGATGAGCAATTAGAGACTGAACTGAGATTAGGAGGACGACAAGACAGCCTGGATGACATCATAACACAGCACTCAGTTGTGGATAATAATAATTTCGACAAAAATGAAATCTCAAGTACCACAAATGATAGACCATGCATTCCTGATGTCATTGATGTTTCCCAGTTCTACAACACCAATAGCAGCAATTCAGTCCCTCAACAACTTTCACAGTGTGAAACCGAAACGAACGAGGATTCTGAGGATTTGAAAACTGTCATTTCGAACCCATCCATGACTGAGAGTCAGTTGGAATCACAGCATAAAGTGGCGGAATATTTGGGCAAGTTGGAAATGTCGTCCCCCACCATCCACGACGCATCCACTTCTGCCAACTCCATCAACTCCGAACTTGACAAGGATGACAACTTGGATGGGGAGGACCTCACTTCGTCTGATGTCATCAAAAGGAGTGTCTCCGTTGACAGCTGCATTGGAACAGAGTCCAGTGGTGAGAGAACCGCGTTTAATGATTCAGGAATCCTGTTGGACTCGGCCAGGTTGGACATGGATATTCCGGAAGAAATTGAGGTAATTTTCGTCGCTGACCACAACAATGACAAGATTGCGTCGTCGGAAGGACTAGAGGACGTACACTCTCAAGAAACGGTTCAAGAAACGTTGGAGCCAGAGGAAGTCTCACCAGCTTCGGTTGTTGCAGTGTCTAAACTTACGTCCTCCTCAGCAGTAGTCCTGAGCAACTCTCAATCTGTGGACGATAGCACAAACTACTCTCGATCCGATGGGAGTTCAGCACTGAAACATACCATAAGCGATGAAGGGGGCGATGCTGATCAGTCTGAATCCAACTCTGACTCTGAGTTCAATTCTCTCCGAAAACCTTTGGAAGACACTGCCACGGAATTAGACGATCCAATAAGTGCCGTCATGGTGGATGATGATGATGATGATGGAGAAGGCTCTGCTCAGGATCTTGAGCTTGATCAGTTTGACACAATAATTGAGAATCACGAAAAGGAGAAAAGACTCCGTCCAATTTTCCGGAAGAGAAATGTGTCCACGCAAACTTCAAAGTCCGTCGAGTCTTCGACAGTGTCCTGCACGACGGAGAGCCGATCCACCACGGCCACAACCACTGCGTCGTCCGCATCCTCATTTGATCTTGAGTTTATTTCCAAAACTAAGAAATATATTTCTCACATTCCTTCGTCATCAAAACATCAGCATGAGCAATCTTCTGAGACCTATGCGACGACTGCTGCTGCTGCTGCTTCTGCTGGAGGAGAGGACGTGGAATTGGGAAGGAAACATCGATCCTATTTGCCAACAGGATCCAGCGGTCTCAATATTCTAAACATGAGGTTTACCATGGGTCGAGAATTTGAGTCCGAGGTGAGCATTCGCATCCCCCACCAAAATCCCCCACCGGCTCCATCTCGTCTTCCACGTCCTTCAACTACCTTCAAAACCTCCCCAACACCATCATTCCCTCCTCCTCCACTTCCAGCAAGGCTTACAAATCTAGCAATAAATTCCACACCACTCATTCTCAGACCACATCACAGCTACCAGTCATTGGGGCAAGTCCACATCGCATAGCACGGAAAGGCCATCTCGTAATGTGCTCGGGGGTGCGCCACTGAAACTTGTCCCCCTCCAGCAGGATCCAGAATTACGTAGTTTATGGAAAGACGTAAAGTCCAAGATGGAGAGCCGCGTGCCAGAGACGGCTGATCATCTTGAGGTAACCGGAAGTAGAATCAAGTTGGTGTCCTCCTCGTCTGCAGAAACGACGACGACGACAACATCCACTGCCCTCCATCAACAGATAGCGCAGCATCGCCCTGCTGGTAGTGATGGTCACAAGGATCTTGAAACGAAGCTCCCCGTTTTGATCAGTGCGAATGAGCAGGAGAAACTTAAACGTTCTCTCCAACGGTTGAAAAGAATATTGGACGACGACTGAGTGGCCAATTAAAATTACAAATAATGAATAATTATTATGCCAATTTCAATCAAGCAATAAATCCATAAATTCATTTTATGTCTCGTGCACACTTTCTCATTGCATGATTTTCATGTCGCTATGTGTATGAAATTTGCATATGTACTTACTTGTTACCCGATAGATTTACTAATAAGAAAACGAATGCATTTATTCGTCATCGGTTAAACCATGAGCATGGTCCTGGCAGAAGAATGAGAGAAAGCAGCTTTGAGTCTTTGAGACAAAAGGGGAAGAAAGGAGAAAGTGAAGAAAGTTGTCGCACTTTTCCCAGGAGGAGCGTTTACGCTCTCGCTATTTACTATTTACCTTGCAACCCAACCAAGTCAAACCAGTCAAACTTTGAATTGACAATTTTTTTAAATTTCAACAATTTTTAGCCATCTCTCGTTTATCAAGGACTTTGAATCTTTAGTGCACCCGATCACGGAGTTCTGGGAACTCTGACCAAGAAAGGTGAAAGGTATTGTTCGTATAAACAAATTGCGTGCTTGTTGTTATTGATTGGCATTGTAGATTAGTTTGACAAGTTTAAAAGTGCAATCCAAGATGAAAAATGTTTATAATGTTTTCAGATCTGACAATTTTGACTGAGTATACTGAAGCTTAATCCCGTCAACCAATGGAGTTCCGTCTTGGACTGCTGCAAAACGAAATTGAGCACCTCAACAAAAATATGGGGTATTAAATAATTATTATTCAGTAATTATGCAATCATTTATAAATTATAAACACAGGCTAATGTCAGAAGAATTGATTGTCCTCAAAGAATTCATTCGTCAAGAATTCGGTGAGCTTGAGATATTGCCTCAAAATATAATTACAATTACTCAGGATCTAAAACTGTTTCTTTCGAAAATTATATCAGCTACTAGTTTTGAAGCGTTCAACAACGCAAGGAAAGATAAGCACAGACATCACCATCATAAAATTGCTGCAGAACCATCATCCTCGCATCATAAACAACCTGCATTTCCCGAAATAATAAAAAGTACGACATACTCCGGAGGATGTTCCACAATTTCTAATGGATATAGAGCTAAATTGATGATTGATGTGTTCCAGATGAACCAGCGCTGGACGCATATTATGACGAAAATGACGCTGAATTGGATAATATTGATGAAGATGGTGGTGGTGGAGGTGATAGCGATTTTGAATGTGAGCAAACTAATCTATTTGATACCAAGTAGTATTTGTGATACCGTATTTGATTAAACGTTTATGGAAATAATGAGGAATAAGAATAATTGTTAAGTATTCAATTATTTTGCTTTGCAGTTTATCCAATAAACGAATCCTTCTGTCCCGACGTTGATCCTTTGCAAACCAGTCCCAACAACAGTCCGATCAGGAAAGGAAAACCAAAGGCCCAAATCCACAAATACTTTGAGCATATTTCGATGCCCGATGGAAAAGTGCGTACAAAATGTTTCACATGTCAGGAATATGTTTCCAATCAAGCACAAAGGTTAAAGAAACATTTTGAGAGATGCAGTGGAAAACTAAACATGGACAGCAAAGGTAAAGGTTATAACTTAATATTGGATTAACATTATCAATATAACTTGCTATAACTTAACATTGCCAAAAGTTATCAAGAGAATTACAACAATTGGCTATAAAAGGCCATCTGGGTCATCTGAGAATCCAACAAAAGTGGGAAGAAAATTGGACAGAGTTCGAGAGTTATTCGAAGAACTTCACGACAAAAGTGGATTTATTAAAATGAAATGCCTAAGTTGTGGTCATCTTTCAAGTAATCAAGCTAGCCGGATGAAAAAACACGTTGAAAAATGTGAAGGCCTTGCCAACATTGATCAGCACCGGATATTTACACCATCCGAAAACCATAAAGCATATATTAAACCTTCCACAGTTCCGTCAAGCTCATCAAACATGCAATTGTCTCAAACCATAGAACCCTCACCCCCTCTTGCATCCCATGAAAATGCTACTGTTGCTGTTAATTCAAATCATCTCAATTCTTCTTCGACTAGTGAATCATATTATAAAGGAGAAGAGATCTCACAAGTTATCACTCCGTCGCCATCTCACCCCCAGTCAGTATCAGATGGACAACAATCTGGAACTCTAGATGAAACGGGGCATCATCATCAAGATGCCAATTCTCATTGTGAGATTACGTCTCCTCCTCCTCACCATCCTCGATGAAAATCATCACGCGTCTCGATCTTATCTTGATTAATTATTTATTAGTAATAGTTGTAAATGACAAAGTTGACAAAGGTTGTTTCGTACTTTCGTAATCTCTTTTCGTGAGACAAATACTTATGTATGCAGTGTGTGTTTTTAAGTATTATTATGTTTGATTTTGTGTGTATAGCCTTATGAGCTGATGCTGTATGATGCTTAATGGGTGTGATTTTACTTTTGTAATGGTCTGCTTATCATCATCATTAATTTCATTCCTGATGATGTATGCATGCGTGCATGATTTTGATTTTGAATAGCTACAAATACATTGAAAGCTTGAATAAAATTATTGTTGAAATACTCACATGTTCCTAGAATTAATATCTCATTGGCGCAACTGGGGACATTTCATAAGATGTTCCCCAGCTATTTATACCCTCATGTTGTATGTACTTGTGTGTAATTTCTCTTCTCACAAAATGGTAAATTTCTGGAGGAAGCTGTTCGTGGGGCAAAATGAGAACGAGGCTGCCGCTGGAAAGATGAGATTGCGTGACTCTGGCGAACGCCATCATTCAAAGCTCTCTGTCGTCGTCTGTTATTTGGTTGCTCCAGCACCGACCCTCTTGACATCACATTTAATTTTAATTTCTATGAACGCATAGTTTGAAAACTCATCACAATTAAAATATCCCAGCCTGTGAGTAGAGCTACGAGCTTCCAGGCACAAAACCTCGATTGTTGAAAATCTACACGAGTTTGGCGACAGTTTAGTAGCAAAGTGAAAGCTATCATCAGTAAATAAAGATCGTTTTGTTTTACGGGTTATCACAGTTAACTCTGCCCTGCGTGCAACCTAGATGCGGCGTGGCTGCAGAAAAGTTCCGACTTGTCGAATGGTACAAGTAAGTTGATTTTTATGTACACAATTAATTTCGCCAATTACATGCTTCATCTTGCTCAGTGTTGGTTGAGTAATATACAAAACGAACCGTTTTAATTTTTTCAGATTCTATGACGTCGTGAAACAGGTGTGGGCCATCTTCTTTAGCCTTTAGTATATATATTTTTTAAACCTTGAATAGTTTTGAAAGTAAATTTGAAAGCCAAACTTCAAATTTTATCAAAGCCAAATACAAGTCGGCTGAGAGACACTCAGAATAAGGTGGCACTAGGCCAGAGCCCATTGTTGTAAACATGAGTATAACGACAATAAGTGGAAGTATAGGTTTGCGAGTAGGAGATGGACGGGACATTGTCGGGGTCTCTAGGACTTCTAATACTTCGTCAGCCGTGGGACGAGAAAGAGGAACGACATCATCGGGCGGATCTAGAAGCCAATCACAAAATAATAACAATCATCACGGTAAAGACTACTCTAGAGGGATGGGAGGAGATTCTGCCAAACTTAACCTCCCCCAACACCGGGTGGAGGGGGAGCGTCAAACTCATCGACTGGAGGAGGAGGAGGAGTCGGGTCTGGTAATGTGACAGAGCCTTCAACATCGTCCGCACCCACAAATTATCCCAAAATTTACGGAAAGATTGTACTCACCTCGGACAATGTTCTCCTGGACAAGAACAAGTGTGGAGAAACTCCTTCTGCAACCGATGGCATGGACGAAGACATTGAATGGGAGACTCGAGTTGTTGCCTGTGAACTTATTTCATCTTCTGGGATACTTTTAAAACTTCCTCAGGTAAGCCATTCTAAGGGCTTTACATATTATTACTATGCTGTAAATGTATGAATGAGCAATATCTCATGTAGACGATATTTTAATATCTATATCCATTCATTTTTGCATGTTTTAGACGGCAATGGCTACGGGACAAGTTTTATTTCACCGATTCTACTATACCAAATCCTTCCTACGTCAAGATATGGAACAAACTGCGATGGCTTGTATATATCTTGCTTCGAAAATTGAAGAAGCTCCACGAAGAATACGCGACATTATTAACGTATTTCATCATCTGCAGCAACTTCGGAGTGGAAAGTAAGCTACTACTACTTATTTATTGCTCTTCACACATTTTGTTTCCTTATTACAAGATTGTTGAGCGGTCATTACAGAAACTATTATTAATTTTAGGCTGATCGATATTTGGACATGTGAGTTACGCTCGCAGTCGTCCTGTGCGTTCAACGGATTCATCCGGTATTCTGTTCCAGGAAATTCAATTGACAGTGTAGTGACGCATTCACGATCAACTTAACTTTTAAAATATGCATAACTTTTGATTACTTCACTTATCGTTGAGGTGGAGGTCAGTGGTCATATTTAAATGAAGTTACTATCTTTGCTGACCTGATTAGGACCACCACCTCGACTGTAACTGAATCCCAAGCCATGACTTTATTTACATAGTTATTAGCTATATTGTCTAATTTACGTCTAAAGCTATTTGCAGTTTTGAGCCACCAATTGAGGAATGAAACGTTCATCGTCAGCTGGGAACCAATTCCTGTTCGTACCGTTTAATTTACGAGCTAAATTAGTTTTCTGTCCGTCTATAACTTATGATTTCCTCAAGTTTTATTCTTACAACGCGATTTCGTCAATCCCGACAAGGCTTATTTGCTCAATTATACTATCAGACGATATATAATAACCTTATATCATAACGTGGTTTGCCAAAATGCTTACTAAATGACTCCAATTTAGAATTAGGAATTGATTCACAAACGTTTCTGCATGATGCATAAATTATTGTAATCAGAATGGGTTTAGCATAGGTTGCACAGGTATTATTCTTTTAATTTGACTAGTAATTGACACTCGACGTCGACAAATAACACCAACACGTTGGAAAGTACCACCGGATGAATTCGTTGCTCGCGTGTGTGTTGGTCTTTGACTGAACCAATGGGAACAATTTATGTTTTTAATTGTCAAACTTGGCTTACATTTATGGCATATCTAAACGTACTTCATTAATTTCAGAACAATGGAGCCAATGGTTTTGGACCAATCTTATATCCAGTTAAAAAGTGAGGTCACTCTCGCTGAGCGAAGGGTTTTAAAAGAGTTGGGATTTTGTGTTCATGTGAAGCATCCTCACAAGGTAATTATCATCATTCATTAAGAACTAAATTTGAAGAGTCTACGTTATTTTTGGGGTTTAAATTGCGCTTTTCTTAATTTCAGCTAATTGTGGTCTATATGCAGCAGTTGGGCTATGATAGAGATTCGCAGTTCGTCCAGATGTCATGGTATGATGATTGTTGAAACTAAGAAAAGTAATAATTACTAATCTTTGATAATTATTTGCAGGAATTACATGTCAGATGCTTTGCGATCCAATGTGTTTGTGCAGTATAAACCTGAAGCCATTGCGTGCGCTTGTATTTTTTTAAGCGCCAGGAAATTAAAGATTCCCCTTCCTTCAAGTCCATCCTGGTATATTGTATTTGATGTGGAGGAAGAGCACATACTAGATATTTGTGAAACAATCCTTGAACTGTATCAACGACCAAGGGTAAGTTTGCCACTATACATAGACATGCTAATTACTATAAATTATTAGCATCATCATTGTTGCCAACTTATTTTTGCTATTTTGCAGATTGACTATGATGTGTTTATGAAGAAGTATAAAGGCCTCAGGAAAGCATTCAAGGAGTCCAAGGACAAAGCCAAGGCAATTACAATTGCTGACAAGCTTGCACAAGGTTCCAATGATGCTAATTCGAGTCCTGCGTCCCTTCCAACGTCACCCAAGCCCGGCAGCGAAGGATCATCAAGTAGTGCTGTCCAGAATAATAAAGAAGGCAATGATCACAAGAGGAAACTTGATGCTGGCGATCATGTACAAAAAGCTCCAAATTCACCACAGTGAGTAACCAAAGTTTATTAGAAGTGTAAATACACATTTATGAAAATAATTAAATCTATACTTTATTTTCCTTTGTATAGGCCAAAGAAATCGCGCCGGACTCCTTCCCCAATTACTTTTGACGATAGCCCACAAAGGCATAACAAAAAGAACAAGAAGCGAAGAAAATCAAGGTATCCTAAAATTTATAACTATCCACGTGAAATAATATTTACATATATATAATTCCGTATTCTCTGCACATTTGCTTTGCTTATATTTAAAAATACATTTAATTTTTTGTATCTTAGGTCCGATTCCAGCTCTAGATCACGCTCGCGAGAAAGAAGATCACTAAAGAAACACTCACGCCGAGAAAAGTCTCGAAGTCGGAGTAGAAGTCGTTCATACTCTCCGAAACGCTCATCACATCATAAAAAATCGACCAACAAGGTACATCATCGCTACCGTTCCAGATCCAGATCCTATTCACCCGTGGAAAGGGATGACATTCGATATGACCGATACTATAAAAAGCCCAAATCCTCAAAACATGGGAGGGATGAAGATCCAAACAAATCTAGAAGCAGGGACAAAATCCGAAGATGACGAACATGAGACTTAAGTATGGATTGAAACTTTTCTCTCTCCAAATTAAACTTTTTTGTAGTTAATGGTTAGATTTATAAGTGCACACAAAAGCGATTTGGGCCAATCTAAGCTCAATTATTTCAGTTTGTTGTGCATAAATATTTTTTAAACAAACACTAGAACTAGTATAATTACTTGGATTTTAAAGTTCTTAAAATACGTTGTTCCGCTATACAAGTTTGTTGGTGTATGTATACAATATATTTGTATTAATAAATAATTACTGTCTTGAAGTACATATACATTGTCTTGGTCAAAGGGGTCAAACTCTATTTGCTTAGATCTATTTTTTTGCTTTCGTATTGTGAGTATTATTGTTATTGTCATCAAACTCGTCTTCCGAGTCTTCTCCAGCCTTCATCACTCGCTCAGTGTAGGAGATTTCAGCAGCTTTTTTCTGAGACTTGTAACTCTCCTCAAACTCTTCGTGACGCTTCTTCCAGTAGGACTCATACCTTGCACCAAAATTTTGAGAGTTTGCTCGATCTGCTTTCGTCACTCCCACCTAAATATGTTAATCCAATACGAATTGTTGGAATGGATATGAAATCATTCTTGGTAATTATTTGATGGTTTAAAGAAAGGATGATACTAGTACTATATCTTCTTCTAACCATGTCCAAGTGAAGGAGGTACGGCATGTAGAAAATGACTGCAATCCGGTACCCTTCCTCCTCCTCCAAGGGATTGCCCTATACATAATTTCAATGGGTCAACAACTCGTAGGTAAATATTCAAGTACATGTAATACACAACTCCTGTACTATTAAAATTCGGAAACTTGTGTATTAAGCTTAAGCATGTGTCTTACATGAAGGGTCAGCGTTTTCAGGCTCCCCAATGCTTGGAGCTTTGGAATTTCGGTCATGTCAACAATGGAATTCCCATGCAAATAGAGTATTTTGAGATTTGGAAGTTGTGATAAGCTCTGTCATATGAAAAATGGCGCATTACAAGATATTTACTGTACTTAAAGCAAATAGATTACGTCCTCATCCAGCTTTGTGATTGTATTGAAAGAGATGTCCAACCAACAGAGTCCTAGTGGACCACCATCCAATATTTTGTACAGTACGTTAATTAGTCCATCCGTTTCGCTATTGAGGAAAAACCACACTCTCATAAATTCATCTCTCTTGCTCTGACGCTTACTAAACTTTCATGCAAACTTCCAGAATTATTTAGTGCATAAAATATATAATCATACGTTATAACGTTGTAGCTGAGTCGGATGGATGAGGTGCGATAACGTTCATCCTGAGTTTTGAATGGCGCTCGATAATTGCGTGCCTATATTAATTATATTATCATTCGACAATTATATGATGATTATATAAGCTAAATAATTAGATATGAATATTTACCGTTTGAGGTTGTTCTCCCTCCGTCACAATCTCTTCGATTTTATTAATCTAGATAAATATAAAAAATTTTAAACTAATTAAATTTAGTTCGTCCTTATGCCTTAAAGATATAAATTTGAATTTAAACCATGCAGAAGGAGTAGTCCAGGGGGCAGCAGATGCAAAAACGTACCTATCTGACCCATATACACCCGCAAACCTGCAAGCAAGTCGTCACCCACCATGTAATAGCTTAGAGGGTCAGATTGATTGAGATTAAAATATCGTGGCGAGAAAGACCCACCGATGCTGATCGCCAATGACAAGAAACCCCATCCGTCGCTCATCAAAGTTGCGATAAGTTCGCTCAGGTTCGGCGTCTTCATCGTCGGCTGCGACCTTCCTTGAGTGACCACCCCTTAACCTCCGCTCGCTTTTGCCCTTGGTGCGCTTGCCCCCCATTTTGGTCGTCGTGCTCTCTTCTTCTTTGGCTTGTTGCATGGCTGCAGCTCTGGCAAAGTCGTCCGGTTTCATTCCAGCTTTGATGGCTCGTACCGTCGCCTCGATCAGAATATCCGGGATTGCTGGACGCTCAGGGGCGCCTCCTCCCTTCATTTGGGCATCCATTGCGGAGGTTGGGGATTAAATAGAATTGAGTTGATGACTCCACTGATGACTATCTTCTCAAGACTCCACGCTTAGGAAATTTGAATAATATATTCCTCTCTATAATTTTAGAACTTGTTGCGACAAAATGACAAAAATTGAGGACACTTAAAATAAGCTGCACTGACCCAAAACTCTCAACCTTTCTGTTACTCTGAAACAATTTATTATGGACTAACGTTGTCATTGACAAACAAAAAAGCTAGGGGACTGAAGATTATAAGCAATATTCATAGGACTCTCTGCTGGAATGTTTAGCCGAGTTCGTCAGTCCGATGCGAAAGCCATTACTAGCGTGATAACATAGAATAACATGTTTCATTCATGAATGTGTGTATGTACGTGATTAGGATAATGTATGGACACATTGTGCGACTAAGAATGAACAGTTTTGCTGAAAGTAATGGGAAGGACGCATGAGCCTATTATTATGGTACATAAAGATGATTGGGAGGATGTCATGTGGAGAACAATTACTCAGAGAGAAAGTCTGGTTCTTGGCGTGCCAGGACACCATATCCCGTATCACTCAATCAAATTAGCCAAGCGAAATGTTATTTATTATATACAACAACATCGAACGACGTCGGACAACACACCAAGTCTGTAGTTTCTCTGCTGCATTGATGAATTATCTACATGACCGAGTTTATTTCACTTCATAGATCGATCAATAAGTAAATGTTCCTGCACGTGCAGTGATTTTTCGTTCCTTGCTTCATTCGGAAACAAAAGATGAATATTATTGGGAATAAAATACACGCTGTTGGCCAAATTTCGTATTGCGAGTTTTTTAAATAATACCCCAGACATCATTTTCCAATGAGACGACGCACTTTTTATATTATGTTAATACGTCTTTTTATATATATTTGGCTTATTACTACACATTAAAATAATCCAGCGAACGAGGACCAACAGAAGTAGTATTTATGCATTAGCAATATTATTATTATTATGATTGATTACATGTGCACAAATGTTTCTCATCTTGTAACATGTCGTCGTCGTACGTACGTACAAGTAAATTACATAATTATTCATTATTATTACATTAAAATAATTAACTTATTTTATGGCGATACGAATCACTGACTATTTCAGACTATAAAAATTGAGTTCTGGATACGCTGGATGGACTCAAAGAAGGTATAAATTACATTTATCCTAGTTATTTTCATAAATGACGAGGGACTGGGGACAAAGGAAGGAAAGAAGGGACTCTGTATGTACTAGTCTTAATATTGGCATATATATGTGTAAATGCGGATTGAGACGACAACGGTATTTGCAGTACAAACAAAGTAGCCACTACTCTCAAAATATTTGAACTGATGGCATTGAATGGAAGAATTTAATAAATTCATTGATATTATCTAGCTATCTTCATCTTCACTGGGACTCTTCCCTACAAAAATAAGACTAGACCTCGTCCATTCGCTGCTTGAATCCCCCCATCTCCTCGGTCCCTATCCTCACGGTCACGATCCAAGTCTCGATTCCATACTTCCAAATCTTCCAACTCCACAAAAGAGTCGGAATCTGAGTCGTCATCCTCCATGTCGTGGAGCTCATCATTGTTATCCTCAACATCAGTTTCGTTGCCGTCAACTTCATCGTAAAACTCTATCCCGTCACGAGTACCTCGATAAACCAATTGATTGGCTTGATCCCCACGAGGTTGACGAATATTTCGATTGTTGTAAATTAGATTATTGGCACCATTATTATTCGCGGCCCCCGCTGGATGGCGACGACGCTGATTATTGAGATCATCAAACTCACCCTCGCTGTCACTTGTATTCTGGTTGTGATCGGGATGGCGATCTAAGTGGGCTCGATTTTGTTGTCGTGGGGGTGGGGGAATGGGAACTTCTTGCTGTAGTAATTCTTCAGGGTTATCTTCTTCTGTGATGTCTTCCTTATAAAGAATTTCGTGACACTGTAAACAAGCACATTGTTATAGTTCATTAGTATATCACCATTTTAATTATTCTCTGGGTTCACATTTTTCATGACAATTTTTAAGCAAGACCGGAATGGATAATCAATCAGATCTGACGGTAGCTTACCATTGGGCAAGTGTTCTGTACGTATAACCACTTGCGAAGACACACAGCGTGGAAAAGATGGCCTATTATAATAAACATGAGATTGGTACTTTAATATTAGTGATAGCACATCGCATCGACAAGTATGGCAAGTAAGATTCTGCTCGTTGCATGCAAGTAAAATGAGAAACAAAGAAGGATGTACATATTTACCACAATTGGTCACTTTTGCCGACTCGAATCCTTCATAGCATATGGAACAGACGTCGTCATTACGAACTTTGAGTTGATCCTCCGTAGCATCTTTCAAGGACATGATTTTTTTGGAAGCTGTTTTTCTTTGACTATAAATTCTGAATCCCTTTTGAGCTTCGCACCATATATTAAAGTAAGCATGAATTGACATCCCAATAGCACGTATTGCACTGGTTGATTCAAAGAGGAAGATCCATACAGCGTTGAGAAATAGGAATATTCCGGTAATAAACTCGGCTGATTTTAGAAATACAAATAATTAGTAGCAACATACTTGATACACATAGGTATAAAAACAAAATTGAAAATTCCTTACCAATATTTGCAACGGTTTTCAAATAAAACACCATGTCTTCATGTGATATCTGGTCATACATTTTGTCGAAAAAATGCATCACGACACGAGGCAGAATTCGTCTAAAGAAGGATACAATTTTTTCTACGACGTCTGGGTATTGGACAAGTTGGGACAAGTAGACGACCATAGAGATTACAAGGGAAATGATGACTTTGATTTTAAACTCGATTGCCAGTGCTAACACTGCTAATGACCAGGTTGAAACTGAAGTCCATCGAAGCAATGAAACCGTTAAACAAAATGAAAGACACAAAAACACACAAGACAATGTTGCAGCCCTGGAAAAAGTAATAGTGACAACTCAAATTATACATACTCAATTTAAACTTCCAATCTTACCGAATTTGAACGGCCTGGAAGCTTCGAAATGCGTGTAGTAGCGGAGCAATCTAAATGTTAATCAAATAAATCGAATTATGTATGGGTCATAAATTAACGGGTGATATTTTTATTTGGACGATTACTAACCAATTGATGAAGAGCGTGAAATAAGGCTGAAACGTAATTTAATATATATATATATATTTCTGGTATGAAAATGGGCAGTTACTTACCAGTTCCAAGGAGTGCGACATTTTTTAAGAGTCTATCAAGTCGTTTTTCAGGATCTAGTGATGTCAATCCGGATTGCAGACTTAAAATGAAGAATAAGACGGTGGAAATAGATCCAAATCTATACATAGTGAATAAAATGACCAATTAAGTTAGTTTATAACAAATTAATAAAGTTTCATAGATATGCACTAAATTTTAGAATTGTATACCTACCTATTGAGGTCTACCTCATTATTGTTCCCAAAATAGAGCAGCCAAAGCAAGAAATCTCCAATTTGATGACAAACAGCTGCAACCTGCAGAAAAAAATATAATATAATACAAAGGATTATATTTTTTAAATTTATACATACTGTCACAGTCAATCCAACGATTCCCGTGAATGTCTCTGAAACGTCGTTATAAGATCATAAATAAATTCTAGGACACATACGAGAAATTTTATGGTACTTATTACGTATCCAGTTAAATGACTTACCCGTTCCATGAACCATTACATTTCGAATGATTAAACTCAATGGTTCATCACAGCAGCGGAAAAATGCATCGTAAGCAGCTCTGGTCATCCAGAAGAGACGAAAAACGGTATTGATCCGCAATCTTCCAGATTCGACTTGAATCAAATGTGATAATCCATACTCATTTTGTACCCTCTTCGTTTCTCCCCAAGAAAGTATCAAAAAACTGTACAGCTTGGGTAGCGACTTGATCAGTGAGTAATGAAGTGAAATCACAAGTGGGACAAAAATCACAAGCGGTATATGTCCGAATCCAGTCACAAAAAAGAGGGAGAGCAGAACTGGGTCCAATAATGCATGCATCCGATTTTCGGGGGACATATGCATGCTTGACCACGATTTGCAGGCAAAAAATACTGCCGCGAGAACAGTCCGAAAAGTAAGGTTCACAGATAAGCATAATATATCACTAAGATTGGTGCTTAGTAGATAAGATGGGATCACGTATGACAGATATAGCGTTGTGAAGGACAAGAGGTAAGAGTAGAGCTTTATTAAATTATCAGTCGCCAGCATGAACATAATAACTGCTGCAAAGAACACTGTAACATAAAACCAGTCATTATTATTAGTACATGACTCGTGGACCTAAAATTCTAAAGGTAGTGGTCAATGACACATTTTCTTTATATTTATTTATGCTTACGGACAACTGAGCCGAGAATTTGTCCTGCAAACATGAAATCGTCAGCAATCCCCTCCGTAAATTTTGACAAGTCCTCCATCCGACTGATGACATTGTCCGACTCAGTCCCTGTTGAAACATCAGGATCAACAGACGTCACGTTTCGGACGAGCTCTAGCCCCCATAACCACGACTCTTTCACAAACTCTGAAGTAGAAGCGAGAGGGGATTCACCAGAAAATCCTGATGAAAAGGGTCCTGTTGGGTCCTTTGAGTTCAATATCACTGTGTCCGTGGTCACGGTTTTATGAGATTCTGTGACCCCACCATATTGGAATGGACGTCCACCAAACCCAAAACTGGTACGGAAGATTTCGTCAACTAGTAAAAGTGGAGGCACTCGAAGAAACGATTCACATGCCAGGAAGAGCTTATTTCGAATGGACATTTTGCACATTAGCACAAAAACATTAGCACTTTTAAAATTGGCTAAAGTTATCTTTCCTCAAGTATCCTCAATCTTCATAACGATTGATAAGAGAACACCAACAACCTCCTGGGACCCTGCAATTCGACAATTCAAAAATCATTAGTTATTATGAAAATTCATGTACAAATTAAAAAACAAATTATAATAAATATTACTATTATCATGTACCCCTCCTACTCCCCCCATTCACTTTATAGTCACTTCATTTGAAACATTTATGCAGTCAGAGTTTATCAACAATGAGTTAGGGTCCAAGTTTTGAAAGATGGAAATTAAATTATTGTTACACATATGTAACAATGGACTTCAATGGAGACAACCGTCTCTAAGAAACTAACAATCAGTTGTACATTATACCTGTGCAGTTGTGCACATGTTATTTTTAAGACAAGCAGCATGTAAGAAATTCTGGCCGACATAATTATATTTTAAGACAAAATGGGTCCCACACGAATCCATACTCAACAACGCGTCCTAAATACAATATTATTTTGATATGATACAACAAGTAGTAAGTATTAGTATTGAAGGGTATACAACAATGTGAAGTGAAGAGTGGAAGGTCAACTGGCCAAGAACACGTTCGACCGTACTCTTGCATACGCATTTACGTTGGTTTGCCTGTAATAATGAATTCTACTAAATAGTGAACCTTTGTTAATGTCAAATAATGCTTAGATGCCTTATTGCTAGTGCATGGATTGTGCCTCACATTGACTTTTTGAGATCTATGTTATCCCAATAAAAGCATTACGAAATGACACATGGTCAAGTTCACCCAATTTCGATAGAGAGAGATACATGGTGCATCATATTTGCACTCAATTCATTCTTAATATATAAGAAGCAAGACAAGAGGAAAACAAGTTTGGGTTAAAAATCGACTCCCGTACTGCATGCATGTATTTATAATAGTGTTATCCAATTTTTCGTCATTAATATTGTCGCTCTAACTTAAATAAGAATAACAGACAAATATTAATGAAATGATGACATTGTTGAACCATTCCTTCATTATTGTTTAAAACTGGAAGAAATCATTGAGAAAATACTTTTAGCAGCAAAAACAAATTGTATATTTTTGCATACGTCATGCTATCCATTGAAGCTTGTGGCAATAATGAAATCGTGGATTAGACAAGCTCGAGGGAACAACTTACGTGGATACTTTACTTGGAAGTTTTACATATTCATATGCTTATTATTATGGCCAGACAAGTCAATCAATGGTGGGACACTCCTATATAGATAGATAGCTAGCAAAGTTGTGCGTCACAAAGTATGTAATGGTCATGTTTATTATGCAAACTGTCCAGCCAGCGACTTTTGCACAAAGTCACAAGCAAAACAAAAGCTATCTTGTACTGGCATACACGAAATACAATGATCAATGAGTTGTGTACCAATTTACCAATACATATCTCCTACTCGGGGTTGGCTACTCCTATCAAAATTTATGAAAGGGCACACGCATGGTATGTAATGGGTAAAATGTACACACGAGGATACATAGCAATAATGTAGGAGACTCATCTTCGGTAGTAATTAATGGGTCAAAGTTTCGAACCTGACATAAGTATAATTGCTGTTGGCGCATCCCATAATCCGTCACTTCAAAATTTCCTCTGGTCCAGCCAGAACAACGACGTGACGGTTAGAAACGTCGACCCTGACCCTTAAATTGGATTATTACAGAACAGCAAGTCTCGTTTCCACCCCTTACAACACACATGCCATGTACGATTATGATAATCTGGGAAGGATTATCAACTTCCCTTTCAATTCAAGATTGAAGACAATGTTTAAGAGGAACTCCTCTCTGTTGTGGAATAAACCATGAAAAGTAATAAAATAAAGTTGCATGCAATGAGTGGATAGTATCCTAATATTATTCATTATCGTCGTTGGTATGATCAGATCACCACTTTCAATCTCATCCCTCTCTCTGTTAACAAAAGTAAACTCATCAATGTCAATATGTATACGACTGCATTCATTTGCATTCTCTATTTTTATTCGACTTACGACCACGAAGAATAGTAATAAGTGAACAATGAGCAGTCGGTGTATAGTGTATGTATACAATCATATGCACAAGACAAGGACAAGAAACCATGACCTAATTCATACAACATCATCATAGATAGCTCATCAGTCAGATTCAACAAAACAGAATAAGAATTTGCACCAGCAACTGGCTAACATAAACACATCAATAGCAGACAGAGAATACATTACACTTTGGTTTCACTAAAATCGTTATATTTAGTTATATGCAAATTAAGGAAGACTAAACTAACCAATTCGAAACGAAATCGTATGATCAGCACGTGGTGCAAACTCTACTATTAATGCTAAAGCTAAAACCGACTTTAGTAATAAAAATTTCAAATCGAAATCATTATGCGTAGGTAACAATTTATTTCTTTAGTTTCAAACCTCGCTATACGACAAGTTGCTAAAATGCCAAAAGGATGTTGCGAGGCCATATTTAGACAGTTTTCAATGTAGTTAGATTATTCCATCACGTGCAATGTAATCTAGATTGAATTTGCATAGGAAATGTCATACGATAATAGCACGATTAAGAGAACCCATGACCTCAACAATGTAACTTCCGGTAGCCACAAACCATAATACTAATGTTATATTAACAAATAAACAAAAATATACTTAGATAAAAACCAACCCATCAACATTGGTTTACGTTCGTATATTTTGCGTGTATGTATTATTCCGTTATCATGATGAATTGGTGTGATGAATGTGATGATGCATAAAAGTTGGAAATTGTAGGAACTTCAAAAGTTATCCATGCGGCATTATCCTCAAACCAAAGCTACAAAGGTTACTCTGCTCAGATAAGACCAGGTCGTGCATAACTTGACTTCCCCCTGCGTCACAGAGAGGGCTAAGTGGGTGCGCCACAGACTAACTTAAATTCGGGCTGCATAAATACTTAACTACCCAGCGGATAGTATGACTGGACAATATATAAATTCCCTGCAATGGGGGTGGTGGTGGTTGCATCGCTAAATACTTAAACTCCCCCAACAATTTTGTATTTCAGGGATTTCTTGTCAATTTTCAGTAGTATGACTTGTAGCAAGTTCCTAGTGCCTCTGAAACACTTTAACCAGTCCATGACGCCAATAAGTTATTGGCGTCATTTCTTCATTATTGAAAATAATAATGACGGACGAAACATCGTAGAAATTATTGGGCTAGACAAATAAATAAGCCGAACTTTCTTACCCGTATTAAATGTCCTTCCACGATGTCCAATATCCACAATAATTAAGATTCACTGCCAAAATAACTTTTTTTAGAATGGCATATAGTTATTTAGTATCGTGTATTTGTAATCTCGCAAATCCGGACAAGGATGAAGGAAGACAATCAAAACTTAGAACTTTTAGGGAAACCCAATCGACTATCCATCCACCGTCATCCCTGGATAAATTTTAGAACATGCAAGTTGAAATTATAATACCACTTCGTATTCAAGCTTATTTCCGCAATTAAATCCAAACTACAATACTGTTGACTATTCGATACACAACGGTTGTTGATGTTATTTAGTTCATGGTACACAAGTTAAAGAATGGAAGCCCCGAAAAAACAGTTCCAACCACCCAATGTAATTAAACCACTTGGATTATATTTTAATTAATTGCAAATTGAATCCTTGGTTCGAGTTTAGTGCTCAGACCAGCGCTGGGTCGCTCTCTAAAAAATGTACGCCGTGCTCCAGAATGATGGTATCATCCTGATTTTTGCTCTATCCATAATTTCCGTGTGAAGCAAAAAAATCACAATGCGAACAAGTCGCACAGCCTCTGAAAACTACAACCTGCCTGCTCTGCCTTTTTTTGCCTTTGCATCTCAATTTCCCAAGGCCAAAATTCGCATCGCACTCCATTCTCTGTCATTGAATAAAGCTCGTGGCCAGGTTCAAACCTCTCGCACCAATTCGTTTGCAAAAAAAATGTTTTAGTCAACCGGCTCAGATTTTGGTAGCTTTTTTGTTCCTTTATCAATTCCTGGTTATAGTTTTAAAAAAATAATCGGAAGAGTTAGCTTACAATAATTTATTCGTCGTAGGGTAATCCTGATTGTATAAAAAGTGGACATGTCAATCGCCTAATCGTTGGTAAAAATGCACATGATGCAAGCTTTATACTTTTTTGCATTATTCATAAGGTAGTGAACGTTGGCTCTACATATTTCCATATTTATTTACATATTTCCATGTATGTTGAAGATGATCTGAAGATCGGCATCTTGATGAACCAGTTGGTGCGTGCGTAAATATTCTTTGAAGTAAAATAAGGTCGACGTTTCAAATTGAAACTTTCAACGTTTACGATCAGTTGGATTGATGCTGCTGTTAATTCCTCGTCGTACTCATTGTTTGTATAAAATCCTTCGTCCGACAAATCATTTTGATCAGAGTCGAGGAACACTCGCAATACCCACTGTCAAACGTGTGGTAGGATATCATCAAGTTTGTAGATATTATAATACACAAATTTGTAAAATTTCGTGTTTAGCTAGTGTTCGCCAAAACACTATAAGCAAACTTGATACTCGACAACCTGGAGTAACTGCTATGGCGTCGCAAACATCAAGATCAGCAGTTGTGAGATATTCCCCTGGGGAGGAAAGGTTCCAACTTAAATTGATTCACAACAAGAAAGTATTTAATTTCGACAGAGCAACTTCCGACTCATTGGAAGCCCTGATAAGCAGGATAGTCGCAAATATGTCCAAAAAGATGAAATCCTGGGATGGAGTAGTGTCACTCTTAACGTCTCGAAACGGGAGTTGGACCGAGATAGTGGATAAATCTATCCCCGTATCTAAATTACTGCAAGACATTCATCTAGAAGGATCTTTCAATAAGTTAAGCATCAAAATCTCAGAGGAAAGGTACGACGTTGTGTTCAATCCGCCCGAAGTTTTTAGTATCAAGGTGAGTACAGCAGCTTAGAATATCAAGGTAAAAATGTCGTAAGCTATGATTATAATTTATAACGGGAAATTTTTGATTTTTTTGCATTGAAGTTTCTCAAGGGTGCCATTGTAGGATTTCCAATTGTTCCCTACAAAATTGACACTAGTAGTAATTTCGACAAACACGCTTCAAAGTATCACTGGGAGTACTCATGGGATCAAAAAAAGGAACCAAACGTTGTGAAAAAGAAGAACCGTCAGACAAATCCTAATAATTCGACGACGAGTGATGATGACTGCAGTTGGAAGGACACTGGCTGTTCTGAATGCATATTTACTCCTGGGGTAGAATTAATTGGTGCAAGATTGCGATTGACTTTCCTCCCCTCAGATGGGGCGTGTTTTGGACTTCCGTTTACAGAAGAGATACCAGAGTTGGTGACCGCTCTGCCCGTGGAGAAACCTTTACTTGTTGAACGACTTGAACGAATACTGAAACATGGTCCAACGGAAGAGCAAAGAAAAGAGACAAACTTCCTCAGAATTGTTAGCTATAACTGTTTGGCAGAATGCTACGCTACTGAAGAATGGTTCACCTCATCACCAAAGGCATCGTTACCTGCTGAATTTCGACTTCCGTTCCTTTGCAAGGAATTACTATCTTATCAAAGTGACGTATATTGCTTGCAGGAAGTTGACGACAAATATTTCGATGTGAGCTTTTCAGAAATCATCTTAGTAGACAGACATATCTCTGATCAGTTTGGTCTCGTACTGAACTCAATTTAAATTTGTGCATTGCATTTTTTAAATTTTTGCAGAGACTTTTCACTCCATTTCTCGAGCACACACTGGGCTGTAAAGGATTCTTCTCTTGTAAAACTGGGAGTGTCAAAGAAGGCGTCGCAATGTTTTATAACCCCAAGAAATTAGATTGCATGAAAAGTGAGACAGTCGTAATTAACGAACACTTGAAGACGATGCCAATATGGAGCAAACTTATGGAACAAAGTTCAATTGTGGAACGGGTGGATGAAAGGAACTCTGTTCTTCAGGTCTCAATTTTTAAGGCCAAAGCTCAAGAAAATACTATCATAATTATTGGTAAGTAAAATACAATAATCCATTCTAGCTCCTCCTGACTAGTCAATTCTAAAATCTTTCATAATCGCAAAAAAAATATATTATATTTATTATTGCAGCCAATACACATTTGTACTTTCATCCTGATGCTGACCACATTCGCTTACTTCAAACGATAGCATGTGTAGACTATATTGAAACTGTGTCATCCGAGATCAAGAAATTTGGAGAATTTAAAGTATGCGTAATGTTTTGCGGAGATTTTAATTGCACTCCACCGTTTAGTTCGTTTCGATATCTAACAACTGGCAAGATTGATGACGACGATTTGGACTGGACTAGTCGTGCGTAGTTTGAAATACACTTGCTTATTCTCAGTCTACGGATTAAACTTACAATGAAGTATTTTATTTTATTTAGATTCGACGCAAAAGTTGCAACCTGGAATTTCTTTGCAACACAACTTGGAGTTAACCAACTCTGATCCGGAACACGCACTTTCAAATATTACAACATGTTTTGAGGGATGTATCGACTATATTCTTTTCCAGTCTCAACATTTCAACCTGATATCTGCGTATCCTCCCCCAGATAAAACAACGTTAGCAGATTTATGCAATGTTAGCGAAACACGACTTGTGTCCTTGCCAAACTTTTATACCCCGTCTGATCACTTACCTTTGATAGCAGATTTTCAACTCCGGTCAAAGCAATGATACCCGTGATAGTTAACTAATAGTGGTAGGAGGGTATGCGACAAGTCTATATTTATTGCATATGTAAAATTATGTGTGGAAAAGTTATGAAATACAGATTTATACCAAATTTTTAAATTATGTTGCTCCTGATTTAATAATTCTAGAAATTGCTTCGATATTTTTAACACGCAGGGCATCTCTGCATGCAGTGATAACATTTGCTTTTGGCTTCCCAACTGTTTCAAAACAAATGACAATTGACATAGACATAGACTAAAGTTGAAGAAAAAAAATTTATTTTACCTCGAAGCCTAGCTGCTTTTTGAATAATTTGATTAACAGCTTTGATGGACTCTGAAATATTCTCAGCCATGTTGCATCTAATTTGGTGCTGATTGATAAGGTTTCTGTTCGCATCATGGAGCTGCATGTACCACTTTCGCATTCCTTTGCTAGAAAGCATTATGAAATACTTAAATGTAACATGTTTGTACCGGTTGTCCCATTTGTCAACTCACATGTCTCCAATTAACCTGGCGTCTTCGGCCCGAATCAGCAGCGTTTTGATGACGCCTGATTGGTCCGAAATGTCTGCACCTAACCTGTCATTGCTTTCCTGATACTCTTCCACCGCTCTCACAAGATGTGTGATTTCATCAGGATACTCTGCTTCCGTCTAAATAGCATGCGTCATTATGGTTAATGAAAGTTTATTAATTTCCGTAATTAAGTAGCTTTAGTTGGTCAATGTCATGCCTCCAAATCATCAATGTGTAAGAACTGGCACAAACTTTGTACGATATCACCAGCAAGATCCATGTCATTAGTCCGAATTATGGTTGTTCCACTAGTTTCGACTTCAAAACTCAACTCTTGATGGTTTCTTAATGAAATGAATGACACTGAAAATCCAGTCTTGAAGTCAATTTCTTCAGCAAGCAAGAAATTTTGGTTTATCCACATCACAAGCTATAGACATGGAATTTGTATTTAGCAGGAGGTTTGCAATATTCAAACTGCACTTATCAGCAAAAACAGATCGAAAACTACTCACTCGAGCAGGTCTCTCTTGGATTGGTACTCTAACAAAACTGGTAATTTCCTGAGGGTTGGGATCCTTGCACACTAGGTAACAAACCTCATTGTGAGCAAGTGTCATATGCAAACATATTCAAAATGTAATGTTTGTATACCTGCGAACATTGAAAATCTAGGAATTTGTCGAGTCATTTCGAAAACATGAAAATGCTCGCTGTCACTGAATCCAACATAAGCCTATGAATTGTAAATTCATGCATCATTTTAATACACATTTATCTACAACATGTCCGAAATTTACCTTGATTTTGTGCTCACCTTGATATGCAAATCGACCACGACGTTTTTCGGAGGCATTAGCGGCACGCTGATTTTAGATTGAAGAGCTTCTAGCTTTGGATGAACAACGTGACACTCCCCTTGAAAAATCCCTTCAGCAAATATCTACCAAATAAATATAAATAAATATAAATATAAATATAAATATAAATATAAATAAATAAATAATAAATACCAGAGCTGATCGGATTTGGGCGTCATTATTTAGCGATAGAGTGATTTCAATATGAGCCTGCATTAAATTGATATATAAAATTAAATCCAACGAAATAAAAAAATGAATTAATTCAAAATGAATCGAGAACTTACGCCTTTCTCATCCGAACCCATGTTAATGGAGAAAGCAGTTTGAAGCGTAGTTTTCGTCTAATTATTTAGTAACATTGCTTAGCCAGTCGAGCACCAATTCATGCACATTTGCATAAATAAATATATGAAACTCACCGGAATTGCACCAGCTTCACGTTGTCGAGATCTCGAAGATGGGTCTGTCGTCGTACTTCCAGTAGACGATTTCATAGCTCCACTCGCATCATAATTTTTTAATTCTAGCAGCAAGTGATGTTTTTTAATGCTGAGCTCTCGGATAGCCTGACAAAAAAGACCGGAAATCAATTCGTCAATAAAAAATAGTTCGTGAACGTGATTGTTTAGTGAGTACCTCCTGTTCCACATTTGGAGAAATGTAAAGCATTCTCCCGTCATGACTGCTAGGTTGATAAATCCGAACTGCATACAACAATAGGATATTATTATGCAATTGACATATACATTTATAATAATAATAATCAACTTCCATATAAGCACATATTTAATGAGAGAATAACAGATAAATTATTGCAATAATTAGCATTAACATTTCGCCACAAACCTTCGCCTTCGACATCGCAACAAATCAAATGCATTTTTCCATCTTGATTTATGTCGACGGTAAAAATTCCGGCTAAAGGATGATTAAAGTTGTCTGCAATACATAATATATAAAGTAACGGCAAATAATTTCATAGTACGTTTGGTTACAATTTTATACTAAATATGTCAATAATAACCGCCATGTTACCTTTAAAGAGGACTTCGCCATTCTTGACATTTCGGATATCCATTTTTCCATTGCTCCATCCTAACAAATAAATCAGTGGCAATTGGTAGATCAACCACTTGAATTCACTGCTTGGTCTCATGGTCTATAATGTACTTGTGTATATACCTGTGACAAGTTCAGGAAACCCATCGCCATCAAAGTCAAATCCCACAATTGCAAGGGCGTGATTCTTAGACTGTATACATATATCCCAATAAATGTGTGTAAATGAATCTGAGTTATGCAAATAATTTAATATGACGTGTACTTTGATTCTCCATAAGCGTTGCAGTCGTTCGTATACCCCGATGGTCCCATTGGTCAGTGCGTATGCAAAGGTGCTACCTTTTAGAGGAGCTATGTGCGAAATTGTATCTGTTTCTGATGCTTCGCCAATAATTTGATCGGATTTAAAGACGCGGATGTCAAAGTCGTCCGACCCCACCACCATCTATGTGATTTCCGCATTTTACAATGAAATTTTTCCAAGTAATAACAATATCTACATAGCAGTCCGAGGTGGTTGATTTGTACCTCGTTTTCCCCATCACCGTCATAGTCCAGAAGTGCAATTGCTCCTACATTGTCTCCAGTGACGGTCCAGAAAACATCCGTCCCTTCTGCGTCGAAACCTTGAAGGGAGCAGTTGCCACCCGCGATTGCTAACGAGTCTCCCGATCCCAGTTCTACTCCTGACAAGCAGCCCGTCAGAATGCAGTTGACCCCATCAACCACCTCCTTGAAAAAAAGGTCCTTGTTGTTCTCCACGTCGTAGCCAAAGACATTGGTCTGTGTGCCCACAAAGAGGTAGTAGCGATCAGACGTCCGGTACATCGGCCCCGCAGCGATGCAAGTGATGGGTTGATTGATGTTCAGGAATGTGATGTCTTCTGCCACAGCGTCCACACTTTTTCCAGGAATTAACTCATGGGTCTTTTTTAGCTTCAGCAGCAAAATCTGGAAATAAAAAAAACACTAGAGAGATATTTATGTCGCTATTTAGCCATTATGTAGTATAAATATATTCATACATTACTAAAGCTAAATTGAAGAATTTGTCCTTCAATACATACCCTTTCTCCATAAGTGGCACATGTCAGACAGGGACTTTTTCCGTCATATAAACCTATACATACTCTGCCTGGTAGTATTTTATGCCCTATTTTAATGGACAATACTGTTGACCCCATACTCATTTAATGATCCTGATTTTGGTAATGCGTGCAAACCTGGCCTAATTTAAAATTAAATTTATTTACACAAAGTTCTAAGAGCAGAATGGCATTCATTATTCTGTGACTGGAAAAATGTGTCGGGCGCAATTTGCTTGGTATCCAAGCTAAAAGAGCACAACAAAAGTCGCAGGTTACCAGTCGAAGCGAGTTGATGCGGATTCATAGTTCCGAAAATTACATATGAAACTCCAAAATTATGAAATATTCATTGTAAAAATCTGGATTTATATATTCTGCTGTGCAGAATAAGAAATGCATCAGTACATCTGTATGTACACTTCACCAGCAATTCAATGAATACGTTGTAAAAGCAAATATTGTATCATTAACCATCCTGATGATCGCATTATTCATACGGACGTTATTAAAATTTATGAAATATGTTATGTATGGTTAGATAAGTACTTGTAGTTTGCATTGTGGCCAAAGATTTTTTAGTCACATAAATTTCAACCTCAAACTATGTGTTGAAAGGGAAAATAGTTATAAATGGGAAATTATCGCTCTATCCAACAATAACTGCTTTTGTGTGTGTACAGATGTGCATGGGGTTGCTTCTAGTGAGCTTATATACATTTTATGACCTAAAATATATAATTTGCATAATTTTCACCAACTCTTTGGCCTTGAGAAAACTTTGCGTTTGTTTGTTAGCGAGTTTGCAGAAATGAAACATGTAGCGTTTTTTACACAATAATATTGTGCTTGCCTTGGAACAGAATATAGCACCCCATGTAGATTATTATTTTAGTATTTAGGACTGGTTTTGTTCGTGACTAGTTCATCTGTATGATCTGCATCTCAGTAAAACCAAACATACATCATTCCGTTTCCATAAATAATAATAAAAATACACGTTCTAGAATAATCTGGTCTTTGGTCATAGAATTAGACCTCGTTATTACACTCATTTTGTAATTTTCCATTAAAAGACGGGTTTTGGGGGTGATTATCAGCCTCTGCCTTTCTTAGCCACGGATTCAATTGCAAGTCTCGTGAACTAATTGACCAGGCTCATGTTAATGAGGGTGTAGCAGGGATAACAATAAATAAACATGATACAATTGCTCCAGCAGCTTCACCCTCATCGAATATACATATTCGCAAATGACTGTCCATGAGTTGGAATAATATTCTATTTAATGAATTTGCATATGGCCATGCATACATATGTCATGGAACTGGAACAGCCGTCATTTTTTGCCCTTATTGAATTAGCTGTAACCATATTTCATAAACTATCATAGGCAGCTAATAAGGTGCGTTTGAATTATGTACATTTCTCCAAATGTAATATTCTCTTATTTCGAAATTTTATAACAATGCATAAAGACATACGTGTGCAGTTCAAGGGCACACGTGATTTATATTGACAATTAATTTCCAATCAACTGTGCTACATGTTATGCAACTAATGATGTGGTGATGACTAACCTGTTGAATGCAATCAACTAATTGAGGTGAACCTGGACAACTGGACTCGATGATAGTGCATCTTCTTATCTCATTTCAGTTGGCAACAGGTCCCTGTCGTCACAGCATCACCTCCGTCGGCTCCGTCCAATATTGGCTGACTTTTTTTTTCTTTTGGCAATCTCATTTTATTTTTCAAGACTAAACAGAACAAGGGAAAAATGCGACTAGGAACGTTTTTAATTTTTGTGACAATCGTGGTCACAGCTGCTGCGTTGAGCGTAATTCCTCCGAGAAAGGACAAGGCAGATACTGACACGTTGGAATTGGTTCAAATTGTGAGCATAACAAATTCATTTTGGGCTGTATATTACAATTTCTGAATTGCAGAAGTAAATATGTTCAAATTTAGATGTGGAGACATGGCGATCGCACCCCAATTGTGCAGTACCCAAATGACCCTCTGCAGAACGAGACGTTGTGGTTCCCATACGCGACTGGATTTGAGGCCATCACAAAAGTGAGCTGACTATTTAATAAATTTTGAAATGCAGCCTGTTGTAATTTTGTCTTATTTTACCACCTAAATCTTAACTAGAAAGGAAAGCAAATGCACTATGACTTTGGACAATATCTTCGCAAACGATATGAGGGTTTCCTCAGCCCCGTTTACAGCCAGAAAGAAATTTATGTGCAAAGTTCAGACGCAGACAGAGCCATTATGAGTGCAATGAGCAATATGGCTGGTATGTGGCCCCCGACCCCAGAGGTACATATGTATATAACATTAAAATTAACCCTGCATGCAAATAAATATCTACATGAAGATCTGGTTGTACATGTTTACTACAAGTCCACTATTCATATTAATTAGGACCCCAGAAGTGAATGGAATCCACAATTGCAGTGGCAGCCAATTCCGATTCACACGATTCCAAAGAAATTAGACAACGTATGCAAAATAATGATGATAAAGACATTTAATGTAAACATGACATTGCAATTAAAATTAAATGGTGGTATTGGTCCTTCTCTATTCTCAGTTTATCAACTTTGGAGCTCCATGCCCCAGATTCAAAGAGTTGAAAAAAGAGTACACAAATGATTCCCCTTTCGCCAAATCCATCAACGAGGCTCCTGAAAATTCAAAACTCTGCCAATACATAATCAAACATGCGGGAGTCAAGGAATGTGATTTTGAGGTTATCAGCGACATTTGGGACACGTTGAGAATTCAGGTATGTAAATTTCCTGTCACCATTAAAATGGCTAAAGTTGGAGCAACTTAACTTTAATTTCCAGAAAGCTTACAACATGACGCTGCCACCCTGGGTGGCTTCAGTTTATGACCAAATGGAGAGTTTGAGTGCAATTTTCTTCGACTCTCGGGTCCTTGTTCCAACTGAAGAGGCGAAAAGGGTCAAGGCAGGTCCATTGCTAAGCTTCTTGGTAAAAAACATGGAGTTGAGGCAGAATGAGACGAAGGGTGTTGCCAAGATGTACGCCCTCTCAGGTCACGACACCACCAGTTCAATCGCTTTGGGGGCTCTGGGAGTTTTCGATACTCAGTTTCCAAGTTATGCAAGCGCTGCAATTTTCGAAATGCACAAAATACAAAATGAGCACGTTGTCAAAGTAAGTCTGTAATGTTGGCTGATTGGCAGTTGACAGTGATTTACTATTTACACAGGTGTCACATATTAAGCTATAATATGTCTGACTAGGTATTCTTCCGCAATGACACCAGCGTTCCACCGTTTGAGTTTGAGATTCCAAATTGTGGATACCCATGTCATTTGAATAAATTCAAGGAGATCTTGGCCCATATTTTGGTAGATGGAGAGAAATGGAACGAGGTCTGCAAATCTGGAGGAAGTTCCCCATCCGCATCGAAATCATCCGCTTCCGTAAGTGCCAATTAAGAAAAAAGAAGAATGCAATCTCATCAACCCATGCACAACTAACTAACCATACACAAACCAGAATACTCAGTAAAAAAAGATTCTCTAAATTCATCTTTGCTGTGTGACACTACACAATGCCAATAAATCCTCTTAGTTTTTGCAACTTTACCCATACATTTCAACTAAAAAACTTCATTTATTTTAAGGGCGCAATCTCCACAACCGTTCTCCCTCATTTCACATCCCATTTCATCATGCTCATTACCAATTTGCTGCTCATCTCCAAATGGTGAACGATGTCGAAGACTGTTGTTGACTGTACCTCGTCCTTTCGTGTCCTCTCATAATTTAATCTCAAACAACGATTATGCATCTCGTACACATTTTGATAATAAATTGTAACATGTTGAAGTAAAATGGTACAGTTTTCGCATGGAGTGTATCTATAATTTTACAAAAATGTTTCATACAACAATCTCGCATGGGCAACTTGTCCCTTGTTTAAATATCTATAAAACTGCAATAAAAAAGTGCTGTATATGGTCTGAAGCCTGGAGTGAAGGAAGAGGAGGGTGAGATGTGATAAGGTGTTGAGGAATCTTATTGCATGAAAATCTCTCCGAGGCGAAAAAAACAAGAATTTCAACTCAGCACAGCATAATCACGAATGGTTCGTTCAGTTCAGCTCGGGCTGTGCCACTAAAATCTCTTCCCCGGTGCAGCAACTTTGTATTTGCAATTTTTCAACATATAAAAATCCATAATTTATTTGCTGACTGGTGGTACAATTAATACTTATCAGTCATTAAATATTTATCCAGCTAATTTTTTTGTAGTAAAAACTCGTTATGGTCGCACAATATATTAATTATGCCGTCCTTGGCTGGACTGGTAAAATAAAGTAAATACACAAGTCAGCCAATTGAGCTCAATCAGGCTAATAATAATAATAAATAATTGATTACATAATGTGTCTGCCTGCATAGAACATAACAATTTGCTGGGGAAAGACTAAAGAATGGTGTTTATTATTTCGACATGAATTTGTGCTTTAAAATTTAAATGTTAATATCATTGTAAAGTTGTGCACGATAATGACGAGGAAGCATAGTTCTGCTGCAGCAGTGATGACCAAGAAAATTGTTTAATTGTAAGTAAACAAAGTTTAATGTTGGAAAAAGAAAGTTTTGTAAGTTTAACGAAACAGATCAATTGCATTTTACATTTGAAATTCAAATTTTGAATCTTTTGGAAACTGAAGGACCATTTTAGTAAAAGACTGAAGACACGGGTAAATTCCACATTGTGGAGTCTGCAATTAGCCATGAGTTCGAAATTCAATGGAAATCCGGGTCTATACGAGTTTCTCGTTGAAGCAGAACTCCAACAATACTACAACACTTTGAAGAATGAGTTAAAGGTATTAAATAATTAAATAATTACTTCTGTTATTGTTTGTTTGGCGTTTAAACCATATTCTTTAGTATATAAGTGCAATAGTAACTAAATTTGCTCATTTTTGTGTACTAACAATTATGATACGATTAGGTCCAAAACCCATCCCAACTAAAGTATGTGACTGATGAAGACCTAGCACAGGTCGGAATGTCACGCCCTGAGATCAGAAGACTGAAAAAATATTTCCAGAGACACTTTCCTAGTAATGTATTGGCGAAAATGAAAAAGGTATCAAGCTTTAAGTTGATTATATTCACATCTATAGTAATATCGGCATATTGCAATACTTAACTTTTTCTATAATTTATTCATTTGTTATTCAGATGCTATTGACGAGAGGAGATAACCCAATATCGATTGCATCCTTATCCAGTCATACGCAGAGCTCATTGGGAAAATACTCTAGGACCGTTGCTCCAGGCCGTCATATTATTCAAGCAGATTCAATTGTTACTAATAAAACTCTTGGTTCAGGAGAGTTTGGAACGGTGCAACAAGGAGTGTGGACAGATCACGATGGACAAAGGGTCAGTTCAGTGTTAATAAATTGTGCTACTAGATACTACTTTTCAATATGTCGTCGTCATGTTTGATAAGTTGTGTATTTGTAATTTTAGATTCAAGTTGCCATCAAATGTTTAAGTCAAGACAAAATGGAAAATAATCCGGTCGAGTTTTTAAAGGAGGCAGCGATAATGCACGCTGTTGACCATGAGCACATTGGTATGGTATCTATTTTTTCTCGATGCTGTTTTATCCAGTTTAAATTTTGAATTTTGCAAGGTTATTTATGATTTGAGCATCATTTTTATTTTATTTTAGTTCGATTGTATGGCGTTGTTTTGGACACTTCGGCTCTAATGCTGGTAAACGTTTTTAGCCCCTCAATCCTCACAAGTTTTTAGATAAATCTGCCCCAATTTTGTGTACATTTTGTTTTCTTTTACCAGGTAACCGAGCTTGCCCCTCTTCGCAGTTTGCTAGAGTGCCTGAAAGAACCATCCATGAGACCAAATCTTAGTGTTCCTACTCTTTATGACTTTGCAATTCAAATCTGTGCTGGAATGGAGTATTTGGAGTCTAAACGACTTATTCATAGGTATAATAGCCGCACAAACAAGCGTACATACATATATGATAAGTATATTGACTTCATCAATCTTTAGGGATCTGGCGGCTAGAAATATCTTGGTATTTTCCCGAAATAAAGTAAAAATTTCGGATTTCGGTCTGTCAAGACAAGGTATTCGTTTCTTATCAAATTGTGGTAAAAGTCCCTTAGGTGATATATTTCTGTTTTTAGTTGGAGTTGGAAAAGATTATTACCAAACGAATTTCAATGTCAATTTGAAATTGCCAATTGCTTGGTACGTCAATGTGATTGATTACATATCATAATGATAATAATTATGAGGTTATTAATTGGCGACTGTGGTAGGTGTGCACCTGAATGCATCAATTTTCTCCGCTTCACAAGTGCGTCTGATGTTTTTGCGTATGGAGTAACCTTATGGGAGATTTTCACTTATGGTACGTTTCGACCGGTTGGGGTTTTGTCAGAGTAGTTATTTTTAGCTACTCCATAATAATAGTAGTAATAATAATAATAATAATGTACGGTGTCAGGTTTCCAGCCATGGGCCGCTTTAACGGGACAACAAATTTTGGAAGCTATTGACGAACCCAACTACCAACGTTTGGAAAAACCAGAATGTTGCCCTCATGAAATTTACTACCAAATCATGCTTAAATGTTGGCAACACGATGCTATCACCAGGCCAAGTTTTGCTGACCTTTCTACCAGACTTCTTCCAGAGGTAATGGGACATATGCATGTATGTACACGAGTGTGCATACGCATATATTTTTCGGAGACACATTAACCATTTCTTGAGTAAACAACTAACAAGTAGGGGATTGAGTAGTAAAATTTTATTGTACCTCACAACATAAACTTATAAATGTAACAACCAGCATCGTATCTTTGTCGATGCATTTCTGGAATTTGTTTGCTTTGACGTATTCGTTGTTGGAATGAACCGAGCATTTTTTATGTTGCAGTGTAAACCGGAACAAGTGCAAGCCATTCGGGAGAGTGAGAGGCGAGGCCGACGAGAGTACTTGGAGTATGACGCAGGAGATATCATCTCAGTTCTTGAGAAAAAGTATGTGACACTTGACTGGAGTTTTTTTGTGTGATCTTGAACAATATTTGAAAGTGTAATGAACTGTATTATGCTTTCTTGCGTATGAATATACACATGTGGGCATGCTTAAACCACAGAAAACATTTAGTTGGTTTCGCTTTCTGTTTGAAGAGTTATGTTCGCTTTGGTAAATTATTATTTGCAGTGTTCTATTTTTAGTTTATTCTTTAGAATCTCGCATTTGACCCCAAGAAATATTGATGTCTCGTGTTATACTCATTTCACAAACTAACTGTCGTATTTATTCCATTATATATAAGATTGGGTTCATACACGTGGAAGTTGTTGAACTCTTGCCAATATGCCAGCAATTAGGAAATGTTTTGATTTTTCCTGTCAGACTTAACTGCATTTATAGAATTCTACAATTTTGAGTTTTTTTTGCGGAGTGACAACTTTCTTCTTGTGTAAAGTTAATAATAATATGGACTATAATTATGTCTACGTTATAATTTGCTTCAAACACATGTCTGTAAATTGTACCATGTATGCATAATTACTAATGTTAAATTCGATTGTTAAGGTCAAACCAAGGATCTTCTGATGACAGTGGACTGCTTGTGTGGAAAGGAGTATTAAAGGATGGAAGAACTGGGCTTTTCAATCCTGCCAATACAATCACATACCTCGGGTCCAGTTTCCCAACAGTTAAAAATAGTCCCTTCACAAGAAATGGTAAATTTTGTGATTTTATATAAATCCTCCTCAGAATGTGTTTTACTAAATGTTTTTTTTCTACTAAAATCAGATTCCCGATCATCTTCATTGAGGAAAGGTCGCATTAGTGTTGACATGATTAGGTTCGTAAAACCCAACCAATTCGCTTATCTTTTGAATCATATTACATACAATTGTTACATATTTACCATTGTAACAATTTGTGCAGTAACAGCATGTAAAAATGAAGACTATAAGAGTGATATAGTTTTGAAATGTTCTAAAATGTATTTAAAAAAATAATTATATATCTCTAGTGGTCCACAGGGAGATTTCAAGCACACGGGGCATTGGTACGTTTTTTATGATATTTAAATACAATTCCTAAATTAAAATCTGAAGCAGCGGTTAGCAAAATGACCTTGCATGCAAAGTGACTATTTAGGTTAAATGCGGTAGGGCATAATTTTGTATGCAAAATGCGTTATGCAAAGTGACACCTGACCAGATGTATAAAAAGTATACATATGAGACTGAACATAAACAGATCTTAAGGATTCTGATCTAAAAATTAAATTTATTTATGTTATTATCTTTCATTATTACAAACTAAATTGCACCTCTGCATAATTATTATTGACAACTATAATAAACTACATACCTGTCCTGTGACCCGACTTCATAGTCATCAACGTGGTCCGATGTGGCGATTTTGCCCTATGAGGATTAAATGCAAAATATTTAAATAACGGAGTACAATAAGTGCAATTAAGTAAGGCCTACCTAAGATTCCGGGGAGACCTCGACCTACTTCTACATTCTCTGCTTCTACTTCGACGACGACCTTGACTCTCGTTATCGAAATCCATTTTGTGGCACTATTTTTAATTAATTTATAAGTAATTTATAAATTTATATTTCTTAACATGAGAGAGGAGATTATAGGAGTGAGTGGAGCTGCTGATGAACGAGGAAAAATTTGATCATTAGCCTTTACAGCGATGCTTTTAACTTTTCAAATTTTTCGGGTGTTATTGTATATCGAATACATTATACAAGCTAATTTAAAACACTTACTATAATAAGAAATAAAATATACTGCACCAAATGTAATAATAAATAACTAATAATAATGTGTAATAATAGTGGCCCGGACGGACAGTTTTTTGGCGATATAGCATTCCTCGGAAACAAGGTAAAATTTCATAACCATTCATAAGCTTCATTAATACTTAACTTGTGTTCTTAACTGATTGGAATATGTATATCGTTCTACTAGTCATGGGTCCCCAAGCAAGTAGTTCAAGTAGTTCCTCCGTATAAACCTGAATCCGGTGGTTCAGACACACTGTCTTCGGATTTTGCTACTCCAATTGCAAGACTTCCAGCCTGTTCATCAAGTAAAACAATGCAAGAAATTGCTGGAGACTTGGCATCTAGTGACACCGCCCCTCTCTTATCGACAGCCGCACAAATGAACATGGATGAAAATGGTTGGATTTACATACATTACGGTTTTCCTTCATATTTTGCAATTGTCCTAAATAGTATGGCTGATTTGACTACATAGATCACGAATACCATGAAATATCGGACGAGGAAAATGAAATTGTGGGAAGAAATCGCGGAGAAATGGGACACAGTAATCCAGCTTTAAGTTCACAATCGCCCCTTGACAGTCCTCGTTTTGAGGTTGGACATATTTTTTTTTAATTTGGAGCAGTAGGGGTTTACAATATTTACTGGCACTTATATATATATATATATATATTGACGCTATCTCAGAAAACCTTTGACCTGGGTCCCAGTTTGATTGACGAAGTATTTGGTGCCCTTCAACAAGATCATCCCGACGAAGCTCACAATGTTCAGAACGAATTAAGAGAAATGGCTCGATCGAAAAAGAAGTTTGCCACTGTGAAACCAATATCTTCCTCCGACAGGAAAACATTGGATCATGCCATTCATTTAGCTAATGAGCTTGCGAGTCGATCAATGTTGGATTTAGATAGACATGGTAAAAGTGGTACGAATCACTCGCTGGATGATATCTCCTCGCCAAGGACTCCAAATTCCCCGAGTCACAAACGCAAATTTTCTTTTATACTTGGAGGCGGGCGTAATGAAAGAGAGCGAAGAAATTACTCTCAAGAAGCTGCGTCAATCCCCGATATACAAGTACGTTAAGTACATATATGGAGTTAATTCTGTTTTAATTTTTTTCCTATTATTATTTACTTTCGTATTTAGTCGACCTTAACGGAAGAAGCGAAAGAGGCGTATAATTCCTTAGTTGATAAACCATCGTTGGGTGCCCTAGGTATCATTTTATTTTGATAGATGTGTTCAGTACATAGCACATATAGTCGATTTGAATTTTCCTATGTTTGAGTTTGATTTATTTATTTTGGCATAGGTTTTTTAACTCCTTCATTTGAAAACAAGTCAATGAGTTTCCATTTCCCAGAAAAAAGTAGCTGTTCTTCAAAACATTCAGAATTTTTCGAGCTGGAACCTTCACAAAAACCCAGTAACCCCGAAAGTATTTCGACCTCTTCAGCAATCCAATCTTCCAATGGATCGCATTCTATGGGCATTGTTAGAAAGTCAAAACCTAGAAACCTCAGCCTTCCAGATGAAAGGATGGTCATGAGTTTGGAACATAATTTTCAACAGCAGGCAAATGACGAAGTTGACGGGAATCCTTTGAGACTTTTGCGTCAAAGCAAAGGTCTTGGTGGAACAAACAATGTACTTCCATTACCTCCACGAGATCGATTTCATAAACCTGTGCTCGGAGCCGTTGGAGGTTCTCAATTTCCGCGCCACCAACGGAAACACCCTCTTCTTGTCCCATCAAAAATTCCAATGTCAGAGTTCACTGGAACACCACCACCTCCTCCACCAAAACCGATACGTCAAAACATTAAAACTCAAGAACCGACATCCAACGAGTTGAATGGAAACTTGACCACGACGACGGAAAGTGAAACTACATCTATAGTTGAAGAGGATAGTAATAATGATGAAAGGCCACCAAGACCAACGACAGCAGCGACTTTAATGAAAGAAGGATTACCAAAAGAAGAGTCTGTTCTATCTGCTGTGATCGAATCTCTGAGAAGGAATCAGTCGCTAAATACATTCAGCAATACAGCTGATAAAATTAAACTATATGAAAATTTTGAAACGAGCTGTCCCGACGAACCCTCTCAAACTCCCGAATTATTGAAAGCGAATTTGGAACCTACTCCTATGAAACCACGAATTCCTCGAGGAGATTCCCCAAGTAAAGCATCATCTCAGGATAAAAATTCAAACCCCTTCCAACCTGTTCATAATCGCCGAGTTGCAAGCTTAGATTTAGCACCCAACTTAAATTCAGAACTTAATTCATCAAAAAAGTCCAACTTTGAAACAAATTTTCAACCAGATCATGACTTGCTCAAAATTCGAACTGTTCGAAGGATTTTAGGGTCTTCTGTAAGTTCAAACTTTTCATAGTAATACATGGCCATACAAAAATATTACTAATTGTGTTAATTTACTTGAAAATTGATGTAAATTTTCAATAACACGTACACAGGCAAGTGACGAAGACTGCAAGTGGGCTGTTGAATCGACTAACGACGCTGCTCATGCTGTAAAATTGCTTCGTCTAAAAAGCCTACTCCCAGAAACATTGTTAGAAGACGGCGTAGGAAATATTGTCTCAGCTTTGGAGATGTCACATTGGGATGTTGCTCTAGCTGCTGGATTCCTTTTGGATCGTGATAAAGCCCGGTCCAGAGGAAATGGCAAGACCAAATGTCGATCTGAAGCTACAAGTAGTCATTCTAGATCCGAATACTCATCTTTTGTATATAATGACAATTTTACCTCATCGGATTCCAATGACACCACAGCCAACAATAATCAATTCCATTTAAGCACAACTCCTGCCGATTATAGCCATTGCGCTGCTGGTGTTTCAGGCAATTCTGTTGCAGATGTAAATAATGAACATATCCGCCCAACTCGTGTCTAAAACACGCCATGCAATAATGGTCGAATTAGTGGACATGTGTTGTAGCTACAAACTTTAATCCTATTACATGAATTCTCATAAAAAGACTAAATGAAACTTTCATTTCATGGGCAGCTTTGAATTACGTGTCTTAATATGATGAATTATTATTATTGTGCATTGTGAACTGACCGATACTTCCGAAAGTCAAGGGCAGCTTATGAATAATTTAACAATTTAGACAAATATATCTTGGCCATGCATACAGTCTAGTTAAATCCATAGAGCATTTTTTTGTAAAAACGTACCACTAACAAACTGATGACATAATTTGTATATTTGTAAACTTGTATTACGTACAAAATAAATATTAATGTTGAGTTGATGAGGAATTCTGTTTTGTCAAACTGAACGTTCACTATTCAATCAATCACATGCATGTTATTAACTTCCAAAGTCTATTGTAAATAGATTTTGTTTATTTGGGTGCAAAAGTATGTAAAATTCAGTCAATGCATTACAAATATATACGGCAAAACAGTTACCAGACTAGAATAAGTACACAACTAGTAAAAATAAAAACACAAAATCGGTAAAGGACTAGTCATTGAAGTATCCACCAAGTTTGACCAAAAGTGCGGAAACATGGGTTGATCCTTGTTCTTTCGTCGACCATTGTATATTGTCCAAATTTATTCCCCCCTCTGTTAAGAGACGACTTGGCATTGGGTGGGTCGGGGAGCCGACTTTGTATGAATTTGGTTGAACGAGAATTTGAAGAGCTACTCGAGCATCTAATCTTTTCCTTGTCCTCGAATCAATGAAGCTGTCACAGAACTCTCAACTTTAGCATCCTCACTGAAATGTACGGGGTTATTGTTTAATGTGCTTAGCTCTGACTTACGAATGTGTTGGTGAAAACTCGGGAATGGCAGCATACTCCAATACGTTGGAAAATATCAGTTCAGCATTGTCAGATTTTTCATCCTTTTCCTCCTCACAAGCAGTTTCTCCATCAGCGGCAATAAGTTGACCACAATCTAGACAATCCAATCCAAATATGTTTCTACAATTATGTGCCTAATTTTGTTGATTCAATGAACTGAAAATTACCCATGACGTCGCGCACGCGAAAGATTTCCAAGCCATGATACGCTACATGCCAAGTAGTCAAAACGTTGCTCAAGCTGCTAGTGCTCGTTGTCATTGCTCCGCTCGCATTTTGATTACAAGAAGTGCTACTGGTGAGGTTATCTATAATAATGTTAATCGGGAATCTAACCCAACCCAGTGGCAATGTGTATTCCACTGGCGGATCCCCTTGCTTGCCAATCAGCTCCTTCTCACCTCGAGATTTTATACATGGCTCACAAAAACATACGGTGGGTTCCGTTGGAACAAAAAATGCATCTGAAATACATGCATAATATATGATATTCATCAATTATTTGAACTCCATTGTTAACGACTCATATTACTAAAGTTGTTCAAATTGTACCTGGAATGACCAGGGAGCGTTTAAAGCGCAAGCAGGCATCTAAATATTCACAAAACTTTCTTGGGTTTAAATCTATTGACGATCTTGAGATTCCGACCAACACTTCTTTCTCTGTCAGCTCATTCTTCAATGATAATTCCTTTTCCTCTTCCTTCCCAAGAATTGTTATCTACAGGATCAAAATTAAAATTTACAAGTTTCATTGTCAGGTTTATTATTACTATAAGTACGCTTGATTATTTAGTGTAGTGGGATTACTAAATTCTAACCTGCTCTGCTTCTCCATACAAAACAACAAGAGCTCTGCACCTTGATCCGACATTACATGCAATCACATTGTCCATGCTGCCTACAATTATGTGTAAATTGTGTGCAGAATCAACCATCAACCCAACGGTTTGTCCCACTTTGAGAGTGTTGAGGTCAACTCCAATTTTTTCTGAAGTTCTTATTCCATTTCGAAATACATCATCTCCCATAACAAGCCAACATGCTTTTTTCAAACCTAATGCGTTGAATGGAAATTGAATTCGTTCAGGATTGCATTCTAGAACGCCAACCATCAAATTTGATGTCCACTTTGGATTAATTTGATCAATTCTTATCTCAAAAATTTTCCCTTTTTGTAGGATCTGATTGCTAAATACAAAACCTTGGTATCCAGACGTCCGTTTAGCTGTGAAATTTCCATTGAGTAGTTCAATGTTGCGACTGTGATTGCTAGAAAATGCAAGTGGGGACGAATAGCGTTTTGTAGTTGTAGAGGGGATTATAGCTGTGTTTGGTGAACTGGGGCCTGGTTGTGTTGGAGAATTATCTTCTGGAACCGAAAGAGCCGACTCAGCAAGTGCATTAGTATCCAGACCTTCTTTGGACGAGGTTGTCATTGCTTTCATGGTGCTGGTGATTAAGACTGATTCACAGGAGCCGAACAAGTCAATTGCCACATGCATTCTCTTTGGGACATTTGTCGCAGCGCATCCCATTTCCTCCCCATTTATAAGGAATCTTAAGGTTCCATCCTGGGATATTTTAACCCCAACTCGATCTCCTACGCATAACCGGTTGAGGTTGACGCAATAGTTGTCTCTTATAAGGCTGTGATTTTTGTAAACAGCGCATTCCTTAATGAACCAAGTGTCTGAGCAAATTGCACTTAGTTTTGCCGGAATGTGTGAGGATGGATACTCATCACTGATACCGAGGGACGTGACTCCAAGCATTAAGGCACCGGTCCATTTGGAATTAATTTCCGAGATTCGTATCTATACAAATTATTTCGTCGGCTCGTATTATGTATGTAAACATTGTAAAAGATTATCACCATGATATTATAGTAACGGGATGGATATAAGTATCTACCTACATACATAAACCCAACTATTTCACTTACTTCAAATGTCTCATCGAAATCCAGCGGAGCCGAACTAAAAATTAGAGCATTGTTGTAATGACGAATACGCGTTGCAGTCAAGTTGTTATTTTTCAGGACAATATTTTTCCCACAGCAGACCGAGAAACGGTGACTAGTATCATTAAATGGGAAACTAAGGCTGTCAACAGCTTGTGATGAAACAAGGGACACATCACCAACACGAGTTATTGACACTTGTGCACACTGTCCATACAGGTCAATCACAGCAAAGACGCTCGATGGAACTTCGATTGGAGCTGCCCCCATGTCTTCTCCGTTGATGAAGAAATGCAACATTCCGTCCGATTTTCTCATCATTCCCACTTTGGACCCGACGCTAAGGCAGTCTAGATTACAGAGGTAACGATTTGTGATAGTGTTTCCACCACTCATTATGGAAGAACCGCTGAGCATAATTGTCGTCGGAACAATCCCATCGTCTACTAGATCAGTCATTGTGTTAGGAAAAATTAAATTTTCTGGCTTAATCATGGTCACTCCAGCCTGTAAATAATAAATGAGTTAATCAATTAATTATCAAATTTTATCGGGACAATTCGAATACCTCAATGTTGCCCGACCACCGATCCACCATGCGCTCAATGACGACTTCAAACAGTTCGTTATCCTTTAGAGCACGGGAGCTGACAACGATTGCTACGGAATAGAATGATTGATCAATCTAAATACTTACATATGCTCGTTTTTATAACTAATTATTAACTCTGTCTAACCTGCGTTAAATTCTCCCAAAGCATTTGGTCTGCACGCGGTGAGACCATTGCTCGAAATCCTCGCATTTTTCCCATGCAGGTGATGGAATTTCAAGTCGCCAGAGAACATTGACTCGCCACTTACCGACCTCCCACCCAATTGTCGCACACTTTTGCTGTCTTCAATATTATCACTGGTGTAATTGTTGTCGCTGTTTATACCACTGTGAGTTATGATGGTGGCCTGAGCAGCCTGTCCATACTACATCGATAAAATAAAGTTGAGATTGTGATAATAATTGTGATATTGTGTGTTGTATTATAGTCGGAATATACAGCAATAATATATATAGATTTATTAAACACAGACCAACTTACCAAGTCAATGACGCCATAGACATTATCCGGAATGTGTGAAGCTGCACATCCTTGATCAGCTCCATTTACAAAGAAATGCAAGTTGCCATTCTAATTTAAAAGTGAAAAGTTAAGTGGGATATAAACGTAAAAAAATGGTGTGTACCTCTTTTCGTAAGACACCAACGCAATCTCCAACCTTCAGTCGATCCAATGATTGCCCATACTCGTCAATAATGGATTGACCTACATGGACGGCATAATCAGCTCAACCACAAATTTATTTATAGTCATTTATTTACTGCGCAAAATAATTCACCATTGTGCATCACTCCATTTCCCGTCATCATCCATGTTCCTGATCTTACATTCGTCATGGTGCATGGGTAATCCAAAGACGTAGGTGCATGAGTTGTTACCCCTGATTAACCCAGCAATTGAATAATTAAATTTAAAATAAGTAATTTATCAAACCATGTAATACGTTGTTACCAATTTCAATTGATCCTGCCCATTTAGTGACAATCTTATCCAATCGTATCTCAAACATTTCACTCGGGTGCAAGATTCTATTAGTCAATACGACCTACGTGGACGGCATAATCAGCGCAACCACATTTATTTATATGTATTTACTGCGCAAAATAACTCACCCCATGGTTGAAATCATTTGTCGATCTAAAATGAAAAACAACTGTAGCTTATTCAGTAAAAACTTTGAATTATAAATACGTTAATCTTACTCTGGTCGATGAGCAGTACGTCCATTATTAATTACCTAACAAAATATATTATTATATACGAATCCGTTAACACGTAATAAAATTAATTACCGCAGCATGAAATCCGCAATTGGGGTGAAACATGAGTTCATCCCCAGCTGACACCGTATTTACCATGACGGATGAAGGGGTGGTAAAATCTTGTGGATTCCTTGTAGTGACTCTCAAATTGTGTTCTTCTCTCTCGTTTCGAACAACAATCGAAACCTGGAATTGTGCAAAGCAAGATAAGTTGCATGGTTAAAAATCTGTCCAGTGGAACTCTACCTTTGCAGCCATTCCGTAAAGATTACAACATCCCCAAATTGGCCCTCCATTTGATATGTTTGTTGCAACGCCGTGAGATTCGCCATTTACAAAATAAATCACATTGCCGTTTGACTTGCGCATCACTCCAATTCTGTCCCCCTAAATACATATGTAATAGGCGAGATCATGCATACTGTTGATATTATTATTCCTTCAAATGATGATCAGCGAACCTCTTGTAGTTGATCCAAGTTGAAATTTGTGTACGGGCTGTTTGTGGCCTTTCCATCATGAAGGACACCATTCCTTCACGAACACAGTTTCAAATAACTTGTAACATAACTTGTCATAATTTAACTGCAATATTACTTCAATTTGCACTCACCCACTCATGATTACAGTTCCATTTCCAACGACGGTTAACGTTGCAGGGAAATCCGCAACTCCGGAAAAGCTTTCTGGACTATGAGTGATCAAACCTTGAACAAAGAACAGTTTAAACTGTTGAATGAAAATCAAATTTATTCACCATTGCTAACCGAATTCTATAGATCCCGACCATTTATGGATCAGCGTGTCGATACGCACCTATCATCAGGAAAACAAATATTATTAAATCCAATTATTTATGTATATGTGACTTTATTAACATAATGGTTAAACTTGCTTGAAATAGTTCATCGTCTCGAAGTGGTCTGTGTGTTAGAACAACAGAGTTGTTGAACTCTTCAAGTGGTCTTCGTCTTTCCGCTGTTCTCTGATTGTTGGACAATTTCACTAATGGCCCAAAATTTGTATGGAATCTAAGTTTGTCATTTTCACTGTTGTTTTCTGTATTTGAGTAATTTCCTAGTTCTGGATGTTGTGGTAATTCTTCATGAACAACATGTTCCACAGTGTTTGTGCCTAGATTTATATGTGGCAATAACAATTTTGATATTATTATTTAAAAAATAATAATCATAACAATTCCTTTCGTCTAAAATAATTTACTTTGCTCAGACAAATTAACATTGACAAGTGAGATCATGGCACACTTTCCGTAAAGATTAACAACACAGTAGATATCAGCAGGGACAAAGGATAGTGCAACTCCTTGAGATACTCCAGCAATGAAAAATACCAATGCACCCTGATTAATAGAATATAAAGGCTAATTAATTCCATATATTTAAGCAGATCTAAAACATTGTCACAGGCATGGAATGTAAACCTGTTTTGTTCGCATAAGTCCCACAGTGTCTCCTTCTTCTAATTTCTCCAGGTCGAAGCCATAATTCTCAATTATGGGTTGACTATCGTGTAAAATGGTGCTGCTTGTCATCAACTAGTCCACATATTAAATAGCACAAAGATTAAATTATCACATCACATCACTTTTACCTAGATTAAAAAAAAAAACACATGAGTTGCTCACCCAAGTACCGTTTCGCATTTCCGTCCCACTTCTTGGGACAGTTTCAGCTGTCAAAGAATTTGGATCTACTTGGGTAACTCCGATTTCTAATCCTCCAGACCATAATCCAACCTGACACAAATCAAAACCAAACTTTCATGATGTAACTAATCGTAGGAAGAGTCATTAATTAGGAATTGAATACCTTCTTTTCAATTCTAACTTGAAAAATCGTGTTCGTTTCCAACTTATCTTCGCTAAACACAAGCCCCCCATCGAACTGTGGAAGATAATGTACCAAATTAAATCTTGAAAGTTGATTAAAGTAATGAACCGATAATTTATAATTCTAAAAAAATGCGTCGAGTGTTGTTGTTGTTGTCTCACATCAGTCTTTGCTTTAAGTCTCTCGGCAGTTCGGAAGTCATTGGAGAATTGGACCAAAGGCCCACCAAGCGGGTGGAATCGGTACATCTTTTCCACTTCCTCTCCAATTCCAAAACTAATTGTATCCAGCAATTGTGGATGACAATTATTTAAAATCTTTAGCTCTCTCGTCTCAAGACAAGAGCTCAGAAACTGTATTGCTCAAATCAATAATATCAAATATGAAGAAGCAGTTCGCTCCATGAAACTGGGGTTCCGTGATTTGTGCCTTTGATTATTAAAGTCTGAATAACTTAATTATGCATGCACAAGTTTCACCGATGGCAAATATTTAACCGTGAAAAAGTGAAGCCCAGACTCGGTGTAATAAATCAAGTTTTCTAAACTCTTAGCGTGCGATGCTAATACGATTGGATCCGTATTGTTTTCGTGCTTGGGGTTAAATTAAAGCATGTTTCATGAATGAAGTATCTATCTCGGTATTGGGTGATTATCATTCGGTCCAGACGACTGAATTACTCGTGAATGACATCAATTTGCCTACACAAACTGCAAATCATGAAAAATGTTTGCATACATCATGGAACTTTGCATTTATTAAGTAGCTTCAGCTACTTTATGTGAAGACTTTGTCTGTCTGTCTGTCTGTCTGTCTGTCTGTCTGTCTGTCTGTCTGTCTGTCTGTCTGTCTGTCCGTCTGTCTGTCAGCAGGATAACGGGAGAACGGATAAAGATAATCGAAATCGGTTTTCGCCATCATACATAATACCCCAGGGGGAGGATCCTATCAACTTTTGGGTGCAACCGGACCACACCCCCGGTCGCCAGGGGGTGTGGTCGGGGCAAAATGAGATTTTTAGTGCAATTGAATCTATGGATGAAATGGAGTGAAATTTTGAGTTCCCCCGTTGTGCCACACCCCCCGGGCGCCAGGGGGTGTGGTCGGGGCAAAATGAGATTTTTGAAAAAATTGAATGCATAGATGAAATACAGTAAAATCAAGTGTTCCCGCGATGTCGTGGGAGTGCTTGGAGTGAAGTAGTCTGAAGCTACTTCCGTATGCGCGTTTGCGACGGTTTATTTTGTTTGTGACCATTTCTTTTCTGAACATGTGCGTCGTCTCAAGAACAAACCGTCATATTTAAAATAAGAACCCGGCTACCAACAATAACATTCATCTCTTTACAGTATAAGTTTGTATAACTTACGTTTTATTATTTAACAGTCATACATAATCCTCATTTGTGCTGGATACAGACTATTACGGACTGTAGATATATCTAATTGTGTCAATCCTGTGAGTGTGTGTAACGGTCTGATGAAATAAAGTGCAGCATATAGTAAATACGATAAACATGTTTAGAAGCTATACAGTTAGCTAGTCTGAATTAGACTGATTATCGTGCTATAGGTCAGACACACCGGTGGTCTGTGTCCTAGGATGGATGGAAGTTTGATCAATTGATTATGTGTAATCACTTCACAAACAAATCTGCAATCAATATTGTTTGGTCGATAGAGTTTATCGAACTAATGGTAAGTTCAGCAGGATCCGTTGCTCTTGAAAAATTCGTAAGCCAGAAACTAAGGCGTTGGACCTCTGTGGTGGTACAGACATAATATTTTAAATTGATAATTCGAACTACTGTTTCAGTAAAATGGCGTTGGCGACAATTTCTTCCGTCACCTTGAATCAGTTTGCTCTGGACTTTGAAGGCAATTTGTTCCGCATACTGCAAAGCATTGAAATTGCCAAGGGTCAGGGATCCAGGTTCCGATGTGGTCCAGAACTTGAAATTTGTGGGTATAGTTGCGAAGACCACTTTTATGAGGTAATGTATTTTTTATTTCTTTTTATAGAAATAGTAAATATAAATGTTGTAAGTGTAAAAAAAATTACGTAAAATAAATTCAAACAACTAGTCCTCGGAAAAATTATGAATGCAATGCATCCCTGCAATGCATTGGCAGCCCAGCAGATACTGTAGGTGCTCGGTGTGAAAACGGTGTTATCACCAATTTATAAACTCCCCTGCAATCCAGGGGAGTGTAATTTATTTATTAGATACATCAGCACTATACTTCTCATGATGTTCTAAACATTATAATTGATATTAAACCTAAGACTTGCAACTTATGTCTGCATTATAAATCATCAAAGCTAATGCATTGCAGTGAATTATTGTTCTCTTAACAGAGCGATACCCGCACGCACAGCTGGGAGGTCTTGGCGACGTTACTCGTTCATCCTACGTGTCAAGATATCTTAATCGATGTGGGAATGCCGGTGATGCATCACGGTGTTAGTTACAATTGCCGGATCATATTCCTCAACGGGTGAGAATAAAATGATGATGACCTATTTATTAATTAATCGTATGGTGTTCCCACACCTGTGTTTTATCGTATTAAAGAAATGCATATATTCCTTTATTATTCTTGCAGGAAAATCCTACTTATCCGTCCAAAACTGATTCTCTGTGATGACGGCAACTACCGGGAGTCAAGGTGGTTTACAGGATGGGCAAAGGTATTGCTTGTTTATTGGTAGTGCATGTGCATAGTTCTTTACTATAATTTAAACATGTTCTATTTGACTGACATTTCGGATTACAAAATTGCAGGGACGTCACTTGGAGGATCACTTTCTTCCCGACATTATTACGCGTGTAACTTCCCAAAAGACCGTCCCTTTTGGTGATGCCCTGCTCCAACTGGAGGACACTTGCATCGGATTTGAAATTTGCGAGGAGCTCTGGAACCCGGAAAGTTCTCACATATCCCAAACGCTTGCTGGGGCTGAGATAATTGTGAATGGGTCTGGGTCCCACACGGAAATTCGAAAAGCATTTTACGCAGTGGAGATGATTAAGTCGGCTTCCGCCAAGTGTGGCTGCCTCTACGTATTCTCAAATCTGAGAGGGTGTGACGGAGAAAGGGTTTACATGAACGGCTGCTCCACTATTGCCCTCAATGGGGACGTGCTTTTGCTTGGAGAACAGTACTCTCTCCTAGACGTCGTACGTACTCCTAGCATATTGGGGGATACAAGCATAAAATTTACAAGTTTCGTTCTGTTGACTTAGGAAGTGTTGACAGCGGGAGTTTTTCTGGATGAGATTCGCAATTATAAGAACACTATTCGGAGTCGCACCCTGTTGGCTTCACGAGTAGAATCCTACCCATTGGTTGTGGTAGAGTGGTCTCTCTCTTATCCGACGGACAAAGCCGATATGCACACTCTCCCACTCGAACCCCCTCCGCAGTTCTGCCCTCCGGAAGAGGAAATTGCACGAGGGCCTGCTCTCTGGTTGTGGGACTACGTACGCCGCTCACCAGCTTCTGGGTTTTTCCTCCCCCTCAGTGGGGGTGTCGACTCTTCCAGCGTCGCCATCATCGTCTATTCAATGTGCTGGATGATTGTGCAGCATTTGGAGGCCCATGCAGCTGATGCAAATGATCAGGTCCTGAAGGATGTACGGAAGGTTAGAAAAAATAAAAATATTTTTAATAGTAATAATAAACAAATCTGTACAGCTAGTATAATTAGTGAACTCTAAACGTTTATTTATTGAAATTATAATAATAGGTAGTTAAGGATGGGAGCTATTTCCCAAAAGATGCTCGTGAATTGTGCGGTCATCTCCTCACTACGTGTTACATGGGAAGCGTGAACTCGTCGGAAGAGACGAAATCTCGAGCAGACTCCCTCGCAAATGCAATTGGAAGGTATATTACATATCCTTGTGCATATGTATATGTATAAATGGCTAAAGTAGCTTTACAAGTTTCTCAATTTTATTATGCAATTTTAATACTCTGAAATTTACTGCTAACTTCCAGCAATCACAGCGAGATCAACATTTCCAAGGTGTGCGAAGCTTTTGTGACGGAAACAGCACGATCGCTGAGCAAGGCCACACCAACCTTTGATGGAACACGAGCCGAAAATTTGGCTTTGCAAAATGTGCAAGCAAGAAGCCGCATGGTTTTTGCTTACCTCATGGCACAACTTGGACCTTGGGGAAAGGGGAAAGATGGGTTCGTTAGTTCTTTATTCTTCATCATTATTAAAAGCATTAAAGGTTCGGATTATTTGATCATTTCATGAATCATTAATCTATTTAGGTTTTTACTTGTTCTTGGAACAGCGAATGTGGACGAAGCGATTCGAGGTTACTTTACAAAGTATGATTGTTCCGCAGCTGATTTGAACCCTATTGGGGGCATTTCTAAAACTGACCTCAAGAGGTTCATTGTTCACGCTGGAATAAAGTACGTGTTCTGAATAATTCATTGAATTCTATGAATTTATATGTTTGTACCGCATCGACGTATGTAGGTTTGGGTTTCCTCAAGTAAAAGGAATCGTGCTAGCCCCACCCACTGCCGAGCTGAAGCCACTCGAGTCTAACCAGACGGACGAGGAAGACATGGGGATGAGCTACGAGGAGTTGTCGACGTACGGGAAGTTGAGAAAACCGCAAGCCTGTGGTCCCTTCTCCATGTTCAGCCGCCTCCTCGCCCTTTGGAGGGACAGACACGCTCCAGATGAAATTGCTCGCAAAGTCAAACACTTTTACACCTCCTATGCTGCCAATAGACACAAAATGAGCGTCCTCACCCCTGCCTGCCACATGGAGAGCTACGGCCCGGAAGATCATCGGTATGACCTACGCCCGATCTTGTACCCGGTGGACTTCACCTGGCAGTTTCGCAAAATCGACGAGTACCTGAAGAAATTAACGGCTGGTTTATAATAGATCAAAACTAAATGGGTTCAACTAGTAAACACTTCAAATGGGCCAAGTTTGATGTCCATATAATAAATTAGTAAATAGCGTAACTTTATTGATATCCTAATAAATTTGGAAAAGTACTCAAGTGTGCATAGTTCAATTGTGATAATAATCGCAGACACCCTTCATTGACAAATATCGGTAAATGTTTTGCATGGAAAGAAACCCCGTTTTATAGATTTTGTCGTCAATTAAATTATTCGCATTTTTTAAGCTAAACGTTTTTATTATATGTATTTTCACAAACTACGCTATTTATTTTTATCAGCATCCTGTTATCCTAAAGATTAAGGCCATGGCCATGGTTCAGAATCCTCCACTAGGTCATGTATAATGACGCTTTTCATGCACATGTTTGGCTATTATTGTCGGCTGGCATCAACTCAATGTGTGGATTTTGATCCGAAATGCTGAAAAACGGTGAACCAACTGGACAAAAGATGATTTTACTATCCTCGCCTCGTTTGACGTTTGGTTCCAAGTGTTTTATGGAGATGGAGGTGAGCGAGAGGTCGGGAGTCTTGGGACCCATCCGATTCACCCACCAAAGCAATGGGTTGGACATGGCAGGCCGTAGAACGAGTTTCTTCATTCCTGAAATGTGAGGACCTTCGCGTAGGTAGGTGTAAGTCAAGTTGCCTCCACGAAGTTCCCTGTACAGATATTTAATTTTTCATCATGCAAATAAACCTATTGTAAACTAATGTGAGATTATACATACGTACGTCCAGTCAATAGTTAGGGTGGCAGTGTCTCCCTCCGCAGGATCTCCTAGAACGAGGTGGAGCTCTGAGGTCGAACGGTATGAGGACTCTTGTGCCAGGTTGAGGGTCACGACGTAATGGTTGCCTGAGTGAGAGTTGATACTATTTAATACCTACTTCATGCATATATTGTGTATAATATATGGACAATCATTACGGCAGAATGGAGATTTGGAGGAAGTGACTAGATAATAACTTATCATTGTCCCTTCGGATGGTTTCACAGCATTGAACCCCATCCAATTTATGGGCACCAGGGACGTGTTGCATCTTGCAGACGAAAATTGGTCCCAAGATGAACAGGCAAACCCCATGAACTTGCATGAATCGACGCGATGAGAACGAACCGATTCCGTAAAGTATTCGTAGGCACGCATATGGTCACAGCCCAAGAACCTTCTAATACCGTAGAGGAATGAGCCGTCTTCGAGTAGGATGGCGTTGTAAACTCCGTCCTTACAGCCAGGCTGCTCCCTCCCATTGTTCGGGTAGAAGTCGGCGTGCTATAAGGTAAAAAATAACAAACAAAAGATTTTTTCAAGGGTGCCAAAGACTTAAAAATATTTAGAGCATGTACACCAATGGGCTGTTGCATCCCAAGACCCACCCCCACATTCCCTACAGCACGCAGAATGAGAAAATTTAGACATTCCGCTATTTCCGTTCACTATAATAATCATGTCATAAAAATGCACCTCCATCCAGCATGGGCCGAGCGTCAGTATGAATTATATCAACGAAATTTGCGTCCTCAAATCCCAATCGGCCATCAGGTGGGACTTCCTGAAAATGAGGTTGGGCAGGATCCAATCCCGAAATTCGACCTACCGTCTCATTCAAGTGATCCTTTACCCAGGTTCCAATGAACCCGGCCAAATGAGCTCCAAGACTGTGACCAATCAAGTGGACATTTTTGTAATCCAGGCTGTACAACTCCTACTCATATTTATAACGTACATATTTTCAATTATATTACTTGTTAGAGATAATTCATCTTGTATTAATAAATTAATGAATAAAAAGATTGATCACAAGATGAATAATCTGTTTAATAAATCTAAATATGTATTAAAAGTGTAAAGAAACACGACGACTGACTTGCAGATCTCTCATAATTCTGGCTGAATATACAGCCAACAACTCCAGGTTTGCAACGGCTTGAGTGTAGGGGGGCTTAGCGGCTTCCGCCCAATCCACGACAAAAACATTCGCCTTTGCATCCTGTGCCAAGATTTCGCATGCCATCTCCTATTCTTGGGTAGAGACCAAAACTTTTGATGACCAAACATTGCACCCGAAGAAAAATGAAAATTATCTGCTCTGTGCTTACCAACCTTGATCCAGGGTCGGTTTCCATTTTCCATGTAGCCGTGCACGATCCAGTAGCTTTGTCCACCTCTGATAGATGACACGTTATTAATGACTGAAGCTGCTGCTGGACGTTCAAGGTGTTGGAGTTGTCGAAGGGTCTCATTGTCAACAATTTGGCACGAGTCGCAACCATTTTTACTAGTGATTTTTTTGGGCATCGTGTAGAGACACACGGTGGGGTTCATGTCTTGGATTGTGTCTGGAAAGAGGCGAAACTTTGGTTTGAAACAGCCCCATGGTTCAAAACATTTTTCTGTATCCAACGATTTTTCTCCTCCTGTGAGGAGACTTGACAGATTGTCAGTCGTAGTGTTTGAAATGTTGACCAAGAGACCGTAATCACGAAGAATGCCCTCGCGACTATCTGAATCGTTCAAGTTATTGTAGTCTCCAAAGAAAACAGGAATACCAAAAAGATATAGCAGAGAATGGACAATTGTTCCGAATCTGCTGTTTCTCAAGTAAAATTGCATTTTCTTGCAATTGAATTATTTCAGCGATATTGTATGGAAATATGTACATGTTTTTTACGGTTAAACACGAAGGGCAATCATTTGTAGTAATGGATAAAAATGCTGACAATCATGTGTGTTAGAAAATTAACACAACATGATTTCTTCAAGAGGTTCAAAAGATCAGGGTTAAGTATGTGCACGTACTGTATCAGAAGTTGTGGTCTCGATCATCTCACCAGTTATATGTAACATAATACTTATTATTGTGAACGCAAGTATTTGTTTATTCGTCAGCATACTTTTTACAATTATGTATCAACCTTTCTTGTCTTTACCATTTTGCTGGAAAATAAGATAGATGAATGGATGTGAACAAGGAGAGTAACATTTTTCTTATTTATTTATTGTATGTGTCATTTATGGATGACATATGTTCATGACCTTTATTGATCATGCTGTTGTATTGTTATTATTTTCCAAATACGCTATTCGAGGGGAAAGTATTTCTGCAGTAGGGTTTCATACACCTTATCGTCGATGGGAAGAAAGGTGGTAAATATGATCCGATCAACCTATGTACAATTACAACAAACATTCCAGGATTATGCTACTCATGGTTATGCAACGATGATCACTTTTTAATTTACTTTGTCACTGTGCTTCTCCAAAAATTCTCGAGTCGTACTAAGAGCGACGTGTGCTGCACTGTCATTAGGATATCCTATAAAATAGAGATTTAATAGCACTCATAAGTTAGTAAATATTAGTAATTGTTTATTCATTATAAAAAATATACCATATATTCCAGTTGCAATGCATGGAAATGCCTAAAAATAGTGTAAATGAAATGGTGTAAGTATATTTACCTATACATGATTTATTTATGAAAGACTGTTACTCACGATAGATTTTAAATCATTTTCAAGCATCAATTGGAAAGAGTTTGAGTAACAGGACTGGAGAATTTTGGCTTCTTCGGCTTGAGGACCCACGGTGTGTATCACATCTAAATCACAATGAGTGAATGAATTAAACAAATACATAAATTAAATAAGCACATTTATTAGATAAACTCACATTTTGCCGGTAGTTTATACCCTCCCGTAATTTTGGCGTTTCCAACTTTACAACCATTCAGCGTTTCACACTCCCTCAATAATCCTGGTCCTGCAGCCCGATGAATAGCCCCATCAACTACAATTAACAATGAATTCACTTAAATGATGACAAAAAAGTATTTAAAAAAATCCTAACCTCCTCCACCCCCAAGGAGGCTACTATTTGCCGCATTGACGATTCCATCAATTTCAAGTCTGGTGATATCGCCTTTCCACAGGCTCACCTTTTCATTTAAGTCTACTTTTACTTCTCGAGTCTCTGAAAACACATCACAATCAAATAGAATAAATGCATGCATATGAGTTACGAGTATCTTATTTGCTCGTTTTACCTTCCGAATCTGGCAGGGTAGGAAGAGTCTTTGCCTTGGCGTAGCAAGGCCAAGTTGGGATAGTCGTCAGCTCATGGAAAGCATCGCCACACTTGTACACCTTTCGTTTTTCAGCAAGGGGTAGGTTTAGGTACTTTTCTGACAAATAATATTAATAGGATTCAAAAATTTTGTGGATGTCAGAATGACCAGCATAAATTGATGGTTAATTTTAGATTAAACCTTTTGCTTCTTGGAATTCAGCCATTGTGATAAGATTTCTTAATTGAAACTTGCCCGGACAATGTCCAAGACTTGATAACCGGCAAACAAAGGGACGTAGGAGGAGGGTTCCTGGTTGAATGATTCTAATTCCCCAACCTGTCATTCAATGTTTCACACTCACAAGAAAATAGATGTAAAATTAAGGCTGTGTGTGAATTGTGTGATTGGATCAATTTCAAAACCAAAATAATGTGTTTGGATTTGTGGAGAGTTGACGTACATCGTTGAGATGAGAAGACGAACTACTTGTGCGGGAACAAGCACGAGGTGGTTTGTTTTTTTAGACGATTTTAGACGATCGGTACTCCTGAGTTTACAGTTCTGGTCGCTTAGGTCGCACGACGTATTTAACGATTTTGGAAGCGACAAATGCCAAATCACCCCCATTGATAAACCATAAATAGTACCGCAATCATATTTACCAATGAATAGCAAAATAAAGGATACGACATGCGAATTGTGAGTATTATTCATTATAACTTTCAATTTTTCAAGGTGTTTTTAAATTATGTATCACGTACGTCTGTATGTCTATATTCATTAAATTCAATATTGGAATTATGTTGGGCGTTCGATAGATGTGGCCTCGAGGTGTCAAAGTACCTCTGCCCCCGATGTGGCCTGAGCTATTGTTCCCTTCCCTGTTACCGATCCGGCCCTCATCAATCCTGCTCAGAGTCGTTCTACCGAGACTGTGTCACCTCAGAACTCAAGTCACTTTCACCAAAGGACGACTCTCGGATGAAATCCACCCTGCAAAGATTCCATCAAAGTCAACAAGAAGAACCTATGAATAATGAGTACCAAGAAGAGAATGATGAGGTGTTGTTGGACTCTGATGATGAAGAACCCTTGGCCGAACGACTTGCCGGGATTGATTTAGACGATGCCGACAAAGTTTGGAGTGTACTAACGGAAGAAGAAAAGTCAGAGTTTGGTCAGTTTGCGTCTTCCGTGGATAAGGTTGAACAAGTTATGGAAGAATGGGTGCCATGGTGGGAGCCACAGCCAGTCATTCTGGTTCAAGAGGTGGAAGACGACGACGACGACGACAAGAAGAAAGACAGCAAAGATGTCTTACCACCTACAATTGTGGACAACATTCCACCCTTGATCACGCTAACTGTACGTCCTTTAAAATATATATATTTCGCCTATGTTATCTCCCATATTTTATAATCTAAATATAATCTATCTATACAGAAAGTGACACCCAATCAACCCCAAGTGTCTAGAGGATTGACCAACGTGGTAGCGGCCTACGTTTGGACCAGTCGTCTGTACAATGGCGATTTCCTCACTTACCCAAACTCACATGAAGTACTGGCTGCACTCGTGAACCTCTCTTCGTTTCTGAGACAGGACGCTGTCTTCACATCATTCCAACATGCGTTAGCTGATGTGTCATTGAACGCTTGTCATGTAAGAATATATGGCCTAAATACTAAATTGTGTCTGATGTATACATTAATACATAATATTCTTCAATAGATTCCAGAACTATTTGACGGCGGTCCTGCCCTGCAGGCCACATTAAATAAGGATGTTTTCCACATTTTAGAAGGTGCGAATCTTTATGAGCAGTTTTCCAACACCGCCACCACTACTGCGCCAAACAGGTCCACGCTCTCTGCTTTAAGTGAGTGTTACCGACTGGTAGACAAGGTTATTGCTACCGAGAAGAAGGACCAGAATAATAGCAAGAAGAGTAGCAGCATGCAATATATTTCAAACAAAGAGGAAGACAGCTCTCCCTCCGCATTTAGCAAAAAATACCCTACTGATACCCGTAGCGGATCTTTGTCCGCTGCTGTTGAGCCAAAACTGATGAGAAATACGCGTAGGAAACTTTATTATCTTCTAGCGTTTGCCAACGAGCATCCCATTCTCCCCTCGTAGGTTACGCATCATATCACAATAATATATAGATAATTCATCTATGGTAAGAATGAGTATAAATGTTTGATGATAATGTGAAACTTAATATATTCTGAAAAATAAAGGTAAGTATTAAGTATGCAAATCTCATTTCATTGTCGTCTTTATAGCATAGAGTAGCCTGCTGTTCGCCGAGTTGCCGCTTGCGGACGTGTCATTTGGATGAGATTCATCATTTTACTTTGATTTTTTCACGCACGTATTTATAATTGGACAGCGGTCCACCCACTACCCAGTCAAAACAATTGTTTTTTTATTTAAATTCTGGATCATTAAACATCTATTGGCAGCATTTTGATACGTTGGTGGGACTCCTCCTCTTATCTTAGCTTGAAGTCCTACTGAGCTGCCCTGCTGGCAGGTGTGAAGTGACTGAAAATGGTGCTGTTTACCATGATAACCCGACTGCGCGATTCTCTGCCACTAGCAGCATCAATGCAGAATGATGAAGAGGTGAAGCGTTTGCAACTTAATTACTGCAGATCCTATGGATCTGCAGATTTGTCTTTTCATCATTAAGGGAAATTTCTCAGTTTCCTCACATATTATCGCATTTAATCGTATTTGTTATTTTCAGGCCGAAAGAAGTTTGGTAGAGTACCAGCAACAAGCAAAAATGCTTTTTCGACGTCTCACACCTCAGTCACCCCCACAATGTTCCATTGAAACAGGTCCATATGTCTTCCAGTAAGTTGATTATTGTTAAGTCTACAGTATTACTGTTTCTAACCAACTGCAAACTGGGAACTACGATCTAATCTAGTATTTTATTTCCTCTAAATAGTTATCTCATCGATAGCGACACGGTATACCTCACCCTGTGCGATAAGGCTTTTTCCAAACGTCTGTCCTTCACATATTTGGAAGATCTAGCTACCGAGTTCCAGTCGCAATTCGGGAAGAAAGTACACACCGTAACAAGACCTTACTGTTTCATTGAATTTGGTAATTTTACTTTTAGTTTTAACCTACTAGCACATACGAACTTTACAAAGTTGTTATTTGTAATTAAACCTTTCAATCTCTTCTCAGATGCCTACATCCAAAAAGCTCGTAAAACGGTGATGGACTCACGAAGTCGTAGAAACCTATCCGCCTTGAACACAGAGCTGCAAGATGTTCAAAGGATTATGGTACAAAACATTGACGACGTCATAAACCGGGGTGCCGTGCTTGCAGATATGGATACCAAGGCCCAGAATTTGTCCATGCTGTCCCAAAAATATAAAAAGGACGCGACCTATCTTAACTGGAAGTCAGCCTACGCCAAGGCTGCGGCTGGGTTTGTAGTCGTATTCGTCTTCATCCTGTACTTTTGGGTGCTATGATGATGAGAGCATGTCATCCATCATTGTCATTCATTCCCTGACTTCAATTTTCTCCACTTCTGCTGCTCAATCACTTTATCCCGTCATCAAACTCTCGTCTAGTATACAACTATTATACAATTGATTAAACTAGGCAACTTCTGGGCAGAAATGAGTGATGCGATGCCATTATTATTTTAACATGAACAAACAATTATTGGTTTTTGTCTCCAAATCACTGGAATTGTCTCGTCGGGTTACTTGTAGATATAATATTGTTATGTATTAATAGATAGGTAAAGAAATAATTTTATGTTTGCGCATAAGTGGTGTGGGCATCGGAATATTTCTGAATATTTCTGAGTATATAAATAAAGAAATCTATAAACTCATGGTTGAAATAAGCAACGTTGGCAAGGTCGTCCTCAGTATAAAATCTCTGTCGTGTTTGTATTTTGACCAGTGACAGATATACATGCAGTCGTCATAATATGTTATATCCTCCTGATGGACACTGGACATATGTGTATTTTAAAATTGCAATGCAACATAGTTCATGAATAGTTAAGATGCAAAAATGTACAATTTCTTTATTCAAAGCAGAACTTATTCATAAAAAATTATAGACACTTCTCTTGGCTTCGTTTGACTTTTGGAGTTGAGGAAACCCCCAATGTTGGTGCGTTGGGCGTAATTTTTCACCACCTTCTTCTGACCTCTCAGCAATGATAAATATTAATACGTACGAAGAAGCACGTCGTATTTACCAATCGTAAGAATGAATATGAAGCTTTATTATGGCGAGTCCCTATATACAATTTCGAATTGTCAAATGGGAGCAGTGCATGAGAACGGGGAGGTAAAGGGTGATACATAATTGTGTATAAATCGACACTGAGATTGAGCCCTCAGGAGGAGAAAGGTGTGCATTTTATTGAATGATTTGCATAGTGTCTCTTTCTGATATGAGATGATGAAATGGTGGATGAGCAGGCAGGCGGAGGTGAAAGTGGGGAAAGTCTGAGCAGGAAAACAGCAAGACGAAAATCATCAGTCAGTCCTCTCTCGTCTCTCGAATGAGACAGACGCATACATAAAACTGCGAGTGGTCAACGTCTGCTTTCTCAACTCCGTACATCGTCTTCCACCCACATTCGGAAGTGATATTCATCACTTCCGAATATTCGTCAATAATCACCACTCACTGCTGAATACTTACTGGGGTAAAAAAATTGTTGTGGTGGGTATGAGCCTGTCTGACCTTACATATATCATCTTCCTACCACTCGTCTTCAGAGTGCATACCATGCCACCACCAAAGCTCATTGATATTCCTGCGTACAATTGAGCATTAATAAGGAAATAAATGATCCCCTTATCAGGTGCTATATAATGAGTTATTTATACAGTATTGACTGGTGACTGATTAGGTTTTTAGCGTGTTTGCTTTAATTGAGTACATATCTCTTGGCTGGGGGACAATCATAGATAAACAAAAACAGCCAGTGACTTGACCCAGTGTTACAAAGGGCAAAAAGCAACAGGAGAAAGTTTGATTGCTTTGCTTCTTCTGTCTCATTGATGAGGGACGTTTATTCACCTTATGACTCACAAGTTACAAATATAGTTTTGTTCACTTTCTCATGGAGTCGCAGAATGGCCTTGGCCTGATACTCCAATCTGATACTCTGATACTCAAATCTACTGCTGAGTTGTTCAAGAGGACTTGAGGGCCTCCCCATGACGCCCTGGACGGTCGTAATCGTTGTCGTCTTTATCCTCGCCTTCCTCTTTGTCGTCTCCTGCGTCCTCTACAACTTTTTCTTCCTTGACCACTAATTAACGCCAATGGAGGGGGGATGCGAAGACGAGACGGGACTCAAGACCAGTTAAATACGAGGGTAAGTTGACAAGTCACGATGTAAATACGTGGCTTGAAACCTGTATTTACTGGGATGGGAGCCTTACTTACCCGACTGACTGGGGAATTATTGAACCGGAACGGATCGGTGTGATGGGATGCTAATAATAATTTGGCATGGTTCGATTTCGCCGTAATCAATAAATCCATTATTTTAGAGCAAAGTAGTTTATACAATTTTAGAAATAGTCAAAGAGGGAGAGAGAGGGACACAATATCATAATAAGTAACTTTGCATATTCTTGTTGCCGCTGGAGCCCGGTATGCTAACCCAGTATGCACATGCATGGCAATGCTTATCATTGACCCTTGCGTCACGAAAGACATCCATTTCATTAGGCGACCTCGGCTCGGGGGAGGAAGAGTAGAAAGTATGGATGTGACAAGGATTCATCATCATAAGACTGAGGCAAAAAGTGGCAAGCAGGCAGGAGCAGTAAGCAGAGAAAGCCATAACTTGCACACGGAGAAAGTAAGAGAGATGAGACCTCATCGTGAGGATGGGAACACGGATTTCGCTGTATTTTATTACTTATGTATCCACCACCACCATCATCATCATCATCATCGATAACTCTTCTGGATGGCGAACAGAACAAGTCACCCGTGTAGCTCACGTCGAAAGTTGTCTCTCTTTTGAGAAGGAAGAGAAAGTTTGGTGGTGATGGATTCTTGATCAATAATAACCCATCATGTCGCATCATATTTGTGCGTTCAGTGTTGATCATGGTGCATGAAGCCTAGACTGGAGAAATGTGTGAGGAAGACATGTTGATTGATCAGGGATACAGACAGATAGTATGGCATGAGACATATGCAGAGGTAGAGTAATGCAATTGAGCACATAAGATGATGTTGCCAAGCAAGAGTTCATTTTAATGAGAACCAATGCATAGGACGAAATGGAAGCCAAGTCTGCGTCCTCATAAAAACACTCCTGCACAGACCACTGAATTGTATTCCATGTGGCATTAATCCCTTCTGGCATTTATGGCATCGTCTCTGAGAGTTAGTGATTCTCAAAATTGGAAAGATGCGATTTTCCCACGCCTTGCACAAGCAGTCCACTCAAGGTCGCACTGTAAGGTCAAGTTGGATGTGAACAATAATGGCTCTTAAACCCAATCCCCCGCAACCCTTCATACATAAGTACATCCATACAGCCACATGAAACCAGCATTATTCTCATCTCCTTCGACCACTTTTACAGCCGCCATCAATAGATCCCCCAGAAGTATGACTCGCTAGGTTAGATTAGACAGGTATACATAAGTATGTGCGTAGATATTAGACTCCAATGGCTTCAAAACAGCCCATTATTCTTCCTGACTGGGGCCTCCAGCTTCTCGTCGAGCAGTGGAGATTCTTCACTGGAGAATACCCAGATTGGGCAGAGAGCGTTGAATTCAGGCATGAAGAAGATATTATGTCGCAATGGTGGCAGTGGGTTATTGGTTTGGTGGTGAAAGGGTTCAGCAGCAGGAGACGAGCACCATTCTCTCAGGATGCGACGGAGGGGAAAGTTTTTGAGTGAGTGAAAGTGCTGACTCCGTGGTGACCTGGTCTTCTTTCGTGCACTCTTTTCACTTATACTCCAACTACTTAGCTCACTGGTGGTGGTGGTTGCGATGACTTGATCACATCCTCTCCCCATAATAACCCAACTTCTCGGCATGGTTTCAGACCGAAACCAGGAAAGTCTGTCGCTGTGGCTGTCGCCCACCAACTTTCACTCTAACAATAAGTCATGCAGCATATTAATATTGTTTGAGCTGCAAAGATAGAGAGTATGTATTTGCATTCCGCACACATTTTCTGTAGCCCGAGTCAGGGCTTATTCGATAGTCATATCCATCTTTGACAGTCGAATACCTGGACCGGTTTTGAGAAAATTAGTCTAAAAATACGTATCTCTCAAGGGCATTGGAAGAGTTCGTAGATGGGCATGACCGGTCCAGCGGGTGGCCGGTGGAAGTCATAAATAATAATAAGTGGTAAATGGGAGTCAATGTGGGGGTCAATGTTTATCACCAACAAGTCCTCGTAGAAACTGAAATTTGGCATGGTGGTGCAGGTGCACATTAGATCAAAGAATTTGATGACAAACTCAAAAATATTTTCCCCGTACGAACGTCACATTGTGATCCACACCGGTTGAAATTTTGCAATATTTTGCATGGAATAGGGGAAACTATGTACGTGTAGATAATGATTATGAATATTAAATATCTCATGTATGCGGTATTTTTGCGAGTAATCATTCAATTTTACGTATATAATTAAGTAATAATATTTGGATCATCTGAACAAAAAATCAGAAGCAAATCTGACCCTGACTCGGACTAAAAATGAAGTCTACACTGTATAGTTTTTGTCATGCATTGACATTGCATTTGAGAATTGTGGATTTTATTTAATGTATTTGTGTTTAAATAAAAGCCGTTGTGGATGTATATTGATTTCAGACTTCAGAATCACACCTAAACGCGAAATGTAGTGTGTCAGAGTGTCAACCTCAATAGCCATCTAACCAAGGCGGAAAATGTGCCATCATCATAATAAACAGCCAATTTTAATGACAATCAATCATGTTCATACACATTGTAAATTATGCATCTGTGGTGCATGGTTATGTATTTGCTATATATACTTAAGTGGTGTTTATGCTTCGCGTCACTGTCACGTCCTCCTCCAAATCCGATTTTTTGATTGGTTAAAATTTTTAATTGTCGTAGTGACAATTTCGCTCAGCCAATCAAAAAATCGGATTTAGAGGAGGACATAACGATAACGTGAAGCATAAACGCACCTTTAGACAACCTGTTACGTATGTGGCTAACAATGTTCATGTTGGAGACACAAGTTTTGACTGTTGCGTGAATGATCCTTATCTAGTAGTTTGTTTTTGTTAGCCCAAGTTTCTTTAGGATTACTAAAATAAATCAATACATCAATTTACTTATCAATCAGAATAAATAAACCACATATATACAACAGGTTAAAATACATAAATTTATTGCATATGGTATAATATATATCACACAAAGCAACAAGCAACGCTTATTTTATATTAATGCTTGCGCTACGAGGACGACGACGCCCCATTAATGAAATTTTCAAACACATCTGCATCCTCCTTGTCCAGTCGTGACATATCCAAAACCTCCAAATCTTGGGCCATGTGAGTGGCATTCTTTGTGCCAGTGAGGGGTGTGACCACGCCTGTCTGGACCAGATATGCAAAAAACATTTGCTCTACTGTCTTGCCGTACTTTCTCCCAATAGCCACAACTGCCCGATCCCGAAGAATAGTCGGATTTGCCGTAAGTGTCCAAAAGCTTTGATAGAAAATCCCCTTTTCCGCACAAAATTTTCGAAGTTCGCGATCGTAACCTGACTCAGGGTAGAGCCTATTTTGGAGGACGGCGGGTTTAATGGACACCGAATCGAAGAGCGTTTTAAAAGTTTCTATCGAGTAGCAATTACTAATTCCCAGCTGCTTTACTTTTCCGGACGCGACAAAGCCCTCAAATATTTTCCAGACCGTCAGCGTGTCTTTGACTGTTCGCATTGGGGAATGAAGGACGAGAGAGTCGACGTAGGGTGTTCCCAGGTTGGAAAGTGAGCGTTCTAAAGATTGAACGACTTGGGTCGCCAGTGGAGCAGTAGGATCATAAGGAGTAGAGGCGGGGTCCTGGCCATCGAGAGATGTAAACTTGGTTTGGATGAACAAGTCCTCCCTGGAAATTGTCCCCTCTGCAAGGATGGTACGTAGCGCAGTTCCCACGCCAGCCTCTGTGTAGTGTTTGGGCTGGCAAGCGGTGTCGACGCCTCTAAATCCGGCTCGTATTGCCGTGATGACGAGTTCTGCAGTGGCACCTTTTTTCCATGCTGTCCCGTATATAAGGCGGGGCATGCGGACAGACGAGATTGTAGAGGTGACAAAATGGGAGGAGGATGCGGCCATAATTTTCACGTCGTCGTCCTCAAGGACAGGCGGATTGATGAGAACAGGAATAAGAAGGACGATAAACAGACGAAACAGTGCTTTTCCTGAGTACACCTGAAGAGGAGGATAATTACAACAATTTGAAATTATTATTTCATCATTTGTATAATTTTATTATGCAGTGTGTATAATGTAATTGTAACTTTTTTTTTATTAGTATGAAAATGTTTATAAGTAGATGACACCTTTGTTGCCGTAATTTGTTGATGGAGGGACCACCAATTGCTGTTAGTGACGGCCAGGATAAGTGAGTTTTAGGAAAAGATTTCAAAAACCAGATCAGCAGAGTGAATTTTTTCACAAAATTAAAAAATTTTACGTTTTTGAGTACAACTTGTACTGCACAAGTGAACTTGGCTGCAAGAGTGAAAAGGCGGCACTTCAAATCAAAAGAAGTTGACACAAGAAGCGAAATCCAACAACATAGCCAACCACCATCTGGACTGGAAGGTCACCGAGTAATAGAAATTTGTAAATATAAAAGTACAGGTTCGAATTGTTCTTTTCAATAATTCCAATAACAAAGGTGAAAGGCAGATTTAGCAGCAAGCTGGGTCAGTGCAGCCCTTCAGTCTAATTGTATACGGACCGAGTATACCTAATTCTTTAAACTTTTGAGACGGGACGAATTAGTAATAAGGGGCCTGTGTAAGTTCATTAAATTAATAAATCGTCCTTCCTAGATTTTTATTGAGTTCAACTAGACATCAAATTTTGTCATTTCCTTAGTTTGATCCGAGACGTTGCTCCCAGGAATGAAGTTACAAAAGTGGGTAGACACTTGCTGGCCATCCGGCATATTATCTCATCACTGTTACTGCTGCTATTAATTCTGGTCATATAATTGGGGAGGACAGGAGATCCCCATGCAGAAAAAAGTTCAAGAATTTACTATACTCGATGACGATGACGATATACAACACCGCGACCAAGACGCCTTCTTGTTAGGACGTTACGACGAAGTGAGTGTACCATTTACACAACACTGCATATCCATATGTACTCGAATATGGCAATTTTATAAATACAATCTCTATTGTTTTTTTTCCTTTGAGGAGGAAGACCTCTTTACACAACTTCAACAAAAGAAAAAACAGAGACGGCACCTTTTCTCACCCACACCTGGGAGGAGTCCTTCTGGATTAATAATGCTAAGATTGCGATGGTGTGCCGTGATGGCTGCCGTGTTCCGTGCACCCACCGGGCCAAATAGATCTCTGTATTACATCATTGTAAGAAATATCTTGCTCATCCTCGTCTATTATGTTCTCTCCATTGGACTCACCTTCTACCAAAATCACCTCCTCAAAGTAAAATGACATGATACTGCATACAATTGTTAAAATTTCTACTTGTACATGTTTCGAATAATGCTTTAATATTTACAGGAAATCCACTTTCCTCTCTCGGTCGTCTTATGTCACTTGGTGGTCAAGTTCTTTCTCTCCTCGGTCATCCGCCTGTGTTACGAGCTTTGGACTGGAAAGAAGAGGGTCGTGTTGGACTGTGACAATTGGTGCAAGAAGCTTTCACTCATCGGAATTTCGGGAGGACTGGACATTGGGTTTTCGAATTGGGGACAAGAATTTATCACCGTATCCTTGTAAATAAAAAATAACTCGGCAATTAATCTAAGCAATATATCCATGAATTCTTGACTATGACTGAATTGAGTGACAATTTCTTGTGTACTGACAGATATACAATGTCCAAAAGCACGGCCATTATTTTTATTCTGGGATTTGCTCTAGTTTTGAAGCTTGAGGAAAAGGTAAAGTTTACTAACGTGCACATACTCATCATTTATTTGCGTCAACTTTATAAGATCAATTATTTTCGAGTGCTAATACAATTATGTAAATATATTGTTCTTAATATTTGTAGCACTGGTCTCTGATTGTGATTGTGTCCATGATATCCGGTGGACTATTGATGTTTACCTATAAAAGCACACAATTTGACCTGCTAGGATTTTCTCTGATTATGGCCGCGTCGTTTTTGAGGTATGTATGTCCTCGACATCATGGGATAAGTATCAATATTATTCATATCATAAACTGCTTTCCTTCTGCCCAGCGCAATCCGAATAATTGAATATTATTACTTTCATTACAGTGGAATGCGTTGGACAATTTGTCAATTAATTATTCAAAAGAGTAAGTTGGGCCTGCATAACCCAATTGACATGGTGTATCATGTACAGCCTTGGATGATTGCGGGTAAAATTTGATCACTTTCATAATACAAAAGGAGTAAAAGGAATGTAAAAGAAGTTTAAAAAAATGTGTTAATTGCAGCCGTGCTCCCCTTTGCCCTTTTCTTCGAAGGTGAGTCCAAAAGACGATTTTGTACTGTCAGGCGTAGAGTTTGTGACAGTTTATGTGTTGCTTTGGTTTGTTGAAATTGATCAACTTGATTGTGCTACCGTTACAGGGTCGCTCATAACCAGTCACTCGCTCCCTCTTCAGAGTCACGAGGACAAGGCTCACTTTCTGACAGTGGTCAACGCCGTATTGATTGGGGCCTTGATGGCGTTCTTCATGGAAATAGCAGAGTATTTGGTGGTCACATTCACTTCTAGTCTCACGCTCAGCGTAGCTGGCATTTTTAAGGTTGCTTGAGTTTACCATTCATAGGATACGATAGTTAATAAATGTTAAATTAAATTATTATTTTTTTTACATTATTTTAGGAAATTTGTACCCTCTGTCTTGCTGTCATTTTTAACGGTGATCAGCTAACTTTTATCAACTTTATCGGACTCTTGATGTGTTTTACTGGAATAATTTGCCATGTCACGTTCAAAGTGATGAAGAGTACGAACACTGGAGGAGGAGATTCAGATGTGTCTACCGTCGTCGCCTCGTCTAACAATGCTACATCCACCGCTCTGTCATCAGGTTCCTCGTCATGCCGACAAGGTGGGCCATCGTCCACCTTTTTGACAGAGACGTCTGAGTCAACCACACCACTCTTGTTGGGAGAGGAGGGGTGTGTGACGAAGGAAGTAGACGAGAGTGAGGATGAGGAGTTGTGGGGAAAGTAGTCCTTTTACCCAGCTCCTTGCTCTAAATAAATTATAATCATAAGTCAGATCATATCCATGAACACATTCCTACCTTTTACATTTCTCCGTTTCTTTCATTATTCTTCGTTACTATACGACAGTAGACTACATCACTCTTAACTCCTTTTTTAGGACACTGGCTCATGTCCCTGAAGGAGTCGTGATGATGCATACTAGTGCATAGTGTGATACGTTCTAGTAGTGATAACACTTTAACGAGAATTACAACATCTAAATCCGAGAGTATAATTAAACCATTTTCCTTAATATATTGTATCATTTCATATAAACTAAGAGAGAAATTCATAATATTTTTTATACGGGATAATAATACGTATATTTAATGCAACAAATTGAAATTTGTGGTGTGCTGTTCCGTTTTCTCTCGCATGGTACCTTACAAATTCTACCTCCGTAATCGTGCCTACATATGTACTCCGTATTAATTACGATACAAGTATAAACAAACAGTCATTACTATATACAACCTATTTATATACATATAGATATAGTACATATTATTGCTATTACTATTTATATGTAATCTCGAATGCATATAATGGATGCATGCGTGTCATTGTCATAAACGCTGATTGCAAGTGAATAAAAAAGAATGTATAATAGCCAAGCAATGTATGTAGCAGAAAAACTGTCCCAAGAATGTCCCAAGAATGGAATGGGTTGAGTCGTGTGTATGTTGAGTGGAGGGAAAGCAGGGAGAAAGTAAGCAAGACGTGTGTGGTAAGGAGAGGAACAGAGATAGAAGAGAGATAACGAGCCACACATACTTATAAATATGTGCACGGTGGAAAACTGTGTGTGCTATTCTTGTGGGCGAGTTGTAAAATAATGGGTGACGCGAATATTTAATAAGTGGTACCGCGTATATAAGCAATATGCAATACTTGCTCGTAGAAAGGAATTTCACATACACACCCTACACAGACCGACGGGGCATCTAGGAATAAATCGTCGCAAAAGCGAAAGGGCGAAACCCATTCGTCGTTTTCCAGTCATTTCTACAAAATCTCATTTTCCCCCTTTTTTAAGGGGTGCAGTCACACCCCCTTAAAACTTGTGTGTCATTTTCTTTAACCATTTCTACGATTGTCTCAGGGTTCCTATACTTTATATTTTTAATTGTAGTTTTAGTATTATGTAAGAGCACGACATGACGGACGGACAGAACCGATGCATAAAGGGTTTTCTCCCCTTAATAATGAGCCTCTTTTGACGACCATGAAAGGATGAAAGAAGTTGGTGGCCTGGTTAGTTGGTTAGTAATAAAGCTGGTTAGTGGTGAAAGCATTCTTCTCTCTCCTTTCTCCACGTTCCCCCCATTATTTTTCTTTGATACTAAATAAAGGGCATCATTACTGTTCCGCCAATGGAGTTGACGCTGCGTTGGATGGATGATGAATTACACCAGCTGCGTATTTAGAATCCATCCGGGTTAAGCTGGTTGACAAACTTTCTGTGAAATCTAATTGGCCAGGTAATAGCCCCCCACCGAGAGTCCTTTCATTCGGTATGCATTTTATCGTCAGCAACCAAGTCTCAGGGCTCTCTAGTTTTACACATATTTGGACTCTGATTTCGACATCACCCGGCATGTTGACACGTATCGTCGTGTAGAAACTTGGATACGAGGAATTTGGTCGAGAGGGAGGGAACATGAGATAACTATTTACTTTTGGATTGGACATGAAAAAGCAACAACCGCATGAACTGTTGCACAACCCCAGATTCCATACGGGACTGGATGAAAGAATGATGATTGGCAAGTGAATGGAGCGAGGTTTATTTACACATGCCAATGCAAAAACAGAGCTCGTGTGTGTCGAACCACTAATTAATAAGCAAGTACGCAAGTAGTCAGTACTTGGTTTGATGGGTACGATGCATGGAACGATGGGTATGAGTACGATGAGAAGGACTGGGAAGGAGAAAGTTCATGTTGGGAACGAGTGTGCACGGTTTCGAGTGGATCGAGCAATTGAGAGTTTTTTGGAGATGGATGAAGGGAATTACATAACAAATACAATATTACTTGCTAATGAGCACTCTTTCATGCTCGTCCCAGGGCAGGCTCGTTCGATACCGACCGGTGACCGTGCTACTAGACATGCGAGCAATTACATGTGTCTGCATGTATGTACATACACGTCTGTGCATATGTGTGGGGTTGACATAGAGGGAAGGAGGGCGATGGTCCAACTGGTATTCTATTTCATCCATTCATGCAGTCATCATCATCCTGGGATCCTCCCTGCCAATCTCGCCATCGATTTCCACCATCCTCCTCGTCCTCCACCGCTCTCTCTCTTCTGCTCCAAGGGAGGTGTTGCTTTCTTCTTGCCTCTTCTTCTTCCAGTAGATGTGCCATCCTGGATACTTGTGGCGTGTGTGCCGAGGAGGAAGGACGAAAGTGTGATGAATCTGGAAGAGAGAGAGTCTCCCGGAGAAACACATTCACCCACCAGCCACCTACCTGGTGAGTCCTTGGAGGAGTACTTTGGTGGTGGTGAAGGTGGGTGAAGTGATCATCGCCAGGAGTCCGCACTCACCCCGTCATGATGTCCACATGACTAATATGACAACCTCTTGACAACACATTTCCTCATCCACTAAAACACCTCTGACCTTTCCTTGACACCTTCCTTCGAGATCCTTCTTCTTCCTCGTCGTCCTGCGGGGCTCTGGTTTGGAACCACGAGCATATGCATGACTTCCCAACCACCATGTCAACATTCAGCAGTACTTATTGGCTTGTCTCTTCATGTCGAGCAAGTGGAGGGAGAGGTAGAAAGCAGCGGAGACTAATAATAAGGGAGTGAGCAGAGGTAGCAAAGGAGAAAGCAGTAAGTGCTGCTGAGTGTTTGGCTGGTGCAGAAGAAAGTGGTAGTCGTGGCTGCCGGACGACCGGTGTGATGTTGAGTCTGCCCTGTGCTAAGGAGCTAGAGAGAGAGAGAGAAAGTGGAGGAGAAAGTCCGCTTTCCCCGGATGAGGATGGTGGTGGCTCGTGATGGGGTCGTACAGGGCTAGTGGAGGACTCGCAATCTAGTTGTTTGTGGGTATAATTTTTCCAGAATGTCCAGGACCACGAGTTATTTTGCACTCCCTCCGAACGAGCACTCTCCTCGACCATGTAGTAGGAGTAGTAGTAGTGGGAATAGGAGTGCTTCTGCTGATTCCTCTCTCGTGCACGTAAGAACACGCCGAATCGCCGAACCTAACCTGAGCCCCGAGAAATCCATCCATTCTCCTTCCCCACCACCACCACCACCACCGAGAACTGGGAGAGAGTGAACACCACCAAAATCTTTCCCTCATTCTCTCTTCCTTTTCCTCCTTATCAGCATCACCACCACCAGTACTTCCCGCTGCCTCTCAGGGTGCACGTTATCCACGAGAGAGAGACAGAGCGAGGGGGGAGCAGATAAGCATGTTCTTGACGTGAGGACGAAGAGGAGGAGATGTACTACCAAGTGAAAGGTTGTGCAATCACTGCCCCCAAGACTCCTCGCGCGTCATGAGCCCTGCACAACAACAACAAGTCCACAAAGATCCCCTTCCACGAGGACAAGGACAACCAAATGTGACGATACTATCAGTGATCCTCGTGAGACAGTCGTGTCACCCAAGTTTTTGCTGTTCTTGTTGATCCCAAACGTTAAACTTTGGTGCTGGTGGTGAAAGTGGGAAGAAAAGTCGGACACTGAGTGGCCAACGACTCGCTGACTGATTCACTGACTGACTTGATACGAAAGTGTGTGTACGTGAGGGTGCGTGGGGAGAAAGTGTACGAGTGGGGGTGAGAGAGTTGATGGGTGGAACTAAGTGGTCGGGTGGCGGTGGGCGACGAGGAGGTCGGAGATGAGAATTTGGGGGTGGAGTGGAAGTGGGGGCGAGATGTTGGGTGGGAGCAGGTGGGTGGGGTTCCTCCTGGCGTGGGAAGTTTTCACCTGCCTAATCCTCCCGCATCCGAGGGGGGCGGAGGGGAAGCCCAAGGAGCGAAGGCGCGAACTCCACCTCGGAGGCATCTTTCCCATCAACGGTACGGGGGGTTGGCAGGGGGGACAGGTGAGCTGACTTCTGCTACGTCCACATGCACTACATAACCACCATAAATAGTTACATACATCTGTATGTATCCGCCTGCATATATGTATCCAATGTAATATCCGATGTATACTAATAACCCGTGACGCACAGGCGTGTCAACCCGCAGCTAAGATGGCCCTGGACGATGTCAACAACAACAAGGACCTCCTCCCGAACTACAAGCTAACCCTCCATTGGAATGACAGCGAGGTGAGTGAGATTCCTTGAGGGGAAAATAGTCTCATCAATCAGTCATCACCGTCACCCGTGTATTTCTTTTCTACTCCTCCAACTAGAAGCAATCCCCATAATTATTAACTATGTATGTAATATGGGGTGCAGTGCAGTCTCCTTCCTCCGTCACAGTCGTACCACTTGCGTATTTTTCCCAAGTATTTGCGGAGATTATGTATCTCTTTGCTGTGGAAGTTGTAGGTTGGTGTGTGACTTTGGCGTGTGGGTGAGAATGTGACAACTGCACGTCTCATTTCTCTTCTTTTTTGCGACACGAGCCATTCTGGTCTCATCTCTGCCTGCCTCCTTGCAGATGATGCGACAACACCACCCAATCCACCTGCATCTTATTCCTCACTACTTACTTGTGCATACTTAGTTGCTAGTTGAACGTACACTTTGGCCCATTATGTATGTTCATATGCACTCTGTAAGCAACTGATTTGCTATTATTCAAGTAGTTTCAAGTGGTGAATAAGGTTTTGGAGGAAGGTAGAGAGATAGAGAGAGAGATGAGCCAAAGCCAGGTTAAATGAGACGAAGACGGCGACCCAAACCTTATTCGCACAATTCTGGTTCACATGCAGTTGTTGCTTTCCATCTCCCTCGTTCTCTTTCAATGGAAGAGGGAAGTAGCCAGTGTAGGAAGTAGAAATATGCAGAGGAGATGACATTGATGACAATTAAACACTTTGACGGTGATTGACAAATGGATGGCTGTACGATAATGAGCTCATCGCCCGTGGGTTCAAAACGAACAGATTGCCTAATTCGTCGAGTATTAAGTATTCGTATTTGTTGCGTAGTGCGAGCCGGGTCTGGGGGCAGCAGTGATGTACGGTAAGTGAAGCCCTGGCATCGTACTTATGCGGGAAGAGTAGTGATTTATAGTGAATAAATCTTCTATGCAGACCTCCTCTACAACGACCCCATCAAACTCATGCTCCTCGCCGGATGCTCCACCGTCTGCACTACCGTCGCAGAAGCTGCCAAAAAGTGGAATTTAGTCGTGGTATGCAGTGTTGTTAATAACTTAAATATCTGCAAAATATAGATGTAGCTGTCTCTCTCAGATAATATCAATAATGTATCCACATGATGTACATATTTATGTATTCATTCTGTACATCTAATTGTTTTTCTCCCTGGGGACAGTTGTGCTACGGAGCGAGCAGTCCAGCCCTTTCGGATCGGAACCGATTCAAAACCTTGTTCAGAACCCACCCATCCGCCACCGTGCACAATCCGACGAGAATCAAGCTCATGAAAAAGTTTGGCTGGTCTCGAGTCGCCATTCTGCAACAGGCAGAAGAAGTGTTCATTTCTGTGAGTGGTTGTTCACCTTTCTTGACCCAGTAATAACCAGGCCAGTCTGGTTAATATTGTAACTGTGTGCAATAGTTGTATGTACATATATTGTCGTATGAACTTGCAGACAGTGGAAGACTTGGAGGAGAGGTGCAAGCAAGAGAAGATAGAGATTGTCACCCGTAAGTGAATTTATGAGTGACAGGATTCTGGATGATTTGATGTGATTAGTACAAGGGACAAATTTTCCTAGGTCAATCTTTCCTTACGGATCCCACGGAAGCGGTCCGCAATCTAAAAAGACAGGACGCCCGCATTGTAGTCGGACTCTTTTACGTAGTGGCTGCGAGGCGCGTTCTTTGTGAGATTTATAAGCAGAGGCTCTTCGGAAAGTCGTATGTTTGGTTCTTCATTGGTGAGTTGTCACATCAGCGTCTCGTCTGCATTCATTACTATTAAATGACAAGAAGGCACTTCTATAAGACGGCTCTTCCCATGTTGTTAGGATGGTATGAGGACAACTGGTACGAGAACGGGTTGGAGGCTGAGGGGATCAACTGCACCAAAGAGGAGATGCGCATGGCAGCAGAAGGTCATCTCACCACCGAAGCCGTCATGTGGTATCAGGACACCAAGAGGACGACTTCGGGCATGGTAAGCAAATAGCGTATGCATGCGAATGTGTGGACTTGATTAATTATGCAAATGACTTCCATCAAATCTCCACAATATGGTTGTTGGCTTTCAGACGACGGACGACTTCCGCAACCGACTGCACGCCGAGTTGAAGAAGAAAGGTTTTGACATTGATAACGGGCGCTACCCTGAAGGGTACCAAGAGGCTCCGCTGGCATACGACGCAGTATGGGCCGTAGCTCTAGGTAAACTCGTCGTCCAATTCGACATTTGTGTACATGTAATTTGTGCGACTAGATCAAATCGTGTAAACTTTCCTCCTGGTATGGTTAGCCTTCAACCGGACGATCACACAACTTGCCAAGAAGGGAAAGAGACTCGAAGACTTCACCTACACCAACAGGGAGATTGCGGAGGAAATTTACAATGCTATGGACGAAACTGCCTTCCTGGGCGTCTCGGTATGACCGCTCGCTCTCTCTCTCGTTTTCTCTTCCTTCAACTTTTTAAAAGATTAGTGAGCTACAGTGTACGAGGTGGTAAATATTTTGTTTGTAGGGTCGGACGGCATTCAGCGAGCAGGGTGACCGCATAGCTCTGACTCAGGTGGAACAAATGATTGATGGCAAGTACAATCTTCAGGGCTACTACGACATCGAGAACTTTAACCTCACGTGGTATGGGAAGGAGCAGTGGGTTGGTGAGTTGCCGGACATGTGGAGTACTTGACGAAGGGGTGCATCGTATGAACTAAATGGTGTGGTGTTGCAGCTGGGAAGGTGCCGCAGGACAGGACGATCGAAAAGACTGTACTCAGAACGGTGTCCCTCTCACTTTACATTTCCATGAGCACGGTGGCCGGGGTTGGAATCGTCTGGGGACTTGTCCTCATCCTCTTTACGTACACATACAGAGACCGCAAGTGAGTGGCAAGAAATTTTTCGGCTGAGGTATAGCTAAATATTATGGCAATTTATTATTTGGTATCTTTGTGTGTGCAGGATAATTGAGCTGTCGCACCCTGTGACGAACACGCTCATGCTTGTCGGTCACATCCTCTGCTTCCTCACCGTCTTCTTGGTGGGGTTGGATGGTCAGTTTGTGTCGGAGCGACTCTTTGGGGTGATGTGCAGGTGCGTAAAAAACAGCCAGTTTGCAACTTTGCAACCACCACAATCACTGATTACTAAATATCATATCCTAATGTTTTCCACTACGCAGCATCCGCAAGTGGATTCTCTCAATTGGATTCACGCTCGGGTACGGAGCAATGTTCTCAAAGGTTTGGAGGGTTCATAGACTCACCACCAAAAACAAGTCTGCCACCAAGGTCCGTCCTTCAGCTATATTTTTATAAAACTTACCACACAAGTACGCGCAATATTTACAAGTGTCCTTTTAATGCAGCACAAGATACAGCCGTGGAAGTTGTACTTGTTGGTTGCGTCGCTGGTTGCCGTAGAGGTGATATACTTGTCTATTTGGACCTTGGTGGACCCTCTTCGACGAGTGGAGGAGCTCTTCCCCCCCGAAGTTCCTATCGACACTGATGAAGACGTTCGCATTCGACCCATCCTCGAACACTGCGAGTCCCACTACAACAACATTTGGTTGGGTAAGTACTTATCCTTAGTGGTTGGCGATTGCTGACTGACTGGTGCATGGTTAAGCATTTTTATTATCTTGGCAGGGATCACATACTCGTTTAAGGGGTTACTCCTCGTGCTCGGACTCTTCCTCTCGTACGAGACGCGTTCCCTGAAAGTTCGCCACATTAACGACTCGCGCCTCGTAGCCATGTCGATCTACAACGTGGCCGTCCTCTGTCTCATCACGACCCCCGTTACCATGATCATCTCCTCCCAGCAGGATGCTTCCTTCGCCTTTGTCGCACTAGCCATAATCTTCTCTTCCCTCATCACCATGGGGCTGGTACGTCTGACCATTCCATTGCGTGATCGGGTTCTCTACTTGTGCCCGACCACATGATATTGTGTGATGCATTGTAACAACCAATGCATGTACCTTGTAACCTACAAATTCATACCCATAATTTCATGCCTGTGCCGTTTGCAGGTGTTTGTTCCGAAGGTGATCGCCGTGTGGCAGGAGGGGGCGGAGCGGTCTGACCGGTCCTCTGCCCCCGAGGGAGGCACGACCAAGGAGGACGAAGAGCGGTACGGGAAACTTCTGGGCGAGAACGAGACGCTGCAGCAGATTCTGGGTCAGAAGGAGGAGCGGCTGAAACTCCTTCGTAACAAGTTGGAGGAAAAGAACGTGGCGCGGAGGAGGGTGGAGGTGGTGTCGGAGGGGGAGCGGCCACCGCCGGTCACCGTCCCTCCAACCACCACCCCCAGGAACAACAATCTGGAGCAGATTGAGGTGTGTGGTTCCGTGTATCAAGAGCCGTCAGAGAGTGGGATCGGTCAGGGTCTCTCCGTCACGACCAGAACTCCTACAACCACAGACTTTGAGCTTTCCGAGTCTTACCTCTGAGAGGGAATAACGCTTCTTATCAAAAATACATAGTGTCAACTTAGGCTAAGGTGAGTGAGTGAGTGAGTGATTTGAGCGAGTCAGTGAGTGAACGTGATGGGTCCCATATCCAACACCAAATATTTTATGACCAGCAAAGTAAGTAGAGCCAGCGAGCGACGTGAGTTGAAGAGGAAAGTAGTAGTACTTCCATAGACGCAGAGAAAGTAGGGAGAAAGGATCGTGTCACAAAGTGAGTGTGACACACACACACGTATTGAATTATGACTCCCCAAAGACGCCACACACAAACTGACGCCGTTGCTGGCTGGAGATGCAACAATCTCGTCAACCACGACCTATGCTTATCTGGGGCGAGCTATGACGAGCCTAAGACTATTATCTTACGGCCCCCTCCCATTCCTATCATTCATTTCTCGTTTATCTTGAGTCATTGGGGATGACGATATGCCACGATATTGGATGCACGTACAAAAATGCTCCCCTTACGTATTTCCAGAAGGAAAGGAATAAGATCATGAATTGTGCAGCTAATTGACAGCAGCCAGATCTAGTTTGCCGTTTCATTCATATTCTTATATTACAGAATTCGTTAGGGAGGCAGGTCGGTCACCTCGTTCATGCTCACTTTCAGTTAGAAGGACAAAAAGGCTTACAAGAAAATTGCGAATGGTCCTTTCCGAGGCGTATTATATTTTGTAACCAACCATTCCCTGGCCCTTTACTTTATTTTAGTTTTAAGAAGGTATCCAATTTCTAATTATTTTGCTCCAATTATTTTGAGGAGGACGAGGGTAAAGTTGTCGCCCTACTCCATACTCAGAGTTTGAGGTTGGCTCTGGGGGAATAGCAGGGTGTCTGGATAAAGTCTCCACTCTTCCTGTATGCCGCAATGGCTGGCAGCTGTTGGAAGTTGTCCCTCAGTCGCTGCAGGTTGGGGAATGGGGCGAGAAGGTTGACATCGTATATGGTCAAGTGCTCCAGAAATTCACACAGCCAAAAGTCAACCACGGTCAGCTACAAGTATAGAGCAATAAATAAGTAAATTTGCATATCATCGCTGTTCATGTAATAGTTGCAGAACCCAGTTGAAAACCAAAGATACTGGTTTCTGACCCGACACTATTATTTCGCCGAATTATGTAGTATCTGATTATAACTATAAGTGCAACTACGATTTTATGTACTCACTTCTGACCCGGCTGCCCAAGTGTTATCGCCCACATAGCGAGAGATGTGGCCAAGCTTTTCTGGGTGAACGGCATTGAACTGGGCAATCGCGTCCGGCGTATTCTCGTAAACTCGATGAGCAAATTCCATGTACCAAAAGTCATAAAGGAAACTCTCGAGCATGTCGACCCTGACTTGAATTAGGGGCGTGGTTCCCAAGAGCTGCGGTCCGTAGGTGCGAGCAATGTAGCGCATGATGGCCTTGGACTCGGACACGTGAAGGTCACCGTCCACCAAATACGGGACGTTGGGGAAAGGGAGACCTGGTGGGTAGGTGGCCCTTATCTTTGCCCTCTCGCCCCCCGCCCACGTCTCCTTCGTCACACCCCCCTCGGGAAGAAAGTAGTTCTTCTCCGTGTAGGGCACTCCCAAATATTGAAGAACGAAACGTAGAGGGTGCGCCAACTAGAGAGGTTACCCTTGGTTTAATTGCTCAATATTGGTACATGTATATTATTTTTCTAGTACGTACCCCTCTGTATCTCCAATATCCCAACTCCATTGTCTTGCTCATTGTTGCTTACAATTTAATCCGACAGAGTTGGGGTGGTCACTCAAGATGAAGAAAATGGCAATTAATGACTGCAAGTAAATGTGATACAAATATTACTTGGATGCATCTAGTTGTTGCCATCCGCGCGGCATGCTGGTCTCATCATCATCAAGTTTCAAGGACGTTTTTTTTATCTAATCGAGACATGACTCCGTTGCTCTGAAGCTATAATAATCACAAAAATAAATGCATACAGCGTCATTTATCCAGCAGTTATGAGTCGGACTCGGGGGCTAGTTGACACTTTACTCAAATACATACGTGCCCTCTCTTCTGGTTAATTCGTGGCAAGGTTCATGTATGGCTAGTTGATTACGTTACATCCCTTGGTCCACTGATTGTTGGGTGCATTTTTAAAGTACTCATCGTTTGACGCAGTAAATCTGATGTGACATCATCTAACCTAATGTTCTATATTTGGTTTCAGGTTTCGTCATAGTGAGTCAGCCACCAGAAGAACCGCTCCTCCGAGGGTGGATCTCAATCAATCCCTGCCCTCAGTGGGGGTGACCTAGCCGGCTGGCTCGTACAGCTTACTTGTCCTCCACTTACATAAACAGACCTACTACCACTACCACCCAAGTCCAGAGTTAACTAATGATCTGATACGATGGTCTCAACCCCAGTGTGATGAGGTGCTCGTCTCCCAATAATGATAATTAATAATAACGCGTCTTGTACAACTAACTAACTGTGTAACTGTATCGTCAGTTCTCGTAGAGTGTAGCATTTTACATGAACGCCAACCAGCCATTTTTATGATGCGATGCGATCAACAGTGATTAGTCTATCAAAAAAAGTATAAAACCATCAGCAAGCAAGCAGGGGGTATTACTACTACTTTTAGCAACGTCTTATTACATAACGCTAACTAGTGGATAATAATATTGTAAAATATGTCAGTGGTTAATGGAAGGGACGGAGGTAGAGAGAGAAACACGCTTTCACTTTGCAGCAACAGCCCGCACGCGCATGCACCGTCCCCCACCTGCAGGGACACATACCGACAATCAAACCCCACCCACTCTACTCTTCCCCACAAGGATAACCCACACGGAGATAAGGAGAGATAGAAAAAAGTGAGAAAAAGGCAGAGTGGGTAGAAAGACAACTCCCCAACCCATGTACCCCACCCACCCACTTATTAATACTACATATTAGTTATGAGTCGTCACCACCTTCTTTTTACTGATTACTGTGACACATCCTGATACACATTTATAGAGATATAGCCACTCGGTCAGTAATAAGATGACGAATTCCGTCTTCAACTACCATGCAATACATCCAAAGTCACCTTAACTTGGGACACACGCGATGAAAATGAATACTTCATATGTAATAATGAAGGTCCATCATCATCATGTGTGAATTGAGTACTTTGGGAGGATGGAGCTGGATGCAAAAAAGAGCATGGTCAGAGTTAAGTCAGTGACGAAGAGGAACATTTGTCAAGAAATGCATGTCCAACAAAAGAAGGGTCAAAGTGTCGCCCGACAAGTCTACAACCTGCTCGACGAGATTCTTACCCTCCCCTCCTCAGAGTCACGACCTCGTAATATCAGTCCACCCCACCCAACTCGTACTTCTTATGCAATTCAAACACTACTTTCTACTCGCTATAATCCTTATGACGTAAATATGAATGTCCTTCTGGTACTTGATAGTGGATGCATTTTGGAGCTTTGTTCATCAATCCTATATAAAAAAGAAATATTACATAGATTGTTGCGGAGGGAGAAGAGTTTATTGCGAAGAGATTACAATTGCGTGCAAGCAACACCACGGCTTTCTTAGTTTTCGTGTCTTCGATACTACTTTGTATGTAACCATGATTCAAGTGAGTTTACTGTTATTATTAATTAATTAATTAATTAGTAACACATACACATAATGGGAGGAAGTGAAGGAAGAAGACCTTCTCTCTCCTGGTGAGCGTGTATGTGGGCATAAAATGCGTGTGAAAGAGGAGGAAATCTCGCCACGACTGTGGAAATAACATTACAAAACAAAGATCGGTTTGGCTTTCACCTCGTTCGGACACGATACGTGCACAGGCAGGCACACTGCACAATGATGACGAACCTCTCAATAATAAGTGAACAATGTCTTCTTCTTCTTCTCTTTTTGGTTGCTCAACAAATTAAAATGATGACGACGATGTGGTAATGAGACAAACAAACAAAACTTAAACAATCGATGTTGAAGAGAGTGGGAATATTTCAGTCAACATATTTCAATCTTGTATTTCTAGTTTTATTAATAAAAAGTTAAACAATACATTTGAAAATCGTATCCCTTGATTATTAGTCATATAAGATGTATGTCTATATAGGCATAAAATTACATTAATATATTTATAATGGGTTACTCATCATGCGAACGTTTATGCATAAATACAAGAGTTGGACAGGATGAGAATGAATAGAAAAGTGACAGTCGCTGAGGCGAGTGTCATTGTTGGAGCTGTCGAATTTGTTTGAAATTCTGTTTTACCCATCAGCGAGTCTGTCAGGTGAGGAGTTGGGGGTGGCGAGCAAGAAGGGGACACTGCTGGCGAGGGTGGGGGCGTCGTAGTAGTGGACCACGTGTTGCCATCATGGGGAAATGTCCTCGTCGTAGTTTTTGAGACGCATGACGAGTTTGGATAATCGGGGATGAAGCCATCCTCGCAAGAGCAAAAGGATTGCTGCGATTTCACATCAGATTTAAATAAATTGTATGTAAATTAAATGGTTTGGACTCAGAAGGGTACATGTAGTAAATATGTAAATGTAAACTCCTTTTCACGATGGGTGATTTCACCTCCACACGAAAGGAGCATGTTATTCGTACGCTCCTTTCCTGTGGTGGTGAAATCACCCATCGTAAAACGGTGTTCACAGTAAGTGCCAAGTACCTCGTCACAAATTGCGTTGGGTGGGCAACGTGTGCCCTCAAGTGCACAAGACCGACCCAGCCGGACGAGGCAGGAGGAGCTCTCCTCGTCCCAGAAACTGTGGGGTTCGCAGTCACATGTCCCCATTCCTGCGTCGTTCTCCACAACGAGGCAGGTCAGAAAGGTGGCGCAATCGCCCGCATATGTGCAGCCCATTCCGCGCTCACGTCGAGGGGTGCAGTGACCAAACTTATCGGGAAACTTGCTCTGGATGCAGGTGCACACGCCGCGAGTGGGTGGTGGGGTCGAGTGGTGTGACCCACTGCGTTTCCTCGGAACACAAATGGCGTCCTCCACGCACTTGTACACCACTTGTCCGCCGCTTTGGGTGGAGTTACTTGGCAGGTCACAAAACTCACCCGCCAACATTCGACAACCTTGTCCGTCCCAAAACATCTGTCCATAAAATTCACAACCACATTTACCGTCGTCCCCACAAATTAAGAGCTTGTTAGCCTTGTCGCACTTTCTTCCCGTCCTCTCATCGCAATTCTGACCGTGATTGAGGAGACAGGTAGTGCGGTCATCAGAAGGATCCCTTCCAGGCTCACATTCACATCTTCCGTATCCGGAAAAGGTAGGGTGACATCGGGCATGTCGCACACACTCCAAACGATCCTCATCGCCCCCCGAATGGCAAACTGACCTGTGTATATAATAATTTACACATGGTTTACGCTTACCCACACAAATATGTACGTAACTGATCACGAGGATGTGTGCATACCCAACAAGTGAAACGCATTTAGATCGATCCTTGTCCCAAATATGGTCTCTTCCTTCTCCCTGACAGCGACATTGTCCGGTGGAATGTCCATCCCCCGGTGGGGTGGAGCACTGGAGGAAGTACCGCGTAGAGCAGGGGTCCTAATTGAATAACAAATTGTGTAAAGGTCGTCCTGATTGGTATTTAATGATGGAGCAAAAACGGTGACAATTTGGAATTGTCGTGAGCTGCGTATCGAACCTGGTTGGGCTTTGTGGGGTCACAAGGTTGCCCATACGTCAAACTGCAACCCCCGTTGCCATCTCGGAGAAGAAACCCTTTCCCGCAACGACACCTTGTCCCTTGGCTCTCGACTTGACACGTCGTATTGGATCGACACTCTGGGGGAGCGAAGGGGTTGCAAGGTTCTCCCTCTTTTAATTAAAATTGTGAATTACAGTTTAACTGTTGGGATTGTTGTTAATTGAGGCCTTAAAAGTACCTCTGAGTCGGCAGGAGGACGACGGGATATCCCATACCATATTGTGGGGACATTTACAATGACCGTCGAGAGGGTAGCAGATCATGGGGGAGGTGCACGTCCCAAGGCAATCGAAAGCGGTCGTACAGGGGAAAAGGAGACCGACGAGAAGGTTGACAACGAGGGCACCAATCAAGGTCATCATCCTCTATGAAAACAAGTTAAAAATTAGTTGATGCATGGGTATCTACTTACACTAAACACTTTGTTCGTATATTACCCCTGATGATAAACTATAAATGATGTTGGAGGAAGAAAATTAATCTTACGAGGGCAAGTGTGTGATGGAGGCAGTGTCAGGATCGATGGGAGCTGCAGACGGGAGCACATTCTACCTCACATCGTGGTCACCGCAAACTAGAAAATGGTCGTGTAATTTTGACTTGCTGGACAATCTAAAAGATTCGCAACTCACTGCACTAGCAGATTCGCAGTCTTCCTAAAGTGCAGTCACCAATGATAAAGTAGTATAAAAGAAGGAGTTGAATAAGTACTCCTCGAAGGCGTTACGTCATAGCGTGGTGCGGAATATTAGAATACGGTTAATGCATCGGCTTGTTAATGTTCTTGCTGGCTCCAATTTGTACATGGCACCAATTTTATGGCTTTCCTTCTACGTGGTATATTTATTGGCACCTCTCGTCAATATGGGTCCTGGAATTCAATGGCTTTTTGTAGAGGAGAGTGTGGATAAAAATAAGTATCAAATTACAAACTAACAATAATTATTAATGTGGATATTTACGGGCTCAACTGGGGGTTTCAGAAAAAGTTTTGCCAAGACTACTTGAACCACTTGATCAATGTTATGTCTACAAATTGAGTGTTTGTAGCAATAAAAATGCGTGGTTTAATAACTAACACTGCGCTGCTGCTTCACGGGTAAGTTTTTTCTTCCAAGAAAGTAACGTTAAGAAAGCGAGGACGACCATACCCTGGCAAATGCGATAACAACGGCAGTTCCAGCATCATACATCTCTTCTTTTTATGTGGAGTTATGCATGCAAATGCTGGGGCAGACATGACTGCATCCACTCGCAGATAAGCTTTTACTTCGTACTACACAATAAATAAGGCGAGATTTCCTATGTGGACACAACCCGGATCCAACAAACCAACCAACATATCCAAATTCCAGCCAGTTAATAATAATAGTCGCTCACACTATTATTTACAAATGCTCATGTAAACTGATCGGTGAAGGAGCGATTACACTTTAGCTGTAAATGATAATGAGCCTGTTTACATATACTTGGGCGTTACATTTATCGTCGAGTCAATCAATCCTGGACAACCAACCCTTCCTTTGTACATACAGAGACGATACAGTTTTATTGCTGGAAATGTATATGGTGCATGGACATACATAATTGTGTCTGCCCACTTTATGTGGAGGCACCTCACTATGGACTTGAAAATCACTTGGTAAAATCACAAAATAGAAATATATATGCATATCAGCCCCCCCCCCCACACATTTTGGTTGGTTGAGTGTGTGGCGAGTGGGATGATATGCGAATTAACAATCGATAGGTGTGCGGTCATACATACATAAAATCTACGTATATTTATCCTAGGTATGTACATATCTGTGTGTAAGTATAAATTGAATCACAGCTCAGTATGGTCCATGACGATGTTAAGCGATGCGTGGGCGACAAACCCTACGACACATTACATTTTCGTCTGCTCCTGACCCTGCTTCTCTAACTCTGGGTCTGGCTGAGGGTTGTGCGGCAACTTTTTGTCCATCGCGACCACTTCCACGTTGGGGGGGTCGCTCTTGGTCAGATGCTCCTGGATGTAGGCGATGTCCCTCTTGAGAACGAAGAGCGTGAGCAGGAAGAGTGCAGAACCAAGCACGTACTCGCCCGGGTACAACGCCAACAAAGTAACTGCACAATAGAGAAATTAAAAATTACGGATGTAACAGGACACTCGACACAAGGTTCGAGCCACACGTATTTACATAACTTTGTGCTCACATCGCAGTGCAGCCTCCTTAGTGTAGCCCCATGATTCGAACGCAGGTCTCAGCACAGGAACGAGCAACGGCATGTTACCCCCAATGTTGGAAATGATGAAAAAGTAGACTGCCACCGATGTGGTTTTTATTTTGGCAGGAACCAGCTCCACCAACACGGCCAGTGTTACACTCACCCACATTTCGCCTGTCACCATAAGAGTGCAAGAAGAAGGTTGATTGATTATAGCAGCTTGTCTTTGGTGACAAATTATTACAGGTATATGTATAAATGGCTCACCAATAATGTAGGTAGGGATGAGACTCATGTAGGCGTAAGGCGGGGGAAGAACGAGGGCCCCAGCAGCGAACGGAGCGGCCAGAATTTGACTCATAATAAGAACCCAGATTCTTCCGTGGGGTCCAGTACCGTGAGCCGCGAATCGGTCTGAGATGAAGCCACCCACGAGGACGCCGATGGATCCTCCAATCATTGGTACGAGTGAAAGCCAGGACGCAATTTGACCCCGACTTTCTCCCAACGTCTCGTAGTAGATCTGCGTGTTGTAGGCCCAAACATACCCCGCCGCGTTCCGAATGGAGCCAGCCAAGCAGAGGAGGAGGATGGACGGACGACAGAAGGACGACACGATGTGGCACAGATGTCCGCAGCTGGAGCGAACTTCATCCTTATCTCCTGCACCAACAGCGACGAACAAAGTAATATTTTCATATGAAAGTTAGCGTTATTCTTAAAATGTGTTGAATCTTTACCAGGCTCATTTTTGCCCTTAGTCCTTTCAGGTTCTCGGACGGTCAGCATGATGAGAAAGCCGAGGAAAATGCCAGGTATCCCAGCAATGATAAAGACCCATCGCCAGCCTTGGCCGTTAATATTTGCCTGCGTGATGAGGTTCCCAAGGGCGAAGGACATTGAGTATCCAGTGTAAATTCCCCAGTTGTACACACCCAGCGCCGCGCCCCGCAACTGCTCAGAAAAGTAGTCCGATATCAGGCTGGCAGCAAAGGGTGTACATCCCGACTGACTGCGACACATTGAAGTCTTGCAATTAATTCGTCATTGATGACCGCTAGCATTTGCGTAGTGGTTCCTTACCCCAGACCAAGACCAAATCTGAGCACGAGCAATTGCCAGTACGAGTCGACAAATCCGGTGAGCAAGGTGCACGCGGACCAAAAGACGACGCTAATCCCCAACAGAATCTATGAAAGCATATTTCTTCTCATTTATTTTGTAAGACGGGTAGTAGCCAGGTACGGCATCATCACAAACAAACTAAATAACTACGCAAATTATCAGCAGTGCCCAACTTTGCTTCATTGTACCACACAATTTCCTAAAATAAATGGAACCCTAGCGTATTTAGGTGTTAAAAGTTAGAGCAATCGTGAGCATCGCCCATTATCTCGCTATCTGTAACGTTATGTTAGATGTTATTAGTGCATCTAAATACTTTGTGTAAGCGTTATGCGCTAGGCTTGGCCATTGATTTGACCTGGTTTGCATACGTCATACTAATTCGTCGGTACTCCCAAAGACAGAAACCACACAAGCGTAGATATTTATCTAGCATTTCAGTGAGAAATATTTTTATTTATCATAGGAGCAAAAGAATTATCTGAAAGTTGCGATGAGCGATGCCGGACATGATGGATGACAACGACGGTATGGATGGATTGCATTCATACAGTCAAGGTGATCCACTTGCATAATCTGCACATATCTTCATCACTGCACCGCAATATAGACACACGTAATCTCTGTCGTCTAAGTGTTGTGTTACTGCGGCCATTCACTTTTATTCTACACCACAACAACCACATTGTTGTTGCATCTGCCGTGGCACACTTCACCAACAACTAACGACAAGACATGGGCCCAGCAGATTAGAAAAGTCAACAAGTGCAGCAATTTCAGGGAGGAACATACTCAATCTCTCTGTTAATTAAGGGCGAGGGAGAGAGAGGGTCTGATTATCAGACTCTGATATAGAGATCAGCGTTGTGATAGTCCACGCAGGGGGCATAATTACAGAAATGCGAAAAGTGCACGCTCATTTCTCATTGTCTTCTCTGTATGCGTCCCTTCAGAAATCAAAAACCAACAATTGCATATGCATATGCACATGTTAATTCATGCACTTGTTCTGCTGTTCATGTCACCGTATAAATCAATGCGCACAGTCCAGAAGAAAGGGAAAGGGAAAGATTAATCATTTGAAGAATAATTTAAAGAATAATCATTCTGGGGACATGATTCATTGTAAATATGACATAACGACCATGCTGGACTGACGACTGACATTTTGACGATTTCACATAGAGACCCTAATAAAAATGGATTAGTGGTGTGTGTTAAGAGGAGCGATTCACAAGAGGAGAAACATTATTAGAAGAGTGCATAGTGTATCGTACCCCAATGTTAAAATGTCCCCACAACTTCCGATAAGCTGCACCCACCAAGCCGTCGTTATTGTTAGCATCCCAACTCCCGAAGCTGCTCGGCTACTGTCACGCCATAGAAATAAACATTCGCGTCAGGAAGAGTAAATGTGTCCCCTTCCCCCTCCACAGTCTCATCATCCATCATATCGTCGCTGCTCATGCAGTAGTTGCCGGATCAAAAACCAACTGTTTTTTTGCGACCAACATTGCACGAACCACGACGATATCATGGCCATGCAATGACATATCTCTATATGGAGAAATAATATTAGCAGGCTTCTTCGACGGCCTTTACCTTGCGGTTGTAGGCGTCCGCGGCAATTCCCACCGGGATCTATATTTGCAGATTATCCCATATCCTATGTGGATAATATTTAGGTGTGATTTCTGGGATTTGTTTGCCAATTGTGCTTTCTGTGATTTGATATTACAAGGGGAAAGTGAAACCAAAAATACTGTCTATGTCAAAATTGCATAAACTGATACAAGTTTCTCATTTAATGCTAATTCATTTATTTATAATACCGGTATAAGTAAAGTGTAACATTTGGTACTAGTTTGGGTCTAACTACAACTATTATGCTAACAAAATTAAGTCACCTAGAAAACCGGTGTTTGTTAATTGAAGAAATTAATGTCAATGTTGAGTTTATAATTTTAGTGATTAGTGATTTTTTGACTTATTCGTCCTCCTCAGAAACACCGCAGACTTCTTCTGCTTCCTCACCGTACCCTTCAATATCCGTAGCAGTCTTTCTCCCTTTATTGACTAACTTATCAGTCGCATATGGCAACACTTGTTTATTTACCATCCGCGTAAAGGCGGTTTTTGTGACACTATCCACGTGTTTTAGGGGGTTCTTCATTCCTGGCCAGTGCCCGAGATCATTCAGCGAGTCAAAGTCATCCCGTCTCAAACTGTACGTCTGAATAGAGAGATGAAATTTGTAAATGATTTTGAGCAATAATTCAAAATAGCTTGAGGCCAATTCAAAATACATACCTCCATGACTTCCGCAGCGGCTGTAACATCATCACTGCCTAATCGAGTGCAAATCTTTCTCCTAAGATAAGGTAGATAATCCATGTTCAGAGCTTCCAAACTAGCACTGACTTGAAGATGGACGTGAGTGTGCAGTGATTGGAGTAACCGTTGACGCTTGTTTTTGTTGGAATTCTTTCCCAACCAGCTTGGGAATTCTATGTTGCCACCTGATCATAAAATTGGTATTCAATTGGCTAGTTAAGTACTTAATCAAGAGCTAATTAAACATAGTTAAGAGCGCATACATAAATTCGATTCCATTAACTCTCCAGGTATGTAGCTAGAAAAAATTCCTTGAACGGGTAACAATGACCAATTATTCGTTTTCTGAATCATTGTTTCCGCGACATCACCTAATGAGATGGCAGCAGCGATGCGTGCAATTAATTCCAACTGACGATGTCCATCAATTGCTTCTGAATATTTTTGCCTAAAATAATTTATCAAATTATTATTAGCCATAAAAATATTTTTTTAAAACGACAAGCAAAAATAACTGACTTTGCTTTGACTGGAACCATTTTAAGATAATTTTCTTGAATAAACAGTGATCCGATGGAATAATCTTGAAAGAACAATCCAGTCTTCTCATGAATATTCTTCATTTCGTGCTCTGGGTTAAGGAAAACTTTTCTACAAACGTCCCACGGTCCAAATCTTAAATCTTTCTTCGGAGCAGAGACATTTTCTGCATTGGTATCTTTGTACAATTCCAACGTGTGGATAATTTGTCGAATGCCCATATCGGTTGAGATGCAGAGTTGGATAACTCGCTGAGGATCAATCTTCAACTTTTCTCGGAATGATATCGTCGCCACCAATGCTTTCAATTCTTAAATGGTTGGCTTGTTAAAACGGAGATCAAAGCAGTAATTGGCAAGTGAGCGGATCTTTGGATGATTCCGATCATTACAAATGCAGATCACTGGGACACGAGAAGTTTTTATCACTGCGGAAAATTAATTAGGTCACATTAATCAAGTTATACACATAATGATTAATTAATAATTCTCTACTAACAGCCAATGAGCTCTTGAATTCCGCCCCGATCTTCATTTCCACTCATTCCGTCCACTTCATCCATGATCAGAACGTGCTGCTTGGTCAGGTCATTAATCCCTCCGTACATGGTTTTACAGGACAGGGCATCAGAAACGATTTGGTGAAGACCTTTCTTATTTCGCGTATCTGATGCATTCAGCTCGAAATAATCATAGCCAACTTTTTTGCATGCCAGATGCGCTGTAGTGGTTTTCCCAATACCCGGCGGCCCCGAGAATAAAGCACACTTATACGTTTTCCCTTCTGGGTCACGAAATCCTGGGGGATTTGTTTTTGCCTTGTCCTACAAGGTTTTAGTTGTATTCAAGTTTTATTTTCTATTCAGGTTTGCATACATGTAAATTTGTGTTACGTTACTTACATTGGCTTTTCCATGATATTTAAACCAATTAGTTAACCATCTAACCAATTTGGTCGCATTTCCCGTGTCCTTTCCATGTGAAACGATTTGCTTCATCGTTTTTGGTTTGTACTTGTCTACCCACATCAAAGTTGGTGGTGGGGGTGGGGGGAGTGCTTCAGAATCTCCCAAATCCAACATTTCAATAACTTCTTCTTCTTCGTTATTATTTCCATCAGGATTAGAAACACGAATCATTTCTAGCAAATTGGATTCATACACAATCGTAATTCGTTGTTTTACAGCTCCCAATAGTTTCATTACTTCTGGGTCATCACCGACAATCAAGTGGGTCGTTTTCTTACTAATAGCTGTAGTTACGCGGCCTAAAAGTATGATAAGATGGTATTAAAGCAATTATATGATTTGTAAATTTAAATACCAAAATTTACCTCCATATTTTTCCACCAAGGTTTTGCAAGAATCTCGCTCCAAGGAGTCCAATACACCTGTAGGCACAAAAGTCAGACCGGCCAAACAATCCTTCGCCCCGATGGGAAGTCGTTTTTCTCCAAGATGACGTGGCTTCGATGATTGATGAGCTAACAATTTTGCAAAGTTTGATGCTTTCTTTTTCTTCTCCTCCTCTGTGAGGGGTGGTTTCTCTTCCTTCTCCTCCTTCTCTTTTTTAGATGCTTTCTTTGATACCGGAGAATCCTTTTCTTTATCAGACTTCTTGGTGGTCATGTCTGATTTAGACGAAGATCGTGATGTGCTTGGTTTCGATTTCTTTTTGGGAATAAAATCTGGTTCAGAATCAGAGGAAACCTGAGGGCGGGACGATGATTTTCGTGGAGAAGAACGGCGACTTGGCGACTGACTGAGACCTCCAGTGACAACAGATGTCGTCGGTGGGTCAAGCCATAGGTGGTTTGAATTTTTCAGCCCTTGACTCAATTGATACCGAAACTCCTGTAAGCTAATGTACGCGTTCTTTGAAACCAAGGAGGCAACTGCGCCACATTCTGCTCGTGCATACATTTTCAGATCTTTTGCAATCCAATCTCGGTCAGTCACAAATCCAGTAATCTCGAATGCTTCTTCTGGACAAAAGAAGAATCCCTTCTTGTACATATATCTGCAATTTGTTTCAAAGAAAAGTATGCTAATATGCACATGTACAAGTAGTATTAAAAAAATATTATTATTTACCGATCATTACAGCCACTGGTTAAAGTTGAACCGAGCTTGGTCCACTTATTGCGGGCAGTTTCCTGTGCGGTGCTCTTACTTGTCCCCACATAAACATCTTCAATTTCGAAGGTGTCTCCTTGTCGCCAAACGTACCCGTACGACCGATGACCTAAACCTGTAAATTTGGAAATGTTCAATGTTTGTCGACATAGGTGATGCTTGTTTTCAAATTAATTTTAATTCAAAATACTCACCGTTCATGTCTCCTTTGATATATTGTATTATACTTCGTTCATTTCCATCAGATGTGTAATAATAACCTTCTTTGTGTTGCTGCATAAGATTTTCGGCTTCGAGTTCAGGTATCAAATTTTCCGCAGCTTGAACTCGATCTTCCTGCCGTTTGTGTAATTTTAGGTAGTACTCGAAATCACTTGGTGTCACGATACTCTGAACTTGATGGCCATCCGCTCGAAACTTTCTGTATCTTTCCAGATTTGCTTGTGCAGCGGTCAGAGGAGTAGAAGTTGAATGTGTCTCCATGTGGGCGGTTAAATTCCCCTTCGTTGCAGTTTTGTGTCCACAAATACTACATTCAAACTTCCTTATATCCAGGTGAACTGCTCTAATGTGTGCATCAAGTTTGGAGTTGTTAGGAAATAATTGTTCACATTGTTTGCACTTGTAAAACTTTTCTGCGTGGCTTTGTTTTTCATGAGTCAATCTCTTCCAATTTGAATCGAAGCGTAACTTGCAAAATCTGCATTTCACCACTACTAACTTACATCCACGTTTTACATGTCTGGTACAATCACTCTTTTGTGCAAATAATTTACCACAAACATGGCAACTCCATTTTTTTACACCATCGTGAACCTGAGTTTTATGTCTGACTAAAGTCGCACTACTGTAAAAACCTAACCCACAGATTACACATTTATGACTAGACGTAATACGTGGTTTTCTCCTAACTCGACCCATGACAAGAATTGTAATTGCTCAGTTAAAGTTAGTTAAGAGCTCAGTTAAACAATAAACCTTTTCGAGAACAATAGCGAAACGTAAATACCATGTGCGCACTCAGACACCACTTTTTGAACTGAGCGCCAAACGTGGCCGAGGTACCACCAATGGTACCTCTTCTGTGGTGTAGTAGTTTCTTTGCACCCAGAAGCCTGAAGCTGTGCATATCCCTAAATTTCTAACTTTTAAAGAGATATGCTAGTATCATAATACCTGACACCACGATCCTCCGGTCACAGTTGGGATGGCAGCCACCGGAATGGCAGCAAAAGTGTAAATTCCAATAAAAACGGGCCCTGCAAGAATCTGATAGTCGAAACCCTGTCCAGTGTAATCCCATTTGCAGCCAAAGGTGCCGTTCTCCTGAGCACCGAAACATTCCGTCTCGGTGCTGATTTCGAGGCAAGTTTTGTGGGAGAGGCTTTTTGAGATGGGGAAGGACTCGTTCCTCATGCACCCTTGATCTCCATATCCGATCTCCTGCAAGGTAAACAGAGTTTCATTATATTCCTATACCCTGATTGCGATCGTTATGGGCTCTCCGGGTGGAGCCTAATAGGCAGAAACCAGCGCTCTTCCCCTCATTCTTTTCAGCAAACTGAGGAACGTGGCTGGTTTCTGCCTATTAGGCTCCACCCGGAGAGCCCATAACGATCGCAATCAGGGTATAATTTCATTCACTCCTCAGATGAGCAAAGCATTGTGGGTGTCTCATGTCGCACGAAAGGACGTTCGTACATCGGTGTACATCAGTGCAATACCTCTACAAAAGTCTCATTATTTCTCAAGTAGGCCTGGAGGAGTACATAATTATTCCACTTATTTAGTTTTACGGGGGACATATTTACTAGAAATCCTTAAAACACACGATCTCCATACTTCGACCTTCACTACGGAATTTTCCTGCTACAGTATTCGTGAAAAATTAACTATGCAGACATTGCGAGTGGATTTCCAGTTAAAGAAAAAGGCAGAATAAAGTGAGTTTTCTTCCTTGTCATTTCATTTCCTCTATATGTAGTAATCCTGCCTTGATCGGTCGTCTTATTAAAGTGTTAAAGATGGTCGCAAAAAGTATTTCAGTTCACACGAGCAAAAACGAGCGTTGTTTATTATGCAAGTAAGCAAAAATAATATTTGCGAATCTGCTCATACATACCAGTAAATCGTTCATTGGTTTGTTTTGCGTATGTGTTGACACATTCTTTCATAGTCATTGTGTCCATGCTCAAGGCCCTTCAAGAATATTGATAGAAAAAGCAGGAGAATTTGCTAGAAACAACAAGGCAGAAAGTTGACACGTGTTCCTGTACCTGAGCTACTTGGGTGTAGGTTGCTCGCAGAATGAACTGGTCGAACTGGGCCATTGAGTAGGCGAGGAAGAACAGAAAGAGGGGATACAACAACGGGCAGCCACCCCCACTCCCCTCACCACGAGCAAACAAGAGTTTAACCACCCAGTCCAGTTTAACAAGCCTCGACGTAAACCCCATGGCTGCTCCCGAGCTATAACCAACCACAACTCACTGCACCCAACTGTTACATTACATAATTTCCTTCCGAATGTTCCCTACATATTTATATTACTAGCTCCGTTGCTAAATACTATGCATCGGCGGTCGTTCAATTGCCACCACTACTTTCGACGGTCGTAACTAGGCCCACCAAACAGTGGCGAAGGATAACTGAATGAAACGAACAATCTTAATAAGGACCTGGAGCAGTTATTTCGTGCACGCTCCGTTCAGACTCTCGAGCATGGAACTCGCTCATGAGATCCAGGGTGAAAACAATGGCAGAATGATAGAAAAAAAATGACAGAATGACAGAATGATTCTATCAACAATAATGACGATGGTGATTGTGGTGGAAAAAAGAGCTCCAGAAAAAAAACTTGCGTAACACACTAATGTGGTGGCGATTTCGTTGTCAACATAATTTGCATCACAGAAAATTCATTGAATGAATGGCCATATTGTCCATATGTAGTTAAAGATTTCCTTGTGCATGAATGTACCATTTATTCAAAAGCTTCGAGAAAATCATGTCATTACCTTAGAATATTTAATAATATTATTATTAAATACTCTAAGGATGCATCATTTTTCAAGCAATACAAACATAATTCTACAATTGGATCTGAAGAATGCATGTGCATATATATTCTTCTTTTTGAGCCATCTCTCAAGCAGTAAATATATACTTTCCTCAATCTCGTGAAATATCATGATTGGAGTCTCTCACTCCGGTGGCCTTTCTCACGCCACTTATTGGATTGGATTACCTCCCATTCATGCATGTCTCCCCTCACAATTTTTGGACAAATAACGACATGCACGAGCTTGAGGAAAATTAACAGAAACCAAGCAGGCATAAGGTGTCAGAATCATAATTCATTCTTAACCTTTGCCACGACCTCTGATTTTTTAAACACCCCGATATCGTCCTATAATAGTCCCATTCAACACTGGCTGTGTCTGCCTGTCCTCATTTAAACGGATGAACCAAAGCTGAATAGGCATTTCTATAAGTGCTGCAAATCCACGTATTATGATTAAAGCATTGCTAAATTGACAGAATGACGTTTCGTTGTCAACAGATATCAGATTTCTCTGGTTTCAACCCACGACCTTCTTACCAAATACCAAACCAAATACTTTAGGTTAAAAATAATACGATCCTAAATGTTTAAGGTGCAAGCTAAGAGAATTATTTGTCAAGTGGCGTTTAATTTGCATTGCTTTTGCATGGCATTGATTGTGATGAGTGTGGATTTTCTTGAGTCCATTGAAACCATAGATTAGGTATTCTCCTACCAAGTGCTCCTTTATTATTTGATGGAGGACTCGTCATTTAGCAATTAGCCGTCGTATGCTTATACCCCTCAAGCTGTCTGTCCTTATTCGAGAACCCTTCGTCCCCACCTCTATGTCATGTCATTTGAAAGTGTGTGCCACCTTTAGAGCTGAGAGAGAACAATTAGCAGAATCCGCAGAAGCTGGGAAGAGACAAAAGGTTTTGCTGTCTTTGTTATATGCAAAGACGACTTCGAGGGTAGTTGAATTACAGATAATGACACCAATATGCAATGATCCCGGCATAGTCTACATCTAACTGACTCTGCCCCTTTGGCTTCACAATCATAATTCACTTAAGAATGGTCCTCCCCCCGCTAATAAATGTGCATCTCGTTGCGTTGTGTCGTTGGCGTGTCATTTGTTTATGTTTTAGTCAAGTGGAACAGCAAATGCTATTTATGTAAGTATTTATGCAACAAAGATCAGAATTGAGGTTGTGCTATGAGATTCATACTGATACTGCATACATGCATACGCACAATGAGACAGCAAGTGAATGCTGCTGGGTGGGTGGTTCACTAAATATCTTTTGCTCTCTCTCTCGCGTCATTAATGAAACAAATAAATCCAATCGCGTTGATTATTACGCAATCGCATTTTTGTAATCAAATAATGAATGCACATTTATGCAAGGTTTCAACAAGTGACTAGATGATTAGTTGAGACAGATGTCATTATTTCCTATCACGCCAAACAATATACTATATTTATGTGAGGAATTATTTATCTCTAATTACTGTACCTGGGCCGCAGGTTTGGTGACGATGGCCAATGTGTAGCGGTCCAGTTGGTTAAGTAGATAAGCGAAAAGTAACAACGCCAACACGTACAAACTGTATGAATTGGCACCTCGAGCCAACTTGAGGGAAGAAAACCACTCCATGATGATGACAACTGAAAGAGTATGTAAATCCAAAGGTGGAAGAAGAACTGAACAATTTTTTTGGCGTACGAGTGGCAGGATTGACAGCTAAAAAGCGGGGTATCAGATGCTCGTCAGTGGGAGAGTTGTTCTGCAGGAGGGAGGAGGAGGAGGGGGAGGAGATTGTCCATTCTGCAGACTGATAAGGCAGTGCGCGTCGTGTGGTTAGAACAGGTTGCAGACTGAGACTGATTGTTCTCGTCTCTCTCCAAAATTGCCAACATCTGAGGAGTGTGAGACGTAAGATCTTGAGACGCTCGTACAAACCATAACTATGCAAGTTACAAGAGTACAAGTTACTCTCTCTTCAGTTCTCGCTCTATCAGCAAATATGCGTAAATGCTGATGCTGATGAGGGGACAAAACTGCAAGCTTTATTTGACTGCCTCATACATGCATATTTATATTAGCTAGGAACCACCCCTTGCCTTGTAATTTGATGTTTAAGAAGGTGTTGAATAGCATGTTTCTTGCTGTCTGGAGAAACCAATTTTTGTGTAAAGAAAAATCAACGGAGGAACAGGAGAGCAGTTATGGAAAATAACTTGTTTCCTACCACTGCATAAAAACACTTTTAGTCTATTTTGATAGGCTTAAAGAAGCCCAGAGTTTGGAATGCAATGAGGAAGAAGAGTCGCGGAAATGTTGAGGATGGATGGATTGCACTCGACCTATTTCTCAAACCGCAGTGTAATTTTAGCAATGGTGCAGTATTTTGGCACTGTCACAGAAAAAGTGCACACAGAAATTTAAAAATTCCACGATTGCGGGTTCGAAGACATTTCTTTCATAGATACTCTTCTTCTGCGAAAATTTTAGTCCTTTAGGTTTGGTATAGTCTGAATTCTAATGAGCGATTTTTTGCCATATTTCTCAACTAAAATTACGATGATAAAAATATGAAACATAAACATATTCGAAACTGAAATTCAAACATTGCGCTTTTTGCATATAAATTAATTTTGCAAATATAAAAAAAACATTTATGAATAAATAAGCTTCTATTTTTGGGGAATTTTTTCATGTTAGTTTGCTCAGGCTAATATTCTGATTTATTGACGACCGTCAAAGTGATTAGTTCTACATAATTGATAACAGGAGGGTATTAAATGGCCTTATTATGCAACCGGATAGTTGGCATAAGTTGGAATTCCGCAAGAGAGGGAGCTTCCTTTGTTTCGCACAATTCGAATGTAACCATTCTCTCCCCAGCCAGATCCCCAACTGAAAGGTCACCACAATTATATGAAAGGGTAATTCTAAGATGTAAATAACGTTTATTTCCCTCTTTGAGAGGGAAAAAACCTGTTCTTGATGATGTAATAATCGGTGTTCGTGGCAGAATCGGTGCCATAACCGACAGCCAGGACGCCGTGGTTGACAGCTGTAAAGTTGGCACAGGAGAAGATTCCACTCACATAGTTTTGAATGTTGGAGGCTATTGATGATATCATATTGTAACATATTGATGATTGCTATAATATTGTATTACATTAATTTGTTTTATACCGTCGATTGCCACGGCTATTGGCCCGATGGTGGCCAACTTGGCCTTAAGGTCAGCCTCGTCATCTTGCTTGGTGTACGCATAGCTAGCAACCTTTCCTGCATTCGTGGTGGCGACATACTTACAAGCTGTGTTCTGCTTAGCGACATAGGGATAAGCAGTGTCGTTGGCCACTCCGGGGTTCTTGATCGAGTAATCATACGCATCCGTCATCCATCCGCCATTACATCCAGAGCTCGCTTTTCAGAAAAATATTTGCAATTTTTATTATTATCATTACTTGCTAATGGAGAATTAGCAATATTCTCATATTAGCGACATGAAACTACATATGAAACTACTACATACATCGATACATCCCTTAAGATATATATCTTAAGGGACCTTCGTAAACTTCATAGCGCAAATTTTTGGTTTTCTGGACACTCTTCCACCCCCTTTAACATGTGTCACATAGGCACGATATCATTGGGCCCTGACCCCCACCTACCCCTCTTGGCGTTACGAACGTCCCCTTATTTGATCTGATATTAAATATAAGCGAGCTGGTGAACAAAGCGCTTCACATACCATTGACACAGTCGACTAAATTTTGTTCGCTGAAATTTGGGAGTTTTCCGGTTTTCTTAAAGACGGCGCCCTCCATAGCTCCGTTCTGTCGAAATAAGGTAGCTCCAGTAAATGTGAAAAATATTATCAAGCATTTTTATGTAAGTTTCTTACGGCACTGAAGGTCCAGCAAGAGCCGCATTGTCCTTGATTTTGAACAGGTGTCACATAGCCCTTGGTTCTCCAGTCCATTGATGCGGGTGGTGTTGTGGTTTGACGCCTCTTCCTTTCGGGGATTGGACGTCGGTTGATAGCCTCGGATGGAGGACTGGTCTTAAGAGTGGAGATGATATCTTCTCTGGACAGCGCAGACAGGCAGTTGAAACCTGCAATTGATCGACGATTAAAGTTGGGTGAGCTATGTAAATAATATTAATATGTTATCGTCGAGTTGTTATTGTACTCACCCATTTGGAATCCTTTGCCGACTTCTGGCTCAGTTTTCATGTTCTCCTCCAGATTGGCACTGATGGTGGCATCATCGCGAGCGGAAATGCGTGGATAGTCAGCGCATTTGGTCTATGAAGAGGAAAAAAAGGGCCGTGATTATTAACTTCCAGACTTATCTACAAGTCACATATCCAGTATTATGTGACACTCACCCGGACGTGGTTGAGTCGTTCTCTGGGATTCATGGCTTTGAATTCGGAGAAGCTCTTGGTGACTAGGTTATTCACAAAGTCAGCGATGGGGTTGTTCCTGGGTGGGATGACCTGGGCCTGAGCCACCGCCACGGCGACGACCAAGAGGACAGTCACGGTCTGCATCTTATCGTGTTAGAGAGTAAACCGTAGAGGAGAAAAAATGGAATGATGCCTCCAAACCTACGACACTCTGATTTTATCCAGTCTCACGACAATAAAGCCAGTGTGATGGAAATGTGGGGTGGGATATGTGGAGATGCCATTGTTGTTGTGCGGGCCCCATTGGAAAATATGACGCAGTGAGATATGACACCAGTGGTTAGGAAGAATGGCGTCAGAGAATGGGGAGATCACTATTTTTAGGAGTTATACAACCACCAGATTTCATATTGTTGTGTGAAATGTGTTCACACGTGTCCTCCTCCAGAAAGGACGCGACAACACTGGGGACCAGATGCTGATGAACACTGGAGGAGACGACCGAGGTTCAAGGGAAGCAAACTGAACTCGAAAGTTGAAATTGTATTGTGATTGTGTCTTTATTTATTTATTTATTTATTATGCAAAACTTAAATTAGTACTTGTAACGCAGAGAGGTATTTAGATGATGTACGAATACAGAGAATTATTATCGAAAATCCGGCAGAAATGGTGTGTGGCTTCAGTGCATTTTAATTTATCACACAGCGACAGATATACTAATGATTAATCAAGTGAAATTTAACGATTCTCATGAGGATGATCTGGATCTAGAATCTCTTTAAGATTCTAGATCGCTTAATAATGAATAATGTCCAATTCTTGGTTTTTGAGAAACTGAAAAGATTTAAATACACCTTCGACTAGAGCTAAATTAAGTTGACGAATGATTAAATTAAGTTTCATGTATGAAATGAGAAAACTGGAGGTTAGGTAGCGTTGTTGGTTCAACCCACCCCGAACATGTCCACGAAATCACCGGTTGTCCTTTTGCTTTTCGTCTTTTGCTGCAAAACTGGCACACAGGAGCTTAAAATAAAAATAAAAATTCTGTAAGTGGGTGCGTTTTGGGGGATGGATTTGACCGATATTGCAGAATTAACTCAGGTGGAGAACGATGACTGGAAGGAGGTGAAAGAAGGGTTTGCTGACAAATACGGCATAGGTAACAAGAAACTATGAACTATTTATTTACATAGTGCAAGTTGCACCATTAATTTTCAATATTGAGTCCTTTTACGTAGAAGACGGAGTGTAATGTAATGTGGAGGGTTTTTGTTTAGGACCTTAAAGCTATAAGATTAGGTCGAATTTCCATGTATTTTTCCTGCCTATTTATTACTATTAAATTATTACAGAGATTAGCACGTTAGATATGGAGGATGGCATTCCACCCAATTACATTAAGGACAGCATCCAAGAGCCAATTTTTGACATCTCAGAACTCTGTCGACGCCTCCAGGACAAGTATGATCGGGAATGGGCGAGTGAAGAGGTGAAGGAAAAAGGTATGTTTTCCGGTCACCGATTTACCTTAGATTTTGTTTGATTTCTTTTGCGCTGATCAATTATTAACTTTATACTAGACGTGATTACAATTCGGAAGAATGTAGCACAGGCTGCAAAACTAGCTGGTAAGTTCCATAAATATAGCACATTACATGCATATTCATGCTGTTATATTTATGCCTATATATTTGCATGTGTTTGGTCTGCTGTAGGGATTGACGATGAACTTATCAAGGAAGAATTAGACCGGATCACCACATCCTCCATTTGCGATGTACAGCGCCTCATTAATATAGAAGCCATTGAATCATTAAACCCAACCCCTTCTGTCCCTTCACCAGAGCCACCGCCACCAGCAGAAATAATCCCACAGCCCCCAGAACAAGTGTTGCCACCAGCATTGCCTCAAGCCAAATTTTCGAAGCGTCCCCACTGTGGGCCTTGTGAGACCGACTACCCCACTAAAACTGCATTTTTCAGTCACTGGGAGGAAGTCCATTCATCTTTGAAAAACACACTGCTGCCCAACTGCAAGGAGGTCACACTCCATGTCAGCTCCTCTTCCAAATGTTCGAAACAGCCAAACGCAAACACTGTCCTTGAGCTAGCTTCAAAATTAAAGACCTGTTCTTTGTGTTCAAAGGCGTTTGGAAGCTTGGAGGAAGCGTCTGTCTGTATGGCGGAACATAACAAGATACGTTGTTGCATCTGCCTCTTCATGTTCATCCTGAAAACGGAGGACGGGACGACAAGTGCAGAGATGACGAAACACATGAAAGATTTTCACGGCAAGACAACGACGACTGGAAGCAAAGTAGTCTTTCCCTGTCCATTCTGTAATGTCGTGAATGGAAAGGTACGAACTCTGGTCGAACATTTAGCCGAACGCCATTACAATCCTGCTCTCAAAGATATAGCTGATAAACAAAGCGTACGCCAAGACCAGGAGGCTGCAGCTGGGAGGACTGCGACGATACAAAATACGCAGCAAAACAGTAGCGTACAACCTTCCGATGATGTGTTGAAAAAAGTTGATGTCATTCATCCATCACCATCTTCACTTGCTAATGCGATTCCATTTCGCATCAACCCGGCCGCCCTTGGACAGAGCGTAGAGCTAAAGGGAGATGTTCTCAGCAGAAGCTCATTAGGAGGAAGAGTTATAAAGACTAACGCGAACCGGGGCCGGTTTATCTTGAGCAAACCACGCCAACCACGGAATACGATAAGTCCCACGACGGTCGTTCTACGTGGAGCTGGACCAACAACTGTTGGTGGAGGTAACGTGCAGATGACTTTGGGGGGACAGGGACCTCCTCTGCGACCAGGGGGGTCAACATCACCACGCCCTCGGCTCCCACCACCAGGAGTGACGACGACCACACCCGGAAGTCAGAATGGGAAATTGGCCAACGGCACTAGTGTTGTGGGGGCGGCGGCAGGGAGTCAAATAAAACCAGTTGGAGAGAGTGATGTTGCTATTCTGGGAATGTAATGTGGCTGTGACGAGCTGTCTGTTGCAATTGCCCTGAAATTTTTCCAGAATATTATTTCTTGTTACACTGTCACTGCTCAAGATTTAATTATTGTAATATTACTAGTGATATAATTTATGCATATGTAATATGGAGGGAGGTTATTAGTACGTTAGTTTTATCAAACTTTATCCTAGGAAAAAGTATAATAGTTAGAACCGTTTCATATTCGTCATTCAATATAATCAATCAGTTATACTTAATCATTAGTACTACAAAGATTAAAGCAATACGTACATTCAGATATTAACCCATAATATGATTATTAATTGTTAAATTCAAGTAGAAATAGACCCTTTCTTCATCTTTGTTTTGTTTAATTGTTTAGTAGCTACCATCTAGTGTATCGCACTAAGGAATGAGGAATCCTAAGTGTGATCCCAAGTATTTACATATTTTTCACAATGTACTTTGTCACTTGAATAAATACTTCATTTGAACAATATTTCATGTATTTTCATTTCTTCCATTTTGGAAAATCAAATCTTCTGTACCAAAAGTTGTCATCAAAAATTGTCAAAAGCTGCTTAAAACGTATTTCATGCATACGTGCGAGAAGGAGAGATGTCTTCCCTCATATTCACCACTATGCAGTCCAGTTACTCTGGCATTACTGCATACTAAAGCAGGTTTAATAGTTTGCAATTCTCACTGACAGAGAAAGAAGAAGCCCTATGCAGTGATCAAGAAGTAGCTCTTTCCTCACTTTAGCAGCTATATAATGCCCGGTTTATCTGTTGTCCTTGGCACATTTCGTCTCAAGGTTCTGCTTTCCCGACTTTTTCCAAAACTACTCTTTCTCCGTTATTATTAGTCCCGTCGTCGTCTGGGAACGGCACGTGGCTATAACATTTCACGGATAGATTGGTTCGGATACATTCATACCACCTGCTGCAAATGTAATCTACACGAGTAGATGACATTTCTCGTACTTTGAGTCAACAATGTACCCTCATATTTAACTACCCCTCAACATTCTCAAACCTTTGATCTCTCTCATACAAAATGTCAAAAGCCAACTGTGGACGTTCAACATGTTTGAACTAACTTCCAACTATGTTGGTATTTATTATTAGAGGGATGATGCTCCCAATCCCAGGATGTACAAAAATTGTACAACTGCATAAATTGTAGGCCAATCGTTGTGCAGTTTTTGTTGTGATGAATTGAGGCAAACGCCACATTTAACCGTTACACATAAAATGCACCGTTGCTGACATGTGCATTTCCTTTATTTTCTTCGTCTACCTCTCATAAAATAATAATGATAGTATTAGTAATGCCCCTTACGTTACTACAGTTGCATTAAGATTATTCCCCTCTTGCATAATTGTAACCAGTCCTCTAATGATTTAATGGTTCTCCTTCTTCCTTTGTGGCGTGGTGGTGTGGATGAAAGATGTGGAGTTGCATTTATTTGAATGTCGCAATGTTGTGGCGAGTTCTGGTTGATGGGCCAATTTCATTAAATTTCTACCATAAAATTATATATTTACCTGTGTGCCCCAACCACACAGCAGAGGTATCCAAGCCTCACGTACATAGATAGTTAGCGAGCACAGCGTACGCAAATAATGCATTTATCTAGTCACTCAATTTTGCGACAGGGAGACCAAATGCCCCTTTGGGGGAAGGAGTGATGATAATAACATTGCATCGATTTGTTGTCATTTTTTTTTAGCCAACATCAACCAAAAAAATTGGAGGAACCAAGCAGCATGAATACCTACATGCTAGTACATTCAGAGTAGTTGGGATTGGGACTGTTGCCAACCTGAAATGAGCTGGCTTGTGCGATTTTACGCAACACAACTCTCTCCCACACCAGCATGTTATCATTCGCGTTTGTTATTATTAGAGCATCAGCCGTAGGATTTTGTGCGCTATAGAACGCAAAAAAGTGGATTCGTTCGTATTCATCGTCGTCGTCTGCAAATGCGATCAATTCTCTCCACGAGTCAGGCGAAACACGATCAAAACAAGGAAACTTCGTCACACAGCTGATGTGACGAGCTTCATCATCATATCGTCCGTTGTTTCTGAACAGTGACTGATAAGCGCAAAGGTCGTGAGTGAATCAACAACAGAGTCATAGAACGTGTGTTTGTATGACTAGTACGACAGGTAACGATAAGTGTGAAAAATAGATAAGCTCGTAATCTGTTCTTTGTGTTGCATGTCTGCGTATTATAGAGAGTTGGAGGGAATAATATTACGTACTTAATATGATATTATTATTGTGAATCATAGTTAAATACTATAACGAGTTGAAAGACGAAGCTATTAAACACGTTCTTTGTTGCCGTCGTGAACATAACAGTTTTTGGGGAGGAGATCGGTGGGTGTGGTCATGTCAGAGAGCTCTGCTGAGATTGAGTGAACAGGATAATCAAGAAATTTGAGGTAAGGGGAGGACTTTAAGGAGGATGCCTTTCATAAGCAAAGACTGGAGGTCGCCTGGGGAGCAGTGGGTCAAAATCGGACCTGGGTGGGAGCGAGCCAAGGTTCTCAACTATCTCCAGTAAGTGATACCTGTTACACCCACCCACCCACTCATACCTGCATCTCTATGCATGTGCACATATCAGGCAGCACTAATACTATGCATGCACTAACAGCGTCAAGGTTGTCCTAAGACAAAAGTTGTCTGAAAAAGTGGCAGTAGTGCTGATGCTATTTCATATCTGTTGAAGCAAAAAGAGTACCTTGAGAAGATGGACAAATGTGATTGGAGTTTAGTGCTGGAAACTCTTTGTTGTTGTATCACCACGCACAACCATTGACGATTGCCAATAACGAGTTGGAAATGATGTGCATCTTACAATAGCCCATGAAGCGTGGTTTTAATTTTTTAACATATTATGCACATCTTAAATCACATTCTACTAATATTCTTAGTACAGATCTAACCGGACCTAATTATGCATGCATGCTATATTAATGGTGAATGACCAACTAAACTAGCCATAAAAAACGATCTTTATTGTTTAGCCTTTTTCCTTGTTCTGCACTTTTGCACGTGGCATCTATTCCTTCCATCTACTTTCCACTAATTAAACCATGATAATGATGGTAGATGCGGATTAAGTCACAATTTCCGTGTACCAGCTCAAGATCAAGATATCATTTTAGTAGGCAGTTTAGGTATGCATATCATCCCTTGCGTTTCTATATGATTAAAATCTGCATTTTTAGCGTCTATATCTATATCATACGATCGTATTTTTATGTATGAAATTGTATGTAGCTAAACTGATATATTATTTAACACCAGTACACATTTGGCCATACTTTAACATTTCATTTAATTGTTGTAGTTCGAGCTATTTTGGAAATGGGGATGGCAGCGGTGGCAGAGGAGGTAAGTTAAATTGCTTTTATTTTTAATTTGACAATATTCTTCTTACGTATGTGCGTTTATTTTTCTAGACGAATCTCTCCAGCCTCAATACAATGTGACGACGCGGACCACGAGAGAAGTACGCTTTCTAATACTTATAATTGCCCATTAGTTTCTCAACCAACTAAACTTGTGATTTTAGATTCGTCGACAAAACACATTGTCAGAGGCATTGTTGCAGCTGGACTTTTACTCCGCGTGTCATGACATTCGTCGGTTCAACTATACGTGTAAGGCTATATATATATAGTTGAATAACATAAAATAGCGTCACGAAGATAATAATACTATACTCTTTTTACTCAATCAGGTCGAATGCTCCAACTTCTTCTACTCAGCATGGACCACCTTCCAGGCAACGTTCAGCGCATCCTAATTCGCCTCATTGATGAGGCCGCCACTACAGCACGCCAGAACGGGTGGTGCGGTCAAGTTAGGGCCGTTCTTCAGGCCATGAGGTATTAAATTCAAATGCAAAAGAAAAACTATGGACAAATAAGTCACAAACAACTGTGTGGTGATGCTTTACATTTTGCTTGCTGCAGGGAAAAGACGGTGGACCAACCCGTGTGGGGTGGGCAACTGGGCTCGACCAAGTTGTGGGAGGAGCACAAGGCTCACATTACTAAAATCCTCAATTCTGATTCTCAGTCAAACATTGGCAGCGATTCCGGGAAGGACGATGTGGATAAGGTAACTAACGTTAAAGTAGTTACCACATCCCACACATTTATGATGCAGATAGTACTTTTTGAAATATGCATTTTTTGTATAAGCACTGATTTTATGACTTGTTTGCTTATTTGTCAGAGTCCTCCACTTGACCAGCTCCCGGAGGAAGTTCTGCGACAGATTCTCCTCAAACTGAGTTGTGAGAAGGACATTGAGTCTCTTGGGAGCAGTCACGCCTGCCTGGGTCGCGTGGCGGGTGAGAATCGCGTCTGGAGAGAGCTGGTGGCTTATCATTTCACTCCGCAACAGCTGCAATTGATCCAGGATCGACTGGAGAGCCTCCCTATCTGGCCAAACCATAGGGCCGGACCCCTCAAAGCACCACTCGTGGTCACAGAACCCCTCTGGAAACTCAAATTTAAAACTCTGAAGAGGAGATACGGTCTAGGACGAGAAGAATACGCGGATGAACTCAATCTCTGCAAAAGTTGCGGCCTCCTGTTTTGGACGAATCAGACGAGTCATGACTGTGGCGTCCCTCTTCTCGTCCGTGTCAAGCCAGGAGAGTTTATCTCCCTCTTCTGCGTCTAAAGAGAGATAGAGAGTTGAACATGATATTACCATATACATAGAATAGAACATTCATTATTTCGGATTTCGGATCGAATAGGATATAAGATAAGAAACAGTTAAATGACTGACTGCAGCAAAGGTGAAGGTGAATGAGTGATAGCTTCAAACCAAATAATTATATTATCCGTTTTTGTCAATTCTTAATTATAATTATGAATATTGTGAGGAGGAGAATGCTTATACCGAGTATGTCGTAAGGTGTGTAACAATTAACTGATACATTTCATTGTGAGCCTTGTGCCGTCGGGTAAATATGTAACTTTTGTGTCGTCGTTGTCGTCGTCCTCGTTAATTAGTTTTTTGTGCTCTATTCGAAGAAATGTGTACAGAGCTTGAATTTGTGAGGGGACGGAAGAATTATTGAATGTAATGCTGTCCTTTATCAGCACGTCGTTTTATATAGAGAAATCTTCAATTTCAGCTGTGATGGGTCAGGTTTGGCAGAGGAGTGAGATGAGAACCATTGCTAATAATTTTTATAGCGTGTATCTGTGTAAGTCATTAGTCGACTACGCAGCGATGTTTAAAGTCCACACCCATCCCTCACAACCTCTGTGCATTTACCCAGTTTCGTGGTGCTAGTACCCATCTCACGTACATATGTACACATACCTCCATCGACATTAAGAAAAAGTATTACTGCTCGCTCGAGAGAGATAACGCATTCGTCATTCCGCAATATCGCTATTTAAATGGAAACAAGTCGCAACTTAATCTACAACTATACAATAGAATCGCAAGAATCACACTATATAATATAAATAAATATCCTAAGGATTTAGCATTTTATGTCATCGATTAACGCATAGCATTCAATACGAGCTCGTTTTTTTCGTTTGTCTTTATGGACACAAATGCGTAGTTATTTTCATTCAACCAATTGTTTGATTTTTAGTCGAGTAATAATAATAATAAATACTACTTGTTCTCAACTCATGTGAGTCATCCCTTGTTTTTAACTAATTACATATGTAGCATTTGCAAATGTGTCACGATCATCACACAAAGATCAGCATCCATGGAGTAAGTGGTTAGCTTATCTTATCGGTATCCTTTGATTGCGTCAATCAAGGCAGTGAGAACGATTACATAAGTCTTGGGGAGGAGGAAAGGAAGTTAGTTAGGTTGCAGTAGCTGTCTGGCTGGTTGGACGTGATGTTGGTGCATAAGTACTGCGATTGTGTGAAGAAGGGTCTCCTGAGAGAGAGATGCGAGATTTGCAACCAAATCAACGACCTGGGAGCTGGAAACTGGATAGGCTATGAAATTCGTATCATGAGTCATTTCACGGGTGTAAAATTGCAGTTTATTCCCATTCTTCCTCTCCGTCCGTTCGTTCATCCTGGTCGTTACTATTATTTTATTATCATGTATTCCGTCCATCCAGCCATCGGTGCATGCGACGACGAGGAGAACAACAACATGGCACAAAACATGATTGGTTTGTTGGAAAACAACAAAATGAATTTTGCGACCCTTCCTCTTCCTTCCCGTCTGCAAAATTGTAAATAACATGCATAAAATGGCAAAGAGCTCATAAAACTGAGAGTTTTGCCACCGGCGTCCATCGGCTGCGTCGAGTTGTGGCGTCGTTCATCTTTTCATCCTCACCTCCACCATCTCTCCTCGCCTTCCCCACACCCCTTCTCCCTCCTCCGTGTGAGATGAATGGGTCTGATGGCAGAAGAGACGCTTGGTTCTCTGAACAAAGGGACCATGTTGGATGGGTTGATGGAAGGGCCTTATTTTTCAGACACCCCAGCAGCCCGTCATAAAACTTTACTACTCTCTCTTCTCTCTCTGACCAAATACGCATTTTGCAATCCTGTGAGCACCTTATTGTGTCGTACCGTCGTGATGTGGCCATGAACCAGGACAAATGAGAGAGGGAGAGACCCATCCACACACACATACACAAAAAAGTGTTTTCCTTGCGAAATATGACCGCTCCTGGGATGACTAAAGTCTAAGCTTGCGAAAATGGAGAGGTTGTTACAATCATAATGGCAATTGGCAAATGCATGGCTCCATCCGCGTTGTAATAAAAGCTCCAAAGAAATTTAACGACCACACCAAATAGTAGTTGTTCGCTCAGTTCGTTTGCATGTGTGTTTGTACAGCTTATTGCCATCCCTAGGTTTTAAGTATTAGTCTCCTCCTCAGTCCGTCGCAGAAACGGAGTGAAATAAATTAAACGAAATAAAGTAGGAGCCCCTCCGCACACATTTCAACGAGCACACGTAAGCAGATGAGTGAGGATGAGCATGAGGGAGGAAGACGGCGACGACGACCACGACACATGGAGAAAATGAAGAAGGACTGGAATACATTTAACGATTAGCACATTCCAAAACCCATTTCAAACGATGCTATGTTGCAAAATATGTTTTCCTCGAATAGGGGAACATACGTAAGTGTATACAGAGTCAAATAAAGTGGAACAATTGGCAGGTTGGGTTTGGCCCATGTCATGTCTCGGAGATGGTGAAACCAGGGTTTAAGGGTGAATCTATATTCAGTATTACGTACGTACGTATACATACATGGTCGACCAAGGATTTGAAGAGAATTTGTGGTGGTGAGGATCGTATATACAGATTTCTCTGTATGAATCCTTCTTATGAATTTCATCTCCAGGAGCTATATATGGACAAAATTTAACGGAATGAGGGGGATTTAGTATCCTCATGAATCCTGATCCCAGCAGCCTGACCTGACAAACTGTGTTAGTTCCCACGGGCGGACGGAAATAAAATCAACAGGTCGGTGGTGGTCCAATGCATGTGGTCGTTATAGGCACAGAGATCAAAGTAAAATTGCTGCTGCTGTACACAAAATGGGGATCAAATTTTCGTGAGCTCTTTTCCAGCGAGTTTGCGACGCAGATATTTATTTTCCGTTTGAAGCATCATCGTCATCATCAACAACAACTGATTGACGGAAGAGACGCCCACACGACACGGTCAGAAGCAAACTGCACCCACCGACCATGTTATCTTCTTGGAGGCATTCAGCATATGTGCAATATCACGGCACCACGGAGGTCTCTTATTCATGTACATGTGTACTTATTATGTAAGTCCATATACAACTATCTATATTCATATTTACTTACTTAGCTCCTCAGTCGGTAGATCCGTGTGAGTGACGGACGGGTAACGCGACCAGTGTCTCAAATGTACATATATTTCTGTGCTTTGCATGTAAATTGCCTGGAATATTTTTCGTGCAATTTATGCCAGCACGACACATTTGCACGGATTCATTGTTTTAAAGAGTATTTGAATTCTTTTGTCTTAATTTACTTGTGAGCTTGCATTACAGTTTGTGTGCGTGAGTGCACTTACTTGTACCTCGTATTTTGGGTGAGCTTGCCTGAAACTTGCTAATTGTTCCACCCATGGTTCTGGGTTATTATATGAACTATTCAAAGCAGCGAATCTGAGCGAGAACGACTCTGATGGCACGGCGAAAATTCTATAGCGTGCGATCACATCAAAGGGTGATTGTGCATCCTGTTGTCTCATTCCATTTTTAGCCAACAACAAACAACCCCTTGGCTACCTACCAGAGCACCACTAGACAAGACTTAATATGCAATATGACAGATCGGATGGGGAGGCGTGTGACTGCATGCATATCTTGACAACAATTTTGGAACTGGGTTTATACACTTGGTTATACGGAAGAGGTTCAAGAATCCCTGATTTGGGTCTTTCTTTATTGCAGCATCAGCAGTTGTAAGGGAAGCATATACGTAAGTACTCACTATGGCTGTGCAAATAAGTGTCTGATCCTGGTGGAATTAAAACCTTGGACTCCATGCAGCAGCAGCAGCAGCGTGTGCCAATATTGAATGAACGATGAATGGATGGATGGATGGAAGCGAGGAGTCGTCATTGTCATTTGCTTGGTATTTGCTCCTGCTTTCAAGAAGAAGCAGCGTCTCTAAAGGAGTCACATACACTGGGAGGGAGGCGACGACGATGATATCCAGCCGTCGCCGTCCTCCTCAAGAGTGAGAACTAACAAGAAAAAGTTGTCCTCCATCCATCCGCGGGTTGGATGAGGACAAGTCAATACAATCAATGTGAATAATGCAACAGCACAGCAACCTCGATTGATTTCATTTGGTTATCATTATTGAGGACATGTTGAAGGCTTTCTTCTCAGCCTCCTGCTCCGCTCCTGCTCAAAATTGTGTTATTTATTTATTTCTTGTGTAGCTGATGATGATGTGAAACCTTATTACACAAATATTTATGTAGAAGAGCAATGAAAGAAATATTATTTTTCACTACTTTTCGGAGACTTTTGTCCCATTGTGAGCCTTATCTACACCGTATTGAATTGATTTTGAAAGGAAGTTGGGTGCCAAACCGGCTCCTCAGTCCAATCCAATGTCTGGGTTTTCGTAGGTGCACATTCACGATATAACGTTTAGACACTGCCAACAATTCCGTCATATCGCATATTTATTTGCATTCTGTCTTCGTCAACGCTGACTTGTGATTGAATATGGATTCCTCTCCACCTTCTCTGACCACGCAATCCAGACATTCCACAACCCTGTTCACATGAACGTAGTCGTCGTCGTCGTCGTCGTTTTCGTTGTCCGTGAAGTCGAAAGGGAAGCCGGAGGAATGTACTTTTAGATAAGGCGAATGTGCATACATACTTTTCCTTTTAGTTGCATGCATAGTGCAGCGAGAGAGAGAAGGATAATTATTTCTTCTATGTGCATTAACAATTAAGCTTAATATATGTTTGTACGTGTACATTATTTTGTTTCTTTTCCACGAGATCATGATTATGGATGGGGCTTAATAAAAGGCGACTCGTGCAATGAGCAGCGACTGGAGAGATTGGAGAGGATACCTCCTCTTTTTAAATTGGATAAATGCAGTGGAAGCCGTGAAATTCTGCCACGACTGAAATAAATAAAAGTCCACGAGATGAATGGGAACGCTTTTTTAGTGCGCCAACATTATTCTGCAGTCTGCTTCTCCTGGTGCAGATTAAAGTATAAGAATTCAGCATGGTTGTTGTTGCAGCAGCAGCAGCGTGGCGTTGAGAATTATTGGGTTAGTTCAAGTTTTGCTGGCTTGATTTAATCCATGGGGCTCCACATAGCTGGCTGAACGGAGAGGGTTGATCATCATCATCTGCATGAGAACTGTTACTTTATGTTATGATTCTGCAAGGAGGTTTCTTCTGCTTATTCGTGAATTCGCTTATGAAATTGCAGAAATTGGAATGCTCTGCTGGACTCGCGAATTCTGCACCAACCGGTACGATGCACACCTCAGCCAGTGATCAAGCCATGGCACAAATATGAATGCTGCTGGTGGCAGAAGGAGCAGTGTGTGTGCTAGTGAGCCTCTCTTATTATTAAATTGAGCTACTCCTCCGTAGAAGAGGTACTCCTGCTGGAGAAGCGAATATGTTCAACTTGCTTTCTCCAGCATTCAGTTCGCAACTCGTCTCACTCCCATCAGCAGCAACTCGCAAAATTCTCTCGCTCAACTCCTCACTTGCTCAGCCAGCTCGGAATTCTCTCCACCGAAAATTCTCCCTGTGTGGGAACCACATCAAGGTGGGAAGTGGTGTGTGTCTCATCTCAGTCATCTCATCTCGCTCTCCATATTTATTACACACTCCTTCTCCGCCACGGCAAATAATAAATAAATAAATAATTCCAACCTCCTCACTCGGAAGGATTACTTTTTTTTTGACGGGCGAGTACCTACGGCCGACACTTTGTGACATTGTTTGTAATCAGAAAGGTACACCTTGTTTACGAGTCGTCGGAAAGTGCAGTCACAACAGGAGGAGTATGTAGTCGCACTTCTCAAAGTAAAATAACTCTTTGTTCACTTCTCGGAGTTGTTGATATTGTTGAAGAGGACGATTGATACTGTGCCAATGAGCAGCGGTGGTGAACATTTAAGCTCATTATTCTCCACACGACGACGACGACGACGGCCAACTTGTGTAGCACAGTTTCCTTTGAACGCCCGATTTCTGAAATCTCGTCCACCTCCACTTTCCAACAACGGTCATCGACAATGGGCAAGTTTAATGTGATTGTGCTTGGGAGACGGTTGGCAAGAAAGTGGTGATTTTTGACGTGTAGGCACAGACTCTTGTGTGTTCGAGGGAAACTTTTAAATGTGTTGTTCCGTAAGCGAAAAGTTGTTCTGGCCATGTCAGCCACAGACGTATTGCACACACTTACATCACTGTTTGTTGTTGTTGATAAAATGTGCTTCAGAAAGTGTAACAACGTTTCCAGTGATTGATTTGATACAGTTTTGAACGGAATGCGCTGATTGAAGTACGTGGCGTTATTATTCAGTCGTCCTCGCTGCTGTATTCTTTTTGAGAAATGAACAATCACATGCGAGAGGAGGTATTGTACGAGTATGAATTACTAAGGAGGATGTTTTCAGTTTTGTTTCGCCTATTTATCGTCTGATACGCACGAACCAAAAATTTCTCTAAACTGCATACGTACGTATGTATGCAAATTCAAAATGTGCTGCTCATACTGCGCATCAAGCATTAGCCCATGCAGGGTATAATTATTGGGAAAGCAGTTCTTGTGCACTAAATAGCACTGGACGGAGAGAGTGCAGTTACTTGCTTTTCGTTTTATCGCAATTAGTTTGCTACTGGTCGTCCCAATTTCCTCCAAACATGATTGACATGAAAATCGAATTTTGTGGACTGAGGACTATAACGGTTTCTGTCCCGTCTTGTTCATCAATTACCCTGCTGCAGTGAAAGTAATGTGAGAGTTTAACTTTAGGGTGGAATACATTACAGTCGGACGACGACGACAGAAAGGAAACGTAAACTGATCGGGAATAACCCTTCTTTTCCCAATAGAAGCCAATTTATTGTCATCAGATATGTGGACAAAACCCGAGTAATACACTCAACCACCAATTAAAAGAAGAAGCAGCCGTCATATTATTGGAATTATGCAATTACAGATACTTACAATTTATTCTAGTTTTTAAGTCAAGATGAATGCCCTCTCATCAATAATGATAAGTCTCCACTACCGGTTGATGGGCCACTTTACTTGCGGGGAGCCGTATTGGTGCCCTTACTTTTAAGTACATATAAGTGAGCAGGACAGTGAGTGGAACCTTGTTTCTTGCTACTACCACCACAGCTCCAACAACGGAACGAACGAATCTACCCGGTCTCGTAGTCAGTGAATCCTGTGGGCCGTAGGTGCGTTGGCTAGTCCTCAGTCTGTCCTCGTCGCTCCCAGTGGAAGGAGAGAGAGAGAGGAACGTGGGAATCTCAATAATAATCTCAAAGTCGTGTCCTGGGAGAGGAGTGAAAGTCAGAAGGAGGGCAGTGGAGAAAGCAGCCTCCTCTCCGTGCTGCTGGGTCCGAACTCACAAGTCAGACTCTGCCAACATAAAGTCAATTCAATTGAGAGAGTGATAATAATAATAAGACTGACTGACTGACTGACTGGCTGAGACGACGGAACGGTGGAACTTTATCCCATTGTGAAAGGGAGACTGAAGTGGAGGAGCAGAAAATCCTCTCAACCTTACCCACTCTTTGCTAGCGTTTCATGCACAAATAATATTATGGGTCTCGCTGCCGACGAAACTGAGACAAGTGTGCGAGTCTAACAAACGGAAAACTCAAACTTTGATCTTTTTATAAGGAAAGTACGATGAAGCATCAATTCATTTCCGAGGATGAATAGTCAGAATACTGAATCAGAACTTGGAATAGTCCAACTTGGAACAAAGCCGAATTCAACAAAGAGAGTGAAAGTAGTTGTCAACAAACCAAGGGGCCAAGTGAGACGAACAAGACTATCAAAAACAAGTAAATACGACGACGACGACGACAACAACACAACGCCTGATAACCATTTGTGGAGGTGGCTCCGCTGCGTTAATTATATACTTTCTCCGCCATCATCAAAGAGCAGCCCAACAAAAGCAACCTAGCGCAATTACGGGAATTCTATCAAATATTAATAATAGGAATATTTAATTAAATGAGACGAGATGACGTTCCTCCTTCTTAGTCCGACGAGGGCAGGCGACGAGCCGCGCAGTGGTCGCCGTTTGCCGAGACGCTCTGGAACATGGCCAGTATGGACGGTGGTTGTGGGGGTGGTGGTGGTGCTGGGTGTGGGAGTAGTCAGCCCATCCGCCCACTTGATGGCCCTGGACGAGGAGGAAACGTCCGATTCTCACGAGACGCTCCAGTTTTTGGAGAGGAAACGGAGTGATGGGAGTGGTTCCTACTTTTACACGAGCATCTCGTCCCCCAACTTTCCTGCCCCATTTACCACCCCCTTCTCCGAGTTCTACGTCATCAACACATCCACCCTGGCTGGTCAGGTGGGGGCAAACCACGTGGTCAACATTTACCTCTGCGAGCTATTCACGGCCGAGGAGAGCTTCAAGATTTACGACGGAGCGGGGATGGAGCGCGTTCTGAGCAGAGAGGTCAAGCAGATTCCCATCCAGCTGAGGGACGACGAGGTGGCGGAGATTCAGGTACAGGTTCTTATTATCGAGGATAAGCTTAAGGATATTAACAATAACCGAGTTCTTCTCACCAGGTTCTTATCATCAACTTCCACCACCAGCTTCGCACCAAGCTCCACTTTCACTCCATCTACGGCTACAACATTTCCCTCGAGGTACTCGACAAAGGGGTGGCCAGCTTGAAACCGAAGCCTCAGGAGCAGAGCTGCTCGGTGAGAAACTGCTCCTATGCCGGGCGGTGCAAGGCCTTCCCAGGAGTGCGGAGAATGTAAGTGGACTTCTCATTTTCTCACTTTCTCTTTTCCGGTTGATTTCACCGGCACTGTTGGTTAGAGAGGGAGAGAAAGTGGGAAAGTGAAAGCATGTGATTGTTCCACCACCAACTACGAGACGAGGACAGTAACAACAACGGCAACAGCAGAAGAAGAAGAGACCCCAAACTAAATAAGCGAGGGGAAGCTGTTGAGGCGTCATGTTCGTTTTTCGTACAAAACAGTAAATAATCCCGCTTGGTTTACTTTTCCTTGCAAGCCCAATCTGTTCCTCTTTTTACTACTTCTTTGCCCCTGCTCCTGCTGCTGCTGCTGTCGAGTTTCAAACTTATTTTGGGATACAGAGCGAGAGAGCTATCCTGTTGGAAAATTGCGAGATCAAACGAAACAGGGAAACACTTCAAGCTTTTTTGACACTTAATTTTGGGGAGAAATCTGTGCACAGAGTTATCTTGGCTTCTTCGTCTTCTTTTCCGGCGCGCTTTCTTCTTCTTTCACTGTAGCCTAGTGTGCAGCCAGTTTGAATGAAGTCGACGTTGCTCGCTGGTCTGGTGGTTCTTTATTTTTCTGTTCATTGAGTATTTAAGTTGCGGACATAATTTCCATACCATTGCACCCACCCAACCCACACACCCCACGACTTACAAGCACAGCCAGTCATTGATGGAAATGGCAGCACCAAAGAAATGCTGTGCTGGAGAATGAAAACCGAATGGAATGCAGTTTGGGTTCTCATCTCATCTCAGACTGCCAGCCAACCAGCCAACCTTCTCCTTTGTCTTCCTTTGCCAAAAAGAAGTGAATAATCAATTTATTTGGTTTTTTGCTCTCCCAACCGCCCAGTGGAGAGAGAGAGAGAGAGAAAGCATATCATGGTTTGTGGTATTTGGTTTTGGAGTCCTCTCTCCTGGAGGAACGTGGTGGTGGAGATATGTATGTAGACGAAGACAGCTTTCATTCCCTTTGATGACAGCCAGGACAATGGGATTTGAAAGACTGCATACATTCATATATCTCACGTGGTTGTGGGGCAAGGCAGGTAGGGATGCTCGCAGAGGACGCTACAAACTCACCATCAGAGTAATAAAGAGTGCCGACGAAGCCTAACTTCTAGTCCACCCTTCACTTCCCAAAGCCATGTACCACAAAGTGCACAACACAATTTAATTGATTCTTCCGCAAACCTGGTAGACTTTCCCCCTCTCTTGATATGTATTTATCCACAGGCAGGCGAAAGTTTGCAACTGTGTAGAGTTTTGTGTGTCTCGTGCACAAATTGAGTTTGCTGGGGAACCATTAACTTACAAATTGTTCCATCTCCTGCAATAAGTACTTTCACTTATTGCAAAGCTAAACTGACCCAAATCGCTGTAAATGCGATGATTCGCTCGATGCAATAAATATGTGGCTGCAGGGAAAACGGACAATGCAGGCAAGTCTCCAAAAAAAGTCCTCTGCCCACTTTCGCTTGAATGCTTCAAACTTTTTGCCCTGAGCAGTTGCATGTGTGTGTGTAGTAGTAGTTGAAAAATAAGTGTTTTAGTGGAGTTTGCGGATGGTGAAATGATAAGCCGCCAGAGAGCCGATCCTCCTCCTTGAGGGAATTTGGCAATCTCTCTCACTTTCTTTCACCAGGTTAGGTTAGGCACCAGGGAGTCATCGCTCTCATTCTGTGTATCTCCCTGCCTGGGTGTGTGCAAGATGTGGGGTCGGTCAAATTGTGACGCCGCCGTTGTCTCGAGAAGCGGGATGGGAAAGGGTGGTGAAAGCATCCCCTAATTCCCACATTTCTCGCACATTGTTGGCTACATAAACTGACTCTGTTGAGATGATTAATAATCGAAGTGTTTTTGATGGCAGGGAGTTCAAATGCGAGTGTTTGGAAGGGTACTCTGGTCCCTATTGTGAGTACGGCCCGGAATGCGATCCACGGAGGAACATCAACTTTTGTCTCAACGGGGGCACCTGCAGGTATGTAAAGCTACCACCAACTTTTTGCCCCGTCACTTAGCTCCTCATCGTCGAAACTTGGGCAGACAGCGGATGAGAATGCTGCTCTTTTGATTCACTTTCCCCTTCACGATTTCATTCTTGTCCAACGCAGACATTGTTGTCCTCCAACCTAAGCCATGTCAAATAGCAGTCTGCTGCCTGTGGGTGGCTCCACTGCCTGGCGAGCTTATAAATACCATGTTGTGTGGTAAAGTCGAGAGAACAACAGAGCTGGGATAATCCTGATTAAGGATTATGGATTTTAATCCCGGATTATGGATTATTAATCCATAATCCCTAATCCGACAATGAGAGTTTTTTGTAGATTAATCCCAATCCATAATCCAGATTTTTCTGGAATTTGAATTAATCCGGGAATAATCCCATTAGATGTCATTAATCCGTAATCGTGATTACGGATTACTAATCCTGATTAATCCCAATCATGACTACTAATCATGATTATTAATCCCGATTAATCCCAATCATGATTACTAATCATGATTAGGTATTCATGATTAATTCTCAATCTGGATTACTCAGTTCAATTCCCGTAGTTCTATTTCATCCCACTGTGTAGCTTGAAGTCTCAAGTTCTCACAACTTTGTCCTGTCGGCTACCATTTGAAGAGTTAACATGTTTTTGCTGCCTTGTGCTACATATATCAATTGAAACTGGCGTTTTAAATATTTTATGTGAAACCACATAGTTTAAATTTTTTGGGCTAGATATATCTGTAGGTAGTTTAAAAATCATTAATCACCAAAATAATCCGGATTATTAATCCATAATCCATAATCCTGAAATTTCCAGAATTCATGGATTAATCCGGATTAATCCTGACATGAATTAATCTGACGAAAATAATTTAATCACAATCCACATTATTTTGTGGTTAATCCATAATCCTTAATCCACCCTCAAAAACGAATAATCACCCAGCTCTGGAGAACAAGAACAAGAACAAGAAGGGGAAAAGTAACAGAGAGCTGGAAACTGGCTTCCTCCTGTATCTGACTTTGTACAAGCTTTAACAAATGTGATCTTTAACTGAGAGAAAGTTGTCCCTTTTCTTCAAAACAGTTTTCATTCCGTCCATCAAGACATGAAAGGAGGGCTAAAATGCCCTTTTAGGATAAATGATAAATCGCTCACTTTATGCCCATTGCTCACTCTTGTAAACATCCCCATCAATCATTCCTCCTTCGGTTTGTCTGCCCACGTTATGGACTAAGTAGCAATGCCACGTATCTCCAACGCGTGCCATCCAGCACCCCCATAATTCTATAAAGAGGGGAATCGTCATCTAATAAGGAATTAGTCTTGTAATTGTTGTTGTGTTTCTCTCTGTTTCCGGTCCCTTTCTCGTCGTGGTCCTACAGGATGTTTGGCTATGCCGGTGGAAGATGCGACTGTCTGCAGGGATTTGGTGGATCCAAGTGTCAACTCAGGAAGAGAAAGATCAACTTTGTAGCAGAGAACCGGGGTAAAGCGTGATACATTTATTTCACACGCACCAAACATACACACAGTTGTAACATGTGTACCTACATATTACTTAAAATATACAATGATAACCCCTGCCTGCATGCACACATGAAACAACTTTCTCTCTCTCTCAATTTTCTTCTGGTTGGGAGGTGGTGAATTATTAAAAACTTCTCACTGAAAAAAAAACATCTTGTTTTTTACGAGTGTAATCTATCACTCAAATGTTACATTAGCCCGACAGTTTGATTCAATGGCAATAATATATGTTTTACAATGGTTCGAGGATCTCATTCTCGTGCATATGTACGAATGTCTCAATCAAAGTGTTTGATCCTGTGGCAGACTCGGAGAACACAATATTGGAGGAAATATGGTGTACATACGTATAAGTTATGAGTATTTGGGGGAGAATATTTATTTATGACTGCGCATTGGGCGAGATGAGGAATAAGTGGAGGATGAAATGTGAATTCATTTTGCGAAACACGGAATAAATATTGAAACTTTGTCAGTCAATCTAGTTCCCTTTACGCAAATGACGCTTGAAACTTTTGCTCCAAACTCTGCCGAGTTTTGCCATCAGAACTACTTGATAAAACGGGTTTAGAGAGAGAGAGAGGGAGAGAGGTGAAAAGTTCAAAGAAAAAAGTTTAGCACGTTGTTGATTGTTCTGCAGACTGTTCCGAGTCAAACGGGATCGCAGTGGAGGATCGGCCTTGCTCTCTTTGCAACAAATTCCCTGCAAAACCAGGTACGTCTCACAAATAACAACAATGCATGTGCCGAGCAAAAGATGAGAAGCAGCGTTTCCTCAACCAGATACATGCATAGATCTATATTCGTCATCGCCAAGTTGGAGGAGGTAGAGTCGAATGTTTAATCGAATTTTGTGTCCTGCTCTCTTTCTTACATGTAGCCGGGCATCGCTACCTCGTCACTGTGGCGGATGCCCTGGTCACCTCGACTCCTGGCACGGTGACGACGACTCCTGGGCCGAGAAACGTGTCACAACTCTTGTCCCAACTGTTTGAGTTGGGCTACGTGGTGGGGAGTCAAACGGGACAAGTCAACAGGTAGGTATTGCTTTGCTATTCATGCAACAACGGTTCAATGAATGCACACAAAATCGTCATTCATTATTGATGACATTTGACTCCCGAGTAGCATTTCCTGCAATACAACCCCAGGAATGCCTACATATGTACGAACTCTGCCCACGGCAGAGCTGGGTGTCACTTTGTAGTAATTCTATTTCCAGTGGAAGAGTGTGTTCCGCATGGTTCATGATTATTTCAGCGCCCTCCACACTACATTACTCATCTGCTCATAATATCTCCCCTGCTGGGGATCCTTATCAATTAATTACAACAGTGCTTAACGTCATTCATCAGTAATAATTAAATTCCCATCGGCATAATTTTCCTCCTTCGCCTGTACAGAGAGGGATTTGATTAAGAAGAAGACTGGCCGACTTGGGCAGAGGAAGAAACAGGTCAGAGCAGTTTAATAAGTCCAATACATTAAGCAGTGGCCAATTAATTATGCAGTGTAGTGGATGAAATCATGTTATCTCGGCTCATCTCTACCTCTCTCTACCTGCCTTCATGCCACCTTCAGTTTACTTTTAGCCGTTCGTATGCAGCACAATATGCAGCCAGATTACAGGACACGTTTTCCTACACCCCGAGAGATATATCAACTCCTGGAGCAATTTATTGTTCTGGCCTCTCAATAATTCAGCCCATTATTCTTGAGAACTGCATGGAAACTGGAAAGTGAGACGTACATACCTCGTATGTACATTCATGTGTGTTGTACATATTTGTGTACGTACATACGTGCAGTTGGAGAGCAAGGTGTACCTAAGTAGCATGTTTTCAAGCCGATGATGATGTTGTTCTTAATGACGGGTTACTACTTCCCATGCTGCTTGTATGTGCTGCTGGATGCTCGTTATATTATTAGGCAGGATAAGATAAAAACCAGAGGATGTTGGACATGGGGCCATCCCAATAAGCACAATAATAACCTTAACCCTCCAAACGATGCAAGCAATTCTCATTCCGGTTCGCAAATAATAATGGCTCATTTCCAACCACAAGCAGCCTATGTAGGCAGGCAGACATTGAATTTTGCACACGGACGAGGCACCGTGCACATTAATACCAATGTGCATTTTTGCAAAATTATGAGTGTAATGACACTCGGTTTTTTTCTTCACCTCATCCACCATTACCTACCTCCATTTTTCACTGCATTGCCAACAAGTACATGTTTCCGCTTCACATCACTTCGAATTAAGTGTTTATCTGTTCTCAACATTTCACCACGACGTCGTCCTTAATGAGAAACTTAGTGACATGGTCAGGGATTGCTCCGTCCGTGAGGCATGCATGCAAATAAATAACCCATTATTAAGGGTACCCCCAATGTATTTGGCTGCAGTATTAATGGCTTTCGCTGAATGAGACAAGCGAGCAGTCTAGATTTCTGTGGTTCTTCTCACCTGGTTAAATTTTGTTAGGAGGCAATTCTGAAGGCGCACTCGGTAAATAATTAAGTGCTCCAATTAAGTCGGCCCGCAATTAATACAAATTTATACCTAATTATACATTTATGGAGCCTACCCTTTCGACCAAAATGCGCATTTCCATGTACATTCTATATTGTCAGCACCTCGTTATTACGGAATATGTATAGACACACATATATACAATCACTGCATTTAGTGGCTCACTCGACTACCCGTCAATCAGTATTAAATGGCTCCACAAGTTAATGCGCATCTCATGTTTCCTCTCTTTACACACGATTGCAGATTGATCGTGGAAGTGTTTGGGCAACTTTCACACAACAAGGGCAACGAGAGCAGGAGCAACAACGGGACATTTCCCCCGGGGGTGGCTGTCAAGTTGGTCGACTCTGCCGCTTCCTCTTCCAACTACGACCGGTTGCAGGTAAGGACACAACAAATAATCTCGCTCAAATCTAACCCATCTATCTGCCATCACTCACAATGTCGCAACGAACGGGTCTGTCTGTTGGCAGACGAGAGATAGTCATCATTGTTGCCGTCCTCGGCGTGTCATGTGTAGTAATTCCCTCGTGATCAAATGTCCAGTTCCAATCAGAGAGGAGTGAAAGTGAGCCGTGTTTGCGATACTGTCAATTGCTATTCAAACTTTTGAGACATTTGTTGACGACAGAGGAGACGTTTTCCAATTATTGAGATGGGACTATACATAGAATTATTTTGAGGGGCACGTGGTGTGTATGTTGGGGGGGGGAGGGATGTTGTTGTTGTGATTGACTAGCTGGGGGGCAGGATGTGGAGTGGATGTGAGTGATATGAATCGAGCATTATTACTGCAATGGTGAGTTAATGAATGTTTGTGAACTGTGTGATTGCAGCCCAGCGTGAGCATGAACAAGGAGAAGGAGAAGCCTCTCCTGGAAGGACAAGAGTTCAGTCTTACATGTCAAAGTCGTCTTCCTTCGCACGGCCTCTTGGAATTCCGCTGGTTCAAGGATCATGTTCTCATTCGGGAAGATTACACGACGAGGTGAGAGCACGCCGCGACTGCTCGTCCATGCACTTTGGGTTTTACATGCTACCCGATTTCATAAAGTCTTATGAATGATTATGACGGTTTGATGTTGTGATTCCCATGCAGACAACGCCACATCAGCCAGTTTACCTTAGAACAAGGGGACGGGACGGAGATTTGGTCATTCCTGATGATTGACAACGTGTCCCCATTCGACATGGGGATCTTCACCTGCCAGGTACACACATAGATTGAGATATGTAGCAGAGGCCTGCCCAGTAGTCCAAGCACGTACCCCACCAGATCACCATCTCATCAGAATGACTTTCACTTTCAGCCTGACAGCCACCCTCCCTCCGAGTCCCACCAGATTGTTCTACACGCGCATTATTATTGTGCACGTTGAGGGGCGGAAGAGGGAGAGGTGGTGGTGGAAAGTATTAAAAAAGTGGGAGATTGGCGGAGGTGAAAGTCGAAGAGTATGTGAAGTATTAATCCATGCATGAGATGGGATGGAAATGAGTCCCATAATAAAACATTTCCCTTTCATCTCTCTTGAGTGAAAATTCCTGGTCTCCTCATTTCGTTCCCATTCCATCCACCCGTGCACTCATTTGTTTCCTATTATTATTATTGAGATATGTGAACTCCTCGACGTGGAAAATGAATACACAGCCTGTAATAATTTTCTCCATTTCGCTCTCTCTCTCTCTCTCGCAGACCATGCAGTCCCAAAAGAGTTATTTACTACTTACTCCTCCATCCATCAGTCGCACACACGTAAATAAATATGCACATCATATCTGCTCCCTGGGAGTTTGAGATGGAAATAGAACAGCCTTCTTTTTATTGAACCACTACCTAATCTGCAGCCATCCCCTCAACCTTAATCATGACATCTTTAAAGTGCCATGCATGCAATCCGTCTAGCTTTTTTAATAATACTGCTCGTGACCGTGGTCAAGGACGGAGCTGTGGTGAAAGCAAGTTGGTTGGTATTTATGGTGCTTGAGCTGGTCTGCCTATGGCTGGTCGTGTCGTGATAAAGCGGTTTCAATATTAAGTTCAATTAGTGGGCTTATTTTATGCCAACTTGTGTTCCAAGAAGGAGACATAAAATAAACTGAATGATGGAGATGATGATAAAGTTTAGTTGATGCGAGTCCAAGTCTACAGAGAGAAACCTTGGCGAATATGTGTGCAGGGTGTGTAATTGGAACTCCGTTATGTTGTTTTTATATCTCTCTCCCTCTCCCTCCACACTTTACGACTTTCCTTCTTCGTCTTAGGTCACAGATTTGGTGGCGTCCGTGCAGGAATGTGCTGACTATGAAATGCTCGTCGTTGTTCCTCCACAGATCGAGGTGAGTCTCGTAATTCATACACACGTATATTATATTTACCTCAGAATGCATGATTGTGCAGAAATGTGAAATGTGATGGCCGACAATACGTAATATCCTCCTCTGTTTCCAGGTCATTCCTATGAGCATCACCATGGCCAAGGTCAGTTCCCCTCCTCTCTTTCTCTTTCTTGGTCATGTTGGTTCCTCTAATCGCATTATTTTGTGTGCGTGTTGTTTTCCCTGCCTCACGTTATTATTACACTCTCCTCCATCGTAAATACGTACGTACCATTATGCAACTTTCGGCAGGAGCAGAGTTTTAATAGTTCATAGTTTCTCCTGCTTGGAGAGAAATGCAAAAGTCGGCGTCACCTCTGAGGCATATGTCGACGTCAGTGCTCAAAAAGTTAAAACTATTCCACACATGTTAGCAATGTAGGTAGGCAATTTAGTCGGCATAATTGGCCAAGCTCGGTTTTCAAGTACTTTTCCATTCCCCACCACTTAATATGTATATACGTCGTATACCTATCCTCGTATATGCGTAGCACTCGAGAATGACTCTGACTGACTGAGCCAAAAGTTGAAAATCATTTCGCGAATTTAGTAATTGTAATCCGCTTAGAATTCAGAGCTTGAGGATTCTCAGTTGGAGCTCTTCTCTGTAATTGTGGGCCCCGTTGAGCAGAAGTTGACTAGATTTTCGGGCTTCTTTTAAATTTCTTTCTCCACCAAGACGGGCTAAACTATGGATGAAAAGTTGTTGAACGTCACGAGGAGTAAAGTTGAAGGAGGTGAACGAGGAAAACGGGGAGATGATAATTGGAATGGAATTACAAATGTTCACTACTTTGCTGATAACTCTGTGGTTTTACTGATTTCTGCAGAACGAGAGCAAGATTTTGATGTGTTCTGACAGTTTGGAAGCTCTGGGAAGTAAGTCTCACGAGGATTTGCAAATTACATGGTACAAGGACCAAGAGCTCGTGAGGGACAACAGGCTTTGGTCCACCGAGAAGATCTTCCCACAAGGAACTCTCCTCCAACTTCGCCATGCCACCAGATCCGCCACTTTCACCTGCAAGGCTACCAATAAAGGAGGTACATACAGATCACAAATTCGCTATTAATAAAGTGACTCGCGAACCATTGGGTTACGTCAAACCCTGGCATATTTTGGTTGTAAACATTTACGCATTATGTATTTATGTAGTAGATGAATATGCTTAATTGTGTGAACAGGGGTGCGAGAGCGTTCTGTCCGCGTGGAGGTTCTCCAGCCCTGGGCGTCACCCTATGACTACTGTCCCCAGAGTTGCGAGGTGGTGGAGAGTGCCAGCTCGAGGCTTGTGTGGGGACTGACCGCGATCCACCAAACTGCGCTCATCCCCTGCCCTGGTAATTCCCCACATTTGCTCCTTTTCCACAATTTATTTCCTGCCGCAATGTTGCTACCATTGTTGTGATGTAGCTCCTGTACTGTTAGTAGTTGGTTTATCGTTCTTCATCCGGTCACTTATTTACTACGTACAGTCAAAACTATCAGCGTCGTATATACATATCTATCACTACAATTTTCAGCCAACTTCACGGGTTATGCTCAACGCCGTTGCGGTGGGGGAGGGGCAAGTGGACAAGGCAAATGGGAACCCACCGACTTTTCCCGTTGCACCCACGAACAATTGGGTCACTTTAACTTCACAGTGAGTTTTCAAACATGTGGGAAAAATCAAGGTAAAATTCTAAATTTGATGTATTCTCTTCTCTCTTTTTCAGCTTCGTAGTATGCAAAACGGATACAACGTTCGTTCCGAAGGTCTGAGCTCTCTTCCCAGTCAGTTGAGCTCATATTTGAATGGGCGCCGAGGCGATAAAGGTATGCATGCTCACCAGCACTTTGCATGCATACAATGTGTACGATTGTAATGGTGCAATACCTGTAGCGTAACAATTCTTTATATAAATAGGAATGTGCATTTGATTTGTTTAGGAATCCGACGTGGACACCAAGGGGACGTATCTATGATATCTTATGACTTTGGGGACAGTTTGCTATTTGGAGAAGGGGACAAGTTCATCCGAATGCTCGAAGGTGAAGATGAACACATTTTAATTTTAACATTTTAACACGAACACATTTTAATTTTGTTTGAATTTTTAAATTAATTAATTTTTATTTTTTTGCATTGCGCCTTTGAAGACACGTTCCACTATGTCCACCAACTGAACCAGTCAGCCCCACATCTTCTGCAAGGAGACATTGTCATCCTCGGACTCGTATCCGTCGTGGACAATTTCTTGGGATTTCGAAACTCCTGTGCTCATCCCAGTGCTGTGGACGCACTTCTCAAGCATGTTCTCTCCCTGGTGAAAGAGTGCGTGAGAGAACACTGAATTGTGATCTTTGTTTTGTTTGTGACTCGAGTGCATTTATATTCTCTTTAATTCCAGATTTGGGGTCGAGAACTACACGAGTTCTCACATCTTCATCCAACGAGCATTTATCCCTGCACCAACCAACACGAGCAGCAATGAGTCCGTCACTTTGGTAGAGATTGAGTAAGTCGCTGTAGCATGAAATAGCATTTCCACTGGAGATGATCGGGAGCGGGTTCGAGTGAGAGGAACGTTGAACTCATTGTATGATTTTACATTTTGGTGTTGTAGCGGCAACTCGACCTCCCTGACGTTTGATTGCATGGGTCTCGTCGAGGAGACGCCATTCGTAGAACGCCACTTGAGGTACACCCAGCTGTCTGGCCTCCCCCTACTCAACGACAACCTGTCCCTCGTGAGTGACGTGGTGAGGGTGGAGTTCAGCCCTTCTCTCGACGAGACCAAGACTTGTGTGAGGGATGAGACGACGAGTTTTCACCTCCACTTTCACACCTTGCTGACCAACACAAGTAGGAACAAGACGTGCGGGGGGTTCTACGACTCCCGATGGAACAGGGACATTTGTACACTCCACACGACCCTCGTGGGGACAATGACCTGCCTCTGCAAGTACCCTGGAACTTACGCCCTGCTCGAAGTTGAGGAACAAATCATCATTCAGCCGGTACACATAAAGGAGAAGTTTTTAGCCTACTACCTTTGCTAGCTTTTAGTGGTGTTATCTACATTTGTCCACCTATGCAGAATGGCCCAATAATGGTGTATAATGGCGTACTTTATATAATACATTGTGGATCATGGATAGAATGGAGCTTAAAAGTTACTTAAATTTTCTCTCTCTTTTCTTTTGTATTGTGTCCCAGAAAGTGTCCGAGTTGATCCAATTTATTCGTAACAAAACAAATAATGTACAAGGAAACATTGTGGCTAATATTCATATTAACAATTGGATCGTGGTTGCGAATGAGAGATTATTGGTATCTTTTTAGCTCTGGATGGAGTTCTTGGATTTTCTGTTTCTGCTGTTTAACTTTCTCTTGGAGCTTGCTTACATCAGTCCGTTCTTCATCTTCAGAATCATCACTAAATTCTGGCCAAGACAGATTGAAATTGCAGACTATTTCTTTCGGTGATTGGGATTGTTGGGGTGGGATTTCCGGTGTTTTCTGCCTGCAAACATCAAACTTTTACATTTGCATGTACATATCGGTTTAATTATTTATAAATGTCACCTTCTTTGCAGTAAAGTTTTATATCCAATTTTAGGTCGGGTTAACTTCCCACATATTTTCTGATGGTTATAAACGTTAGCTTTAGTTCGAAACGTTTTGTAACATGTAGGGAATTTCTCAGGTTTCAAGCCAGAATGAATCAGCAAATGCCTGTATAAAATCTTCATTAAATTGAATGGCAACCCTTCCATATTATACGAAAACCTACTCGTTCAGATGTTGTTGACGATAAGTCGAGAAATGACATTGGGGACAATGTCGTAAACGTCTTCCTTTTTTGTCCTGCAGTGGTTTAGGAGCTTTCACTTTCTTCTCCCTTCTTACTGGTTTGTCGGTTCTTTTGACCCGAACCGGCGGCATGTCAACGTTGAAATCGTATTTCCTGAAACAACTAAACTGTACAAACTAAATACAAAGCGGATATTTGTTTGTGCTTACTCAATCAATGGGTCGAGAATATGCCACACATTCCGCAAACAAATAGCGGCTGGTGTACCCCTAAAAGATCCAGGGGCATCAAATCTTTCTCGTAGGTATTCCTTGATTTGCATGGCCGTCTTTGAACTATCAGAAAAGATTTCTATGTTAAGGAAATCATCCTTATCAGCCGAATATTCGGGATTAATGGTGTCCCTTCAAAAAAATACATAGGAGAGATTTTTTAAGAAAATCAACTAATTAACTACATATATCGGCTTACAGATATGAGCATCCCTTATGAGGTTTAAGAGGGTTAAAAGTCGTTCGGAGATTTGCCATTCTGATTTCAGTTTTGACGGCCTGTTTCTTGTCCCTGAGACCAGTCAACCCGAACGTGATTTCACGTGTTTTCTTCGAGGGGTCTTTCCACTTCAAACCGAGCAAAGTGTGGATTTCGTAATGATCCGCTGCAGATTTATACATAATATACAAAATATTCAATGTAAATTTGGAAAAAATCACTCACGATTCATCAGTGTCATTTCATCCTTTGTCCTCGTGCCAATAAGTCCGTCGTTTTCAAAGAAAAAAACTGGTTCATCTGCCGGCACATCATTAATGGTCAAATGTTCCTCGTTTATCTAAAAATTAAAGTAAATTAGTAATTAGTAATTAGCTCAGAAACGGTATTTAATTAGCTAATTAGTTAGGAATCCCTGCAAACTTGATACTTACCATTTTTTCGTTAATTATTTCCTTGCGAGTGGTGAAAAACTGACGGTAATGAGCTCCTCCGTGGACTTGGCTTGGCTGGACGTGGCTCTCTCTCTCTCTCGCTGTTCTACGCTTTACATGCTGGTAGAGAGTAGTAGAGAGCCGTGCGTAGCCGGCTGGTATTTACTAGTAATAAGTAACTCTGAAACAATTTCAACTCTAATTTCCAGAAGAGGGTCAATACGGCCTACCAATTACCTCCAGAGTGGATTGCGACCTCGGGGTGCATCGTGTGTCTCGTCCTGACTTCGAGAAGTTTGGTTTATGGCCTGTTTCGCAAAGTGGTTCTTCCCTATTTCCTCCTAGTCTCCACCGGACTCATCCTCAGCACAATTTGCATTCTACACATCATCCTCATGGTACGTTGTTCAACGCTATATCTACCACCGTCTTTCCCGGTTGGTTGTTATTCTGATCCCTCTCTCACCCGGATCCACCAACTACATGGGTATTTTGTCCTACATATGATACATATATAGACCTACTCCCGAGATGTTGGGGTGACCTACATGACCTTGACATTGGGCATCCAGTCTATCCGGATTTGGCGTCTTCTGTGGGTTGGCGATATTCGTGAACTGTACCCCTGGATGGAGGAAGTATCCCCTTGGATTCTCCTCAGTGCAATCACCTTCACGTTGGTCGGACCCTTGTTCACGGTCGTTGTGGTGGACTCAGCCCTTGCCACTACCACAGACAAGGGGTCCGTGCTGGACCAACAGTCACCCGTTTTCATAACCTTTGCAATTCTCATTGCCCTCTCCGTGCTCGCCATCGTTCTCCTCTACTACAAAACCAACCTCAGGTTCCATTGGAAAACCCCAACGATCAACAATAATTTGCATGGAGGGTAAGCGACTTATTTCCGCAGTATCCACACTCACACGGGCACATCAACCTATTCTCTCAACGAACTATTTTCACTCACATCTAGGGATCAGCATAGCCTGAGCGAAACATTTCTTCAAACTTTGGTCCACATGGTCCAAATCCTGAGTGTGATTCTTTACGTGAACCTGAGACACCACACATCCATCCACGTTCTGCTGGCGGTAGCCACTACCGTTCTGGTAACTGAGCATGAAAACCAATGCGCATATTGAATGTATTCTTGGGTTTGTTTTATTTGTGGTGTGGCGTCATTTTGCAGGGACTGGCTTGGCGAGCACCTTCCCAGCGACTTCAGGGCGGGAAGCGACGAAACGGTGGTCCTCGGGGGGAGGAGGCCACGCCCACACTCAACGGCACCTGTTCTGCTCTCCCCACCTCGCATCCCAACCACCCCAACTTTGCCAATTCCCAGCGGGCAAACAGTGTAGCGAGCAGTGGCAGCGTTGGAGGGTACAAGTTGGAGCTGAAGCCACTAAGGGACGTTCCCCCACAGCAACCACAAGAGCCCCTTAACCCAGGGCACCCCAGTCTGGAAGAGGAGGACGAAGGTGACGACGAAGAGAATGAACCCACCACGACGCTCGATACGAGCGTTAGCACCATCAGCCACTCGGGGTTGGCGTACTTGCGACCGTACTCGGGCATCCTGCCGTCGAGGATGAAATGTCAACTTAGCCTGGATGACAACTATGTCCTCCCCACGCCAAAGTGAAATTATCAGACGACATGCATAATTATTAAATATTCGACTGCATTCGACCGTTCGTTTCCCTTAATATAATATGACTCACAAATTTGCGTATTTAGGGTCGTTTAAATACGAGATTTTTGATACCTACATACGTATAGTGTCCGCAGAATATTATGGTGATGTTGCAAAGCAGTCGTGGTATGAATATCTGGTCTCTCTGCAGTAGACGTAGTATTTTTGCATTTTTTTGTATTCGGACAATATATTTAATACATTTAATATCGACAACGAAACTATAGAACAAGGTATAGGTTTTTATAATCTATCTGTATCCAGTTATTATATTTATCTACGTGTAAGATGCAGTGCTATTTACTACGGTGTAAAATGCGGTACATAAATTAAATGCTGTTGAGCAGGTCAACCAAATTACGAAATGATCGCGAAGAATGCATTGTTCAAAAATCAAATCAACTCCCAGTACAAATGCTCCAAAAACACTGAACAAGGTATGAGTCCAACCGTTGCGTTGCAGCAATTCAGTCATTAATATTGTGCATCGGCCACAGCTAAACACAAACAACATTATTGCTACGACAAATGTGCGACAGAAACACATTTGCATTTGAAAGAATGAATACTAGCTAATGATTTTGTGAAAGGTACAAATTTACTGATAAATAAAGGAAGAGAGATTTTATATGAAATGTGATGTGGCCTTATTACTTCCTCTGCCGACATCCTCTGGACTTGAAACCTCATCTCCCTTCACTGGGTGGCTCATTCCCAATGTCCCCCCTTACTCTACTACCCGATGACTCAGTCCTCGCTCGCCTTATGACCCTTGATGCTGATGATGATGCGATGGCGATGATAATGCGATGATGAAATGCTGGCGACGGGTTAGGCCAGGCAATAAGCAATGTCTGGAGGAAGGAGAAGGTTGTTGCTGGTCCGAAGGTTGCTTTATTACTGACTGTCATTTGGAAATGTACACGACTTTTATGTTACAAAGATGTCTACAAATTAACTCCGCCTTCACTTCCACATCACCTCTTCTTCCCCTTATTCTCATAGATGTACTGCTCAGTCCCGAGGGGGAGCGCACGAGCAGAGTATGGGTTGAGTGGTTACACCCACCCCCCCTAAAAGAAAATACTTTTACTCGGTGAAAGCTAGTTTGTATCTTAAACTCATTACTCATTTAACCTTCCTCATTTTATACTCATATTCCTGTCTCTGACTCATTCTGCTTTTTGTTTACCAATAACATTCTATGATCTTTGTCAATTTTTAGCACATTCTTTCCTTAACCTTTAATAATCAATATTAGCTTTACGTTTATGTTGTTCTCTTAAATAATTTTAAAATTCTGACATTTCAAACAAAATTATAATGTTTCAATTTCCTTTCCCAACTTAACAATTATCTTGAAACTTTATCTTTACCAACTTTGCATAATATTACACTCTCAATAATTTAGAAGCGAAATTATTACCATTTTTACTACCCTAACAAGGTAACAATCTCTGTCTTTCGTTAGGTAATAAATTTGTCACCAAAATTGTCAACATTGGAAGTGACAAACAGTGTATCCTATTCGGAAATAATTTATTTCCTTCGAGGAAATAATTTCGTCTCCAAAATCATTTCCTGTAGGTGGCAATTTGTCTCCTTAAAGCCCAGCGCAAACTTTAGTCACTAAAGTTTAGTGGCAGTCTGGCAGTTAAATTTTCTCTCACCAACGTTTCTCTCTCGCACCTGGCAGAATAACGAAAATTGTTCGAGTTTCGCATCTTAACAGAGGAAAAAAATTAGAAATTAGAGCTTCAAATTATGGATTATTCTCTATCTCAGGTAAATAATTTTAATTCTTTGTTCATTAATAGTTTTGCTGTAATTTTATTGTTTTCTGTCCTATACTTACACTAAAACAAGTTTTTTCTAGATCCGGATTCCGGATGCGCAAATTTCGTTCAACGATGAATATGGCGCAGATTAAGATGAAGATATTTTTCCAACTTTACTGGAATAACATGCCATGTCCAACCTTGGATATTCCACGATACTCTTCGTGGAAGATGTTTTTTGGTACGATAAAACTCCATTTAAGTAGTAAATTTAGTTGTAAGTTTAGTTTAATTTAATTTCTCTTTAGGTGTGTTTTTAAAATTTATACAGTTGGTGCTTCATTTCTTGTGGCCGTAATTAGACCAAATTCATATCCAGCTTCAAATTCAAAGAGGTGATCGAAATGCCAAATTATAAAAAGGAGAGCCCTCACTTTATTTTTATTTATGTAATTTATTTTTATTTCTGTTAATCACCGATTTATTTAGTTTGAGTACTGCAGGGTAATATTTTTAATTTTATTTGATTTACAGATAACAGGCAATTCTTCAGCGGAATAATAAACTCGAGCCAGCTAGTACGAGAATCAATTTTCACTAACATTATAAGTAATATACGTATGTATGTACATACATATAAGCATGTACAATTTTTATATTTATGTGTATGTATGTAGTAAATATGTAGAGCCATGTGAAGAAATTTAATCTTTAACCAAATGGTATTTTAAAAAATAAATACATATTTTTGAAACTATATGGTTCCCCCAGGGTTCTAATCTATTTCCGCAAGGAGTTAAATATATGCGCAAGACGGAGATAATTTGTCACCCAAATTATCACCACATGTAGGTAAATTATTTCCAGACAGGAGACAACTTACCTCCTGTTGTATACATTCTGTCATCAGGAGTAACAAATTGTATCCTAGTAGGTGACAACAATATTTACCTCCGCTTGGGAGACAAAACACACTTGTCAACGGACGGAGGCAAATTATTACCCTACGGTAGAGTTGCATAGTACCTACACGAGGAGACGATTTTGGTGGCAATTTTGCTGAGAGTGTAGCATTAATCCCTATTCGACTTATCTTAGCTATTTAATTCTCTAAACAAATTACATCTATTTCATCGACTTCCTGTGACCATGTCTGCACCGTCTAACCGGCTCAGGAGTTTCTTTCCGAAAGGAAAGTCTGCTCCCGTACCAGAATACTGGTATTATGATCAGGAGGTGTCTCCTAAAAGTCAACTCCCTCAATCCCCCTGTATTCTACGGTGTCGACGCCTTCTATTTTAACATCATTTCGACTAATTATGATTATTTTGAATGTTGTAAATCATACTTTCTAGATTATAATTGTACTATTATCATGACAATTTTTTATCGAATTTTACTGTGAATGACATTACTATTTTGACAATTTAACCAATTTAAATTCATTTTATCCAAAAAAAATACGAATAGTTCCCAATTAAAAACTTTGCATTCCCTCCAAAAATCTTTCAAAATATCATATAAAACTTAATTTTGCTCTCTAAAACCAATAATCAAACATTTCTTATAATAAACTCATGTGAAAATCTCAAAAACTGAAAACTTTTTACTAGTTAAAATATGAAATTTAAATGTTAAGACAAAATTTAAACTCTATTTTCCAGACAAATTGCATTAAAAATTCAATTATAACTATATCATTCAATAAATGTTTACCTACTCTTTTCAAATTATCAAAATCATGTTCTACTACAACATCAAATACGAAATTTGTGCAATAATGACTTGTTATACCAATTAAATACATAAAAATTAACTAATACGAAAAAAATTATAAATCTAAATCAAAATAATACGGTCTTGACATAAAATTCAACATTTACGAGACATTACATTCATTGCGTCCAATTTTAAAGATTTAAATTATATGATTTGCATTACTTTAGGAATATGTTACTCATTATTCTAGAAATTCCCATTTTATGACGAAATCCAAGTGATGAATACGATTGACGAAGATCCAACGACGATATTGCGACGCATTTTAATACGATGAGACTCGATGAATTTTTTTGATGCCGTTGTGGTGGACAAATTTAATACGAAATTTCCATTAAGACGATTAATTTGCTGTCCAGAATGTATTACGCAGAGTTTCTTAGGAGCGCTTTCGCACGACCAGACATAGGAGTTTTGTCCGGAGACATTCACCAGAATGGAAAATTAAAGATAAGAACAGACAATAGATTGTACAAAGTATAATATTTCTCGTTAAATAGGCAGCTTGAAAATACATCAATTTGACAATATTATCTCTCTATTTTGACTTTTTGACACACATTACTTCGAATCTTACATATACCAACTTTTTCTTAATTTGAATATTTCATATTATTATTACCTGAATGTTAAAACATATTTTATCATTGATTGAGATGATTTTAAACTGTGTCAAATGCTATATTTTCCAAATAAAACTGAATCTGACAGATAATATTGTGACTTTTTAAGAAGATGAACAAAACGTTAGAATGTTTTTGCGTTTACAAATCGATATGTGCTCATTAGATAGAATCATTAAGCTTAGACAGATATTTCCTTGAAAATATGGTTATGTAAATTTAAATGTACTAAAGACGAATTATTATTCAGAAATCAGTGCGTGAGTTTGAACTGATAGCAACTTGGGATGACTTTTTGAGTACTAACCAAACGTATCATGACCCATTTTACTGCAATTAATTATTTTTTTTGATAAAATATTTTGATTTATAAGTTGCAATTATTGACCAATTATTATTGATTTGACTATTGTGATACGAAAAATTAATTCTCAAAATTCAAATTATGACACTGACCAGATACTGTATCATGTCAATTTCTCACAAATTCAAAAATATCAATTTATGTGCCCATTCTTCTTAACTCGTGTTTAAAATTATTCAGTGTAAACTATACCAATAAAACTCATCAAAATAATTAATAATACTTTTGCTAATGAAAAATTAAGACGCGCGGGTTAACATTCTACTCATTTTAACTTGTAATTGCAATTTGAAATAGTGCGTTTGCTTAAAATTCATTTTGAACGTTTTTGGTTCTGCTTCTCAATTTCAAATTCTTGACATTCTCTTACAAATCTCTTCTTTCCATGAATTCATTGTTCATTCAATCTCAAAAAACTACATTTATAGTAACAAATTCTTGTTTTGAAATTCTTATAACCAGCTTTTCTTTGTGTTAACGTGTACTAAAAAATTTCTACTCAGACAGACAAAGGTAAATTGAGTACCAACAAAAACTTAAAGTGCATTATTGAGCGTGTGAACTCTAAACTTTACCGACTATAAACTTGATGTTTTGGGAGGGTGTGAACCCCTAACTCTTTAAAAACAAATTATTAACGTTATTTAACGTATTGTGGGTGTGTGAACCCTAAAATTTACCAAAAAACAAACTTTAAAAATACTCTGTGGGTGTGAGAACCCTAAGAATTTAACAAAAACAACAAAAATTTTATCTAACCTTAATAATTTTAATTTTTTTTATTATGGGTGTGCGAACCCTGAAAACATTTACTAAATCGAATCAACTTTACCTAATCTCAATAATTTTATTTGTGGGTGTGCGAACCCTATTTCAACTTTAGTATACTAACTTAATTTCATGGCTTAATGGGCGTGCGAACCCTTAAATATACTTTCTTTAAAAAAACTTACTTTTCTTTTCCCTTTAAAACTTAACTTTATGGGCGTGCGAACCCTTAATTTACCTTATACCCGATTAATTTTATCGGCTTGTGGGTGTGCGAACCCAAAAATTTGGCGTGCGAGCCTTATTACTGCTTTATAACCTTTTAATCTAACCTTTTTTTAAAAGTTAACCACCTTTATTACCCCGAAAATTTTTCCTTAAACTTCTTAAACCCAAAATTCTCCTTGATTTATATAGCGCTTTCTTACTTTCTTTCTTTATTATTATTGCAATTGCTAAGAGCGTGCGAGCTCAGGTCCAATTATTCTCTTATCCTTCAACTTTCCTCCTTTTTCCTCTCTCTTCTTCTATTTCTTTTAAATGAGCGTATGAGCTCTGGACCTTTTAGTACTATTTTCTTTCTCTCATCTTCTCTTATCTCTCTCTCTCTCTTACACATTCAGAACTAAAAAAGACATTCTCTATTGCGCTATAGAGATGTTGTGACAGTTTGTTAATCAATAACTGTGAATAAATTCGACACGAGAGAGTAACTTCTCACACCAACTAAACTCAATTATGATAAAATTAAGTCTGTATCGAATAATTGTGAGCAACTTTCAATTTCCTGTTATCGTAATTTTGCTAGCTAAATTACCATATTGAATTAACTTCTCTTGTTTCTAATTGAGGTGATCAATCTCAAAATGAATACTAGATAAATTCTGCTCAAATCAGACAATGAAAATAAATAAACAAACTTTTAGATGTTTTGAAAACAGATAGAAATATATGCTGAGCCTAACTGTCTCGGGAGCGTATTTACCTCTGGCAAGTTACACCCTTCCTAACAAACGAGATATTCGCACCTTCCTTTAATTACTTCGCACAAAACCTTTAGAAATACGTAGAATATCCGAAATCGTTAAAATACATCAAAAATGTTACTTCAAAATTGAATCAAATATACAAAAATGTTTAAATTAGTCATAATTTAAAAATACATGTCAATCTTCTCTCAAATGTCGTTGTTTACTTGACTTCCAAACTCAATTATACAATTATACAATTCAAATTGATAACACGAAAAATTGAAATTTTGATAAGTATATTTGAAAAATAGGCTTTGAAATATGAAATTTTTAAATTGAAATTTGAATTATTTATGTCGGATAATAGTTTGACTGAACTGGAGGGCTGAAATACTGTTGTGGTTGATTAATAATGCTGTCATTGTTCGCATAAATTACATAAGGATTAAAACATTGATTAGGAATCACGAAAGGATTTTCGCCACATGGTGTGACCGAATTTTGAGACGTAACAGGATTTTGAAGGGGTCTCGACACTGGTAATTGTTCATTGCAATCCCTAGCGAAATGTCCTAGAAGTTGACACCTTCTACACGTAACATTTGCATAATCAACAACTCTGTTCTCTTTTCTTCTATTCTGCTGATTAATAATGTTAGAATTAACCCAAGTATTCTTATATTGCGATGGTTTTGACTTATTTACTAACCCTGATTTAGCTTTATTCTTGTTCCTAACAAAATTATTATCCTGTTCTGCATACCTTTGTAAATTTTCTAAATTTTTACTAATTTGCTTAACCTTTCGTTTAAATGACAGAACTTCCTCCATCCTCACTGAATTTTGGGTTCCACTTTTTGTAGGTATTTCCTCATCTACAGAATTTAACATTTCACAAATACTTCTATTAACCTGATCAATTAAATTGTTCCCTAATGTTAAAATTTTATGTGTAATTTCACTATTACAATTCTCAACTGTTTTCTCTAATTTCGAATGTGTCGTCTTATTTCCCCTACTGTGTCGAACCTGACTATTCTCACCTACCTGTTGTGAAATTTCCTGCTTCAGTTTTTCTACCTGTGCTTCTGTAAGACCTTCAACACTAATAACCTGTGTCTGCGCACTCCTTTGCGATGTTGATTGTTCTCTTCCTGTATTATTAGGCATTTTATCAATTTTAAATAAATACGAATGAATGTAAACTAAAGTTCAATTGATTTCCTATTGTGTAATTTTATATTTCTACCTTATTTCCTGTTACCAGCAATTATAAATAACTTTTGAGATAACTACTTTCTCCAATTTATTTAATTCTGTAAATAAATTACGACTCAAATTTATAACTTACGGCCAAAAAATTAAACTCAATTGTTAACTCAAATTTTTTGAAACCCAACTCTACGAAATAAATACTTGAGCAAATCTACCAATTTAAATAATATGCCTTCTCTACCTTATTTGAACTTTAATTTTAAAATTGCATCAACCACTAAACAAATCAAAAATTATAAAACCCGAATTTTTAAACTCAATTGTGTACTTGCTGTACTATTCGACTATTGTGTTGCAATGTTAACTAACTCTTAGTATGTATGTACATACGTAATGTTTCATAAACTTGCTTATTTTCCTTACTTAAAACTCGAAATATAATATATTTTCCTTTAAATTACCAATTTTAAACAACCAAATATTCAAATGTATTGACTACGTGACCAACAAATCGTAGTTGAAACGACTAAACTGAAAAATATGACAGGTCTACTTCAACCTTCAACTTTGGGATAATTATGTAGAGAATACAATGACCAAAAATACAATTTTCCTATCACAACGCGCTATTCAACCTGAACTTGACTCTGTATTAAACCTTGATCTTAACTTGTAAAATAACCTTCTTTACACTAATGTGTATGTACCCAAATCACACAAATTTTCCACTACACAACTTAACTTTGACTCGGAATACTACAAAACTTGACTTGAACCACGAATTGATGACCAAAAATCTAGACAAAATTTAAATAATGCCTACTGTGAACTGAACCTTGAACTTAATTTCCATAAAACCAATACGAATCCAAAATGACTTACAGAAGGACTGATAAACCAACTAAACTGATAACAAATTGTTTCTGGATAAATACTGAGTCCCAACTATTGTTAAATGGATATTTAAACAAAAAAATAGAACCCTGTATTGACTAGACTTTACTATACTCCTCTTGCATGAATTTTTTTTAGTCAACTGCGGAATATATAAAATAAAATGCAAACAATGTGCAGATGTATATATTGGAGAATCTGGACGAGACATTTTAACAAGACTTGAAGAACATGAAGCACACATAAGAAGAAATCGAGTCCAAGCTTCAGCAGTAGCCCTTCACATGGCGGAAAATCCGGGTCACGAGATTGATAAGGCCTCTTTCAAGTTAATTGAAAGAGAAACCCGATACTTTCATCGAAAAATTAAAGAGGCATTGTACATCAAGAAATCGACAAATACAATGAACACCAATAATGGAATGAAAATTAATTCCATATGGACACCAACGATTTTACCATTTATAAAAAATCCGTAAATTACCAAGAGGATTAATGTAATTTATCAAGTTATAGAAATTGTGAGAGTGATTAATTGTAAAATATTTATATTATCTACGTTGACCCTGAAGAAGGCAATATTTATTTGCCGAAAGCTTGGCGAAGCAAAATAAAACTGTAAAGTTTACAAAATAGTCCTCCTAGACCGTTTCACAACATTTTTAATTTTTTTTTGTTACCGCCTTGCTGCTTTACTTTGTATTGTTTCTCGGTTACCCAACTTTACGAAAATTAAAAGAATTCAAATGTCACTTCCATTATTTAAGTTCACTATTCTTCTATTCCTTTGCTTTGCTTCTCTTTAGTTTGTTATTTAAGGTTCAAAATATAATTTACCTATTAGCATATCTACTCAATTATAAGAAATTCAAATGAATGGTTACCAAAACTAACAAACTTGTCTACTATAGCTTTTATGAACTAAACCTTCCTGGAATATGTAAGAGCTTGTGTGAGAATGTTCAAGAAAATATTTATCAAATATGTAAATGTAAGACGCCAAACCAAAAAGTTCAATACTCTGAATCGACTTCAAGGACTTTCCCGTTCCTTAATGCACGTATTTTGAAATTTTTAACTCAAAACCAATTACAAATTCACCCAAAATAAAATGAAATGAAATCTTTCACCCTTTTCTACTACTTTCTAGCAATACAGGAGCGTTTGACACGAATGCACACATCCCATTTGCTTTCCTATCTACCAATTACTTGCATGTACATACGTACCAATACTAACCAAATTATTTACATATACCCTTAGAGGAGCGTTTCAGATAAGCCCACACTCCCCAGGGATTCTAATACTTAAGTCCCAATTTAAAAAATGAATGCATAATTAAAACGAAGGACTAGGAGCGGTGTAACTAAGTCACCCCACTCCCGAAATTAAAAATTAACCAAGACAAACTATCTTACTTTTTAGCAGGAAAAAATGTCTGTAAAACTAAAAAGTAATAATTAAACCTCATAATTTATGATAATCTCGAACCTCAATGCTCAACGGTTAACTTTGACTGCTTAATCTTCTCTTCTTTTCTTCTAAAATGTGGGTGGACCAATTGACCTCAACTTCCGTCCTGGACCGTGAGGGGTTCTGCTGTTTCGTTTTCCCCCAAAAATTTAAATTTCAAAATGAGGAAGACCAATTACGAAACCTTACACAAAAATCAAAATCATGTTAAATATTTTGCCCAAAATCTCATACATACATACGTACATAAATATTCAAAAACAAAGAATTTCCGACAAGATTCAATACTATTTTCCTCAAAAACCGTTATAAAAATCAATGTAACTGAAAAGTAGTCACTTTACCGTGCAGTAGAAAAAAACACATTTATCTCTTTAAAAAAAAACCAAAAAATACTTAGCCGTATCCTGGCAAGTGGTCGTCACTTGAAACCTCATCTCCCTTCACTGGGTGGCTCATTCCCAATGTCCCCCCTTACTCTACTACCCGATGACTCAGTCCTCGCTCGCCTTATGACCCTTGATGCTGATGATGATGCGATGGCGATGATAATGCGATGATGAAATGCTGGCGACGGGTTAGGCCAGGCAATAAGCAATGTCTGGAGGAAGGAGAAGGTTGTTGCTGGTCCGAAGGTTGCTTTATTACTGACTGTCATTTGGAAATGTACACGACTTTTATGTTACAAAGATGTCTACAAATTAACTCCGCCTTCACTTCCACATCACCTCTTCTTCCCCTTATTCTCATAGATGTACTGCTCAGTCCCGAGGGGGAGCGCACGAGCAGAGTATGGGTTGAGTGGTTACAGACTGACCTCTAGAACTGACCGGCCGAAAATCTCTTCATGGTTCAACGCAGAGTGAAAGCAAAGGTGGGAATATGAGACAGGGAAGGAAACCCATCTTTCTTTGGACTCGTTTCGTCTCGCCCCACTCGCACCACGAAACGAATACCACGGTACGAATACACGATCCAAAAGACGCCGGCTCTCCGTCCACAAGAAAAATAAAATCTCCAACATGTGCCATGTGAATTTGCAGATATTGTTTTGCAATATTATTATTATTTCACGCAGGTTCATTTCTATTCGACAATTCACTCATTCATAGGTAAGTTTCAAAATTTCATGTTCTCTGAATTTAACTTAAATTGTAAGTCTACCTGCTGCGTTTCAAACTAATTACGTTATCATAATATTTTTTGTTTCAAATAACCTTCACACATATCTTATTGGCTACGTAGTTTAACCAGACCTGCTCATTATCCACAAACTTAGTAACTTGTAATTCATTTGGTGTCAATTTCAATCGCCCACAGTAATGGACATAAGACCAGAAGATTGGCATCTGTGGAACTGCTCATCGGCCACCTCCAGTAACAATAATAAGCGTCACAGGGATGATTTACATCATGAGAAGGAGGCATCTCCGGGAAAGAAGGCAAGGAAGAACAAAGGGGGCCAATCCTCTGGTTCGAAGGAGGACGACAACTACTCGATGGAGATTGGTACCCTAAAACTGAAGACCGACATAATGCCCCCTTCTCTCTCAAATACACTCTTCCGGAGGGAGATTGGTTTGCCTCGGTCGGTTCAATTCAGTCCCAAGTAAGTAAATAATTAACCAACTTCCGGTCAACATCATTCATAATATTAATATTTACTTTAGGATTGACTATCATCTCATACAGCTACTTCTGGCATCAAGGTCACCTGCAGGGAAAGTTCCGATGGAACCGGTGACACATTCTGTCCCTAAATTCAGCGCTGTTTCAGGGACTACTGCTTCATCTAGTCTGCTGAACCCATTCAATCCGACTAAAAAATGGTTTCGAACGAGGAATGAGACGGGAGAAAAAAAATTTGAATTTGTCGATGAATACATTATGATCAAAGACAGAGCGTGCAACACAAGGCGATTCATGGTCCCGAGTGCTCCTCTACTTCATACTCCATTTACGGTATATAGTGACTTCTAATATGATTTTAGTAACAACGTTTTGCTTGAGGCTGACTAATTTGGTTCTTTATTATTCTTGTTCTTTATATAGCTCAATTATTTGATTGCGGACAATGACAAGACCAAGTTGAAATGGCGTGACACAGACGTTCGCTATATCAACACGTGCAACCCCCAGATGATATCTGGCCTAACAGTGGCCAAATTGCCAAACACGTTGATGGTCCTTGAACCCTTAAAGCTATTGGCCTATGACCTTAATACTGGGAAAAAGTTAGATGAAATATCTGTGTCCTTTGTTGGAGGGCCGACTCACTACAGCTCGGTCCACGTGGATGAAAAACTCGATGATCAAATCATCGTTTATGCAAGCACGGCTTCCGTAAAAAAAAGTAATCCGGAAATGACCATGGAGCTCCTAATTCTCTCTTATCCAAAACTACGGATTTCACACCGACTGCTTGTATACAAATTTTGTTTAAGATGGTTATATTGTAACAAGTATATTGATATATATTTATATTGATATGTATATGTTCGCTTTTTATAGATTCCAAAGTCTGGAGATTTCGGCGGTCTCGATGACATATCCATTTTTCAAGATCTCGTTCTCATAACTAAACCTGGTTGGGTCGAGTTGTTTAGTCTACAGGAACTGATGGACATCAATCCAAAGTCAAACTCTTCCACAATGGATCAGTGCCTGGAGACCGTTCGATTTACAACCAAGCCGCAGCCGTTGGCAAAATTCAAATCGAAAGGTTCACATTTTCTCCATATTTCCGCCATGTACCCGCCTCACGTCTGCATTAAAACCAACAATTCGTATGAGGTGGCAAAATTTAATCATTGTTTTCTGCAATACTTATTATATGAGACATCTATCCTTAATAATCTTATCATTGCTATATTTTGTATATTCTGCTTTAGGTTAGGTCTTTGGAAAATCCGGAACAACTCGTCGTGTCACTGCCATCCAAGACCCACGAAGGAGACGTGACCGTCTGGAATTACGATGATCAAAGGCCAAGAATTATAGTTTCTGGGCTCCTCCATGGGTTTGAGTAAGAAATACACGTCAATTGATTATAATAACATGGATGTCAATAACACTGAAAAACTAAAAGCATCTCAATTGTTGTGATCTAGCATTTTTAGCGTGGACTCTGGAAACCTTGAAATTCTCTTTTCCACGAAAGGTTTTGCCAAATCGGATGCTGCGTCAGACGGAAGTCGTCAAGCAGGGTCATCATCGTCCTCCCGGCGCAATGGGATGAGGCAACTGGAAAAGAAGAACTATGCGGACATTGACTCTTCGCGTAGTTTTGGATTTGCATACGACGGGAACTTGGATTTGTTGGCAGTGTGCATGGTGGATGATGGGATCCTGCACAGCACAATTTATGACAATAAGACTTTTCGCCCATTCAGGAAGTTGGTCCCAGTAAAACTGGTCACGCCAAAGCGAGTGGGGATGTTGTTAGGTTGCTCAAACATTGCCGTCCTGTTCAACGATGGCCATCTGTCTGTGCGCCTCGATCTTTTTGATGCTTCAGGAACCGGCGATCCATTTCAGGAATTGTATACGGTCAATCTTCTTGGGGAAGTTGTTCCAGAAGATTGATTTCTGTTAATTGGCCGACTTTATAATAATTTATATAAAGAATTCTTTATAGTGTTCAAACGAGTTTATTTTTATACTACACACATCTCTGGAATCTCTAAATGCTGGTCGAATTTACAAATATAGAAATGTTAAAATGTTTAGCATAATTTTGTACCTGTATCCATCTATTGTGCCATTATTCGGGTTTTCAAATAATAAACTGGTCGTCTGACAGTTTGAATCTTTCAGCTAAAAGGGCTTGTATAAAAATTGTGCATTTTAATCTTTCCATTATTATTGTTCAAGCATAGGTAAGTTTATTGGTTACATATTCCAGTGGTCAACTTCTATGCATAGGTACCTTGCATCTTGACGGTGGATACATATATATCTGGTTCATTCTGACATTGGCAATTAAGCCAATTTCGTCAATTTAATTCTGAATGGCATCTTGCTGCAGGAGCATAACGTGTTTATATGCTGTACTTGTGTAAATATGTGTATGCATAAGAACGAGAGACACTACGTGGCTGCATTCCATTCTGTCGTAGTGCATTTGGATGGACTGTGACCTTGTTCCGCGGGTGACACCAACTCTGAGTAGCCCATATAAATAAATGTTCTAGAACAATAAATTGACAAAATGTGGTACTGGGGGTTGTCGAGTGGGGAGGCACTTTTCCTCGTAGGCACATTGGACACGGTAATACATATGTAAAAGATCGATCCAGGCCAGAACCCTAGAACTACCTTAGTTATCCTCTTTGTAACCAATTTCCAGATGTTGGCTGTCTCCTCAACTTGTGAAACATTTGCCATCCACTTCCACAAAGTCGGTGTGGACAAGGACAAATTTCTGGAGTTTAACCATCATTTAGGTTCGAGCATACCTTTATGCAATTGAATTTTGTCGAAAAAATAATTTCCTGTTTAGCAGCCTACTCAAGCTGGGCTCTGTTAGGGATGGAAGGCTCCAAACTGGGATGGAGCCTCCTCCTCTGGATTGGAGGTCTAATTCTCGTAATGGTTTTGAACTTTTCAACAAATTCGTTCGGGACACTTTTAAATCTGAGACGATTGATTTACATGTGTCATTTTATTTATTTTTTTTCTCAGGGAAAGCGTCACGTTCTTAAAGTTTGGATTTATATTTCCCTTGTTCACGAAGTGCTGCTTCAACTGCTTGTCTGGATCTCAGAATACCATCACCACCATTCACTCCCCGATCACGGTGGTGCTTCTCGAACGCTGCTCCTCATTCGTATCACCTACGCCGCCCTGGTTAGACTCCTCTTTCGAACTTGTCTGGTCGTGAGTGCGGCGTTTTTCCTGAGAAGATGGGGCAGGGTATCCACTGAGGAGGAGGTTGATGTGAGAGAAGTTCAAGGGTCCGCCTGTAATCCTGTTCCATCAGGGGATGTGGCTTTCCAGAAGGACGAATTTGGGAGTAGTGGGGGTGCTCGAAGTCTTCTCTCTGCTCTACCCGGACCTTCGTCGTCGTCCTCCTTCATTCAACTCCCACCCATTCTGACGGTCCCTCAGGATTTCGAGATCCTCCCCGTGGGTTCCGGCTTGCCCAACACTCTCCGATTTTATTATGGAGACATTTCCCGTCTTATCAAACTCTTACTAACAATCGATTTTGTAAGACATATTTCAGCTGTAGAGTTCTTAGCCCGAGTCAGACTTATGAAACCACCATCATGTTCGTATGTCCTTCTGTCTCACGATACGTATAGTTAAGCTCATTTTATCGACTTGGAATTTGGCACACCGCACACATGTAGTGTGGAGCAAATAAGGAGTTAAGTTCAAAGATGAGAAAATCAGTCAAGTGGTTGACCGATGGGTCATATAGGTCGAGTGGGGTCGTTCGTACGGAATGTTCGGAATGGTCATAGAAGGCTGATATTCGGGACATTGGTCATATTTGCGTACTGAAGTGAAAATATAACGTAATTGTTGCGGTTGGGTGTCCGACCTTTGGCGGAAGGCACCAAGGGTGGATGATAACATGGGCTGTGACATAATAACGACCAAATTATTATTTACAAGGACCCAATAGAGCATAGCTCGCAGGGGACCATGGTCCCCGGGGGAGGGACTAGGGACCAGTGACCATTTTTTTCAGATGGTCCCCCGGGGACCAAGGACCAGGGACCATTGTTTTAGATGGTCCCTCGGGGACCAGGGACCAATTTATTGCGAGCTATGCAGTAGAGTGCCCCCCAGGGTGCATAAACATTTTCGTTGTCCGTGGTTTCTCCTAAGGGGGTGGTGCAAGGATGAATTTTTTTCCCAAAAACATCGAAAACTCAAAAGTTGGGGAATTGCATGCAATTTTCCTATGAATTTGGTTGTCAACCAAATATTAGAAATTATAGTATTCTGTCCCAACGACCTCATCCGATTCATATGACCCCCACTGGTCAACCACTTGACCGATTTTATGAATCTTCTACCTTTATTCCTCATCTTCAGAGATGAAGACAAGGATAAGACGCATTTATTTCATTTCCAATATTTGGTTGACAACCAAATTCATAGGAAAATTGCATGCAATTCCCCAACTTTTGAGTTTTCGATGTTTTTGGGAAAAAAATTCATCCTTGCACCACCCCCTTAGGAGAAACCACGGACAACGAAAATGTTTATGCACCCTGAGTGCCCCCAATGATTTTCAACAATGGTCGTAGAAGACCGAAATGTGGCATGATCCTGCAGGAGTAGATCAGATTAACAAATATGAGTAAATTTTGTGATTGTTTTCCCAGACAAGGGTGACCCGCACTGCTTTTTGAAATTGGTCGAAAATGAAATTCGGTGCCTTAGCGCAAGTCGCAAGGGCATATCAGGCTAAAGAATTAAAGTCAAATTTATGAGTATTTTCCTGAGAGGAACCAAGCAGAGTGACCCATGCTGAAATTTGGATCATGGGAACATTTATGACGATTGAGAATAGTAGTTAGGCCACGGCGAAAATTTAGAAGCGAAGTCTGACTAGGTTACATCGACACTAGTTTTTTTTTTAAATAGCGAACATGTCTCATTTTTCCAGACGTGGGGAATATTTCGACTTGTTGAGCGAGAAGTGAGTCAGCTTGTTTTTGGGGCGGGGATAATGATGGGTACGTATCCTCTCAGCAGCGTTTCCACCCCCATTTTCACCGAGGAACGCATCATCCGGATCTTCAGACTCACATTTGACGCAATTTTTCTTCACAATCTTCACCACGTAGGACACTCATTTCACTTTTCAACATCATAATCCATGCTTAAGCAAACTAGTAATCCTACTTTTCTTGCAGGACAAGCCTCCTTTTGAAGGTCATCTGATTCTTCCCAAGTTGGTCGAAATTTGCGTGAGCCTTGGAATCCTGGTGTTCATCCGCGTCGTAGACCATGCGTTTCCCCTCTTCACCATCTTCTACGTTTTCTTCGTTCTCGACCTCCTCTTCCGCGCAGTGACTTTCGCGCTTTGCTACAAGGCGTATGGGGACTTTCTCTGCAGAAGACATCGCCATGCTGTCACTGCTGTCGCGAATCGCAATCTCAAGAGAATCAACAGCGTCATCGCTCGCCCTACTTAAACTACGTACATATACAGGAACAGAGACTAAAGAGCTCAACCATAAAACAACAAAAGGAGCTAACAAAACATAAATTAAATGGTCAATAAATCAATTCCGAATTTTCCACCTCGTCCATGGAATATGATCGTGAGTTGCAAGGTTTCAAATTGAGATGAGCATCATAACCGAATGACAATGTTATCTAAGTATCGTTAATGCATGATAGTAAAATGCACAAGCATCATGCGAACTGATCGAGCGTATGATTCGATGATTCACTTGACATACATGGATATGCAACTCGGTGCAACTGTCTGTGCTATTACCAAGAAGATGAGACAAGGAAACCGTGATGATTTGACAACGTCTCATGCACAGCTTACACGAACGACTGTCACTTGCCTCCAGGTGCAACATTCAGGAGTTTTTCACAATATTCAGAAGCCTTCACGCATAATACACGTCTCATCTCACGTGAACAAATAAAAATCTCGCATCTTCATAATCTTCCCATCGCTTTACAGCTTCCTACGTACATATATACGTACATATAGCACTTGGACGTATTTGAAACTGTCGTGCTGTGGCTGATCTATATAGGGCGGTATATCTTCAACTACCAGCTCATTAGAGGAACTGCACTATTCTACCCTCCGTCCGTCGACCATCCTCAGCAGTACGTAAGCATATTAGAGTAGGCATAGCGGTTTTGAAGGGGTAAAAAAACTGGGCAGTGCGTATAAAGCGCACAATCTGCACCACAACAAGATCGACTTAGGGGATGAAGCTGTGCCAAAGCCGATGCACATGTACATGTCCGCATCATCTTCTTTAACTGTACTGTAGTTGGCAATTTTTTCAGTGCTGCTACCACGACCACTCTGCCAACAAGTATAAAGTGCATAAGTTTAATACAACTCCCAAACCAGAGAGGCAACAAACCACAATAATCAGTTGTAGGTTTCTCCATCAAGTACAAACTTGGTCACTACCAAGCACTAACTATACGTACATATAGATATTTATTGAACCACCAACAACCTCAATTAAACACATTTTTTTGGTTTACTATAGAGTTAGTGCTATGTATATTCCGACTGTAGTACCAAAAGTTAAGTAGCTCTACTATTAGCTCTGCAGCTGCAACGCAAGGATATTTGGTATGCGTTCTTGATACCAGTTAATTATATCAATCTCCACCACGCTAAATACCAACTCAAATGTGATCTCGTCATCAAAATTGTCCAAAATTTGCGTTTGGGTTGGTTGTAAGAGGCAGATATTTCATCAAAGCTTAGCTCCTGAGAGTTAATAAATAATGTGACTATAGAGCATCGATTGCGAAGACAGTTTACAGTCCGCGAGTACAAGAACAAATTATCAATCAGTTGTTGGCTGGAGGAACCGGAAGTGTTCAGAGTGCATTCTTATCCTGCGTCTCCTCCGTGTTCTTGGAGCAGAACAGTTCAAGTTGGACAACTGGGACAAGATATTTTGGCTGCGACTGCGTTGTGAGAGTTGCAAAATGTGCAGCTCGAAAAGCTTCCTCGTTCTTCTGATCTCAATGTTCCAGTGGGTGGGAGGAGTGCAGTATGGACGTAAGTCGATTATCACGATTAACAAGTGTCATTAAAACCAAAAGAACAATGTTGCAAAACGGCTGCAAGGCCGGTGACTCATGGTTTAAAAATGTGTTTGCGTCCCTCACACATTCATAGCCCACTTTTATTTGTTATATGTAAGAAGATGAGTCCCACTTTATTTACTTTCTTATTCATGACAATAATCCCACCACACAAAACATCATTTAATGTCCCAGCATCAAGTAATTAAAAGTCAAAGTGGGATTGACACCTGGGTGCGATTTGATTTCATTCTGAGTAAAAAGTGGGTGCTGCCGAGCTGCCCCAGATCACGGACGAACTTCTCATTCGTTCCACATTATACTTGGTGTTAGAGGCCTTTGATCCCTGAAGTAATTTTTTTCTGGGTTATTGTTGCTAAAACAGTGCATGCTGCCAGTTCCCACGGGCAGTTGCAAATAATATGCTCCTCATGATTTTCATTATACACTCACGCAAAACAACTTGCGCAGTTAAAATGGTGATTTAACTGTATGCATATTCTGTACACAGCCTCTTTGGATTTTCTTATCCCCCCGGGGAATGAGCGTGGTCGTCCATCGAAGCAGATTCATCTGGACGGTTTTCATCCCACGTATTCCGTCACGCTGCCCCTCGCCAACAATTCCGCCATGGCCCTCGTTTCCAGGGTTCATCCACAGGGAGACTTCTCAGTCCTCGCCCCCACGGGATGGGGTATCATGGCAGTCGTACAAACGCTCCGACTTCGAACCGGGGTCGTCTATTCCTCTTCCGAGGACACGTTTCTCAAATGCAGAGACTTTCTCAGATTCACAGCCGGCAACCAAACTGCTCAGGTACGAAATTCCAAGTCATTCATACCAAGATGATAATGGAGAGGAGAATCACTCCTATTACAGTTTAATGGCACATGCAAATTCTTAATTCCTTATGGTTAGGTTTGTGGTGATGTAATGAAATACTCAAAGGAAGGTAGTCCCCAAGGGCTACTGGGTCCGCGAACCTTCATTACTACCGAGTCGCAGCTTACTCTCGCTCTCCACGTAGACAGAGGTCATGGCGTTCACGACTATTCATGGCATGAACAGATCGCCCTGGAACTCGTCCTCACCGCATTCAAAGGTCATAATTATAATTAGCAAAGTTAACCTTACTACTTATGGAACATGACAATAAAATTTTATTGTATGTATATTGCGCAGAATGTCCGCGGAATGGTCTCCTGGCCCAGTGGAAAAAGTGGACCGGGTCGAATCCTCTGCGATCCTGTTCCCCTGCAGAGGACACCTTTTGCATACACTCGGCCACCTTCTGTGATGGCGTGGGCAACTGTGCTGTACGAGGTCCACTAGGTCACGTGGGGTATGACGAGGAAGGTTGCAGCTATACCCCTGCATTTGGACCAACCATGGGTCCACCCCCTCCGACTCCTCCGCCACCCACCTCCACCAGAACGCCTTACATCGGGGTTAACAAGCCCTACACGCCGCCCACATCGGGAAAAGTGATTTCGCCCATACATCTCATCTTTATATTCAGCGTCGTCGTACTCGTCATCTTTGCCGGCTGCACGTGGCTGGCTAAGGCCAACGAGAAAAAGTTTCAGCATACCATGTACAGATTCTCTACCATGCGGAGGCAGCGAAGATCTCAGCAAACCAATCCCAGCAGTAGAGGTACCAGGGGGACAGAACCTCCAACCTCTCCACCTGACGATGCGACTGCGACAATCAACAGGTAATTACATCTACAACTAAAATTTCCAACATAGGATATAAAACTAACAATATTTTTTTTTAGTAGGCGACCCAGCGCACCTCCAGATTCTGCAGTAAACACGCTTCGAGTGGATGTTGAAATTCCTGGAGAAGAACCACCACCATACGACCATTTATTCCCATCGGCCCCACCAAACTCAACGCTCCACTCGTAGAAAATTCCCACTCAAAACCAAGCTATGCATAAGATAAAAATGGACGGCTCAATTATATGGTTTCAGTCAGCTGCATAATTACCGGTTTCTTTTGATCCACCCACTCAAGCTCTCGAATCCTTCACGTATGCTCACTCACTTACTCAAGTAATGCGATATGTCTCTCACGCTTCCATAATAGCGCACAACACATTTAACAGCAGATTTAATAATAATAGTTTTCTAAGTGGCGGCGATTGCCAAATATTTATTAGTTTCTTTATACGCAAGTTATTATTATGCGTGCGTACGTATCCAGAAATACGTATGAAGTTCGCCTCATCAGCAAAGATAAGCAATAACATAGGATTTGGTACTGTGAGATAGTCGTCCTAGTCATAATCATCACAGATTTTTGTTGTCGTTGCAATTAGAAGTAATCAGGCTACGTGTACAATCTCTCTGTTCATTAGGACAGCTTTATATATATCTATGTACATTTAAATATTCAACCTGGAAGATGAATAGTTCGTATGCTTTGGTGTTTTGACGCTGTGGGCTATTTAATAAGCAGATGAAGCAGCAAGCGTCTAGAATAAAGACAGGCTGTCAGTCACTTAATTAATTATAATTAATTAGATGGTAAATGTAGTGACCTTGAAGTAAAAATGGATTTTTTGTAGTGAAAATGGTTTTATATTTGTGATGATGATGATATACCCTACATATTTGTTAACCGAGTTATGAAATTAAAAAACGTGTCGGTTATTAACTAATATTATGCAAATTAGATAATTTTTAAGGTCAACCTGTACATAGTTGAAGTCAAATCAAATGAAACCCGTCAACGCCAGCTCTAGTTCGTGTAATAATTGTAGTGCAAGGGCGGTGCTGCACCAAGCGTCAGATAGCTCGCTGGTTATAAAGTTTATGTGATTTTAAAGAAAACAAACACGACGAGGGGATGATGACTGCAGGCCCAAGAAAAGAATTAACACATTGCCTTTGCTTCACATTTAGAATAATTCATCCATTCCTGCATCACAATATTGTTATTTACCATTAAATATTATTGGTCTGGCTAAAAATTAAGACAGATTTCAAACTCGCATCATAAATGCTTCCAATAATCCATGCACTGGTCATTTGACGTTCTAAACCTCCATACTTCCACAGTATTCGTCTGTGCGGGCACTGTGCCATATTATCTTTTTCGATATGCCTCGTCCTCTGGCTGCAGAGAGTTGATGGATTGACGCATGTGATGAATTAGGAAATGCAGTCACTAAAGTACGCCAATAAATAGAATTACATAATTTTATTATAAAATACAAGCGTAATTGCGTGGGAATATTGACATGGTCCTTGTAACGAAGCTCATAACATTTTTAACCCGGCAAGTCATGCCATTAGGTAATTCTTTATTCATGTTCAACAATTATCCTCACTTGATGCAAATTTGTTTTCAAAATTCACCAATTAAGGCGGCAACCTGAGATGATCTGCAGGGAAGGCCAACCAAAGTCAATGTCATTATTAGTGCCTGAATTTACGATCCAGATTCATGCAAATAAACATGGGATTGTAAAAATGTTGGAAATGTTGTAGTGCATGGGGCAACGTGTCCTTTTTCTTAACCTGCATCACCATAATCCTCCTCTGTCGGTGTTTGTTTTCTTAAAAAAGTTCATAAAATTCAACATTCGAGACGTCGGGCGAACTGATGATGACGATCTACCGTCACATCCTTCTTCTTGTGTAAATGTTTCCCTTCCATCTGCACAAAATTAAACAACTTGTGTGTCTACATGTTGGCTGATTAGAATTAGCATATCGACTTTTCCCGTTGTGTATAACTGAACAGAAGCAGCAGCACCTCGACATTCGCGTGCCATTGTCACTGTTTGCTGCTAGTTCCTCTGCGTATGCTGGTGGGTGGAGGAGGAATTTAATGTGTAAATATATTTCTTCGAGATTAAGTCAGGCCTCGCTGACAAAGAGCGCATTGATTCGCGTCCATCTCACTCAACAAAATCGTCTCGGTTTAATTGGCGTCTTCAACAAGGTCATTAAATTAAGTAACTTGAAACAACTTTTGTTTCACTGAGCGATTCATCCGAGCGAGCATGAGAATAAGCTCATTCATTCATTCATTCTTCAAAACACCGAAACCCCGGACAGTTCTCACTCACTCGAAGGCAGTAGGTTTGCCAAGCACTGTTGCGACTTTGATATACGTACACTTTCGGAAAGTAAAATAATAATTGGGATGACGAGAGAGGTTCAAAGTGGTGCTGGGTGTCTGGTTATGCTATTGTTTGTGTCTTCCTTCTTGGCCAGGTCGCTGGTTGACTCCACAACTGGAAGTAGTAAGCTTCCCACATTTATCTGCATGCATGCAGAACGTGTAGTACATAAATACTTTATATTTATTTACGTAACCTTCATCTGGCTTTTACCCACAGGGAGGATGAGTCTAAACGTTGGGAGTCAGCCCACCAACACCACCCTGGAACTGGGGGGTTTAAGTCCGGTGGACTCCCACTCTGTCCTCTTTCTCATCTACGCAGACATCCCTGGCCCCACAGATGCTACGGACCATTTTGTCACCATTCTAGCTCCCTTGAACCATCGTCTCCTGGGTTTTGTGAGCATGGCGCACTTGAGATTTGTCTGGACCAACGTCACTTCCGAGGAGGAGGACGGACAACTGGACTTCATTGCAGAGTGCGTCGACTACGTTAAAGTGGATGGGGCAGGGCCCGAAATAGACACAATATGTCACGACGTGCGAAAGGAAGACACTCGCCTTCACCCACCAAGACTGATCGGACCCCGTACTTTCAGGGGAATTGGGGGACGGCTAGAGATTCACATCCACACGGAACCCTTTCCTGCAGGGGGAGGGGGAACCAGTCAAGGTCAAAATGGCAGCAGTATCAATAGTACTACGCGACACTTGGCAGAGCTTTCCTTCACAGCTCACTCGGGTAAATAAGTCGGCCTGCATAAATATGTAGCCTCTCCCATTGCAAAAGAATTTAAAATAGAATAAAGCTGATTTCTTCTCCTTGATGATTAGAATGTCCAGTAGACGATGATGAGATTGTGGAGACGGACGATGAGACTGTTCTCAACTGGAGTCGCTGTTCCCTGGAAGATGATTTCTCCTGTATCCCATCCAACTTATTTTGCGATGGGGAGGTGAATTGCCTATTTCCTGACTCACTGGGTGAGGATGAGAAGAATTGCGAGGATGAGTCATCTGGCACGCAGAGTCTTGAGAAGTCGTCGTCGGGAGGGGGTCGAAGTAGCAATAACTCTTCATCCTCCGTCGAAAATCGAGGGTCGAGTCGACGCCGCCAAAGAAATAACAGCCATCGGAACCAGAAGGACGACGTCGTTGTGGTCATCGAGGAGGACGAAGGGCATCAAATTCGCCAATACTTTCTCCCCACGGCATCCTTCTTCTTCTTGATTTGGGGTGTGGTCACCTTGCTGAGAAAGTGCTACAAGTGCTATCGGAGTGAATATGGGAAGGATGACTTCTACTAAATAATTATCCACGCAACTGGTCTAATACATTGATTATTGAAATAAACCACGTATCTCAAACCTCATGCAAGGAATCGAGGCACGAATCATGTAAAAATCTATCAACTTTCTCTTTATTCGTTACTTTATTTATTGCACAATTCATCGCGTTGGCGAGTATTTTTAAAAGGGGAGGTCCAGCCGTCGGCGAGTCCACAATTTTATCAGCAGTGCCAAACTCTCGACGCCTGCAATTTCATGTCTGTCTCCTTCTCATTATTATCCGATATACTCGTTATTTCGCTTATTGTACGCATATAGTTTCCTAATTATGCGACAAAGGCATATCCTCAACGAACCGTGACTCCCTTCGGTGGCAGTCTCCCCTTTGTCGCTGCATTTATAAATTTAGACATTATTCGTACGTATTCGTACTTAAAAGTATGTATGTATGTAGTTAAGTATGTACGTATAAGTGTATATATGCTTAGACCGTTATGTTATGTACATCAACATCATCTCGCGTTCTCATAATGAAATGAATCTCTGATAAATGGGACCATGTCATCAACACATGCAAACAACGGAAGAACAACATCAAGTTAACAATACTGGAAAAAAAGTCGGTCCGTCAAAGACTTTAGACAACAATCTGAGCAAAGTCATTTTTCCCTACACATTTTCAGTTCATGGGGCGTGGCGCACCTTTTTTGCCTTTCTCCTCCCTTTATACAGAAAATACTTGATTCGAGCACCCTCGCACCCAGCGTTGAGTTTCGTCCTTCTCGTCCTTGACTGACTGACTGACTGAGATTTTTGGAAACACAAAATTTATACGATTGATGATGGCGTGGTGGCAAATAAAGCGTCGCAGGAACATACGTAGACTGCACATACGGGGATTGAGCACTTTCTATCTGGACGTCATCCGCCTTTTACCAGACGAGAGCTACACATATGTCTATGTCACCATTGTGTACAAATTAACCCTTGGGAACAATAGAGGTCAACAACTACGCCACCCTCCTCCTTTGTTGAAGAGGTCATGCAAAAAGTGTCTCTGTTCTGACTTTCTCCACGCCACTTGACCTGCTTTGGCATTCCTTGTTGGCTACTACGCATATTGTGCTACCTTTACACCTACCCCAATGACTGAGAGGAATAATTGTCATCCTCCACTTAAAAAGAACAAGTCTGCAATTGAGTAATGACAACAATCTTACGGAACTAATAAGTAGTCTAATGTCTTCAATTTCTTCTGTGGGACTGCAGTCCACCCTCCTTGCCTACAGATGTTGGTGGTGAGCATAGCGTCCGGTGGTAGATAGTCACGCAACAACACCAACCTCCGGATTTGTATCGTTTGCACCTTGGATGCACCCACGGTGAGGGAATGCCTAACAAGTGGAGAGGACTGGCAGAGTGCCACTAGCTGAGGTACTAAATGAGGTGGATGGCCTGGTGCTACTGCGGAGGGGGAGATGGACGGGCCTCTTGTTAAACTTTCTCCCCAACTCCTGAGGTGTAGTTGTCGTCGACATCGTCGTCGTAGTGAGACACGGTTGGCACAAGGGTGTAGTGATGGGCAGGGGTGGTGGTGGCGATGGGAGGAGGCTGGTGGGTCGCTAGGGGTTCCGGTTGAATGGGTGTGTCCGTCGGTGGTGGTGGTTGAGGGCAGAGAGTGGGTGGCCGTGTAGTCGGTCGTCCGAAGTGTCCCGGTAAAGGGAATCGTCCTCTAACTCCTCGATGAACAGCTTGACCACCCAGATTTCGTACAGTGTATAAAATGTTCCCAGAACGCATACGCTATTTGGGAGTAAGGAACAGCAATAAATTAGTGCTCTCAGTTTGCCAGCGTGAAACATAATCAAAGTACAAATTAGAGAGAGGTGCAGAGCCTTCGAATGGTGCTGCTGATATTACCTTTGTGTGGGTAGTTTAAAGACGCGAAAATCCGTGTCGGACTCTTCGTAGAATGATTCCGGAGGTGCTAACAAGCAGAATAGACCAAGAATTAGCCGTTATCGAGGATAAATTGCATGCATATATTTGAGGCGGCTTACTTTCCAGATGAAAGGAGTTGTAGTGACCTACGAGCAGGGAGACTTGAAACACGATGAGTTGCACCACAATCACGAGCGAGGCGAGCACCACCCACACCAACAACTTTCTCGGGTCTTGCTGCAATTCAGAAAAGAAATAGAAAGCTGCTACATTTCATATTCATGATTAACTTGTGTCGATTTGTATGTTAATCTTCGCCACTCTTGAATTCCAACTTGAATAACTGGGCTCGTTCACGTAGACAGCGAAAATGAAAGGATGATGTGCTTGTTACTACGAATGAGTCCTGCTCTATTTACATGATGTGCGAAATATGTATGCAAAGGACATTTGTGTGCGGAGCAAAGTGGTGGAAATAATAAAAGAGAGGGTTTATAAAAATGGGAATGATTGGACATGTGTCCGCCCAGTTGATTGCGAATAATTTGTTAACCGTTCCACTCCACTTGAAAATATCTCTTTTGGTCGTGCATAAGTAATCAATGAGGAGTTCAAAGTGGTTGGTTCGTGGATGATGGGAACTGAACTGAATATGCCACGTCTATAAGTAATATGTACTCCAGGATGGACAGGGAAAATAGATTTTCATTGAATTCGTGCTCGTGCACTTGGTCGGCTTTGAATTTTCCTTATTTCGATGAATCCCATTCCAAGGTCATTCCAATCTACGTCATCCATCCACTTTCTTCATAATATACCAATTCTCAATTATAAGTTATGCCAGCGTGCTATTATTTCATGTGTGGTGCCACCAGACATATTACGCACACTTTTTCAAAGTTGAAATGACACCCAATTATGTAACAAATGGTGATTGGGTCCAAGGAGGAGCTTTCCCAATTATGGCGATTAGAACATGAGCAAAGTGGAAACTCCCATCCCATCATCGTATCCGAATTTATGCAGGAGTACAAGATATACTCAACTATATTTACAATGGATACAAATTGGATGCACAACATGGGTCCTAATTTGCTCGAATGTTTGGTGAAAATTGGGCATGTCTCAACAGAACAAGGTCGAATTATTATTATTGCTCTAAGTGCACCAGGCAGGGATGAGACGGGAGAGATGGGATACCCGGGTTGTGGGTTGGCTATTTGCTATGCAATCTACTACCCGCTTTCCCGTCCGGACTTTCTCTCTCCGAAAGACGACCATGCAATACAAGGGACAGCTCACCATGCTCACCACTCATGTTTATTTGCTTGCCACGCTACGTGTTGTTGTTGTGTTGTAGGACTTTCCCTGAACGCACATGTTCCGCATTCTTAATTAATTGCCTTTCTTTCAACCACCGCAAGCCTGACTTGTGCAGCATGGCATTATGTCACTCGAGATGCAGTCAAGCCAGACACAACTTTTATGCGCACGTATGAAATGAGGTACCGAAAATGAGAGGCTTACCGTGTGTGCACCAACTATCATGCAAATGGCGAGGCCAAAGTAGGTCACATAGATCACGACAAAGAAACCGTCGAAACTTGAGCTTATCGGACCTGCATTAGACAAGGGGGACATGATGTGAGAGAAATTTAGACAACCACACCCAGCCGCGGAATATATTTAGTAAGAAATGCTCACCATAGTCAGGAATTCGCCCATCAGCCACCCAAAGGTCAAAGGTGGTAAGGAGCTCGTTCAAGTGGTAAATGGTCCTCAGGAACGACCAGACCTGCAAAACGAGCCAAAACGTCATGCACAATTTGGTCACAGACTGAAAGTATTATGAAGAAGGCAGACAAAACGACTTACAATGTCGTAGAGGGCAAGATACGAGACGCAGTTTTGGAGTGGATACCTTATCAAACATAAATATCATAGAGTGAAACCAATTATGCAAAAGTGTAAGTTAATTTGGATAGCTGAATGTGAGATTACTCGCAACAGGGATGGACCATCTTCATCCGGGAAGCACTCGTGAGAAGGGTCTGTGTGAAAATCTCTACAGCTACGTCCTTTAAACTTGCATGGGTGGGAATGGGGAGGAGTTTGAGTATTATTGGTGAGGGAGGACTAGGTGCAGCGGTGGCAGTGACCCTACGGTTTGCTAGAAGACTATTTGTATGCACTGATGGTGAAGGCAGAGAGGAACAGGGAGACACGATCTGAACAATCGTAAGTTTACATGGATAGCGCTGAGAACCGGGACTGGCCGTGTAATACTGATGTGGGTGAGACGAAGAACCCTTCTTGTCGGAAGATGAGACTGGTTAGTAATTATGTTTTACGATGAATAGGGATGACTGTACTGGTGTTTGGTAATTGATTTGGTTAGTTGGGTCGCGGATGTCGTGGTGGTGATGGTAAGAGACTGATGAGGAGGGTGTCAATGGGAGTGGTGGTGGTGGAGGTGGCGGTAGGACAACGGGTGGTCCAGTGGGAGGACCTCGTTGCCATTGTCATCACAGGCTTTGCTGCTCTTCTCTTGCTGCTTATTCGTGGCCTTCTTATGGACTCTTCTAATGTGCTGGTCGCAGAGGGAAGTAGTATTGTCAGTCGTCGTAGTAGTAGTGGTGCTGCTGCTTCTGCTGCTGCTGCACTGCTGCTGCTCCTCCAAGTGACCCTGCGCATCCATTCCTTTGGCGAAAGTTCCCGAGGTGGAGCCTACAATCTCCCGAACGGTAAAATTGTCCTCATCTTCCGGGTCGTAGCCACTTTCTCCACAACTCAACCGGCTCACAACCCCGCTTTCACCCACTCTCACCAACACCACTCGCAAGCTGTCAAGCACGGTTTGGACAAACAATGTCAAAACCATTGTTTTTCTTATCTCTCGGCTTGTTATAGTTTTTCCTTTCAAAAGAATGCTCCCTGAAGTGTGACCCAAATTTGTAATATTCACCACCAGCCATGCAAACTGCCGACAAATTATTGAATGTCAGAACCTGTGAGAGTGTGAATATGATTATTGCCATTTCTCAAGGAGAAGGAAAATGATGGCACGTTTCTGAAGCATGTAATCTCTTTCCTCCATTTGAATCTCATGAACCCAATACGCCGTGCGTTATCGCAATTGCGAAAGAAATTGCTAATATAAATAAATTGGGATAGTACGACCAATTGCGTTCCAATTGAGGAAGTTCGGTATTACCACTTTTAATTGGCTTGCACGTGGAATTTGAGTCTAATTTTACATCGACATCACCGTTAGAGAGCATAATACCATATTTAATATTATAGCGTGTGCTTTTATATTGTTACAAGTCAAGTTTTACATGTTTTAAGGTTGGAGTTTCTTTTAAAAGTTGAGGTATGGCTGCAGTCGTAATCTGCAATTATTCAAACACAAAACAATGAAGCGATATTTAAAAACTAAATTTGATTCCATTTTGAAGTGTGTAAATCGTGGTTTATCTCATACGCTGTGGCCTCCAATGAGTTCCAAATCTGTGAGGTGCGGCATCCCATAAAATCCTGGAATGCAATTATCCGTGACGTTTATTCCGAGTCCTCTCAACGACAGTTTTCTCAAGCCTATGTAAAACCACAAATTTCAAAATGTATCTTAATGGCTAACGTAGTAAATTGACAATGGAGGTCTCCCAACGTATGCTCACAGGATTTGGTCCAAACTGGTGTCAATCGATCACAAACTTAATTAGTATGAAATTTGCAAATGCACAAGTTTGACAGAGATGAATAAAAAGAGGAATAAAATCGAGTAAATTTGGAAGGTGTAAAATTTGTCGACCTTGGGGTGCGTTTTTATCCTCTATTTATGCAAATATATATCTCTGCCAAACTTGCGCATTGGCAGATAGTGCCATTTGAAAATTATATACTAATTAAGTTTGTAATCGATTGACACCGGTTTGGTCCAAATCTGTGAGCATATGTTGGGAGACCTCCTTTGTCAGTCATGTGCATAAACTACATGTAGTATGCAAAGAGGTACGTATGTATGCATGTTTAATACCTGGCATGGATTCAGCCAAGCGTTCTGTGGGTCGGCCCATGGGGATGAGCAGGTGATCATTCGCCTTCTGTAAATCTGCCCAAAATACCAACGTCTCCAGATTGGGAAATGACTTGATGATTCCTCGAAGGTAAAAAATATTGAGGACAGAAGACGTAGGTCTCCCCCTCAGTTTGTCCTTAATCTGGCCCCATACAATCCGCCACCCAGTCTCGTAGTCCTCCAGGCGACCAACTATTATGGAAATATGCTTTAACGTGGGGCACACTGTCCGCAGCCACCCGAAGGTGAGTAACGTCTTCCTGGAGGGCTCCTCAAACTGTACTTTGAAGGTGGTCAACTTTTTGAAGAGCACTTGACCCTCAGTCACGTTAAGTCGGGTGTGGAAGGGGATAAAATCTTCCAGGAAAAAGAGGTGGTTGTTGGAGTCATAGTCGGCGAGAAACCGGATGTTAAAACTCCGGATGGAGCTATACATTTCCGGAAGGCTTAGCAGGTACTGACTCGTCACCTGACTCTCCTTCCCATTTAGAAAGAATTCCACGTCCAAGGTCACCTCGCAGCCATAATTTAAACTCATCGTGTGTAGAATCGTCGGCAAGCTCGTGCAAAGCACAGATGCGCTCACCCTTAGGTGGAGGTGTTTCAAGCCCCGCATGGCCAGGAAGGCGAATAAGGTGAGGATGCCCGTGTTGTCAAAGGACGACGCTGGGAAACCGTGGATGCAGAGGGTGAGGTCCTTGAGCAATAATTTCGAACTCACCATTTCCATCATGTGGTTTTGGAGGGAGGTTCCAAGCGTGCCTACAATTGTCTCCACGTCGGCGAGAAACTTGGTCACCTCTGGCTCTCTCAATTTACGTCTCGACGACGACGCACCAGCCTTGGGAAGAAGTCTCGAGTCTGGAGACTGCACTTGAAGGCTTTGTAAAGTTCGCAGTTGTGTGGAAGCCAAGAGTGTTACCACTTTAGTGATCATGCAAATATATTCTTCACCATTCTCCAAAATGGTTATCATTTCTGGGAGCTGCACCGTCAGGAATTTAAGTCGGGAAAAGCATGTAATCTCATTATTGCTGTTGTCGATTCTCACAAGTTTATTAGGGTCGAATACGCTCAGCAGTCGCAATGGAAGGGACAATTTCTCCAAGTGTGGCATGCAAGAAATAATTGTGTCAATGCCACCCAGTTCTATTTTTGCCAGCTTGGATTGATTGATGGCTTGCAAGTCCAGCGTGTGAATATTGTTCAAGAGCAGATGGGAGGAGTTGGAAGAGAGGCAGCGGCCAAAGTTTGCCACCTCTTCAAACGCGAGAATTTTTATGCTTGGTTGTGGGCGAACAAAGTAGTAGGCGCAGTTCCGGAGGTAGACGTCCTTCAGAGACTGTAAGGTTGAGGATGATGTCACGTCTGGTTGGATAAAATTGAGCAAAAGACGCTTCACGGAATAAGGCGACCATGTCCGGTGACGGCGTTTAGCAGATTTGGTGAGCGAGCCACAGTGAAGAAAATAGTCGGATAAATGTGGCAGCATTTTGTAGAATTTTATGACTTGATTCCATAGAATGCATGTTTCGCGACATTTCAACAAGTCGTCGGAACTCAGGTTGTTGAAAATTAATCGAAGGACGGGCCCCTAATTACGTATAATGAATATGCATATCAAATCATCAAACATCAACTCAGTTGGTGCATAAATTATATGTATGTAGCTCTTAATGGAATGAACAATCGTTATGATTTGATAAGAATTACCGGAAGTACAGGTAACTGGGCTCCCTTCTCACTTCTCTTTCGAAACATTCTCAACTATACTTCTGATTTTTGTTGAAAGGGCGTCTCAAAGCCTTGACGGGACTTTCATTATTAGAATCGCGAGATGTATCGCACGCAAATACAGAAAGCGACGTTGCCTATGATACTTACGTCGATGTCAATTGACACTAAGCATTGGGGACACACTGTTATCCCGTCATTCCCGTCTCAGTTTCTACTTCACGAATAAAATCTTGTGGGAAACTGTTGATCATGTGCAACAAACAACAAAAAAATCATACTCGTTGTTTTCATATTTCTATTTCAGTTTGTTTACAAATGTTCAAGTTTTTTCCAGACGAGGATGAAGTGGTGGACACTTCTGGTGCCGACAGAAAGGCGTCACCTCTGCGACCTTGCATCGAAGTCAAGATTCGACAGGAGCACTATGACCTTGCCCAGGAGACCCCAGTGGTCAATGCTGGAGGGACAATTCCTTTAAACCTCAAGTACATTAACGTCCGCGATCTGCTCAAATCTTCAAAAGTCACAGGTGACCCGAATGTCAAGTCTATCCTGACCTCCTCTTCTGACCTCGTCCCTGGTCTCTATGAAGGTTGATAAAGTTCATGTTTTCTAAAATTCCAATCAAGCTACATTATTTATTCGACTAAGGCTTAAATACATAAATATATATAATCATGATAAGGTGGATTTAAACTTTGGGAATGCACCTTCGACCTGCTGTCATACTTGGAGGACGAGAGTGGGAAAGCAGTCAGCATAGGACCGGACACCAAAGTGCTTGATCTGGGCTGCGGTCACGGACTTCTTGGACTCTATGCGTTGGGAAGAGGAGCGCACGTCCTATTTCAGGATTATGTATGTACACCAGAAGAATATATTTATTTATTAATAATTATGGTTTTCTAGAGAGCCCATATTTGTTGCAGAAATAATGCATGTGATATAAATTCGTTTCAGAATGAAGAGGTGCTCACTTTTCTAACAATTCCAAATACGATTAGTAATTTTGGAGATGAAGGACTGTTGAGGGCAAGATATTTCGCAGGAGGTTGGGACTCCATAAACGAATATGCAAAAAATAACAATGGGGGAAAAGATTGGAAGTTTGATACCATTCTATCGTCTGAAACCATTTACAATATGGATTACTTTGAGGACTTTCTCAATCTTGTTGATCTTTGTCTCAAACCAAGTGGTTCCTTGTAAGCAGCTTTTAATTGTATCTTTTAACTGTTGTATGATTGCAAACCTTACACAGCACAGTGTAGACTATAGCGTAATGAATAGGGCATTGTTTTATGATTTTCAGGTATTTGGCTGCAAAAACATGCTACTTTGGGGTCGGAGGAGGAACTAACGCATTCACATCTCTGGTTACGAGCGACAAATACAATTTTGGAATAAATACTGTGAAATTAATTAAGAATGGTAATATAATGCTCCCAGTCAATATTCTATATTCAGTGTGCTTGTTTGTGCATGTAGGTGTTCAACGAGAAATTCTTCGGATTTGCAGACTCAACGAATCCTGACCTGATGAAGAAATAACTATTTACATAAATATTAATTTTTATTCCTCATCATTACTAACATTAAATTAATGAATTATAACTTATTAACGGAGTAATATTATTGAATGGTGATATCTGCACATCCTCTAAACGTTTCCTGAGGGCCACATCCAAGACCAGACGTTCCATTATCACAATATCCCCAGTTATTCCCTACGACAGATCCAATTAAGTAATTGTTTAAAAATACGTATGTTTGGTACATATTATAAAACTTGACAAAACCTGCTCTGTAATTCCACTGAACTATGCAGTGATTGCACCTCAACCCCTGAGGAAGTTTAAGCTTTGTTTTGTAGGTTCCGGTGGATGTCACATTGAGACGACTCCCAAAACCATCTGCCCTGAGCAATAGATTTTGGTTGAAGCAATTTTGCGTTTCGGTGGATGAGTTCGAGCAAATTCTCCATTCCATGTGACCCATGTGAGCTGCCGTGAGTTCTACCTCGACGTCAATTATCTACGCAACGTCATATGCAAATATAATTACACATGTTCGCCATTTTCAAAAGTACTCTCCATTTTGCGATCCCAATTCTCACCTGCCCTTGGGTATAACGTCCGGTGATAATTCCACGGTAGTAGTATCCAGCAATTTCATTTTCACGAGGTACAGAATCTGAGACTGGGTCCCCACAAACGCCACAATTGGTCCCTGGTGAGTCTGCCTGATGTAGACCCCCACAGAAAAGTTGGTTGTCTGTGTAGTTTGGGGGTGGGTTTTGGCTTTGAAATTCAGCGAATCTCCAAACAGAAGATCTGCTCGTGGGACGAAGTAACCTTCCATGTCCACTGACAGGCCGAGTCGGAGTCAATAAAACTGCGAGTGACAACAAGAGCGAAAATGAAAATGAAAATCTCTCCGTCGTCATTTTTGAATTTATTAAACTAATCCTAAATTCTGAAACCAGACTAAATTTATGCTCACTTGGCTATATCATTCTGGATTCTTCATTTGTTGCCTTTTATGCGCTTTGTTATCTAGTGCGGAAAATAATTTGCACGTCAATAAAAATATTTGCACTTTTATGTAGAATGTTGTTACATACAATTATGCAGTATTGCTTGCGTTGTAACATTTGCGCAGTGGTGAAATTTCAAAGTAATTCTTATGACGAAAACCTTTTCCAGAAAATTTCGAAATCCATTAAACCATGTTTTATCACGTAATCCACGTATCTATTTAATACATGATGGTTCCGTTATGATTAGCATTGTGTACGCATGGCGTACAGCCCACATGCAAACCATCAAGTCCATTTGTTGTTATTGTTTATTTGCAAGGATCAAACTTTGACCGTAACTTTGATTTGCGGATTGTATTGCGGACTCTTCCGAGTTGAATTCTGGCTAATTGCTCTACCGCCGGAACTATATGCATAGATACAGGAAAAGGATTGTCAATGTTGCTGATATTGCACTGCGGTGATAGCCACAGATTTAATTAAAGTCTCTCAACAGCAAAAAAAATTGTATACAGCCCGCAAAGTTTATCAAAGTTTGTTGATCCACAGAACTTGTGTCAGCATTTCCAAAACATGACTGTAAAGTGATCGCATGCAGTAATGTTTGATGCATACGTTTACTAGAGTTTCCGCATCTCAATGATGCGGAAGTTTTGCTTCTATAATTCGAAACTTCAAGTTTGATGCACACATTGAATCTATGTTTTTACTTGCATATTGTATTTAATGGAAAAACTGAACTACGAAGTAGATTATAACCTCGAAGAGGTTATAAATTAATGAAAGTGATCTGATGACTGATAACTGATCTTTCTCATACAACTCCAACATTTTGTATTCTGGCGAAGATTAAGTGATCTCAAAGCTGGTAGATGAGTTTCTTATAGTTGATTAGTCTCCTTGTGTCAATATTCAGAAACCAACCATACAAGAAAAGTTATATTTACGGAATTCTTAAAATGCTCATTTTGCATGCAACTCCTGAAATAGTAAACAGCTCAATAAATAATCTGGCTTATCTTAATGCAGCTTATCTCGTCCATCTGTAGCTAAATAGCTGGTGATGTTGGGCATTCAAGCGTATCTAATATTAATATGGGTACATTATAATACCATCAGCTTTACACTTTACAAGATGCATATAGGCATATCATCACCATCATCATCAGAAGTATGGAGCAGCCACATCATGCCAATTTATGGATGTATCGAATCTCTTGAGCTGATCCAACAAGAAACGTCAAATGTCAAGTGGACTACTCGACAAACAAAGAGCTGAACTGTTTTGACTACTAGCGATTCCTGCTGATATTCTGTGTAATACAAATTTTCTGGACATGAATGGCCCAGAGGAGCAAGGTAAACATACGTGGTGGCCAACAACCCATACAACGTAAGTCATACCTAAGAAAAGGTCGTCTTGCTAGTTGACGTCTTGTCATTCTTGAGATGAATGGGGACGGAGGGGATGCTCAGGCTTTTGACAAAGTTGAGATCATGCCATCCTCAACCATCCAGTCGGAGGAAATCACCTCACACCACTCGCCACTCAGTGACCAGAAGACCTTATCTCTCATCGGACGTACGTATGCAACACTTGCTGAATAGCTGGATAAGATTCACGTGTCGGCCAATTCAACAAACGTGGGTCACTCAAGAGCTAATAAATACACCCAAATTCACTTGCGGAGTATGATATGAATTTGTGGTGAACATATCAACACAATTGAGTTACTTCATCAGTCCAACCTTTCCATGAAATAGCGAGTCAAAGGATAAAATGTTATGTGAAGGTGGTGCATGGTTTTGCCAGCAACAGAGGAACATAATGTTTTTAAATGTGAGAAATGTAGTCGGGTGAAAAATTGGTAATGCTCGAATGTTAATGGCTCCCACTTAAAGAGAAATCTCATTACTGCTCTTTTGCCTTGTTGGGTTTTAGCTTTTGATTGGAACTGACTGAGCAGCGTTGTTTGCAGAGTTGGTCAAGTGCCGTCTTTGATTAAGCTGCAAACTGAACGGGGAAAGGGGGTAAATCTTCATCATGGTCCAATGCGAACGCCTTTTCGAATCTCACACGGTCATCACGGAAGATGGTTACTCCCTCACGCTCCTCAAAATCCCAGCCTGCGGAGGGGTCTCAACCAAACCCCCCGTTCTCATGGTCCACGGCCTCATTTCCACCGGAATTCACTGGTTTATGAACACCCCACAAAAAGACCTGCGTAAGAACCGTGTTTCTGATGGTTTCAAAGAAAGATGAGACATTGCCATTCATGTAGAATCATGTTAGTTATGCATTGATTTCACAGCTCACAAATTGGCGAGCCAAGGGTACGACTGTTGGTTGGCGAATTTGAGGGGGACTTCACTTTCTCGATCCCACGTGAGGGTTCCTTCTCATACTACAAAGTTTTGGGATTTCAGGTGAGTGAACTTGCAATTTAATTACTTGGCAGTTTATTAATTGTTGCTACCCTTACAGTTGGCATGAGATGGGGCAGTACGACCTTCCAGCCATGATTGACTACATTCTGAACCACTCTGGGAGTACAACCTTATCTTACGTTGGTCATTCAATGGGATGCGCTGTCTACTTTGTAGCAATGGCCTTGCACCCTGAGTTAAATTCCAAAATCAACGTCATGGTCGCACTGGCACCTTCCGTCTACGGGAGACACATTCGCAATACTCTGGCCCGAATCAGCGTCCCCGTCGGAACCTTTCTGGTGAGTAGTAGGCAGTAATCGTGGCTATTTGATAGCTATTTACGGCACAAGTGGTGATAAGAATTTAAAATGTGGAATTGTTTGTAGGGCAAACTGAGGAGTGTGTACAGCCGAGAGATTTTTCCCATGACGCTGATCGCCTATGCCAAAAAGTTCCTGCCCTATCTCACCTTAAATCCTGAGAGGGTGGGCAGCTGGATATTAAGAACTTTTGGAACACAAACTGGCGTGATGGGAAACCAACAAATTGAAAAGGTTCGTCTTCACACATTCGCATTACGCAGCATTACTAAAAAAAACAAGTGGAATCAGGATAGACATGGTTTAGGTTAAATCTAAATTAAGTATTTCGTTTTTATTGCAGCATCGAATGATCCGCATTGCAGGAGAACTGCCATCGCCCACATCTCTCAAGACCTTTTGCCACGTAAATATTTCTTTTAAATTATTATGTTTTATCTGTAGTTATTTTTATGATTTTTTAAATTCATTTATTATTCATAAAGGGCACGCAATGCTTTTCTTCGGGACGATTCCAGCAATACGACTACGGGAAAATTGGCAACTATCATCGCTACGGAGAACCCGAGCCGCCCATCTACGACATCAGCAAAACGACCGCTCCTGTTGCTACCTTCTACTCAATCGGCGACCAGCTATGCACAATCAACGTAAGCCTGACCTCTTGATCTAACCAAATCCTCAAACTTTTCGAATTAAATAAATAATTCTGTACGTTTCAGGATGTCTCGATGTTAGCCAAACAGCTCCCAAACTTAATTGGAAATTTTGGAATCCATCACACACAGTTTGCTCACACAGACTTGTAAGTTTTGTCAGCTAAAAATGTTAAAACTTGTAAAAAAAAATGTGTACTTATTTTTCAGTATGTTTGGGAAGGACGCTGACAGGCTCGTTTATGACAAAATTCTTCTCATTTTGGACCAACACATCATGTGATAACTAAGCAAATAAGTGCAAAAGTATTTATTCTGATTACTGTATTATTATTAGTAGTAGTACATACGTGTGTCTAGTGTAGTGAATAAGGCGTTTACTACAATTTCCTAGTTAAATAATTACTCCTTTTGTACATAATTTCCATACGTTTCAGTCTCTGTAGACATCAATAAATGTGAAATTCATGAGAAATTACCAAGTATGCATGAGTGGGCTTATCTAAAGCGCAACGAGATAAAAGAATTATTAATACTTATATTCGTCCCTTATTATTTACTAGTATTCGGGATTAGTTAATCTTTGCAAATTCCATTCTCAGTCAAGTGCTGCTAATTTACGTCAACGATTTTCAGATGGACTTCAGAACTGTAGAATGCAGCCATAGATTTGTACAGACAGTAAGTATTTACGGTACATACGTGTATACATGTCTGGGTAAAAGATAATGTTATACTGAAATTTAACTGGACAACCAGACTCGAAGTAAAGAATATGAACGACCACGACATTTTTTGTAACTTTTTCTCAGTTTATGATTAATTTGCATGTAATAGCAATAACGATCAAGTCAAGCGTCTATTACACTCTGTTGCGAACACCTTAACATAAATTAAGAGGTGTAATTAATTAAACCACCGAAAGATGTATTTAGACGATGCCCACATAAAGTAAGACGGACAACTTTTATTACCTCCTGTAATTATGCATTTTATAGTCATGATGACGCACTGCTAGTCTACCACCACTTAAAGAAGTCTAATTCCAGCCAAATAAATCGATTGAAATTGCTCACTCACGATTCAATTGAAAGTGTAGTTCTACACATTTTGTTACTCTTCGACTGATCAAGAATATTAACGCACCATTTTTTTCTAAAGTAAATTGTGCAGAGGAAAATATTCTGCATATTGAAAAAAGAGCTTTTAAGACGTTTTTGCTTGGAGAAGAGAATTACGCAGTATTGGACTCTCCAAAATTTCAGGTTAAAATCTCAACTAATATCAAAATTATTATTGCTCAAATTCTGCACGATATATGTGGGATTACATGTGCATATCAAACATGGCACTTGTCAGTATACTACATTGGTCTCTAGACTCTTATGTTACGAAACTGCTAGCGATGACTGAGAAAAAATTAATCACAATTATAAAAGTTGAAATTTGTAGGAAAAATTAACTTATTTATTACATTATGCGCTAACATAGTTAACTACAATCTTTTGTACATACTGTCTCAACATTGCAAATATTTCCTAATTTAGTGTATATTAGCAATTTAGATTCTCAGGAATGAGTACATAAAACTGATCCTTTAACTCATCCTGGTCCACAATTTAATAAGTTTGCTGCAAAAAACGCCATAATTTTGATGCTGAGAAAGAAGCACATGCGGACATATGCACACTCATTCATAGGAAGTTAATGAGACATTTATATTCACACCGACCCTTCATCATTCATCCAAATTAATTAGCATCATAATTACAGAAATGGAAATGATAACCTGTTCCCCAAATACGCAAATTATTGGCACGTCATCATCATCATTATGATCATCACCCCTCAATATGCACCTACACTTTCTAGGGGAGCATCTCCAATGAGATCTTCAAAAGAAAGAAAGGCAACGAGGGGGTGCCTTCGAACCAATGGTGCCGCTGTGCAGACCTTGAATATCAACTCATTCTGGAGTTTGACTGGAATTATTACCATTGCACAAAACTATAAAAGCGTGGCGTGGCGTGGATTATTACCATTTCAACACATTTCTTATCGTCCTCTATATTCGATCCTTGCACGGAACTCAAAAAAGATCTGTCCGAGAAAATGGCGAAAATTGCAAGTTTTTGTTTGGCATTTGTTGTGATCATTTCGCTGATTGAGACATCCTCTGGAGCCGTCAACATTATTGACATTTATAGAAATGTAGTTTTTGACTACGCCGTGATGAAGAACCCGAAGCCCGTGGTGGTCTTTTACTACTCGTCCAGGTTGCTCATTTATCCATTTACTTGTAATTTATGCAAATGTGTACTCATTATTTCAAATAAAATAATGATGAAATGATGATGGTTATAATTTATTCATTATTTTTATTATTATTGTGACGATTATAATGTGTGCATTAAATATTTGTCTTGTGACTGAAGCTCCTGTGGTGCATGCAAGTGGTCCATCAAGCCGATGTTGGAGCGGATGGCGAAGCGGAAGAACGACAAGATTTACCTGGCACTCGTCGACTTTGACAAGGTTCCAGACTTGCAGAGCAGCCACGGCATCCACGAGATCCCCACAACACGAGTCTTGTACAAGGGTGAGGTCATGGACGAGGTGGCAGGTCTCTCCTGGTCCCAACTCGTCCCCCTCGTCAACCACGCTTCCAAAATAGCGGTTTAATTAACAATTCTACCGCACAAACAAATGCATGTGTCCATGCCTGAAAAAATTATTTTTTTCACACACGGGCACATGAGTGGGGGTTCAAATTATACACTAGATTTTTTAAGAAATAAAGCAATAAACACATGTATAAATAAGTATGACCAAGAATCTGCTGTTCCTATTATTTCATTTTTATATCTTCATAAAGATGCATATTGTTGTAGTATTTTATTGCTACAAGAACGGTTTATACACATTTATAAAATATAAACTTATTAGGCTATAGCCTAACTATCTAGTCACACTATAATGTGTCTTGGTGTTGAGAATTTCAAAGATGCATAATCATATTACACTATTATACATCGCAGTCAAAGAAATAAAGATTGGATTGAATTGAAAACACAATTATTGTTAGATGGCTTTGGGAGTAATTTAGAAACCAGTGTTAGTGGGTCCGAGATCATCTTTTTGACCCTTCAAAAATACATTTTTTAAGGAGTTTAAGGTACCACAAGAGGTTGAATATTTCAGTTTTTTATGGACTTAGCAACATGATTTTTTAGAGAACATGAGTCAAGACATGAAGTACAGCTCCGCATAGAAACAAGGGCATTGGGGTATTTTTAAGAGCTCCCCGAGATGGAGGGGGAGGACTTTGAGGTCATAATGGTTGTTATTTGGAGTCACTATATATTTCCGCAGGGTGTATAATCGGTTTGTGGGCTCATTTGTGTGAGGTAATGAGATGTGAACCATTTTTGTCCTCAGAAACATAAAATAATATGGAGGGGCAAGTATAGAAATGCTATTTCGAAAAGTATGGAAGACAATATGGAAATGAGACCCATTATGCTCCCTATGTAAAACTATTTCGCACGATGTGGGAGTCGTTCCACATTTGTGCTCCGTATGGTTTGGACGCTAGGACGTTTTAAAAAAAATTCATCATGTTCGACTATTTTGGCTATAAATACGTAAGTATAAGTAACAGCAAAAGGGGACATTTAGCAAAATTTAGAGTAGTATATTTTTTACAAAATTTGTATTTGAACCAAATTTCTACCTACTATAATTTCTGAGAAAATTACAATCAAAGTGAGTGGTATAATTCCTTGCCAACTCTCTTGTGGTACCTTAAGAATGTAAAAGGCTTTTACTGCCTATGAAACGTTGAAAATATGGTCTTTCGGGAGTAATTTTCAACAAGATATATTTCTGTGTGATTTGTGTATTTATTTACTTCTATGTAATGCACCACACAAAATTACAAGTAGCAAACAAATATGAAACATGAAAGAAGCAACAAACTTTTTGGCGTTCAAATAAAGCATTTGAAATATTTGGCGAATTTTTAGCCTAAGCAAGGCCTATGAACCCGCTATACCGCGAAGTTTTAGGCCTTTTAAGATGGCCTTATAGATTTACCAAGATGTCTGTCTGTCCGTCCGTCCGTCTGTGCGTCCGTCTGTGCGCACGATAACTCTCTTTAAACAAAAGCTATCGACTTGAAATTTTGCACACTTCATCTTCGGGTCAAAAGTAAGGATGAGTTCGGAGATGGGCATGATCGGCCAAGTAGTTGGCCGGTGGGGGTCATTACTATCCAAATGCGTTGCCCTTAACTACCAAGAACCTTTAGAGCAGGTTAAATTATTTAAGTGCAAGTAAAATATTTGTAGCTTGAAAAATATCTATAGTAATAATTTTCAGTAATTTTAGTATGAAGATTGCGACTGACCTCAAAGCGTTTAAATTGGAATGGAGTTTCAGAAATTTTAAACCTGGGAGACCCGATAGGGTGACCCGACGGATTTCTAAAATTTGTAGTACGTAGTTGAAATTTGGAACAAAGGTTGCTAGTGGATTGTAACAGAAAAAACTGAATTTAGGTTGGAACAATTTTAATCTTGATGGACCCTATGGGGTGACCCATACTGATTTTTCAAAATCGTCATATCGAAGTGAAATTTGGGAGAGAGGTGATCCATATCTATTTTTAGAAATTGCGTTAAAAACATGAAATCCGGCACGGTAATACTTACAATTAGTGGCTTCTCATCAAAGAACTTGAAATTAAAAGTTAGCTAACAAGGGATGCTTTCGAGGTGATAATCGTGTCCAGGGTACCACTCATTGGTCTAAATGTTTTTTGATCGAGTGTTTCTCACGGGTTCGGGTTCTTACTTCGGGTTCGGATCGGGTTTGGGTCCTGCTTCGGATACGAAATTTCAGAACCCGAAACTTTCGGGTTCGGGTTCGGGTCCGAGAAATGTGAGCCCAAAATTTCGGGTTCGGGTCGGGTTCGGGTTCCGACTAAGAACCCGAAACCCGAACCAACAAGAACTTTTTGCCACAACGAATACGAAAACATTAAAAAAGAAAATAAAGTGTTAACCACACTTGCTACGACGGTTATGCTGCAGTAATTCATTAAATAATTCAAATTTTTAATTGTCGTAACTTCTTTTCACAAGTGTCTTCAATTAGTGTTATGGTTTGAATATTGAAATAAAATATATTTTTTTATCAAAAATTTGCTAAATAGTTAGCTTGAGCTTACTTTAATATTGGAAACTTGAAACTGAAAATCATTTTCAGTTTTCAACTGATTTAAAAATTTCTGAATGTCACGGAAAGCCATTATCCATGGTCGATTTTTTGAGATTGCATTATTATGGTCGAGGAATTAAGATTCACATTTTAAAATGCGTTATGTACTTATGCAGAAATGTGCTTAATTATAATTCCTCGGTCATATTTACAGAAGTATTGTTTGTTTGAAACCTTTAGGCTAAAAAGCCAGTCACCCCTTAAAGTTAAAATATATTCGGTTTTTCGGGTTCGGGTTTCGGATTTGATCCGCCAGTTCGGGTTCGGATCCTTGCAAACGGGTTTCGGGTTCTTCGGGTTCGGGTTGCCCTCAAGTTTCGGATCAGTAGTATCGGGTTCGGGTTTCGGATTTGCAAGAACCCGACCCGTGAGAAACACTAATACCCATCTTCGAACTCGGTCGTTGCCCAGATGCATCTGTATCAAATTTGGTAAAAATCAGCCTACTCCTTCGAGAGTTATGGAAAGACAGACAGACGGACAGGTCGATTACATAAGCCCTAGTTCGGGCTAAAAATTATATGCCAATCGTTCATTAGAGTCTGGCTTTTATGTAATAATGCCGTCTTAAAAGGCCCCGCGAAGTTGCTTGGAGTAGGTTTTTGAAACTGATTTTGACCGATTTGGTCATAAAATGTGAGTAACACGACAGGAAGAAAATTAGAAGATGGTCATGATCGGTCGAGAGGTTGAAATTGGGAATGTCGCTTTGACTACCTTTCAAAGTTCTATGCATTTTGGTGCGGGTAATTTCCACGATTGTCGAAGGGAAGTCAAGATTGCTTGACAATTTATCATAATACAAGGTTACGACAGTTGCTTCGATAGCCTCAAAAACCTCCATTTTTGAAGTGCTAATTATTTGGGCCGTCGCTAACGGTAATTAAAGCACAAAAATTTCTAACAGAACGCCGAAATAGCCGATTTCACATTTGCAACTGCACTGATTCTTGTTTCCAGGTTAAAAACCTACTCCAAGCAACTTTGCGGGGCCTTTTAAGATGACATTAATACCATTTTGGTAGTCAATGGCAGCACAATTGGGTGGAAATGACCCCCACCGGCCAACCACTTGACCGATCATGCCCATCTCCGAACTCATCCTTACTGTTGACCCGAAGATGAAGAGTGCAAAATTTCAAGTCGATAGCTTTTGTTTAAAGAGAGTTATCGTGCGCACAGACGGACGCACAGACGGACGGACGGACAGACAGACATCTTGGTAAATCTATAAGTCCATCTTAAAAGGCCTAAAAATTAATTCATGGGGAACGAAATGTGAGTGCACACTGGTTCCAAAAGGTAGCAGGGTTTTCGAAAATTGAAGTTTTTTCATCGTCGAAGTAAGCATCGCGCATCGTGAAGACTGTGAAGAGACAAAGTTGCAGTTGGCATGTAGATTACTACAAAAATGATCACATAGTGGCAGTAATACTGCCGCAGTATCACATAGTGATGGGTTCCCAACCATTTCACTCTCTGATTGACAAGAATTACATGAAGTTATGTCAACTTTTAATTTATTCATAAATTACTACCAAACCCAGCCTTACAGTCGGGGTTTATTTACCATACGACCCTCGACGTCACCACTGCAATGCTATTAGTAATGAGAGTGATGACGTTGAGGATCGTATGGTTAAAAAAACAGGAGTATATTTGCAGCTTTATAATTTTACGTGTTATTTTAACATAATTAATTGGCCCTGTGTCCCTTCCCATGATGTCGCAATCGAAAAACTGACCTCAGATTCGAAATCAGCGACCAAAAACCTATAAGAATCGACATTTACCCAATGCTAACGACGTCGAAATAATTAATTGAATTATTCGTAACAATTGTAAACATTTGAAATAGGCCGCTATAACAATTGTAGGCAATGTAGGTATACATATATAGTAGTTATATAGTATATAGTATCTAGCACAACTTCCACCTGTATACCTGTGTATACCTATATATAACATATGTGTATGTATATCACTACTAAATATATATATACTATGTATGTATATATATATATGTTATATATAGCTATACACAGGTATACAGCTGTATACCTATAGCACGCGTGTGCTATATACTATATAACTACTATATATGTAATTATAATATAACTCGGAACATGTGAGGCTGCTTATCTCAGGTGATATTAATATACATAGGCTATTAGGCTATTAATAGCACCAAGTCATACAGTATGACTGGGTGCTATTTATAGCAGAACTTTCACCGGTCTATTTATAGCAAAACTTTCACCGCCCTCCAGAGGGTATAAAAGGAGCTGACGTATCCCTGGGTGAGCTCCCCATTGCAGCTGCGCCCTTGGATCGCCCTGCCTCTCTGGGGAGTCGGGTCCACCCGTGGTTTGTCCCACAGCCCCGACTCTCTTCCCGTTGGAGGGGTGGTCCGGGGGAACAACGCTGCAAGGGGAGAGCCTTACGGGAAGGTCCCCCCTCCAATGCTCCTCCCACCAAGCAGACTCACCGGGTGGGGAGCCGGCGGGGCTTGCCAAAAGTGCGGGTGGCGCTTGGCAAGTGAGAGGGGCTCTCTACCTCCAACCCTTGGGTGACGCCGCTCTTTAGCGATACCTCCCCTTGGGGCCGACCGGGTTCCCGAGTTCGAAGCCTTAAGTGGTGTTTATGCTTCACGTCATCGTCACGTCCTCCTTCAAATCCGATTTTTTGATTGGCTGAACCAAATTATCACTACGACAATTATAAATTTTAACCAATCAAAAAATCGGATTTGGAGGAGGACGTAACGATGACGTGAAGCATAAATGCACCTTTAATGGGGGCCGATTTACGGGTGCGCTCCCACCTCGTAAGGCGAGGGTCAGACGGGCCCCCTAGGGGAACGCGGTCGCAGAGGCGGCGACGTGGGCAGGGCTTTCCCGGTCGGTGGAGGTAGACCCCCCTTGCGCCTCAGGGCGCGAGTGGGGGCCCGCCCGCGTGGAGCACGAGGGAGCGACGTCCTCGCCGTGTGCTCTGGAAACGCCCTTCTAAGGGCGGCCAACAGCTCCCCCCCTTATAAATGCTTGGCATGGCGACAACCTTTGTCGCCATGCCATAACTTCGCCATTTCTTGTCCGATTTCCATCAAATTTAGACAGACGCTTCTTTTTGGTGTTGTCGACATGTCGCAAGGTCCCACCCGTCGCCACCACCTTTCTTTCGCCCACTTCTGTCGCCATGCCATAATTTCGCCATTTCTCGTCCGATTTCCATCAAACTTCGACAGAGACTTCTTATTGGTGTTGTTGACATGTCGCAAGGTCCCACCCACCGCCACCCCCTTGTTTTCGCCAAATATCGTCGCCATGCCATAATTTCGCCATTTCTCTTCCGATTTGCATGAAATTTGGCACAATGCTTCTTATTGGTGTTGTCGACATGTCGCAAGGTCCCAACCGTCGCCATCACCTTGTTTTCGCCAAATATCGTCGCCATGCCATAATTTCGCCATTTCTCGTCCGATTTCCATCACACTTCGACAGAGACTTTTTTTTGGTGTTATCGACATGTCGCAAGGTCGCACTCATCGCCACCACCTTGTTTTCGCCAAATTTCGTCGCCATGCCACAACTTCGCCATTTCTCGTCCGATTTCCATCAAACTTCGACAGAGACTTCTTTTTGGTGTTATCGACATGTCGCAAGGTCAAACTCATCGCCACCCCCTTGTTTTCGGCAAATTTCGTCGCCATGCCATAATTTCGCCATTTCTCGGCCGATTTGCATGAAATTGAGCACAATGCTTCTTATTGGTATTGTTGACATATTGCAAGGTCCCATTTATGATCATACCCATCCTCAAATTTGACAGGTACAGGAAGTCTATCCTTTAGACAAGAAACGTCAACCGGTGCACAACCGGCAATGTTGTGCAGATAAAGATCCATTGCCTCCTTAATCTGCCTTTGAAGCACCACGGAAGTCTGATCCACCACGATGATTGAAAAATTGTCCGGGCTGTGCATATTGAGCAATTTGTACGAGTACTTCCTATTGATCATCAATGGACGATCCGGATAGCACCAATCAAGCAACATTTCAGTAATCAGTCGTCGTTCCTAAAACAAGAAAGAAAAGAAATGGTGATCTTTAACTCCAGTTACAAACTGAAGAATTATTTTTTAGCATTATGATAAAATGTTAAATTTAAACTATCAAAGACAACTTGACCTTTTGACCCACCTACCGCGTATTATTTTCTTCCTTCCCTAACAAATCAAGTTTTATTTTCCTTCAATTTTTTGTCGACAGGCTCGTAAAAACCCTTCGATAATCATTTTTTTAATTAGAAAAGGCAGTTTTCTTATTTTCTTCCAGCAGTCTTTCAGTGAGGAGAAAAGACATTTTGGTATTTTCTCCTCACTAACTTTGAGTGCAAGATTGCTTGACAATTTATCATAATACATCCATGATTAAAAAATTAATTCCAGAATCGAGAGCACTAAATGTGAGTGTTGACAATTTTTGTGAGGTTTGTTTCTGGGCGACAGTTTCTGCGACGCACACTGGTTCCAAAAGGTACCAGGGTTTTCGAAAATTGAAGTTTTTTAGGCGTCGAAGCAATATTCGCAACCTTGTAATTATTACTAACGTTGTCAAGCAACCTTGAAGGGAAGTAACTAAATGTCAAGCAATCGTGGATAATCTCAGTTCTGATAATGAAGATTAACTCGGTCACGATACTCAATTTACTGAGCGAGTGATCCATGAAACCATTGGGAGTAAGTATAATTTCTGCCCAATCTGGTTAGTGATCGACGATGGATATGGAATCGGACATGGGAGTCCGGTTGGAGAAGCCTGATAACCTCATCTGGGTGGAGCAGGTAAATCGACTGTACAAATATACACAAAGACATCTAAAATCTAAAATCTTAAATGGTGATCATGATCAGGTGATCATGAACAACTTGGAGACCTCCTATGACCCCACTATGGAAGTTGAGAGTAGCAGCTCAGGCCCCGATAACCCTCTTCGTGAACAGCACGACCTAAAGCTCATGATTGCAGAGATTGAAATGCGAGACGAAAGCTACTTTGGCGACGACCGGATAAGCACGCTCAGTCGTCTCGTCACTTCCAGGATCAAGTACTTGGTGGGTTTCTAGCCTAATATTTCCAGAGGCCCACGAGTTTGTATGCATGTGTATAAACGGAGGTCAACTCTCATGTGCGTACAGGTTGAAGGGGAGGACGAGGAGCGAAATCACTTTTGGATTATAAAAATCCCTTCGATTCTTCCCCAGGAGCGAGAGTTGGCCCGGTAAGCATTTAATACTGTCACATATATTCTGAATAACATAAAGCATATTATTAATGTAATAATAGTACTATTTACAGTAATATTAATATATTATTATTCAATTACTTACTAGTATCTTTGACGTCTATAAACGAGAAATATGCTTTTACACCGAAATCCTCCCCGCTATGAAGGTATACATGCATACATAAAATGTCGAATTTTAGTAAGCACAGTAAGGAATTATGTTGATTATTTTGGGGTCACGTTGTGTGCAGATGTGGGTGGAGTCGCAGTACATTGACAATCTGATCGAGTTCCAGGTGCCGTGCTGCTACTACGGTAAATTTCTCCGGCCCAACGACAAGGAGCCGGACATGGAACTGCTCGACCACATCTTGGAGGCAGAGTCCCTGCTGGTGCTGGAGGACTTGAGGGCGGTTCAATATGGGAAGCGACATTTCGGGAAGGGAATGGAAGTTTCTGAGGTGTTCGCTGCTGGTACAAGTTTCTTAAATATAATTGTTTTCAAGTAGTTTTACCCATTGTGCATTTATTTTTATCTGAAACAATATTAGTCAACGAAATTTGCAAGTTCCACGCCGTGTCTTACGCCATGCAGAGCAAATCCAAGGAACCCCTGCATTGGAAGGAACTCCACTTTTCGCACGATTTTGCTATCTTCTACGATGTATTACCCAATTCTATACCAATCAATTTCTGATAATTGATGAGATGTCAAAACTATATTTTCACACCCAGGCCCTGTTTCACAAAGGGTTTGAGGTGTTTAAAAACTTTTTGAGCAATCGTCCCGATGAGCGGCGAGCGGAGGAGATTCTGAAAGCCATGAACCATTTGAACAACAATGCGCTACATGTTTTCAAGGGGTTGGTGAGGCCCACGTCCGAGTTCCCCACAACTTTGGTGCACATGGACCTTTGGAGTGACAACTTGCTCTTCCGCGTGAAGGAGGAGGACGCGGAGATGCCATTGGAGGAAGCGGACTTGGACTGCACCATCATCGACTGGCAAATGGTCTCCGTCGGGTATGCTTTGTCCATTCGATACCTTCTTACACTCAAATTGTGTGGGGATGGCTTGTTTAAATTTTCTCGTCAACAGTCAAATTAGGTTTTCCTAAATCTAATATAAACCATGTCTGTAGGAATGAAATATTTTGATTTGCAGCCGACCCACTCACGACATTGCTCTCCTTACCATCCTCTCCATGGACTCGGACTTGCGGAGGGATATTTTACACCTCGTGCTCGAGTACTACCACCAACTTTTCGAGGTCTCTTTATTGAAGTCTAAAGATTTGGTAATTGCTAAAGATGCATAATAATAATCTAACAAATTGCTTCTAGAGGACGATGGGTTGGTTTGATCTGGAAATGCCATTCACCTATGACCAGTTGATCCTCGAGTTCTCAAACAGTTGTCTCCTGGCTGTGATGATGGCCACTTGTTCAATGGATCTCGTGCTTATGGACGAAAATGCTCAGACGAGGCTCCTGGACGCCATACGAGATCTGCTCGATGACAAAATTCTCGTAGCTGAATAATCTCCACATTTTAGCGACTGCATAATAAACTATTCATGAAATTATCCAAATGTTTAAACTGCATGTACATCCATATTGTTGACAATTAACGAGTCTCGTATGTTGCAATACTTTTCATCACGTTTATTATTAAAGCGCGAGGCAGGTTATTATCTATTTCGTACATTCTCTTGATTTTGGTCGCATTGGTCATTGAATTTATTAGTCAAATTCAAACTTTTTAGATTCTTTCAGATTTGTAGTAACTGACTCGTAATGATCAGCTCGCCCAATTCCACTACGATCACGTTGAGTGTCCTGCTTAAACAAGCGAAAATTTGTAATTGCTCTGCATTTTGCCAAAGATAAGCAAATCGGATTAAATGGCAAAGTTCAGGCAGGACTCACGTTGGAGAGAAGCCAAACTGAGGAATAATTAGGCACGGGGCCTCGAGGTGAATGTCCATCTCGAACTTCTCATGACTCTCCATTATCCTCCTGAGCGAAGTACTCGACCGCGCCTTGAGCTGCTTGTAGGTCAACATGGCCTTGGACTGGAGTCGCTGGAGGGCCACGTGCTTGGGAAGTGTGAAGCAGGCGATGAGCTTGTGAACCGTGGCCGAGTCATATGTAATGTCCAAAGGGTGACCGTGAACCCGGAGCCTCTGATCAAACTCCGAGTTGAGCGGTGCTTGTTCATAAACGACGTCCAGCAGATTACTCACGCCTTCCGCCCTGCGAGGGGCGACAATGTGTGGAGTACTGCCCTCGTCGTCATCTTCGTCCTCGGGTGCGTCACCGCCGTACACGTCAATGCTTTCCAACTTGAAAGTGACCTTAAGCCCGTGGTTGATGGGGCGTGAGTCGAGGGCGAGTTCACAGCGGGTAATTTGAAGGTCCATAATCGTACTCTTCGTCCCCTCAGACACTGACCGGCGAACGTTCCAGCGACGGTCATCTTGGGTGATGATCACTTTCAACTTGTCCAAGCGAAAGTCAACATGGGCGTCGACATAGTCGGGAGGCGTGTGCAAGACGACGAGATTTGTGGCATCCGTGAAGCCGATGGCTACGAGAAGAGCACGCTTCTCCTCTGAGCTCATATCGTCGGGTGTGATGGGTTCTTGGGGGGAGTGAAAGGCTTCCATTTCCGGACTGGGGACTACCCAGCTTCGAAACCAGTCACACCAACTCTGTTCTTGCAACAGCTTCTCTTCTTCACGACTTCGACGTGCCCGAAACAAGTCAATCTGCTTGCGGATCAGAAGTATGTTGAAAATGTCCAACCGATTTTCCAAGGCTTCAATCTCGGCCTCCATTTGGGGATTGGTCTTCTTCAAAATGTTCTTTGAGTACAAAACCTGACCAAGGAATATTCCAAAGAGATTGGTAAATTTTTATTGTCCAGAATGAGCAATTATATGATGTGAAACCTTGTGATATTGTTTGCAATCCCGCCGATGATGCAGCATTCGTATCCATCTCCAATTATTCCGCCGTCGTTGAATATCTTCGAGAATGCAGTTGTACGCAAATCTCCACCTTGAAATTGTTGGTTCGAGAAAAAATTATGTTTTAAATATGAAACGGATTATATGTAATATCAGAGGTTTTGGTTTACCAAAGGCGATAATTTCCTTTGTATGCTTTGCCATGCGGCCTGTACTTGCGGTAGTACTGCATCCGGTATATACCCTCCCACGAGGCTGCCATGTGAAGCATATCCTGAAACTGCAAGTTGGAAATTCCGATGGCCAGCTCTTCCACCACCGTGTCAAAGAGAATTTTGGGAACGGTGAAGGGTTTGGGGCCCTTCTCCGGGTTAATGGCCAGACGAACCTTGGTCACGATCGAGATCGGTCCAAAAACTAAAGTGAGATTTGAGTCATCTGATCTGCATCTAGTAAATCCGTCTCAATTATTTATGCTCACGGCTGTCGAACTTTCCGCGTTTGAGAATTTCTTTGAGTCTCTCGACCCTGGCGTCGACGTCCAACTCGGCTTTTGACACCATGAGGGAGTTGCAGTTCCAGTAGAGAGCGAACCCCTCCAAACTGAGCAGTTTGTGCACAGTGGCCGCTTTGTCGTACACATATCGCGGTATCCACTCGCTGTTTGTGGTCAGAATGGAGAGTTTGGAGAGGACGAGACCAATGGCAAAGTTTTTGCTCGGATTCGTATACTCATCCTCGTAACGAAGGTGGATCGACTCTACCCTAATTTGCAAGTTTTTCACGATTTGCATACCCAGCTTTTCAAAGTAGCCTGTGTAGAATGTGTATAAAAATTATGGGAAATAATGGTATTTTGTAATTGGATAATATAGAAAGAATTAATATCAAATGGTACCTGGTTCTGTAGCATGTTCGTTCGACGTCAGTTCCTTCTGGGCAGCTTCAATGTTCTCCAAGAGTTGGAGTTTGAGTCGCAGACGTGCCTTTTCCTCCACCTCCTCGTCGTAGGGGAGGGAGGAGCCGGGGACCACGAGGAGATAAATGTCTCGGATATCAACTTCCACGGGGTGACTGTTCAGACCAGTCCATGGAATTTTCAGATTCAAGTTTGCTGAAAATTGTGGAACAGAACAATGATAATTCAGTGGGTAAATGAAAAGGACCATTTTTACCGCATCGGCCAGAAATCACACGAAATGGAAGTCCCAAGCTCTCACAAATGTTGCGTTTTAAAACTAAGTCATGCAGAGCAATATTTCCTGTGGCATTGGATTCAACAGTACATACGTTTTACTATTACTAATTCTTCGATGCAAAAATAAAATGCGGTTGACACAAGTCTTCCTTCACCTGAGAACACGGAGAGTTGAAGTTGTGAAGCATCAATATTCTCAAAGTACTCGCCTACAGTTTGGTTGAGCACACGGAGAACGAGATCTTTGAGCATGCTATTTGCAGCGGATGTATTTACTCACGATGGAGTGAAAGTCGTGGTCGCTAGATCATCTTTTCCTTTGATATCAAATTGTAAGTGAGGAATTTACTGGTTTAGAATTTTGAACGTATTTTGAACATCTCGGTATTAGCGCTATTGGAATAAAATGGATGAAGACACTATTGTGCTGTTGTCATGCAACATGGCTTAATTTTTAGTCGTCCCTCGGCTTTTTTACTGGATGGCCAAGATCTAAAAAGACCGTAAGACCGTTATAATTTGAAGCATTTTTCCTCGCATGGAATGGTAAGCTTGTCAGGGGAGGAGGCAAACGTATAATAAAATGAGTAAAATGAGAAATGCTGCTGTAAACATTGAACAAAAAAAGCTTCAGGATCGATTGATTTCATTTCGAGACTTTTATTTTGCCCTCAACGATGGATCCAGTGAAATATATGAAAGGTTACAGGAACTAGTCTTGCGAAGAGTGTCAATTAATGGTGGCTACCTTGAGAGAAAGGGTGCACACGGGTAAAAGTGGAATCCTTGAGCTGTGTGTTTGATGAACACGGCTCTGCTTTCTAAATGATCATTTCTGAAATGGAAGAGTTATTACCAGACCCGTAGCAGCATTGTTTCGCTGATGTGATAAAAAGTCCCAAGTGCAGACGTTAATCAGTGATCTCGATCAACCATCAAGTTGAATTCTTCTGCTTTGTCTCCGACGACGACGACTGAGCCGGAGAGTGAGCACCAATACTCAAAGGGAAGGAATCAGAGGATGGTCTTTGGTTCGGAGCAGTGTATCGATTCCCAGCCAACAACCATTTGTTGTTCTTGTTGGTGGGATCACTAAAACGGAGAATAATCCTTTGAATCAAACATGAATTTAAAGTGACACAACACAGCTCTTCTCTCTCTCTCTCTCGAAGCCGGCGAAAGTTGGTTTGGGCATCTGCCTCCTTCTCCACCGTGGCTGCATTGTTGCTACCACGGCTCTCTGAAGACCGTGCGGGGATGAGAATACGTAAGATTGGCGTCGGTGGCTGAGGAGTCGTAATTTATGTCCAGAGTGCGCTCCCTCATTAACCGAGTGCTTAATTACAACCATATCAGGACGCCACGAGTCGTAGTGTTCCGTGTGTATCGCATTCCGTCCTGGATTGCGATACACACACTCCTCCCATAATTCACCCACTGTACACTTCGCAAGTTGTATGTACGACCAACTGCCTCCACTCCATGGCCGCACGATACATAATTACCTCCACTTGCCTCCATCCCTTCAAATCCAAACACTTGCTCCTCTTTATTTATTGACTTCTTCCCACTCGCCTCCATCTCAATTTTACAGACGGCATGGCAGCAGCAGTCGCAAGAGAAAACACAACTGTGGAGTTGAAACAACGTCTCATTTATCCAGAGCTCAGTATTCACATGTGCTGACCGACCACTCCTGAAAGTAATAGCATGGATGGATGGATGGATGGACGGTATGGTTGATATCGTGATAAGGTGCGATTTCAAACGAAATTACGAGAATTATCAGAATTAGGCAAGTGGGAGGAGGAGGCGTGAAAGAGTTTTGGTGAAAGTCAGCAGCAGCAGTGTGTCGGCTTGGCTCCTGCTGGCATAGCAAAGATCCCATCTCAAAAGGGGAGATTTACGACGTGTCCCCAAAAATTAATGACTCGGCCCCACACACCATTACATATCACTTGCATTGCATACTTTGCCGGTCATATATGGACGCCATTATATGCTTATAAGTTCGAGGTGGGATATGTGACATACGGCACGAGAGAGAGAAATGGATAACTCAATAAATGCAAAGAAAAATCAGCCATCTGACTCGACTTTGTTCTCAATGTGCCCCACATCCGTCAGTCAGAAGTTATTGCTTTCTCCACCGCACCCAGCACCTCCCCAGACCCAGAGTCGATCCAAGCAGTAGTCATATCATGGTCGTAATTTTGAACGTGCAGTGTAAACCAAGTTTCGATTGCGTAATGCAGCTGATGTCGTTATGAGTGGAGGAAGATTGGGAGATTTCGTGGGAGATTAGTCGAGTTGTAATAACATGGACTTCCTCCGTCCCTTGAAACATGAACCTTTGCTCCACGATGGATCCGACGGATGGGAACATATTTACTCCCACTCTCTCTCTCGCTCTGACTTTCTTTTCCCACATTGCTTTCATGCACTGCGACCACGTTAATGAGCTGCACCCACACGGCTACACTGTACGAGTCCGAGGAGTTAAGGTCCCATTATGCATGCCCTGGACTTTGTTGGATAAGGACGAATAATAAGCTATTGCCAACGTGTGTGTGTGTTGACGAAAATTCGGCCTTTGTCCAAGTTAGAGGAGCTGTGCATATGTACGTATGCATGGAATTGAGTTGGTGTGGAACGGTGGAGTTCACTTTGAATTTCCGGAACCGGAAATGGGAAATGTTGAAGAAAGGCTTAAAATTGAAATCTGAACTGCCGGGAGTGCATGGCATGGAGCAACTTGGCAGCCATAACGTCGTTTGTCCAGTCCAGAGATTAAAGTTGAAATGGATGGGAATTGGCGAAAAGGCGTGTGTGGGGTCGACGTGGATCTGATTGCAACTGCACCCGAGGGTCACTCTCACAATCACAACACAACAGGCTTGATCCAACTAATCTCCACAAATGTGAAACTTTCCTCATTGGGCACACCATTTCCACTCCCTTTAATAAAACCCTCAATCCAGCCGGCCAGCTTACACCACCCGAGTTGCACGTTGCCCCTCCAAATCAACCAATGTTTCCGTGCTCTCTCACTCTCGTCGAGAAACATAAACAAGGCTCACGACCCCAAGATTAGTATATTTACACGTCGCTTATCGTCAAAACTGATATGCTTCCAACAAGTAGCATTGTGCGCGAGGAAGATGGTGTAGCTGATTAAGGCGAGAGCGAGAAGGGCTGGCGTTGAACAATGTCATTCATTCATTTGTTTCGGCGTGCATAATTCTGGTGTAATGGGATGCGGGCGAGCAAAGTGAGAGAGACCAAACAACAAACGGGAACAATTAGGTCATAACTCGTTGAGAGTTGTGTGCACTCGAAATTCCCATGTTCACAACAATGGCCAATTTATGAGAAAGGAGTCAGGGAGTGGAAAGTAATGAATGGATGAAGGAAATAGGGAAAGGACCAAACCAAGCAGACGGAATCCATTTCACACGTTCACACTCCTCTCCTTCCTCTCTGATCCCTTTGCCTGCGTGCATATGCATGTACACATCCGTACACCGTCCTCATCATGACATTATTGCACACATCTCGGTATTGCCATTATTCTGTCTCCTCTCGATGTCTGGCTGATGGAGCACTAGGTTCTTGTGGAGCAACAATTATAAAAACTGAGGGCTGCTATCACCATGCATGGAAAGCAGCCCATCACCCTTGGTTTCGTGGTGGCAGGGAAGAGGAAAAGTACGCGAGGGCAACAACGTGTTTCTCTGAAATAATTTTGGACGGCAATGTCGAGGTAGCGAGAGAGGAAAAGAGAGGAGAGAAATTCCCATGCGGTGAAAGTGAGTTGATATGAGAGGGAAATGTGATGGGCCGAGTAATAAAGTGTGGAGGAGAGATTTATACACACATACAGGGGAGCGAGTGCGAGTTGGTGGTGGTGGAGAGAAAGCGGGTTTTTTTTAGCTCCGAATTCGGATGGGAGTGGGAGGGACTTCGGGGCGGAGAACCACCCAATACGCCATTACGATCTTTGGGGGTCTCCGCTAACCCGGCTCCCCGGCTACACTCCCCACCACAGCCACCAGCCAACTCTCTTACTTTGTTCCATTCTCGTCACATGTGCTTCAAGAATTCATATCTCACATAACGTCGCCAAATTAATTTTATCAGCCAGAAAATTTGTACGAAATTTGTTGCACCCCAAACCAACACCCCCTAACTATCGGTGGTCACTTGTCCTGCAATCCTTTTCCAGGAATATCTCGGGAGAAATACTCAGATTCGATACATTGTCTCTTTAAAGATGTTCCCGAATGCCACCGACACTGCCTATTACATCGTTGCTTTCACTAAATAAAACCGGAAATGATTTGAATTAAAACATGATTCTTTATTGTACAATTGAGAGACTTACCTAACACCTAACCATAAATTTTAAAAGTATTATGCATTGCATGTTGTTCTTCATGGGAACACTTGAATGGGCGTCGATTTGAGGATGGACGTCTGCGCTTACTGCCAAAAAGCGCTACGAACTATGCTTTCACTCGTACGTATGATTGGAAATTTGAAATTGAGTTGTTGTATAAAGTTTTGTGAGGAATATTTCAGGTAATTTTCGGGCGAACTTAGTGTGTTTGTGGTGCAGGTTTGATTATGTGGGGCTAAATATTTTGGAGGCGAGGGTAGCAGGGGTAAAAGTTGAGGAGAGTGGCCCGAGGGGCTTGAAGAGAGCAGAGTTGGTGGCATTCCATCCAATCTTCCTTAAATCCATCCAGTCAGCCAACAACATCCACCACCAACTCATTTACTTACTTACTTGACTTTTAGTTTACACGTTTTATCCAATACAAACCTTATCCATACAAACCACGCTTATCAACCGATAACCACGGTCCCCTTTGCTTACCCACTCCAAAGCCCTCTTCTCTCAGAAAATTCCAAAAATTACCAAACAAAAATTACGACATTAATAGTAATCAACGAACGCTGCTGATGTGGTTCTATTGTAGTTGTTGTCATGTTCTCCAGGAGATAAGTACGAGAGATAGGAGGGAGAGAGTAATTTTAAAACAGAACGCACGAGTGGAAATTGGATAAGGACAGATTGAGCCAGATAAGCTGGGCTCAGTGCTGTGGAAAATTAGGAGATAAGCACAGTTTCGATAAATTTAAGCACCACAAGTGACCTAGAGACGAGTCAGGAGTCATCCGACTGATTGACGACCCATCAAAACTGACATTATTAACGACGGCAATAAATTCGTTCACTTTTTCCTTCGCCATTTCGTCACAACTACTTTTACTTTGGGGGCAGGACTGATTAATAAATTGACTTTCACCTCGACAGCAGGAAAGTGCGAGACCGGTTTCTCCGTGTGTGCTTTTTGACCCAACCAACGCCAACTTTATGACCGGCCAGTACGTGATGTGGTCATAAAACAAGCACGATGAGGGTGTGACATAATGTGCAATGTGTACACTTAATGACCACATTTCCCCATCCGGTCATCATTGCGAATCCAAACTTTGGTCAGATCACTGCTCCACTACGAAAAAAACTTGCAGCCTCCTGTCAATCAAATCCGACACGAGGACATTTATCGTCAACTTATAAGACGCAAAATTGTGCTGCATCAAGTGTGAAAACTGATTATTTGACCACGTCTGGGAAAGATAAGTGAAAAAACTACTACAAACATCAGTCAAGATAGAGGATTTAATGTCATACTTTTAAAAAGTTTTGTTTTGGGGTCGTCAATCTCTCGTCAATTTGCAACGAGTTATACGAGCAACACGCCATAAAGTGCCATTATTATCAACATAGGTTTAGGAATTTCTACACAAACTACATCTAAATAAACATAGATAAATAAATACAAACTATTAATACGCTAAATATTTATTGTGAGGAAAAGTACTTGAGGGATAAAAGAGTAAGTGTGTTCGTGACTGCGTGTTGTTGGTGGTGGACGAAGGGGGAGGAGGTTCGTTGGGGTGGAGGAGCGGAGAGAGTAAATGCATCCGGTGAGTGTGGGAGGGATGATGCCTACATCCTACGGGATAGTGGACCCCGGTCAAGGGGGGGCTCCGGGTACGCCAGACCAGGATGTCAGGAAGCAGGACATTGGAGAAATCCTTCAACAAATCATGAACATCACCGACCAGTCTCTCGACGAGGCTCAGGCTAGGTCCGTACTTTCCCCTCATAATGTTCAAAATACAACATTTCATAATTTGCATACCTCATATTCACTGCATGCATGCAAATTCAGCCATTGCGAACCAAGCTGCAATTTCCATGTTATATAATAATGATAATAGATATTTCTTTCTTGAAGTATTATTATGGAAATGGTTTCACTGAAAACTGATTTCATCAAGTACTTTTGACACATCAGGGCCAGGCTTGTTGTTGCTAAAATCAATGTCAAGCTTTTCTTACTCCATTTCTTGGTATATAATATGACACTCGGTTCGTGTGTGCTGGATTTTAAATTTGCAGACCTTGCATTACTTGGAATGCGTGTATGTATTGTATAAATCAAGGTGTATTTAAAAATTTGGGCATTTGAGTGTGAGTAGCAGTGACAGTTGAACATTATTACAATGCAAATGCGACACGGATACATTTGTTAACTGAGTATATTCTTGTCGTTGTGTTGTAAAATCAGAACATATTTGATACATTAATTGATAAGAGTTATCTTTCCGTGATAATTCTAACACAATATTAATGAAATCAATACATATGTATGTATGCTCATCGACTGAAATGCACGCGTAACTACTGTTTTGCATGCAATTTTCCACTCGAAATGTGCAAATTCCTGGATTTTTGTTAACTGCATTGTATATTTTTCTACTACTTTCAGGAAACACACGTTAAACTGCCACAGAATGAAGCCTGCACTTTTCAACGTGCTTGCAGAGATAAAACAGAAAACAGGTAAATAAAAAAATGTTAAATGCCCCGTGCTTTTTCCACCCTTTGTTTGATCCCGAAACAAAATACGGCTTTAAAGGGCAACTTGCAAAAAAATTACGCAATAAAACAATTAATCGCCAGTTAATTATTTATCTCGTCGGTGAAGTTATATTTCTACAAGAGAAGGGGAAAGGCGGGTAGTGTGCTGTGTACACACATAGGTCTGGCTGGCTTTTTACAGGAGCAAAAAAGGCCAAGACATGGAGAAGCACGTGTTAAAAATAATTAATTGGACAGTTAACAAATGTAGTATGAAATGAATGTGGCCGTGGTGGTTGTTGTTTTTTGGTGGTTCGAGGCGTGCAAAATGTGTGCAAACGTGGATTTATCCATCTCTCTCTCTCTCTCTCTCTCATTTAGTGGAGTGAGTGGATAGGGTCATGCAATATCTCTTTATTTATGATACCAAATAAATCTGCCTTCCTTCCTTCTGTCAGCCTACTCCTCCACCACCACCACCATTTCACGACCATTCCACCAAACCAAGTGATCATGATACCCTGGTTCGTTACGACATGCCCGTTTCCAGGCATTTCACCCCTCTCTCACCCACCCTCGCGAGCAGCCGGGCAGGAACCACCCTCTCGATTGTGCGAAATGAAAAAATCTCATCTTTCTCTCTCTGTTATGCATGAACATGTCGTCGTCGTTTTGGTAGATTTGGAATTGGAGATGCTGCTCCGTTTTTGAAATCCAAACCTCAAAATTTCTAGTGGTGTGTGTGTGTGTGAGTGGGAGAGCCGAGGCGTGTGTGTGTAAGTTGAGTGCAGATGTTGAACAAACTCTTAGTTATTTTTAGCGTGTTCCGAAATTCGGTTAGGACTCCGAAATTCAAAACATCCGGCAGTCGCTATTAAGTCTAATCCATGTCAAAAGTCAACCTCACTCACTGTCACTTCAGCCCCACTGTTACATTAATTCCTCACCACTTAGTTACGTAGCCTCCTTCTCGCGGATGATATGTTTTCAAGGGTTCGCGGTTCGTTCGCATTATTATTTCGAAATATATAGCCAAGCCACACCTCAGTTCAGTCAGGGTTCGTTCCCTCCATCATCCTTCTTCTTCGTGTACTTGTGTATCATGGAACGAGGCTGGGTTGTTGTTCTGGGTCTCGGCAGGAAGCCAATTAGCCAACAGAAAAATAGTTTTAATTAAACGAAGGGTTCAATGTTGGGAAGAAAGGTCAGTCTCTCGCTCGCTCTCTCTCTGTGGAACGGGCAGGTTTGGGCATATCGCGAGTCAAGGGGAGAAGACTTTGAGAGAATTAGTGCCTGGGTACCTTGGGCAGACAGGCAGGTAGTAGTGGTGCTCTGGTCCTTGTCTGCTGATACGATCCAACTTTTAACAAAAGGCTCATCTAAAATTCTAAATCTCAAAAGCCAGGTTTTTGTGCCTTTTGTTCCTTTATTTGCTCCTTGTGGTTTGGAAAAAAGAGGTTAAGAAGTGAGCCCTTTCTACGCATTTCTTCCGTTGGTTGGTATAAAGGTCTCTCTAACGATAAGTTGACGGACCCTTCACGGTACATCACAGGACAAGATATTGTGTACAGGGCATCGTCATACATATTGGGGGGATATGCTCCTGGGGTGTCTTGAACAAGTCAAGTCGGATGTATGCAGTCAAGTTGTAGATATATATTTAGTATCGGTGGTGGTGGTTCTATTAAGTCGAAGCAAATCCTATTAGTGGAATTAACAGAAAGGATTAGATGGGATCCTTGTAGAAATATTTTAATAACATTTCCGGGCCGTCTCATCTCATTATCTTTACTCCATCCACCAGCCAACCCACACGGTATCCTACGTGGTTTCGGACAAAAAAAGCTAACCGACTCTAAACCCCAACATCAAGCATCATTCACATTGGCTGCCAGCACTGCAAAATTCTCTCTAGATCAATTTCAGTCCTTGAATTATGACGAGTTATGAGACGAGAGAAGGGAATAAAAAGTGAAGACTGCATCAGGACCTGGCATGGTCGTGGATCACCGTGTTTTTTTTTGCTCAACCTGACCCAATGGCCTTAAGGCAGGGTGCCCTTTAGTCAATTTTTACCAAACATTTGTTATTGTGGATAAGTCTGACTCGGTTTGAGAACATTGAGAGAGAGTGGATTAGTTCTTGGATACATACATAGGCCCTCTTCTTCTTCTTGGTGCATCTGGTGCTCATTTCCATTCCCAATTACCTACAACCACGAAAAGAACATGCTTCAAAGAAAACTTTGTTAAAAATCCCATCTTTTTCGTAGTCCAAAAACACCCTTGTTTTTCCCCTGCACTTTCGGGATGCCAGCCAACATAGGGGTAGTAGACACCACAACGCATATGCACATATTCTCATCAGCATAACATCTCAAGAGATTATTTTCAGTCTTTGTAAAAGAGACTGAAAATACACGAATATCAAGTCCACTCATTTCTTCGATGTGTCAGTCTGTGCAACGTGCGTACGTGGAGTGAGCATGCATTAGAGAAATTGATTTGGTTGGAGGAAGAGTTTTTGAGAATTTTAGCGAATGGGTGATAAGATATACTTTGTTACGAAAGAGGAAAAGAGAGGAGGGTGGTGGATGGATGGATGGATGGATGATGAGGAAACCGGTAAAGTGCACAGTTGGATGGACGGGGTAGCAATAATAATAATAATGAAGCTCTGCACATTTTTTATCCCAAATTTTTTTAGCCACAATCAGTTGGTCTTTTTGGTTTGCTTTACTTTGTGAGTTGGCTGCGACTTGAGACTGGCTGCGGTTGGGTGGTTGACAGTTGAGTTGGATTTTGAATTTTGATGTTGACGATTTTGTTGCAAAACTGGTTTGTTGGAGCATCTCATCATCCCGATCACGGCGTCTTCTTCTTTCGTCTTCTTCTTCTTCTTCTTCCAGCCTCTGTGGAAAATGGTGAAATGAAAAAATGTTGGGCGAAGGAGAGGGAAGAAAAGACTTTTCATTCGTTTGATGGACGTGCGAATAGGAGAGAGATGAAACTCATGAAACCACAAGTCGACTCAGCCCCAGGATTATTTACGACCCACAACAATGTAAATTAAACCAGCAACAACAACTCTGTGTGCATATGATCCCTTCCTATGGCAGCAGCTCTCTCCCTTCATCCTCGAAATCCATACATTTCTCGAGGCATTATTGGCGAATTGAAATCCAGATTAAGTTTCAAGATTATTCGAAAAGATTTTCAATTTCCAAACTTGAAATTTTCCCCTGAAATTCTGCCAAGAAGCGGAAAAATGTTTAATTTTCATTCGTCAGTCAACCTCCATCTCGGTCCCGATCCACATAACGCATATGTAGGACTCGTAGGCAGAGGGGACAGCCAAAACTTATTGCACCCATAGGTTCATGTTTAAAATTGGAATTTGGTTTGGGCTTGGTCGGTGGGTCGCAGCAACTCCTCAGTGGCGAACAAAGTTTGGTGGTGTTTGTAGACTTGTGTTTACTTTAGCCGTAGATGGGCAATGGTGGAATTATTTATTTACCTTCAGACTGCCAATTGCCACTTCAACTTCAAAATTTAAACAAACTATAAGCTCTTACATCCACTTACACTCACTTCCCATGGTTGCTACTACTTGCGACTTGCTCTTCAGCGGTTGCATGCCAAAACCCGGCTCTCCTGTCTGCTCCAAATTTCAATTTTTAAGAAGGGGGAGGTCTCTCCACCACCTCCTACTTTCTATCCTTCATCCAATATGCAGGGAAAATGTGTCTCATATTCTCCGTCCTAAATATTGTGGATACCTTCGTGTCCGATCTGACTTGGCCAAATTTATGCATCCATTATTGGTGGCGTTGATGATGAAAAAGTGTGGTGGTCTCTAAAAGGCGGTCGTTGGGTGAGGCGTGGACGCGATGCTGGGACGACAACAAGTTGTCCCATGAGAGGAGATTGAGAATCCTTTGAAAAAGGTCGTAATTAAATTAAAGAGCTTATTATTATTATTACCAAATACATTGGAGAGAGAGGTTAACGGCTGAGTGAACGATACTTTTTGGTTGGGTGTGGCCCAACTAAATCCCACAACCCATCAACCATTAACCCCTTCTCACACTGGCTAAACGTGTAGCCATGTCATATGCTTGCACACACCACCAAAAACATGGATGCATATAATGCAAAAGAGATGGATGGATGGATAGATAGCTTCACTGCTCTGATGGTACTCGTCACATTAAATGGGGCCAAATTCCTGCCACACGGTGGACTTTTATGGCAAAGGAATTTGGAAATTGTGCATCCACTCATTTATTACATGCTCAGTCTTCTTTTCGACATTCTTGCCCTGCTCCAATTTTCCGACTCGAGTTCTCTTCGTGAAATGAGGCGAAGTGGGACGAGTTTCGAACCACCCACTGTCGTCTTGTTCGAGTTATTTGGTTGGAGTCCAGTTGAGGTGGGGGGGGGGAGGAGTGGGGTTCAGCTGGTTGCTGAAAAATGAATGGAGAGGGGACCACGGCGTGTAATGGACCGTGACTCGCATCCTCGCTCTCTCGTCACTTCATAAAACTTACCCCCATCCAAGATCCAACCTGCTCTCTTTGTTCAATCCGAATATTTCTCAAATCCTTCCTCAGAAAAGAATCATCCCCCCGATGCCCAAACATTTGATTATCCATTTTGAAAAATATCCAACTTTAGCTACTCTTATGTGCATAGTAAATGCATATTTAAGGTTTAGTATTTTAAGAAAACGACACTTTCGAAATACAGAATTTTCGAACGTGTAGAGAAATAATTATATAATTAATTTTTGTAATTTTATAGAGGAATAATTTTGGTATTCGAGGCCCTGCTGGTGCCTGACCCTTATTAATTTTTCAGATGACGTAAATTTGTACCTGAAGAAGTTGGCTATCGACTTTTCGCCATCAGTTTTTTAGCTGGTTTATTATTGCCTTGGTAGGATAAATTTCTCTGGTCTCATACTCTTTGCCTATGCATGAT